TGCATTTGACAGGCCTGTAATAATTTAAAAAATACTTTTTCTCCAAAGATAACATTTCCAGAAATTGCATAAATACATAATGTTTCACGAAGTGAGGTAAAAGATTCAAGAAAAAAAAACAAGGGAAAAAAAATACCAACACGTCAACATAATCATAATCCAAAAGCAAATTCCATAAATCTAGGGCAAACAAAGTATATTAACGTTGGTCAATCCAAATAATGCCACATTCTCAAATGATATCAAGGTACACAACAACGGAACCAACATACACACTAACGAACATCAATAAAAAATCTCTATGGCGACCGTTAACCTTCTCCATAATTTTCATCAACCACCATCTTTTAACTCTGTTACGATTTTGTCCGTTAGTTGACGACTTCCACGAAAATCTTTATCAGGCCAATTAATATCAGTTAGATGGATATGTATACATCATAGGATGGGAATTCAGGGATGTTTCTATCGAGAAATGGGAAATTTAAATCATACATCTGGGTGGAAAGCTGTCCATATTGGTTCCGTTGTAGATTTCGTGTCTTTGATCTTCTGGTGGGTATATGCGATGGATATGAAAAATTGCTTGTTATTCAAGTACAAGACGTCATCAATATATCTGAAAGTGAAAATAAACGACTTTGAAGTGTATTTGAGACCTGTTTTGATAAGCTCTTCAATAAATTCAGCCGCGTATGAAAGCAAAAACAAGTCAACCGACAAAGTGGTGCAGCTAATTCCAATAGGTATGCCATTAGTCTTTGATTGGGACGTATTTTCTACGAAACACGTTTCAGTATAGTTCAAAACCATATATTTATACCGTGGTTCACCTTTCTTGGAGAAAGAAGGCTCTCATAACAAGAGGACAAAGATGCTACTTCAGTTTAGAATGGGGTATGGTGATGTACAGGGTGGAAAAATCAAATGTTCCTGTGGAAGAAATGTTTTTTTAGAAGAGTGTGTTAAAGCTTCTTCAAAAGCTCTTAGTTCTTAAAAATCCACATTCTAAATATGTCCAAACCGATTACAATAAATATGATTTCCACATAAAGCTTCATCCACGAAACAGAATCATGCACATCATGCGAAGAATAAACACTTCTACGTATTTCATTATTTGGATTATAAATGTGTACTGAAAGTGTTAATATTTAAATGTTGCTGCCAAATTTATATTTAGAAAAAGGTTATTTTAACCTGCCCCCCCCCCCAAAAAAAAAAAAAAAAAACCGAAGCTCCAAACAATTAAAATATTTTTAGAAATAAAAATATTTTTTATAAATGTAATTATTAGCACCTTAGACAGTCTACGGAAATATTTAAAATAATATTCCATCAAATCATCATCACTATTTTTTTTTTATTACTGATCAATATATATGACCCAAGAGAAACCAGCGGACTTCATAGTCAATGTCCGCCGACATTTGACTTGCGTGTTAAAAGGTATAAAAAGGTATGTATCTAAGCCACACAATAACCAGGCTACTAGAACTTCTACATGTTGCAGAATATCCTTGTAATTGAGTAAGGCAGCTGCTCATACCTTGTTATCAGTGTAATGGTAATTAATGATATCATTGTACCGGAATACCTTGTTTAAATTTTTTCAGTGTTAGGACCGGTTGCTTTCTGAGGAGAGGATAGAAATCAAATAAATAGTTGTTTGCACTCCAGTTTTCAATTGATGACTTGTTTCAAATTATTGTAAATAAGTTTCATTTGGTTAAATGCATAATTATGTATTGCGTTTTCAGTCAGTTACACAAAATGTGACGTTAACGAACCTTAGCAGTTAGCTTCCTTCTGTGAGCTCTTGGATATACGATTCACAAGAAGATGTTTCTATACTGGTATTTATTTTTTAAAGAATCAAATGTTAAACGATGATTTAAATTCCTTTTTTGAAATGAAGGCTTTTACAAGATAGAACATACATAAATACACACGCTTACATCTCATGTGGAGTACGTGTTATAATCAGGTAAAATTTACACACATATATGTAAATATATCATACATATGCAATGAATACTGGCAACTTTCCATAAGGAAACTGACGATATTACTTTCAGAGAGTAAGGTGCACTTAAAAGTACAGTGACACCGACTCAAATTGATTGCGAATTTACGAGTTGTTATCTAAATATAAGTATTAAATTAGTTCTGTAGTGAGGACATAGCTAATACGAATACATTTAAAACCGACATATCATAACTAGAATTAATACACAGCTTCAATTTTCAGTGTTTTCCTCTGAAAGAATGTAATGCAACTGCAATATTAGATTAAATGAAAAAAAAAGATATCAAACATTTCCTTCTACATCCAATAAAACACTGGTGATCTAATTGAGTTAGTGCTCAAGACCTTTCCAACATTCAACGATACCTGAGTACATACGTTTGATGAAAGCTATGGTTACAAACCAGTTTGGCACACAGAACTGACCTATTTGCAATACAGCTTGCAATGCCACACGATGGAGTATATCTAGTGAAAATAAAATGATTTTTTTCAAAGAAATTTACAAGACGATAAAATTTGGTAGAAGTTCCATTGGAAAGCATGATTAGTGAACGATTCAGCAACGGATAAATGTTTATCGATCAACTACTTACAATACTATACTTATCATGAAGGTTACTAAAATATCCATGCAGTCGACCATGAAATCAACATTTAACCAATTTCTATACTAAATTCGTTCTAGAACATTAAAGTAATGGAAGTTGTTTTTGATGTTGAATATCTTTTTGAATCGAATATTAAAGTACAATCATTTGCCTTGTATTAGTGTAGACTCAGCGTTTATGGTCAGTTGCAATCTGCCAGCATCTGCTTTCGTGAGAGTTCAACAACTCCAAACACGTGTCTATGCGTGTTACGCCTGGCGCTGTAGTTGTGGTTTGCTACGCCACTCAATCTACGTCACTCTTGATAGCACCAAGATTTGCAACATTGATACTTAATTGTGCATGTAGGGACGTAGACATACAAAATAAGCATGTTGGCATACAACAAACTGAAGTATTATCCTTGGCGATAACAGATATAAATTAACAGTCATTAAAAGTATATGAAAAAATGCAATAAATCTCGTGTTGCTAGAAGAATATCATTTATGGAAAAAACAGATAACTGCCGTGTACGATTTTATGTTCTGTTAACCGTTTGCAAAGCAACATTCATGTGGACAATTGAGTCTAGGACAAACACAAATAAAGAAAAGGAATCGAAAGTGGAAACTAGAAGAACAGCCACCATACCATCTCAAGAATAACGTAATTACACGAACAATATGCAGTACCCAAAATCCATCTATGTCTTGAAATCATGAATATACAAGAGGTCATGAATTTTGAATGATTGCGAAAATGAATGGTGAATAAGGCTTTAATTCAATCTAACAGCAATTAAAATCTCTGACCATAAGATTCCTTTAGCGAATATTTAAATAGCAAAATCAGATATTGAAACCTTATTTTCATGAATATCTTGATACTGTACTCAGACCTGTAATAGGTAGTTAATTATTCATTGCTTGTCTGTCCGTTTTTTTTTTTTTTTTTAGAAGTTATTGTATTTCGACAAACACTTTTTAAGTAATCTGAAAATTTATTCTTCAGTGCAAATTACAAAACTGTCTAACATCAAACCGTAAAAACACAATCTTTTGTTAATTTGAACAAATAGTGTGATAGAATGCACACTTAACTGTTCAATAGTTGTTATCAAAGCTAAAACATCGTATTTGGCTGTTTTAGTTTAGGTACACAAACAATAATGCAAGGGCAGCATTTCTTAACTCAAGCAATAAGCTTTCCAGCGATAGGGAGAGCGGAGTCCAACATGTTAATTAGCAAGTGGTATAAAAGCAGGCGTCCGGCCCCAGTTCGCCAGTCCTTGGTTCACTAGCAGTCGAATCTACTGTCACCATGAAGGCCTGTTTAATTCTCTTCGTCTTGGGCATTGCGGCTACTTACGTAGCACCAAGTGCAGCAGACATTGCAGAACTTGAAAACAGGATTCAGGATTTACAGAAACGACTAGATGACCTTGTTGCCGGAATTATCCCAGGGAGTGAGTATTCAAGTTTTACTTCATTTTATTTGGTTGAAATGTTTTTATAAAACAACTTTTTTTTGCATCTATTGTCTTTGGTTTTAAACATACAACCGATGCAAAAGTAAAATGTATATTATTGTATATTTAAAACCAAAGACTTGAACAATGAAAATAATGATTAAGATAGAGGACTAGTGTTATTTCAGAGAATAAACTAAAATATCGTGAGGTTTTAATGGGAATCAAACTGTCTGCTGCCCAGATAGTCGCGCTTATATTGTAGGACACTTTCTGATAAAAATGTTCAATACAGTACGATAACACTATACTGTGACTAGATATGTTGGTATTCTGTCACCGACTGTATACAGTAATGATTTCACATGGCAACATACTATAAATTTAAGGCATCATAGACAACTAATGATTTTTTACAATGGCGACTAGAGAGCACTTTAAATAGACTAGTTTCTTATCAACATCGGATACAGTAGTTTCTTCAAGTGTGACTATTTCATTTATGAACCTTTTAAAAAGTTCATATTTATCCATTTATTACATTTATTCATACTTTAATGAGCAACAGCTTGCTTGATAATGGATTAAGTATGTCGATATAAACTTATTTAACCTGAAAATAATAAATGATTCAACACACAGAATGTATAACGGTGAACAGTGTATGCTTCTATTATCCCTGTGCAGAAATATTAACATCCGTGTTCGTAGTAAAAACATCATACATAGCATTAGTAAATATTTGCGTTATTGTGGAAAGTTGTGAACAACACAATCGGACGCTTAACTGTCGGTGCACGAGGTCTCTCGCTCGGTCGTAGACCAATCCTTCATTTTTCTTTTCATGCTATAGACGACGAAGAAGCCATAGAAGCAGCGCACCGACAGAAGAGGAGTGGTGCTTACTACTACGCCGCCGCAAGGGGTCCTCCCGGCCCAGCTGGTATGCCTGGTAAGTTTTTTTTTTTTTTATTTTTAACATTATTATTGTTAAACACACATCGTACTACCTTGTTGCTTTAGGAATCGATTTCTACTAATAAATCGTCTTTTGTTGTACTCCGAATAACTTTGATAATTTACGAATGATACGGTTAGATTATGGTTTCATGCCAATGAAATCGGTATTTTCTTTTCATATTTTTATCAACAAAGTCAATTTCTTAAACCGCTCATAAAACGTCCAAGACTTAATGAGGGAACATACCATTTTTGCATTGCAATTTTATCTTCTTTTCGAATAATGACGAAACGTGTCGCAAGTGTTAATACTACGCGGGCGCAATTATCTCGCTACTGTCGCGAATAGAATTGATTGAGACTCGCTTTCCGTATGGGTGTGTCTAATAAAACCCCTTCTTGTAGGTAAAAAGGGCAAACCTGGTGCAGTCGGTCCTCAAGGACCTCAAGGTGAATCTGGTGCCCCCGGCGAGAAGGGAGATGCTGGTGCGCAAGGACCTGTTGGAGCCCCAGGTCGTCAAGGTCCACATGGTCCTCAGGGATTCCAGGGAGCACAAGGAGAGCAGGGACCACAGGGACCAACCGGCCCACAGGGAGATGTTGGACTCGAGGGAGCTCAGGGAGAAACAGGTTATCCAGGCATGCCAGGAGCAGTTGGACCAGCTGGACCTCAAGGAGAAAAGGGAGAAGATGGACCAGCTGGACCACCAGGGCTGCCAGGAGCAATGGGAGAGAAGGGAGATCAGGGAGCACCAGGACCACAGGGAGCTACCGGAGCAATGGGACCTGCCGGACCACAAGGTCCCGACGGCCCACAGGGTCAAGCAGGACCACATGGCGCACCAGGACCACAAGGACCTCAGGGATACCCAGGACAAGCAGGCAAAAAGGGACCAAGAGGCGCTCCTGGACCAAGAGGAGCTACCGGCCAGCCAGCTCAATACTTAGTTGCTGCATACAGGGCACCAGCCCCAGTTAAATCTTACCAACCAGCTCCCTCTAAATACCAGCCAGCTCCAGTTAAATCTTATCAACCAGCTCAGTCTGCCAAGGCATACCAGCCAGCCCAGCAGTATAATAGCAAGGGTTATTAATAAGCACAGATGTATTTATTAAATAAGACGTTTTCAAATTCCAATACATTTTCATTCATTTGTTCAATTCCATCGCTTGAAAATAACTGTCGGTTGGTAGTAAATGTTCCTTTTCAGGCATTGTAGTGTTCAGACAATATGTCCAATATGCAACAGAAAATACGTTAACATGAAGAAAATTGTAATTGTTGCTCTGTGGCGATAGAAATAAAACACTTAAAAATATTTCTTCTCAAGTTTGTTTTGATTGATGTCTTTTTGTAGTCACGTTTCTATTTTACGACAATGGACCTTCGTTAATCCGAATCAAAACCTAACAAAACAACACGGATGATTTTATTTCATTCTGCGTTTAGAAACACTTTTGGATTAGAAAGGCATACGAAATAACGAGAGTCGACTGTGTGTTAAGTTTTTTTGAAATGTGAAGATTGAAGGTATATGTATTTAAACAATAACAAAATTATATCTTTCAGTACGAGCGGAATTTTCGAAAGTATAAAACGCGTTTTCTCCATTTTGCCAATTACGCAATTGGTATGAAGAGGAGCGGTCATTCCTCTAAGATTTTCCGTGATTGTTTAATAACCAGCGAGATGCTCGCGCTTTTCTCTCTTCCTCCATCTCTCTCTGTCTTTCCAACCGCCCCCCCCCCTCCCCCTCCCCACTCTCCTTCTCTCTGTACATATTAGTATAATACTTGTTCATCAATAATTCTTGTAAACAGCCATTAATAATTCTCTCTCTCTCTCTCTCTCTCTCTCTCTCTCTCTCTCTCTCTCTCTCTCTCTCTCTCTCTCTCTCTCTCTCTCCAACCGCCCTCCCCCCACTCTCCTTCTCTCTGTGCATATTAGTATAATACTTGTTCATCAATAATACTTGTAAACAGCCATTAATAATTCTCCCCCCCCCTCCTCCTCTCCCCGCCTCTCTCTCTCTCCAACCGCCCCCCCCCCACTCTCCTTCTCTCTGTGCATATTAGTATAATACTTGTTCATCAATAATACTTGTAAACAGCCATTAATAATTCTCTCTCTCCCCCCCCCTCTCCCCCCACCCCCCTCTCTCGCTCTCTCATATGTATCACCACAATACTTGTTCATCAATAATTCTTGTAAACAGTCATTAACAATTGTATTTTAGATCCTGTTATCAATGTCAGAGCTATTGTTATGAACTTATGGTTGATATCTCGTTTGGTTGGTTGTAGATGGCCGTAGTTTTTTTTAATAGTAACCTCATGATTATACGGCTTACAATCGTAATTCAATGAAATTGTCTCATCGATTTCAGACCGTATAGCTAATGGTATTCACGAATCAAAATTTTCACGAGTTTTCTTCAAAACGAACAAACGAAATATTTATTTTATTATATATATAAGTATACCATGTACTTCCGTTGTTTAATTGTGGGTGAAAAACCTTGGAAAAGGTTGAGCTGTCTAGTGATGATATCGATTTGACAAGTCTTCAGTTACGTGTCTTCTTATCTCTGGGGTCAAATTTTCGCGATTGGTTTACGCTCTGCGAAATAGTGAAAATATCCGCGCGAAAGTAAACGATATCTCAAGATATACAGGGAATTTGTTTTGAATTATATTTGATTTTTATTCATATAGAGTCACCAAAGTAAGTTCTTGACAAGTATCTTCAGATATTTTGTTATTAATTAAAACGCAATGTCGATTTTGTATTTAATGAATATTAAGATATTTTATAAAGTATATGACACATACCAAAATAAGATATATTATATACTATATGTGACGACATACATATTACATAATTATACAAATATTTTGATAGAAGATATAATTTTCATAAAGTTGAATAATGTTACAGATTACACATTATCATAAAAATTTGAAAAATTGTGTGATATTTTTTGTATTTTGTAAAATACTTTATATTTCTATAAACAACATTGACATTGCTGTGAAAAAATGATAATGTGGCTTTCTACAAACAATACATATACCTTCATCACCAAATCATTACTATGCTATGTTACGACCCTAAAGTGAGTAATTTTCGTAATTTTGAAGGTTAACGTTTTCAATACCCAAATTCGAGTCTCCATCTGTGCTACTTCCACATTTTTTTTTTCAATAGCATCAATTAAAATTACATTATTTAACATGTAGTTTAGATAAGTTTCGTCAACATTGATTTTACAAAAACAAACAAATCAAGTTTTATTGGAAGAGAATGGTTTTAATGACGTCAGTCACTACAGGTGATATCATATATTTATATTACAATCTAATGATGCGTTATAGAGTATTGCAATCAATATTGGGTATTGTAACGTTTCTGCTCCAGTTGTTTAAAGATTGGAAAGTGTTTACCAAGGAAGGAACAAAATTGTATTACTGATATTTCATAGCAAAACAAATTCACTATTCAACATGTCTAAGAATTTCACAGTTATGAAATGGTACAACATTCTCTCTATTTTTTATTCGGTTTTGAAATACTTCCTACCCATTGGTTAATTCGAACCACGCTTTGAGCAACTGAGGCCTGTATCTTAATAACCGAAAACATAAAATGATTGCGTACTTTTCCGCAAAATTGATATTTAATTGTTATATAAACGATGGTAAGTGGGAAGATAATCTCTCCATCCCGAAGAAGAAGATTCGACAGCTATAGCCTTGTTAAACGTACGGGAACTAAGATTACACCAACGACGGTAAGACAATATAATGCAGGGATACGAAGCATACATTGGAACCACTATCAGTACTTGTAAGCATAACTTTATTCTCTCTCGTTCCTGATGTTTTTGTTTTTCAACGTGTTGTCTTTTCATTTAATTATCCATCATCAATCCATCTAAAGTATATGTTGAAAACTTTCACACGACTTCTTTGTCGTGAAAGAATACAATAAGGTAATATTTTGAGTTTTTATTTATGAAATATGAACTGCTGTGACGTCATCAATCAATGTTGGAAAAAAGTGACACGATTTCAAACCCAATATTTGAAACCAATATTGATCAGATTTTAATTGAAGGACGCCAGAAATGTTTGATGGATAATCTATCAGTATTTCAAGCTTCTAAAAGTTTGCATTTTCGCGATATAATTTCATAAATAGAATTTTTTTTTACAAAAAATCAGCGACCAAAACAATTAGTAAAAATCCCAACACATATTAGAACTTGGTATTTTTTTTATTTAACACATCATGAAAATGCATATTTTTCTATGAAAAAAACAGGTATCAGTAATTCCTATTTTCATTACAGCAAATTTTGATACTGAAAGCTTTTAATAAGATAAGATTCGTGGTTTAAGTAATTCCTAATCTTGATATAAAAAGCCTTTGACAAGACAGTGTAACATATTGTAATCTGGTTAGCCTTTGTTGATAGGTTATGATGTCAGTAATTTCATATTCTGTCGTGCTGGTTTTTTTCATGAAATACACATTGGCAATGTTAGCGTTTGTTTCATCTGATTTGTTCTTGCTGTTTTAGCGGACGGAAAAGTAAGGAGGAAGAGACACATGTGGATACAGGGAGCCCCAGGCCCCGTTGGAAGCACAGGTATAACAACACCCGATGCCGACTATTAAACTTATTCAGTCTTTTTGTAAATATTAACATTTCATGCATTGTTTTCTTAAGATTTACGCAACTTTTAAAGAAACGAACTTTCCAATCGCAATTAAGATCTCAAATGCAAATTGAACTCTTATAACTCGAAGACCCCGTTTAATTCGAAGCATTTCTTCGATCCCTGCCTAACTTTACACAAAACATTCGAACTCACTTAAATCGAATACTCGATTATCTCGAAGTTTTCCATCAGAGTTCGAGATAACGAGGTTCGACTTTGTTAAGTTATTGCTCTCTCACTGCCATAAATATTGCAAATAAATATACTAAACATGCTAAAACAGACACTTCGCGAACTTATAATCCAGCCACTGATTTTTTTTCTAAGGAGCCCCCGGACATCCTGGTCTTCCCGGATCTCCCGGACCCCAAGGCCCCACTGGGTACCCTGGCTACAAGGGCGAAAAGGGTGATCAGGGAATTGAGGGTGAGACTGGAGCACCAGGAGAGCATGGTCCACAGGGACCTCAGGGTGAACAGGGAGCAGTGGGAGAGGTCGGACCTGTCGGAGAACAAGGAGAGAAGGGAGAGACTGGAGCTCCAGGCAAACAGGGACAACCTGGTGAACAGGGAATGGATGGACCAGCTGGACCACAGGGACCAATGGGCGAAACTGGAGACTATGGACCACAAGGTTGGGCTTCTTGTTCTTATTTGGGATCGTTTCACTTCGTACATGGATTGATCAATATCTATATAGTGGGTGTGGTTGATATATAAGCAGAAGCCTTTCTGGAGACCAAATATCTCTACAGAATCTGACTCAAACTCAAAATCTTTAAAGCTAAGGCAAAATATGAAAGATTTCATTACAGGAAGGATACAAGGAAAAGATACCTCCTCCTCCGTAAATTTCGTTTTCTTAATAGCAAATTTTATTTTCCATTTTTTTTTTTTATAAATTTGCTGTTTCAAACGCCAAATAGTGAAACAAAATTAGCTGATAATATTATGAAATTTAGACAAATCTTTTAGTCTACTGTTGTTGTAGAAAACAATTCAATGTAATGATGATGTCTTTTCAATTTAAACACTTGAATTTCATTGCTTAATGCTGTGTATTACACTTTAGTTATTTATTTTGAATACGTCATTCTTAGTAAAATCTCGATTTCATTTCGACTTCGAAACATATATTTATCTGAAATTCATTCTACAGTCATTGAATATATCACAGCGTTCTCCTAAACATATTTTGGTAAAAATTACCATGATCACCAATGTCATAAATATTTTTAATGACATTTTTTCTCACAGGATACCCTGGAATGCAAGGAGAAAAAGGACATGATGGACTAACCGGATATCCAGGAATGCCAGGTGATGCAGGACCAATGGGACCCCCAGGAGCAGTCGGTGCAGCAGGACCTACAGGAGCACCAGGACCACATGGCCCTCAGGGACCCATGGGGGAAACTGGCCTTCCAGGCCGACAAGGGGTACAAGGATACGCTGGTCCCCGAGGATCACGTGGGTCACCAGGCCAAGCATATGCCGTCAGATATAAGAGCAGCGCACCTGCTCCATATACAACTAAGGGTTAAATAAATAATTTAAAAATAATTCTGTCACTTTAGTCCGATAGAATGTTTTGTTTCTTGTGACAATTAGCTGAAAGGAATAACCATCCAATCGGCCTTTAGTGACGGATCATGATTAATATTCCAATTGTCCTAGATATTCCATCAGAACAATGATATTCTGATGTATTTGTTTGCATTTTCACATCTCAAAATCGAAGTAGCAACTTTTGTAATCATCTCATTTTCATGAAAAAAAATGATGAATCGACAAGAAAAAATACAGGTGGTAATTTAACAGGCAATATGAGTTGTAATTTAACAAAATAAAAATGCCTTTACATACATATTCTTGACTTCTATTGTTTGTTTAAATATACTCCATGTACAAGTTCTATGAGGGAAAAAGGAATGAAGATTTCATATGGACAACTTCACAAATCATAGACACTTGAATTAAGCTATTTCACATTCATCATTAGAATAATATCAACACCTTTTATAGAATAGAGTTGAACAACGAAATGTTTAAGCCTATAGGCATACATTGCCTCCAGAGTAATATTGTGTCTTCAAATGTGTATCATCTCATCTTCTGTTTTTTTTAAACATAGTGTAATAGTATATTTGTGTGGTAAATACAATTCTGTACTTGTATTCACTTGCCAAATTCAAGTGTCAAATGATCGAAATTTCTATAAAATGAATAATGAAGCACTGACGAACACTTAAAGGAGATTGCATCTTAGGTAATCAAGTAATATGGATATATATATATATATGTATCAAACTTTCTGATATCAAATAAAATAAAATTTGAGAACAAGCAAAGCCAAAGCTGTAGCTAAGGACTTCCTGACATAATATAAAATTTGAGAACAATCAAAGCCAAAGCTGTAGCTAAGGACTTCCTGACATAATATAAAATTTGAGAACAATCAAAGCCAAAGCTGTAGCTAAGGACTTCCTGACATAATATAAAATTTGAGAACAAGCAAAGCCAAAGCTGTAGCTAAGGACTTCCTGACATAATGTATAATCAAGGAGCATGTAGATCACTAGAATAATGCAAACATTGTTCTATCAAAGTTTCAATTTTAATTTTTTTTTAGACCTTGAACCAAAAAGGATGCATCTTTTGCAAAACATTATGCAAGATACTTTTGTTTTCACTAATAATCATATGTTTTGACATTTCTATTTCTGCAATACAATGCCATCTGTAAAAATAACGGCAATAGATTCCCTCTAAAGTAATTAATTAACAAGATTTTCAGTGAAACTGATGATTGCTACCCGAAATGACTTTATTGGACACAAAGTTATAACGAAGAGCAATAGTTCCTTAATCATGGGGTTGTGGCCCTAACGTTGGTATACTGCACAGTCTCTTAGTATGACAAATGCATACCCCAAGTTCAATGAGTCTAGTTTTGATTCAAGCAAAGCTATGCTCATGACACAAAATTCTAACAAAGGGCAATAATTCCGTAATTATGGGGTTGTGGCCCTAACTTTGGTATACTGCACATTCTCTTAGTATGACAAATGTATACCCCAAGTTCGATGAGTCTAGTTTTGATTCAAGCAAAGCTATATTCATGACACAAAATTTTAACAAAGGGCAATAATTCCGTAATTATGGGGTTGTGGCCCTAACTTTGGTATACTGCACATTCTCTTAGTATGACAAATGTATACCCCAAGTTCGATGAGTCTAGTTTTGATTCAAGCAAAGCTATATTCATGACACAAAATTTTAACAAAGGGCAATAATTCCGTAATTATGGGGTTGTGGCCCTAACGTTGGTATACTGCACATTCTCTTAGTATGACAAATGTATACCCCAAGTTCGATGAGTCTAGTTTTGATTCAGGCAAAGCTATGCTCACGACACAAAATTTTAACAAAGGGCAATAACTCTGTACTGAGTGGTCATGTGCCCTAAATATGCTACACTGCACCTTACGTTTGTATGATTGAAGTGTACATGATGTTTCAATACCCTAGATTAAATGCAGTCAAAGGAATGCTCCAGACAAAATTTAAGGCAATAAGTAGCAGGTCCTTACATTGTTTCACTGCACATTGTGTTGGAATGATCAATGTTTACACCAAGTTTGAGTATCCTATCTTACATGCAAGCACAGTTATGCTCTGGACAAGGTGTTTTTAACTAAGGGCAATAACTCTGTAATTGAATGGTTGTGGGCCCTGTATTTGGTACACTGTACATTGTCTTAGTATTAGCAATGTATCCACCACATTTTACTTTCCTAGTTTAAATGCAACCAATTTAAAGTTGTGCTCTAGACACAAAATTTAAAAAAAAAAAGGGCTATAATTGTAATTTAAGGGGTTGTTAGCCCTGAATGTGGTAAACTGCACATTGTCTTAGTACGATCAACGTATACACCAAGTTTCATTATCCTTGCTTCAATGCAAGCAAACTTATGCCCTGTACACAAAATTTTAACAAAGGGCTGTACCTTTGTAATTGAGGGGTCAAGGTCCTGAATTTGGTACACTGCATGTCCCCTTTGTATGACAAATGTATCAACCAAATTTCCTGATCCTTGCCTAACTGTGGGCAAAGTTATGCTCAATACATGAAAGGACAGACTGAAATATGGATGGGAGCATAAAAATTAAAATAATAATTAACTAAAACAATTGAAATTAACCTCTAATTAAACCTCACTAAAAGACAGCAAGATTCATTAACATCTTCACAATTATAACAAAGAAAATGTTGACATGTCAACAGATTCTAAATTTGAACTCTCGCCAGGGATAAATATTTGTCCTGCATCCCTTCAGCATGAGAGATACTCATTTTCCAGATTAATTCATAAATAGAATTGAAATTCAAACACTGTTAGAAAGTACTTATCATTGTACTTTTGTCTTCAGAGATATATGTTGTTTAAATGTCATGCTGACTTTCAACTTCAATTCAGTTAGGTGTAACTTGAGAAGCTCACATTGCCTCAATAGTGCATACACATTGGGTGCACCAATGCACAATCGTGTTAAAAGTCGATCATGACATAAAATTTAATACACTTACAGTGTATCAACAGTTTCTGAAGACAATTAGGGCAGAATGTCACCAGACAGAACCTTACTGAGACTTTAACTTTAAAACCGAGTAGCAGCTAAAATATTCAAAACACAATTTTCAAAATAAGAATGAAAACAATGACTCTTGTCAGATTGTTGGAATTGTTTTATCTTCCAACTTCCTTTATTCATCTTCATGGAATCTGTTATGCATCTGTTGTTACTTATATGAACCATTAAAACACAACCTGACAACAATGATTTGACAGTTTAATGATCACAAGAACTCCCCCTTTAGTTACCATACTTTTTCCCCCTCAGGATAAAACTCTTTCTATCTCTTCTGTTTGAATTTTTTGTCTGTTCGTTTCTGTCCTTTAAATAATTTGCCTTTTTTGTTAAATCCAGACTTCCCTTTACTTTTTTTATCCGTGTCCTTTACTTTGAAATTTCTATTTTTATCAAATTTTGAATCTGTTCTTTCATTCTTTTTTGTGTTTCCATCCAATGGTTTGCTTTCCCGGATTTTCTTTTTCGGAGGTCCTTCTGACTCTGATCTGTGTTTACGTTTTGAATTCGTGCCAGAAAATAATTCTGAAATGGAAAAAAATATCATCGTTACAGGTAATTTCCATACCTACTGACCCCTGAACTATATTCTTTTAACTCTTAACCTCTGAACGTTAACTTTAACCATATGACCTTTATCACATCCTCATTGATATCTGCACTTGTCTTCAGAACTATCAACTTTTAACAACTAACCTTTGATCATGACCTTTCATTCTTTGACCTCCTAACTTCCAAACTTTGACACTGGCACCTGTCTTCAGAGCTATCAATTTCTAAAAATTTCCTAACTCTGGCCTGTGTAGAAAGCCAATACAATATCTCTTGTTTGTTTTTTAAATCCTTTAAGGTGAGTGTAATGATGCTGTATAAACAAAATTTTCCCATTTTCTTTTTTTTTTTTTTTTTTGCTTTTTGTTTTGTTTTGTTTTGCTTTTTGGTCTTCCCCTTGCTGAATGAATCACTTGCATCAAATACACTATCACACAGTGTGCACTATCTGAACTTAAAACAACTTACGAGTCGGCCATGCAATTACCATCATTATGCACGGACTTTCTGGCACAGTTTCTACTGCAGACAGAGAGCACAGTAACATAAATCTGATCAGAATACTGACGTCACAATTAAAGATTGTCCTACACACAAAGAGTTAATTACTCTTTAATTCATGATACTTAGACTGAGCCAGAGAAACAAGGTGGAGTACTCCAATGTAGTGTCTAATCAGTACATGTGATTTATTATCATCATTACACATTCACCTATTGACCTTTCATAAGCAGTCTGCATTTCAAAATTAAGACAAAGTAGACAAAGCAGACGCCTCCTATCATATGATAGCCAGTGAGAAAATAAAAGACCCCTCCACACTTGTGTTAGCTAGTGAGAAAATAACAGACCCCTCCACACTTGTGTTAGCTAATGAGAAAATAAAAGACCCCTCCACACTTGTGTTAGCTAGTGAGAAAATAAAAGACCCCTCCACACTTGTGTTAGCTAATGAGAAAATAAAAGACCCCTCCACACTTGTGTTAGCTAGTGAGAAAATAAAAGACCCCTCCACACTTGTGTTAGCTAATGAGAAAATAAAAGACCCCTCCACACTTGTGTTAGCTAGTGAGAAAATAAAAGACCCCTCCACACTTGTGTTAGCTAGTGAGAAAATAAAAGACCCCTCCACACTTGTGTTAGCTAGTGAGAAAATAACAGACCCCTCCACACTTGTGTTAGCCAGTGAGAAAATAAAAGACCCCTCCACACTTGTGTTAGCCAGTGAGAAAATAACAGACCCCTCCACACTTGTGTTAGCTAGTGAGAAAATAAAAGACCCCTCCACACTTGTGTTAGCTAGTGAGAAAATAACAGACCCCTCCACACTTGTGTTAGCTAGTGAGAAAATAACAGACCCCTCCACACTTGTGTTAGCTAGTGAGAAAATAAAAGACCCCTCCACACTTGTGTTAGCTAGTGAGAAAATAAAAGACCCCTCCACACTTGTGTTAGCTAGTGAGAAAATAAAAGACCCCTCCTCACTTGTGTTAGCTAGTGAGAAAATAAAAGACCCCTCCACACTTGTGTTAGCCAGTGAGAAAATAAAAGACCCCTCCACACTTGTGTTAGCTAGTGAGAAAATAAAAGACCCCTCCACACTTGTGTTAGCTAGTGAGAAAATAACAGACCCCTCCACACTTGTGTTAGCTAGTGAGAAAAGAAAATACCCCTTCACACTTGTGTTAGCCAGTGAGAAAATAAAAGACCCCTCCTCAGTTGTGTTAGCTAGTGAGCAAATAATAGACCCCTCTACACTTGTGTTTATTAAAAGACCCCTCACACTGTGTTTAAGAATCAAGACACCCCACCACACTTGTGTTAGTTATTCATTTCAACAAACTAGTGAGAAAAAGATCCACACTTGTGTTAGCTAGTGAGCCAAATATCAGCACCCTGTGTTCTGAGTTATTCAGACCCCTCCACACTTGATGTTTTAACAAACTTTGGTCAGTGCCATCCACACTTGTGTTAGATCACTTGTGTTAGCTAGTGAGAAAATAAAAGACCCCTCCACACTTGTGTTAGCACTGGTGGAATTTGAGAATAAGTCGAAAATTTGTTTTCAAGTTGGCGGTCATGGCGTCCATCTTGGATTTCGGACCAACCCGAAATTAACCAGCTTTGGTCAGGATCATGTCACGATCATTTCAGGTAAGTTTCAGCTCAATGAGACATGCAGAACTTGTGTTAGCTAGAAGTTGACCCCTCCACACTTGTGTTAGCTAGAAAGAAAATAAAAGACTTGTGTTAGAACGATAACAGACACAGAGGTGATCACAATAGGTAAAAGACCCCTCCACACTTGTGTTAGCTAATGAGAAAATAAAAGACCCCTCCACACTTGTGTTAGCTAGAAAGAAAATAATAGACCCCTCCTCACTTGTGTTAGCTAGTGAGAAAATAAAAGACCCCTCTTCACTTGTGTTAGCTAGTGAGAAAATAAAAGACCCCTCCACACTTGTGTTAGCTAATGAGAAAATAAAAGACCCCTCCACACTTGTGTTAGCTAATGAGAAAATAAAAGACCCCTCTACACTTGTGTTAGCTAATGAGAAAATAAAAGACCCCTCTACACTTGTGTTAGCTAATGAGAAAATAAAAGACCCCTCCACACTTGTGTTAGCTAATGAGAAAATAAAAGACCCCTCCACACTTGTGTTAGCTAGTGAGAAAATAAAAGACCCCTCCTCACTTGTGTTAGCTAGTGAGCAAATAATAAACCCCTCCTCACTTGTGTTAGACCCCTCCACACTTGTGTTAGCCAGTGAGAAAATAAAAGACCCCTCTACACTTGTGTTAGCTAATGAGAAAATAAAAGACCCCTCTACACTTGTGTTAGCTAATGAGAAAATAAAAGACCCCTCTACACTTGTGTTAGCTAGTGAGAAAATAAAAGACCCCTCCACACTTGTGTTAGCTAGTGAGAAAATAAAAGACCCCTCTACACTTGTGTTAGCTAGTGAGAAAATAAAAGACCCCTCTACACTTGTGTTAGCTAATGAGAAAATAAGAAAAACTCTCCTTATTTGTGTTAGCCAGTGAGAAAATACAAGACCCCTCCTCACTTGTGTTAGCTAGTGATAATATGAAAGATTTTCAATTCCTAATCTCCCATTTTCTTTTGTGATAGCTAGTGAGAAAAATAAAGAAGCCCATATTCCTGATATCAAAGGTGGATATCACTGAGAGATTAAACACAATGGTATGTAAATAGATTCGCTAGACCTGACTGTGCACTATGTACCTGGCTCTGGTTCTACTCCCACTTCTTGTTTGTAGTAATCAGCATCATCAATCTCCTCTTCATCTGTAAAATAAATATTTTTTATCACAATATATAGATAAATATTTAATACACTAATCTGTTACTTTACTAACATTTCTTCACAAGAGGCACAAATTACATGCAACATTTGAATTACATAACTGACAATGTATGCTGAAATTCACTCATTCCACGGTAGACAACAAACTACATGTCATTCCATGAAAATCTCTTTTTCCCCAATATAATATCTCTATAATTTTTTACCAAAATTTATAAAAATCAACATTGAGCAACATACCTTTATTATCCTCATCGGAGTCAAAAAACATGTAAATCACTAATTCAATCAACTTTGAAGTGTAGTACCAGGAATCTTTGTTGTGTATTAAATTACAAAACATAACAATACAAACAGAATCAACCTACATACCTCACATAGATTGAAAAAAAACTAAAAACTAGATCCATTGCTTAGAACAACATTGAAACAACAATATATAGCATATATGATAAAAAATGTTTATCCAGATTTTTTAATTTAATAGACTGTTTTCCCTATCCGATACCAATCCCTAAAACAACTGAATTCTGATAAAAAATTTCTGAGGTTCCTACACATAACTGGAGTAATTTTTTCAGAATTTTTAATATCCAAAACATATACCATCTTGATGAAATTTGACTGACTGTGGATTTTTAACCAGACAGTTCATTACTGATAGTGTAAAATTTGTGTAGGGACTGTGTAGATGAAATGTTTGGATATTTACAGGATTTTTCCAGGGCAGGCAATACAACCACTTATACAATTAGGTACTACACATTACAGACACTTGAAGTTAGACACGGTTCAGTGACTCTGGAACTGGGAGGGTCACGCCGGGTCAGCTTTGTGGTCTCGAGCTAACGGGGCCATGTGGTTTTACATCAGTCCATGTAAGTTCTAGCTGTAGATGTGTCTAGCAAGACATTAGCTATACTAATAGAAATCTTATATCTACTGCCAATTCACCACGGCAAGGCCCAGTCTGCTGATTAAATGTTTTTAACTTCACATAAGTTTTCATCATTGAATCAATGGTAGTCTTACAAAATTGAATTAAAGTACTGAAGAACTAAAAAGAGAACCAATTTCTTGCATATTTTTTTTTTTTTTTGCATATTTACCCTGATATACGTAATTCATACACAAAGGCTTTAGTATATATACTTTATTTAACCAAAATTTAATGTCCTATTCTCAAAAGTTTATCAAAACTGGCAGAAATGATACAGCACATTTGACATAATGAGGGTTCTCAATGTTTTTTTTTTTTTTTTTGAAATCTTCTCAATATTTTCATATAATTTACAAAAGTCATTCAAATACTTTTTTAACATTATGCAATGTGGGAAAATTTTGGGCCATGAATGTTATCAGAGAATTTCAGGGTTTTGAAGAAAGTGATTGGGATTTTCTACTTCATATAGTGCATTCTAAAAATGTCAATAAGATTTTTCACCTAAATCATGTGGGGAGTGAACAGTGACATTTTCTCAATTATTTGATGTAAATTTGTCACATTTCATCAAAAAGAATTAACCAACCAGAATACTCCAGTTGTCCATATCGCAAAATAACTAAATATGGAATACAGAAATTATCATTTTTCGTCTAAATTTCAACATTTTTTAAAATCATGGCATGCATTGCAACATAAATGTTTTCAGAGATCAGGCGGTAGAGCCAACACCGTTCGTTCTAATTGAGTGGGTAGGTGGTTTCTACACTCCTCATTTATAAATCATTTATAAAGGCTACTGTAATAAATTACATTGTATAAAAATTTTAGAATCAAAAACCAGATTTAATAATTTCTTTTCATATCAATACAATAATTTATGGACTGTTATTTGATGTTTGACCACTGAAGTAAAGTCAAAAAAAGAATTAAATACAAATCTAATTCTAAACAGTTCTGCTCATTTATCATCATAAAAATTAAATTTGATCCCTGTGACCATTGTCAAGTTGATTAAGATTTTGCAATATGACTTCATGTGTGATTGAAAACATCTTTACTTCAAAAACAAGAGTTCCTCGTAACTGTATGTGTCGCCTGCATAAAGTGTCACAGTCACCCAGAAATTGAACTGGATGTGCAATGATCAACCATAAAGTTGTAATACTAAATTTCATTTCTATAACTTAAAGCATAAAGGGAAAACTGCGCAAAGCAATATTCCTGAGGAATTTTCTAAGTTCAAAGGGACATATCACTGTCAAGAAGGGTCACAGACTGCCAAGAATCAAAACCAATCTGTACCCTTCCAACAAGAAGCCATATAGCAAATGTCATTTCTGTAACTCAAAGCATAACCAAAGAAAATCAAGAAAACAATATTCTCATGAAATTCTCTAAGTTGAAAGGGGCATAACTCTGCCAAAAAGTGTCACAGACAGCCAGGACTCAAACTTAATCTGTACCCTTGCAACAAGAAGTCATATACCAAATTTCATTTCAATACCTCCAAGCATAAGCCAAAAAAGTCTGGAAAACAATATTCCAAGGAAATTTTCTAAGTTGAAAGGGGCATAACTCTGCCAAAAAGTGTCACAGACAGCCAGGACTCTAACTTAATCTGTACCTTTGCAACAAGAAGCCATATACCAAATTTCATTTCAATAACTCAAAGCATTACTGAAAAAAAGTCCAGAAAACTTTCTGACCACAGGGAAGATATTTTGATGCTAATAATAGTGTTAAAACTTATTAGATTTAGTTCTTCAAACATACAGAACAACCACAAATTTCGCAACTTGGATGGAATATCCCTTTAACTTCCTATTTGAAAGTATACTTTTTATTAACAGAGTATCACACCAAAATATAAGATTTAATAGAAATCTGACCTTTTTATATTGACCTTTGACCTGCTGACCTTATCATTTGGTAATGTAACTTTATTTCTTTATATTAGTATTTTTAAAAAGTCTAATACATATCCTGTAATAAATACAATGATACAATAGATGAGAAAATCACCAGACATGCAGAGATAATGTCAGAACTGCCAAATACATGAAGCTAAATTCAGATTTACATACCAAAAGTCAATAATAAAGACTTAATGAGAAACGTGGAAGAAAAAGCACAGAACTACTTTTTTTCTCATGTGATTAGGTTTAAGAAAACACCTTCTTATTTCATTAATATGCAAATTATGAAGGAAAGTGCATTGAATGGTAAAAAGTAACTGGAATCAAAATGATTATGGCTATTTAAGATTGAGTAACACCTTAGAAATTTCATCAACACAAATATAAACAGAAAACTTTAACAATGGACATTGATGAAATCCAGTTAACTGGAAACTGTAAGTGAATTGAATCTGTAAGTAAAGTAATATATACTTCAGGAATTCAAAATCAGGAAAAGTATGTTAAGATGGCTATTTATAGATTGAGTATATTTGGTGTTTGGTTCTGACAGTACTCGTCCTTAGAAATTTCACTCAACACAAATATAAACAGAAAACTTTAACAATGGACATTGATGAAATCCAGTTAACTGGAAACTGTAGGTGAACTTCAGAATCTGAAATATGAGTACCACAGGTATACTTCAGGTTTGATCATGACAGCACTCAGAGAAAAAAATATCTAAACCCCATGCTAAACACTCAACTTGACTGCTGGTTTGATAAATGAAGTAAATGATCAACAAGTATATGGTAAAATCAAAATAGAAACCTTGTTCTAAGATGTTCTTGCATACAGATATCATAAAACAGTTTTGGTGTTGATAACACTTGTATTCACCTGACAATTTAGAGTTTCAGACAAATGATGCTGCCAGAAAAGTGAGAACAAAGAATTAACCATGCATAACATAATTAGGGGACAAACAAATACTTACACACAAAACCTCACCCAATAAGTCTAGGGGACCAACAAATACTTACACACAAAACCTCACTCAATAAGTCTAGGGGACCAACAAATACTTACACACAAAACCTCACCCAATAAGTTAGGGAACCAACAAATACAATATTTACACACAAAACCTAACTGAATAAGTCTAGGGGACAAACAAATACTTACACACAAAACCTAACTGAATAAGTCTAGGGGACAAACAAATACTTACACACAAAACCTCACCCAATAAGTCTAGGGGTCCAACAAATACTTACACACAAAACCTAACTGAATAAGTCTAGGGGTCCAACAAATACTTACACACAAAACCTCACCCAATAAGTCTAGGGGACCAACAAATACTTACACACAAAACCTCACTCAATAAGTCTAGGGGACCAACAAATACTTACACACAAAACCTCACCCAATAAGTCTAGGGGACCAACAAATACTTACACACAAAACCTCACCCAATAAGTCTAGGGGACCAACAAATACTTACACACAAAACCTCATGCAATAAGTCTAGGGGACCAACAAATACTTACACACAAAACCTCACCCAATAAGTCTAGGGGACCAACAAATACTTACACACAAAACCTCACCCAATAAGTCTAGGGGACCAACAAATACTTACACACAAAACCTAACTGAATAAGTCTAGGGGACAAACAAATACTTACACACAAAACCTAACTGAATAAGTCTAGGGGACAAACAAATACTTACACACAAAACCTAACTGAATAAGTCTAGGGGACCAATAAATTCTAACACACAAAACCTCACTGAATAAGTCTAGGGGACCTACAAATACTTACACACAAAACCTCATGCAATAAGTCTAGGGGACCAACAAATACTTACACACAAAACCTCACTGAATAAGTCTAGGGGACAAACAAATACTTACACACAAAACCTCACCCAATAAGTCTAGGGGACCAACAAATACTTACACACAAAACCTCATGCAATAAGTCTAGGGGACCAACAAATACTTACACACAAAACCTCACCCAATAAGTCTAGGGGACCAACAAATACTTACACACAAAACCTCATGCAATAAGTCTAGGGGACCAACAAATACTTACACACAAAACCTCATGCAATAAGTCTAGGGGACCAACAAATACTTACACACAAAACCTCATGCAATAAGTCTAGGGGACCAACAAATACTTACACACAAAACCTAACTGAATAAGTCTAGGGGACAAACAAATACTTACACACAAAACCTCACCCAATAAGTCTAGGGGACCAACAAATACTTACACACAAAACCTCACTGAATAAGTCTAGGGAACCAACAATTACTTACACACAAAACCTCACCCAATAAATCTAGGGGACCAAAAATTACTTACACTCAAAACCTAACGCAATAAATCTAGGGAACCAACAATTACTTCCACACAAAACCTCACTGAATAAGTCTAGGGGTCCAAAAATTACTTACACACAAAACCTCACTCAATAACTCTAGGGAACCAACAATTACTTACACACAAAACCTCACCCAATAAATCTAGGGGACCAACAAATACTTCCACACAAAACCTCACTCAATAAGTCTAGGGGACCAAAAATTACTTACACACAAAACATCAATGAATAAGTCTAGGGGACCAACAATTACAATCACATACAACCTCACTGAATATGCCTAGGGAACCAACAATTACTATAACGAATACCTCACTCAATAACCCAAGGGGACCAACAATTACTGTAACAAACACCTTACTCAATAAGCCAAGGGGACCAACAATTACTATAACCAACACCTTACTCAATAAGCCAAGGAGACCAACAATTACTATAACAAACACCTTACTCAATAAGCCAAGGGGACCAACAATTACTATAACCAACACCTTACTCAATAAGCCAAGAAGACCAACAATTACTATAAAAAAACACCTCATTCAATAAGCCAAGGGGACCAACAATTACTGTGACAAACACCTTACTCAATAAGCCTAAGGAACCAACAATTACTATTACCAACACCTTACTCAATAAGCCAAGGGGACCAACAATTACTATTACCAACACCTTACTCAATAAGCCAAGGGGACCAACAATTACTATAACAAACAGCTTACTCAATAAGCCTAGGGAACCAACAATTACTATTACCAACACCTTACTCTATAAGCTTAGGGAACCAACAATTACTATTACCATTACCTTACTCAATAAGCCTAGGGAACCAACAATTACTATTACCAACACCTTACTCTATAAGCCTAGGGAACCAACAATTACTATTACCAACACCTTACTCAATAAGCCTAGGGAACCAACAATTACTATTACCAACACCTTACTCTATAAGCCTAGGGAACCAACAATTACTATTACCAACACCTTACTCAATAAGCCTAGGGAACCAACAATTACTATTACCAACACCTTACTCTATAAGCCTAGGGAACCAACAATTACTATTACCAACACCTTACTCTATAAGCCTAGGGGACCAACAATCATACAACCTCACAAAGTATGCCCAGGGGACCAACAGTCATACAATCTAGCTCAATAAGCCCAGGGTACCAATAGTCATACAACCTCACTCAGTAAAGCCAGGGGACCAATAGTCATACAACCTAGCTCAATAAGCCAAGGGGACCAATAGTCATACAACCTAGTTCAATAAGCCCAGGGTACCAACAGTCATACAACCTCAATCAGTAAAGCCAGGGGACCAATAGTCCTACAACCTAGCTCAATAAGCCCAGGGTACCAACAGTCATACAACGTCACATAATAAGCCCAGGGGGCCAACAATCATACAACCTCACTCAGTAAAGCCAGGGGACCAATAGTCCAACAACCTAGCTCAATAAACCCAGGGTACCAACAGTCATACAACATCACATAATAAGCCCAGGGGACCAACAATCCTACAACCTCACTCAGTAAGCCCAGGGTACCAACAAACGCCTAGGGGACCGACAAATACTAACACTTAAAACTCTCTCAATTAGCCAAGGGGACCAAATCATACAACCTCACTCAATAATCCCTGGGGACCAACGACTACTATCACATACAACCTCACATTACAAGTCGAGGGGGCCAATGTAAACCCTCACTCAAAGAAATTCAGTGATTATCTTCAAAGTATTTAACTGAAACTGTAATTGATGTGGGTGGGCTTATTACCAGACATGGGCTTATGATTGGTTAGATATGGTAAGAATGTTTACACTTACCTTCTCCTTCATCTTGGTTTTCTTTCTTCATCCCGGCCAAACTTTTCTGTTTGTGCTCCTCTTTAGCAGCTTCCTTTTTTCTCACATTGTCGTTTTGTATCTTTTTTCTTAATTCTTTTAAATTCCTATAAAATTGTAGAAAAAAACCCAAACAGATTAAAAAACAGATTCAATTCCATGAATATTGTTAAAGATTAAAGTATGGTTCCCATTTTGATGCAAAAGAGATTAATATTTTGTCAGGAATGGACCGTTCCTTCACACTTTAATAGCATCCATGAGATAACAACAAATTGAGTTCCTTCAGATTTACAACATTTACAGTAAGGTGGATGTACATTTTTAGAAGCAGATGTACACATAAGGTTACATAGGATATATGCAGAACTGCCCAGCCAAAGGCATTAGTCTGCCAATCTCTATTTTGTTCAAAAGCTTGACCATATAAGATCTTAATAAATATCTCTAACCAACATATAATTTTTCAAAACAAGAAAATACCCTAATTCATGTCAACACAATTCCCAGAGAAAAAATTATCGCCCCCATCAAGGACCATTTTGTAGTGGCTGGTGCCTATCTCAATGGATGATATACAGGGGGTCTGTCACATGCCATTCAAAACAATTGAAGTAAAGTGTCTGACCAAAAACACAACCATCACTGTACAGACCAGTCTGTTTCTTAGCTTCCTGGGAAACACAAACAGCCAAGGGTAGGGAGCATGAAACCACACACTTTAGATCGTCACTCAAAGTTGCGTCGACCAATGCCCTACTAACTTAGATATCATGGCCCCCTTTGGACAAGAGTAAAATGTTATACCTTTTACTGTCTCTCATTTTCTTCTGTTTCTGTAGTTCCTCATCTGTTTTCTTGATAAAGTCGTGGTACATGATGTTGCCATCACACAGACCATCTTCTATCTTCACTAGTTGTAAGGTCAACCTCGGGCCAAGCTCTGTCATCCTGATGTAAATGTTACATGTTATTTACTTCTTATCATCAGAATCCACACAAAAATAGTACCATTGCAATACAAAACTAAAATTTATAAGAAAATATCACTTCGGAATAAAAGAATTAACTTTTCTCAATGCTTATTACACAGATTCCACTTGCATGTTTCCTTCATGTTTTTAAATAGCAAGAATTTTCTGAACATTATTATTTTTTGTCATGAAAATATGAAAGATACAATTTTCTAATTAGTATTCAGTAAGCAAAACATATATATCTGGTTGCAGGCCTAGTTGAGATTTTTATGAAGCAGACATACCTGATTGCACTTTTTGTAGCTTTAATGTTGCCTCGGCTACTGATTCTCTGAGGCAAAACCACCTCATTATCTGGCCCATCCAGTTCTGCTTCACTCTCCGACAAGTTACCTCCCCTGAAAGCAGATACACCATGTTAAGGAGAGGAAAATGTCTTTTATCAATCTGAGACAAGTTATCTCCCCTGAAAGTAGACTGTCCATGTCAGAGAGAGGAAAATGTCTTGTATCACTCTGCAACAAGTTAACATCATTGAAAGCATACTAAACATGTTAGAGAAAAGTTCAATTCCCTTTAACAACCATATAACTGTCATGGTTTAATTCTCCATTTCTGTATCAAAGAAAATCTTTTTATTTCTCGACCATTGAACACTTCTGCTAAATAAATCTATTGAATATTCTGTACACTAGATGGAAAACTAAGATATATTGTATCTTCCATTTCCCTTCTGGTTTTAAAGGCAACTAGAATAGCAATGCTAGAGCTAAATTCTAGCTGTTATTGAATAATCAGAGAATGTTTCTTTTTTTGTGTTCTAAAATCAAAACCACACATCAACTACCACTCAATTATCTTAATGAACTAACCTAAGGATGCAATTTTTTATTACCATTGCATTCTTAATGCCTAAAAATTATTGAGTTTAGTATTGACACTTTTGTTACTCACTGTTTGATGTATTCACTGATGTCCTCAAACTTGCTCATGTCAGGAACTGTTGTCTTGATCAACTTCTTCACTCCTCTGGTCATACCCACTGGGACAACTTTTATATTACTGCACAATTAACAAAAACCATAAGACCTTTCTTGAAAAACAATTGACAATGGAGAAAAATACCTGAACATCTAACATGTAACTTTTGGTTACCACTAATACTTCAGAAGATTTATTTAGACTGTCAAAATAATGCTAACATTTTTAATATTGAATATATCCCAATCATTGTTCAGAAAATTAAAGAGAAAAAATGACCATAAAAACCAGTGACATTAACTTAACAAAATACGCAATACCGGTACTTCATCAAAATTTAAAGGAACATGTGTACTACATTTTACATGCTATCATTATCCTACAATGAGCTAATTGACTCTACTTACTCAAAGTCACAGGCTGTGCTTTAATACTACAGAAATAAAACAAAAAATAGAATTGGTTCATAGTTTAACTGAACAGCAATGGATGGACTTATAATCAGACAATCTCCAAACTGCAGCTTTGTTTCCATAAACAAGATCACTGCCAGTGAAGAATAAATTAAAACAAAATTCTGGGGTAACAAAACAGATTCTGGAGGAGCTTGATGCTTACTAGTGTCTGAATTCTATAAGTTTCGTCTCTGGGTCATAACTCAGCAGCACACATCTCCTTATGTTATTCAAGTCCACCTGAAATTTGGAATAAAATCAAAACCTGACTTCAGGGTTAATTTTTCATAGATATCCTGTAAATATTAAAATGATAGCCATGAAAAAATGTGAAAAGAAAAATGTTTGGAGTACTATATAAAACTCTACTAGATTGTCGTTCTTTCTAAATGTTTAACAAGTAGTGAAACAAATACCCATACTGTCTCTCCAACAAATTATTTACAGCAATGAATATCTTAAAGTTCAAACATCTACTTCTGTACTCCAACAGAAATGTAGTACACTATAGGACCAAAACCTTCATACATATACATCAAGATTTTTGCTGAGAACTTTATAAATTGTATCCTTTTCAATTGAAATGGGATCCTAATGTATATTTTGAGTGGAATTACGGAAAACAAATAGCAGTTTTATAAATTTCTCTACGTCACAGACAGCTTTAATGGTAGGCAAAATTTACAATATGCAAGTAGACTCAAGAGTACAACACATGCCACCATGGCCTTATCGATAAAAAGATACGGTACGTTGTACCAGGTGTTAGGGTAAGGGAAGCTGCAACATATTGCCACCAGACAATAACAGTGAAGAAAGTTTCTTGCTAAATTTTCCCAAAGTGTACATCTGTCTCCTAGCGATGTTTCTTCAGTAACACCCCTTACCTTATTGACATTAATAGATGGAAACATATTCTGGAACATTGAAGAGAGTAGTTTGGTGTGCATTTCATCACCGCTGAAATTATTCATCACCAACAAAGGGTGATACTGGAATTGTTTCTGTTCCAAGTTTGGCTTCCGTAAAGAAGAAATGACATCCCTACACAGGCAGTACTTGTGAATCTTGAATGTTATAGTCGGGCCCCTTGGGATTCGCACCACCCGCAAATTGGTTGCTATTTCGGTTTTGCTGAACATCAGGAAATGTGTGACATTTAACACTCCAGCAACATTCACAAAATCTTTCAGGGCATTCTTCTTTCTTGCCTGCAAAATAAAAACAATGTCATCACTGAAAACATTGTATTTTGCTCCTGGCTCACATCTGAATTTTATTAAAGTGAATAAGATTAAGAGGCAATCATATATGTATAAGATAATGTGATATTATACAACACAAAAAAACAGAAGTTACATTAACAGAAGTTACATTACAAGGATCAAATAAGAAGAAAAAACATGTTAAAACATCCTGGTATCAACAGAAAACTGACTAATTTGGAGTAGAGATTGGGATATGAAGCTGGAATACAGATGAACTGACAAACAACAGTACATCATAATAAATAGTAAATTGGATAAAATGAGGCAATTGTGGTAAAATTGTTTAATGCATGAGCAGAAAATATTGATAAACCAAAATAACTTTCAACATATTACAAACAAGTAAAATCACCAGGACACCATCAACTTTATCACATATTTTGTCACTGATGATAAAAATTATCAACATTTTAAGCAACATCATCTCCTGTAGTTTTTACATATTAATTTACCTTGAGATTTCTTGCTGTGAATGGTTCCATCACACGACGTAAGTCCTTGATCAGATGTAAGATATTTTTACCAACATGTCCCCTATTAAACACAAAAGAATGAGGAGCCTTGGCATAGGAATCTTCCTGGTATTGTAACTGCTTCTGTCTCATAGCCTTCTGGCGTTTGCTCTGTAAAACATCAAATCAATCCGATATAAAATACAGCTTTACCATGACAAAATACCAATTATCACAGATGATATGAATAATTGACCAATTAATTATCTTTTTGACTGACCAAACAAAACATAATAAGTCTATAAGGAAAAACACTGAAAACGTACAATTCTCAATGACTATATTACAAGTATATAGAAAAACATTATCTAAGGAAACAAGGATTCAAGAGGATGCATTGGCACTCCCAACTATTTCTAAGGAATGAAAATCCTTTAATGGACACCCACTATAATATCATTCACAGGCGAGTGAGTATATCTCTAGATTGCATTCACCTGTGTTTTCCTTTTCTGACAAAAAGGATTTTATGTTATCTAATATCTATTACAAAATTGAATAATGGTATGGTTTATCAATTTGTATAAAAAAAAATGAGCAGCATATATTCCAAGATTTTTATTTTAACTTCACTTATCACTTATTCTATGAGAAAGGCAATTCTGGTTATTTATATTTAGTACTTATGATTTTACATTTTCTTTCTTTCTTTTTGTTTTTAGTAAATTTCATGCACTGACCTGACCACAGTACTGTAACAGTGACTCCAACATCAAGGGGTATGGCGACAGGGATTGTTTGCTATTTTGAAAGATTTTTAATGTCTAAAGAGTGTTATTGGGTGTTAAGCATAGGGCAGATTTGGAGATGTTTCGAAGAATGATTTCGGAGAATGTTTTGGGGTGTTGGAGTAGTTTGTGGTGTTTTTGGATAAATCGTTCTGCAGCTGTGGTTTTTTTCCCTTTGACATTCCTCCTCGTGACCAGTTTATAATGGACGTCTGATAATGTCACTTGTCGTCCGATGTGAAATATTGTCAGACATCCGATATAAATTAATCCCAAGAAGGAACCCCAAAAGGGATTACAGCTGTGACAGTATTCATTAACTGAATGAAGCCTACTTCTGCTAAAATGTGATGACTATGATATAAAATATTGTAAATAGAGAAAAATATTTATGTCAAGTTTGCACGCAGGAAAAGACTGGGAATGAGCGAACCTGAACCTCATGGCCTTGTTTACATGAATATAGGCTCGTGTCTGAGCAGACTATCGCAAATCTTCTTTTGCTAAATGATCGTCTTTAAAACATTATTGGCCATGTATGTATTAAAACAGGTACTGAAGTATTTCAACACTTAGTTTTACATACCTTTTTCGGTTTACCCATTTTGTCTGAAGACGAGGGTTACGATCTCCAGTCCAGTCTTCGTCTATAACATGTGCTTCCGGTTGTGTACACATGTATTGATGACGTAGAACCCCACGTAAAAGGCAGGACGGAAGTATAAAAAGTGTTAAGACGGAAAGGCCCGAGTTGTTTTCATAGATATCTAATCCTAGATGCCGCGCGGCGGCGCCTGTGACGTGTCTAGCGGTCCGCCGTCTTTGGAAGGTATTGCACAAACTGTCAAATTACTACCTTGTACAAATTGATGTTCTACAGAATGTGTGCCTTATCCGATTTACCTTTGTATGATAGTGCCTATTCATTTTGACTTGTAAACATATATATAGTTCTAAGTAGTAGATGTCATTGTAACAGGCAGTGTTTCAAGTAATGATGAAAGTGGTTTTTAAAGTATTATCATTAAATATTTGAGCAGCTATACTAAGAGATGGTCATTCGCCTGATGTAAGGAGTAGTGTTTTTTAAATTTTGCTGTAACATGCTGTTGTGCACTGACTTGTTTGCAAAGTATTGTGATTTATTACAGTTACCTTTTGTGTTCGACAGTAGTTTCATTTTGGTCACGAAATAAGCAACTAGCCTATAACTTGAACAATACATAGTGATCTTGGGCTTATAAGTGAACATGTAGACAGAAGACGTGATTTGTTGACTGGTTTATAGTACCAGTGCTGCGTATGAAGAGAGTGTATACTTTGTATTTGACTGATACAATATGGGACTTACGATAAAGTAGTTTTCACTTCAAGTAAGGTCACACTATACTTGTTTTCATTATTGTCATAAATGACATGATTGTTGTTGCATCCATTTCAAACAGTTATTGGATTATAGGTTTACCTTCTCTACACATGTATGTGAATGTTCAGTGTGAAGGCAAACAACATGCTGCATTTCATTAGAATCGCCTGTAAGTGAGATCCGATGGTACATTACCTTACATTGTTTTGCTGTCACGGGTCTCTCATTCATAATGCACCAAAATTCAAGAAAGGCATACTTTTATTGTGCACTTCATTTTCTTGTGTAATTTTGCAGATTCACCCTGCTTATTGTTATGTATTAAAATATGAATGAAAATGTCTTAGTTTCATGTTTTTACTCAAACTCACACAGTCACACTGCATGTGACTATATATATTATCAATTAATGCATCTCATTGTCAGAGGCTGTTAGCTGCTGTGTGGTACTTTGCATTCAGTGTTCTGCATGCTGATATAACCTTTAATAGATTGGCAATATGTATTCACACATACTATTCACTCTACAAATTAAGTGCGAAAATCCTGGGGTATATTGTTCATTACCCCTCCCCCAACCCCCCTTGAAATAAGGTCCAGCAAATCATGAAGTTGCATGAATGACACTGATATATAATTAATTGCACTTTGATATGTAAGCCATTAAAAATTTAATTAATTTTTGGGTGAACACCTATCCAGGGACCAGGTCCATAGATCCACATGTTCACTTTTATATAGCCTTTTTCATTGCCACAATCAAGTTATTTATTACTATTTAAAAAAAGGATGAATTTGAATTCTTAATTGTTCTATTTTATTAGGTTTTTTCTTCTTTTTTGAGTGGGGTGGGTTATAATTATCCTGTGCAAAATAAATGAGGAGTATATAGGTATATTTGTTAATAATTTTTACGTTTTAAATATTTCCGTTATTTTTTCTTTAATTTTGATTCCCGATAACTCCACTTTGATATGACTACAACATAGAACTTTTTCTCAGCTTTAAAATGAAGTATTATTTGTGTTGATACGCGGGCTAGTGACCGTGCTACACTTTTTTTAGTGGGATTTCTATCATGAGGCCCACTGTGTAGCTATGGTTTGGCATTAGAGACAATACCTTCCCAAGATGGAGGCGATGTAGACACGCGCCAACAGTCGCAAATAAGCTGTGTGGCATCTAGGTTAGATATCTATGATTGTTTTCGTATTAGATTTCGTGTCATGTCGGAATGGTTCTCAATAGGGCGGGCAAGTCTCGTTAGCTTTCACTTTCGATTCTCAACTTCCAGGTATATCGGCACACGACAGACATACCAGAGACAAACAACATGGTGTATTGTTTAGTGTTCGGGTGTTCCCATCAAACCGGTTGGAAACAGACGTGTAGCCTGTTTAGGTTCCCTGTTAACCTCAAGGAGAGGGAAAAATGGGTCGAACAATGCAGGTAGGTCTGAAATCTAACTGGATATCGTGAGGATTTGGCAAGATTAAAAGCCTTAGGCCATAGTCAATATTTCGGATGGTTTGACAAGTTATAGGCCTAGTGACTTCTAATTTAGTGTATGCTTTTATTATTTTACAATATTGATGAAAGAGATGGGTTCAAATAATATTCGTTAATACAGATATGACAAGATGAAAGACGCCTTTTTGGCTTATGTAAAGTATCTGTAGATTGATATCAGTTGAAGCACAAGGGTTTGTTAGGAATATAAAGATATACGTCAAATAGGCCTACCGATCTATTTCTTTTTGTAAGTCATTCGTAACAAATCCCTCTGGTTGAAAATGAGTTGCAAGAACTTGCTTCCAAATCAATCTGAAATACTGTATAATTTTAAACTTTGTTCTTCTTCTGAAGAGCTATATATACATTTTCAGACGTGTGGACAGGGAGGTAAACATCTACAATGACAGAATATGTAGCTGTCATTTCCTTGATGGAAAGAAAGAGAATGGGCCAACTATTTTTTGTTTTAGTAAAGACGTTGGCTGTTTCCCTAAAATACCCACCCCAACAAAGGTATATATTACTTGTTTAGGTAGAAAAAGAAAACAATTAAGCATTGAAAGAAAATAAATTTTTTTATACAACTATAAAATAAAAAATGATTTGCAAAATGAATGAAGCGCATTCATGATAGGTTTGCAATTTTTTTTTTTTTTTCATAGTTGCATATAAAAAACAAAAATTAGTTCAGCTTTGGTAATTATTTCAAATTTTACTTTATGGCAATTTGATCACCATACTCCATTTTGTATATTTAAAAAATGTTGAATTTTTGCATAATTTTTCATCCAGATAGTTCAAAGCAGAACACACTATTCACGTAGTGAGATCTAGGTTCAAATCCTAGTCTGGATTTTTTTTTGGCAAATTCAACGTTTTGTTTACAAAACATTTAGATTAGTTAATATATATCAAAACCATTGAAAATGCATAAGAGAGGTATAAATACCATATTTATCCTACAATAAGCCCATGCCTGGTGATAAGCCCACCCATGTCTTTTTCATAGATTTCAAATTCAATGTCCTAAATAAACTATATCACTGTAATAAGCCCACTCCCAATTATTGATCCAATATTAAACATTGGCCCCCTTAGCTTAAATACAGTATTTCAAGTTGTCTGTTGCTTACAACTTGTAACCTTTTCGCTGATGGCTTATTCTGTAGCGATATGATAATTATGTAAATATTGCCCCTCATGTTAACTTAAGATTAAACTAAAAAAAAGGAAATGTCACTTTAATTGTTGAATTGGATGGTGAGGTGATGTTCGACAGCGACAAATCTGTTACAAAGGAATTAGCAACAGCAGATCACAGCTACCATATTCCTGACTGGGGATAATGTTGAAGTACAGACCGTAAAAGTGAAATCAGGTATTTATGAATTATGATACTTTCAAGTCAATCTAAACTTTTATTTTAGATAAGTAGCAAAGAATGGAGGTTTTAGTGCCAATTTGTATGTACCAAGAATATTAAGCCAATGATTTTTTTTCAAAGTGCAAGACTTGGAAGAGGAGATTGCTTCCTTAGAAAAAGAAGTAGAGATGCTTAAGCTGAAAAAACCAAAAATGAAAATACAGGACATCATTCATGACACAGATAAGGTTAGCCTTTAAATAATTATTTTATGCTAGATTCCACCATACCTGAGGTGAATTTTTAGTATTTTAAAGCATAATGTTTTGTTACTTTGCAACATGAAAGATATTATTTCGCTTTTGGTTTCCATAATAAGTTAGCACTATAGTATATGCAGCACATGTCTACCATTTGAAATACTTGGATGTTGGCCAAGTGACCTTATGGGATACCAGAGCATCCATCATCTGCCAATTTATCCTATAAATCCCTTCTTCTCTTGAACCACAAAATCAATTTCCACCAAAATTGTTAAGAAGCATCCTTGGCTAAAGGGGATCAAATTTTGTATAAAGGGTCTGGGTCCTTTACAGGAAATTTAGCCAATTCTCTAAAATCTTACTTGTTTGGAAGAATATGGTCCTCCCAAAAGTAGGTCACTGTAACCTTGACTTCGACCTTTGACTTCCATAAAAGTACGTCAGGTGGGGGACTGTAATTCTTGAATTATCTTCTTTGTTTTGGATATTCACAGGCATATTTTGTTCTGATTTGCGGTACTCTTATTATTTATATTGACAGATGTTGCTGTACACTTCACTTCAAGCTGATGTATTTAATGTGTTAGCTGACTTGCTGAGAAGAATGTCACCATTTAACTACTATGCAGGATGGACAGTCAATTGCTTTAGCATAGAAGACCAGCTGTTAATGACTCTCATGAAATTAAGACTCAACTGTAGGGATTTAGATTTAGCAGAGAGATTTAAACACAAGCCGTGCAACTGTTTCAAATTTCATAAATACTTATATTTCTGCTCTACATGAAATTATATATGATGGTGTCTTGAAAGCTGTCGGTATACCTAGTCAGTTAAAATGTAAGGGGTCTATGCCACAGTCTTTTAAAGGTGGGCATACTGTCAAAGCTGTAACATGTGTAGCTCCAAATGTAGCATTGGTATATTGTTCTGATTTGTACCCTGGTTCAACTTCTGATGCAGCCATTGTTGAACATTCCAGGTTACTTGATCAGCTAAAACCAGGGGACATAATACTGGCTGATAAGAGTTTCAATATTTTTGATAAACTACCTGCTGGTATTTCATTAAATGTCCCTCCTTCTGCCAAACAAAGGTCATTTTACCAAAGAGGAGGCAGAACTTTGTTTTAAGATTGAAAGAAGAAGGATCCACGTTGAGCGAGCAAATGAAAGAATAAAGAATTTTGAGATTTTAAGTCACATACCAGCACAATACAGGCATTTATCAACAAAACTTTTTCAAGTCTGCTGCTGTCTTGTCAATGTTCAGACTGAAATTGTCCAGTCTTGAAATGTCAGGTGTAGACCAGTCTGTTTTTCTATTTATAATTTAATATTTCTCGCACATTCTACTATTTTCTCAGCCGTAAATCTTGAGCTCAGCTATTAAAAGGACATGCAAGCTATTATTTCCATACCAGCATTAGTGAAGGGTTATCACTGGGTTAAGGTTTTTACTTGCTGTTCTTAAAGCATTAAGCATAAAAAGAATTCACCTAAAACTGTTTTCTCATGAAATACTGAAGGCATTCAAATCTAACTTCACACACGAGTTTGAGACCATATGGTACTTTATACATGTACCACTGTTAAGACATATACAGTAAGTCATGAAAATCATTTAATAATATCTTGTACTCTCGAAATAATAACTATTTATTGTTTCATAATACTTTCACTGGAACATCTTATCTTACTGAGCATTTATCTGTTGATCTGTAGATGTACATTATGTACATTTATCTGTAGATGTACAATATCATCATCATTATCTGTAGATGTAAAGACTTTGTTCAGATGTTATCTATAGATGTAAAAATATGTTGCAAATAGAGTTGTAGTACAATTTGACATTTTTTAAAATTAAACTGTTTTAATTACAGTGATGGCAAGAACGTGTTGAAATAAAAATCAATCAGAACAGAAATATTTGGTGTCCACAGTTAATCTTTTGTTATCCTTATCACCTGAAAGTCTTTTGTTGTCCAGACAGCAAGGCCACAACACTGAGTCCCTGTCAGGTACAGCTGGCCCTGTATCTGGTGCCAGCAGTCATGTGACTGTTTTAGGACAATCTTTCCATCATCTGACATTTCTGAAACAGTACACATATTGGACTCAAAACTAAATAACAAATATTGGAATTATAAATACACTGATCTGAGTAATCTCCCTTATGTACCACATATGCATGGTCATATACAGGCTAATATACACAGTCTAAGAATCAAATCAATATAAACTTTTGTTAGAAACAGTTGAAAACAGCTGGGAAAGTTTGGAGTACCGGGTAGTCGTCTTTAGAACATCAATTATCTCGGCAAAAGGGAGTTATATATCTGTAACTTGACAGAAATTTAACATGTCAATCTGATACACATCTTTTAAGTGGTTTCAGTCTGAATATTTCCTTGAAATGAACAATTTAGTCTGACTGTCACAGAGCTTTTAAAGAAGTTCTTAGTTACTTCTTACCCAGGAAAAAATCTTTGATAGATTCACACGCCTCTAATATTGTCATTTCTCTGGCTGTGTATGGGCATTTCACCTCAACTATGTCTGGTGATGAAGTTAAGTGGTTTCTACACTGATGATGAATACTCCCATCATTCTTAAACTCTCCTTGTACAAATCCATCAGGTGATGCACCAAGCACCCCAGACTCATGCAGCCATATACCTGTATATAAGAAAAGCATGATCAAATCAGTAATTCAGGTACAATTTTATGCCTAGCAAATATTGTGATTAATAAAAAAAGCATATTTCAAAAAGAAACCTTCTACGTTCTGCCAGTTAAGTTTTAAAGTGTAAGTAAGACTTTTTCATGTGTACTGATCAATACTCCAAAACAGAGGCCAAGGTTGATAACTTTCAATCAAAATATGACAGACTTGATACATTTAATACACCTCCAGAGATGAAATTACATACTTAGAATACAACTGAAATGATACATGTCAAAGGCCAAAATGTTGGTCACAGTGACCTAATTCTGATATGCAACACACTGTCTCAGGAGGAGGGATATAATTCACTCATTGTCGGTGTTGTTGGAGGTGCTGAGTTGGGGTGTTTCATCCAACTACACTTACATCAGTTTTCCTAGTCATTGATATTAGTTTCACAAAGTATTGAAATCTGTAGCGGATATGACACTCTATGAGGATCAATACTCCTCAGGGGAAATTGAGGATATGAAGAAAACCCATGTACAGTTGAACGGACTTTTAAGCATCTGTGTCCTAGTACCCCCTCAGGGCTCTCAAACCCCATTTTGGGACTGGGGCCCGAGGCCCTTAGAATTGGGGGAAATAGCTGTGTTTTCCTTAGAATTGGGAAAACTTGGGGTCTAAATTGGGAAAAAAGATACTATTTTGCATTGGAAATGGGGCTGAATATAGGCCCCAAATCTGGCAGATTGAGAGCCCTGACCCTCCACCAAGAGTGTGAGCGAATTGGGGGTAATTAACTCTTTTTTGTTTAAGATTCCTTAGTTTAAAAATATTTTCTTTCAATATTAAAACAATCAACATGCATGATACGTATGTGATTGAAAGAAAAGCTTGGAGTCTATATCAATTCCTTTGTATTCCTACTTTCGTAGGAATGAAAGAGTTGTGTACAAACTTGACTCAAAGAATAATTATGGATGGACAGGTGGACTATGCTCTAGATTTTTTTTAATCTGGGGTAAAATTCTGCTGTAGCTATATTGACAGATATCAAAATATTTTGACTAACTTTAAGAAGGTTGACCCCGCCCGCCCTATTAGGGAGAATTAAGGTAAACCTACAAAGGTGGTGGACGTATTTGGTGCTTGTTAGTTTGCCTGTTGTTGTATACCTTGTTCTTGTTTGAGAATTTGACACTTACTCTTCCAGAACATCTGGTCTTATTCTCCTTGTACTTTCTAAGATTTTGCAGAGTTTTATTGACTTTGAGGTTTTATTCATATTTTAATTAATAAAATCCAAAATAGTGAAACAAAAGAATATTAATTCATTGTTTTCAATTTAAGAATTATTGTCATACTAAATTTGAGTTTTGTTTTCACTTCCGTGGAGTTTGGATTATGACTATGTATTGGTATATACCTGTTTTTTTCCCTGTAAGCATGAAGGATGTAGGGACCTTTACCCAATTTAAACTGAAGCATCAAAAGGTAGACAGAACTAAAATTTTATAATTAAGAGTCTGACTCCATCCTTCCCCATGGGGACATGACCAGATAAGGTAAGGAAAGATATATCTTTAAAATCCTTGTGTTTGGATAAAGCATTAAAAAAAATCCATGAGCATAAAACACATTCAGCGTCTCTAATCACAACAGTGGCCAATGTCATGTTCGATGATAAGTTTGAGAAAGGAATTGATATCAGATTTAAAATTGTTTCTCCATCCAATACATATCCTGTATGCATGTGTTAAATTGTTATTATTGAATAAAAAATTGTCCAAACTAAGAATAACAAAAATAAATTTGGAACCATCAGGCATACATATCAGCATTAATTGAACACCTCTAACTTCATTTCACATAGGGAGCAAGATCCTGATTATAAGCATAAAACTTTGGGAAATTTTTCATCGATCTGTTTCTCTCAATTTTGAAACCCTTAGTAATGTTATGTTAATTGGTCATGTTAATGTTAATGTTAATTAGGGACCAACATTAAATCAAAAGCAACATGTAAATACCATTGGATGGAAAGCTGACTGATTACTATCAATAAATGGAAAATTCACCATTGGGAAATTGAAATCATTACACATACAATACAGCTTGATGGAAATCTGTTTCTGATGGTTCAATTTTAGGAAATGACCAAGGTAAGCAGCTAATGTAAAAGGAACTATTAAAATTCTGGTGGGTATATACCATAGATATATTCTATAAACTTCTTTATTTCTACAGGTCAAACTTAACATATTTAAGGATTTGTATGCAAAAAAAACACAAACATTTATATTGATCTATTAACATTTTTTACTTCACATTGCTTGCAGCGCAGATATACTGCATAGCACATCTATGAATAATACAGAAATAAAATGTATGAATTTCTGACATCTTGTATACCCAGTAACCATTACATTGTGAATATTGCAATTCACACAGAACATCAAAGTAGAGAGTTTCTGTTTACTTTCCATGTGAATTGGGATTCTCCACTTATTTCACTGTATTACATGTCTTGTAAAATGTTACTTGGTGTAAATTCATAAATTTTCCTTGCACCAATTGACTTAGAGCTTATGGTCTGATTTTCTGGGATTTTAATTATTTTACATGATTCTTAATATGTGTCGTTATCAAACGTGATACAACAATATAAAGAAGTAAACAAAAGTTGATCCAATACCAAACTGTATTTACCTTGAACACATTATTAGGGTATCAGTAGTTATATCTACATTATGAACACTACCCCTACATATACCAAGCAAGGCGCCCATGCTTGATCACATGAATCCATTAGTGGTGGGATGATCGTATTATCTAATTCAACTTCATCTGATGCAATAATTGATTTTAATTTCCGTAATCTATCATTCGTATATTCTTGTGTTTCAGCAAAAACAAAAATTCATATCATGTATAACAGAGATGCCCGTTGCAATTAATATTCATTATTATGCCAAGTTTAGGTGTAGTGAGGTTTTTTTAGCTTAAAATTACGAATTTACCTTAATGAAGAATGCATGAACTTTCAATGAATATTGAACACACAGTCAGCCAATTGTGTAATTGATTAACACTAGAAAGCCTATCTGATTATAACCAATAATCGATTATTGATTTTAACTGATTTCCTATCACTGTCTCTTGCTTTATCAAACATCGGAGTGAAGATCAATAATTGTGGGTACCAAAATCGCTCTGGGATCTCTTGTTTCTTAATCATCATACATAGTTGCCACAAAAATGTGTGGATAGGAAATAAAACATGAAAATAAGGAATGTGCTTCAAGGGCATATTGCTGTATATATAACAGGTGATTTTTGTTACTTTTAACAGAAAACCAAAACTACACAAAGTACAAGTAACTGTCACATTACTATGTGGTATTGGAACATATGATAGGACTAGAAGGAGATAGCATGTAAGTGCTGAAATACTTCAACGCTATTATAATATATATATGAACTGGGTAAATTATACAAAGCTGAGAATCTGTATGGCATATTCTCTGTATCAAACCATATCACAGACTTAAAAATACATATCACATGTTCATCAAATATAATACGAAAACATTTCCATGCAACGGAAAAGGAGAAAGCAGAATTATACAAAAGCACTCGATTTTTTATGAAATACATTATGGCACATCCACCTTTGTCATTCTACAATTACGTCGGGGTGTTCACATGAAGCTCTATAAATCTTTATATTCAGCATGTAACAAACATTTAATAACAATGTAGAAATTATATAAACTTGCACTAGAGTCACAACCAAATTAGCACTGAGTCAGTATAGCTTAATACAATACTCCGTATATCATCATCAATAAACAGTAGTGTACAACACATAATTGTCAGAGGAAAACCAATCAACATTGACAAACTTATGAAAATATTGGAAAGAATTTTACAAAAATAGGAAACTTTAATAGATTTTAATTTTAAACTACTTCTAAGTTTGTATGAAGAATGAAGAATGAATACATTCTCCCCACCCTCGACCAGAGTGAAAACCTCTCGAACTGGCACTGCAAAAAAGTAAAAGTCAAAAAAAAAATGTAAAAGTGAAAGTGAAAAAATGGTATCAAATTAGGTGCTAGTACCTGTTAGGCTTACAAACAGATAAAGGGAGGTAACTGCATATAATGAAGCAATAGACACACTATAATATGGCATTTGCAAGGTTTGACAAGAAAGGCAAAATTCGTCATCTGTTAGTTCCTCACACATTTGATAAGTCTGACATTGTATCAATTTTTCTAAGGGAAGAATTTGGAACAATATTTGATGTTTTACATTATAATCATTTCACCACTGAATTTGAGGAAACTGATATAAGTCTAGCACATTGTTTTGTAATATTCCTGTATCCTGATTAGAATTTTGAAGTCTTCACATCAACATTTCTACCCTATTGAATCCATTTCAAACATATACATATCACTACATGTCATCTGGTAAAAATTACTGTTAAGACTCTTGAACGATCCTTGGATACAAAAGACAGACAAAAGGACGAAGAGATGGACACTGTGCTTCATAAAGTGCCTTTACAGATCTTGATCTTTATAAGCATAAAGTTAGAGAATATGCAATGTAAGATACTAATGAGGAAAGACAATTTTGAAATTATACCCTAGAAGCCTTCTGTAGAACTACCAGCAGCAGCACTATCATAGATTTCGGTATAACATGTAAATTTCATTTCAGACATTCATTAAAACTGAAAATAGAACACAATATTTTTAAGGAAAAGCATATTGAATGATTTGATATAAAATAACACCAATTACATGAAATTAATGGTGATATAGAAAATCATGATATTAACCAGACTGTTACATTAAGTGATACATCCAATCAATTAATGTCAATATTGGAATCACATAACTGGTCTGTTACATCAATGTTATAACTATAATATAACATGTATATATACCATCACAACATTATCAGATAAACCCATCATGATCATCCATAACTCATTACATCCTCGATACACCTGGGTTTACAATCACTTTCACTCTCTATCCCTGGACCATGTCATGGCAAAATTGAAGGTGCCATGTGCAACATCTTGTGGACAAGACAAAAAAGACTGCTTTGATCCTTTGCCGTACATCAAATAAATCTCGAGGTTGTATAACGGTATATTGTAATGGATCTGAAGTTGTAATCTTCAAAACGAATGTATAAGCCTATGATTGGTCCCTTTTTTTCCCTCCTGGACCCAATCAAATTACTTTACTCATGGCATGGAATATCAGGATGAACTCCATAGTGAAAATCTTACTGATAGTGTTTCAGTAAAAATTCCCTAGCCTTACAGGGAATTTTATTTGTTTAAGTTATTGTAAATACTGTGTACATGGGAAAATAGAACCTAACACTGATGTATATTGTAATAATGAATTCACCTTCTGATTCTTGAATACTTTCATATACGCCTACTTAAAAATTTGAGAAAATGGATTATTTAACAGAGAAGACTTATCAATGTGCTCTTTTCCCATTACATCAGCACTGGTTCAATATCTTCCACTTTTGTACCACCAAATTATAAGTTTTAAGTCCCTGATGAAAAAGACATAATAATAATTTCTTTCTGATTGACAATAAATAACAAAGTCTTAATACACTTGGTTAAGGTAGTGATGTGTGACAAACAATATTTAAGAACTTTTTAAAGTTTTAAGTGAAAACACTACACATGACTACAGATGTGTTGGTCATGAGTCTATATCTTTGTATCAACTGCCAGATGGACACTGAATTTTGAGAATCTCTATTGGAATGGTATCTTCATAGTGGAAAATCCTCTTCTTTGGGGAATCAACTATTTCATAGGTGAGTCCTTCATTTGCTGGAGAAAAAAAGTAAAACAAAACATTTATGAATATCAAGTCAAGTTTGCATATTGTTTGAAATTATATTATTTAGATATAGATGACATCTATTATCACAAACTTCTTATATTTTCAAACTGGAATATAAGATGGAAATTACTTTTCTGTGAATTAATGAAATTGAAATCATGAGAGACACAGATATATCACACCACTAAGATACAAGAGTATCAGTGAAACTGACGAATGCTTCCCGAAAAATGACTGTATTGGACACAAAGGGCAATAATACTGTAATTAAGGGACTGCAGACTCTGAATTAAGTAATAAGAACATTCCATAGTTTATACACCATTTTTATGATCCTAATATTAATGCAAGCAAGGCTATGCTCATGACAAAATTTGAACAAAGGGCATTAACTCTCTAATGAGGGGGGTCTTGGGCTCTGAACTTGCAACACTGCGTATTGCTTTCGTATGACTGATGTATACATCACATTTTAATATCCTATTTTCAGTGCAGACAAAGTAATGCTCTGTGACAAAATTTCAACAAAGTTGTGATAAACTCTGCATTTGAACAAGATTTACTGACAGCAAATGCTTATTTAAAATCTTACAATAACCCCCAACCTTTCTTTTTGAGCAAAAATGCTTTTATGGGCACCCTGGGCTTATCAATGTGTGGAAATTACTCTTTACTAATAAAAGCCATAAAAATTATCCTTGTTTCCTAGGGATATATACAATGTACATGATGGACTAAGGAATTTCACCGAATAAATCTAAACATTAAGTTCTTTTTGAACAACACATTATTCTTATAAATTCTACCAAAAACCCTTACCTAATACAATAAGAAAGTGGTCCCGTGTGTCCTCATTTCTGATGGTAGATGCTATGAAAGCTGTTGCTCTTTGACCGTTCTCGATTTCCAAAGACAGCAGTTTCCTCAAGACAGACACTAGAGCAGGCATGATGGATTTATCATACACAACATCTGTAGAAAGACACAATCATTTACATAAGTAATCAAACAGTTAATAAATCAGGATGAAACATTCTCTTTAAAAAATTGAATTATTTTCTTTTTCTCACATTATGTTTTCTTATTAGATATATAAGATTAATTAAAGTATACTTTAACTATGTTTTTTTAAAATTTTGCATTTGATTTAATTACAATACACGATATGCCTTTAATCGTACCGATATTGACACTAACAGAACAGTAGAATATCTTACAATGGCAAATCATGGCTATTCCAGTAAAACATCTACACCACCGATCGATTCCAGGTTCTCATTAGGGGGACCAACCGTTGAATGTAATAGATAATTCACTTAAAAAAGAAAGGCAGTAATCCTGGGGTCAAGTAGATGTTTTACTGGAACGTAGCTCTCAACTACATCACAAGTAATTCTTATTGTCTGGTCTCGAGCTGTATTCATTTCAAGTGTGACACCAATATTAACTTCTTAATAATTAACTATGTTCCCTTAATGACTATTTATAAGACATTCAGTTTACATGTAAATTCATCATTTGCTGCAAATGTATTTATTGTGCTTTTCAGCTCGGTCAAATTATCTGGCAGTAAACCAAAGGTAATGGGTACGATCACAAACAGAAGTAATTACCTGCAGCAAGAATGATGTCAGGAGCTACATCCCAAAGTATCCGATCATCTGAGGTTTCCCAATCATATTTCAAAAGTCGAATTCTCTCATCCGGATTGAAAAAGTACATTCCAGGGAGACAATCATCCATAACCCAATTCTGAGACTCAATATGAAAATCATTCTGATCGGAAAATATGTCCTCACTGTTTTCATCATCATATGAGGATGAGGCAGTTGAAGTGTAGCTAATCTCCATAATATCTGAACACATGCTTACAGAACACAGATTTGAAGGTTCCGCATTTATGCTCAATTGACGGCGGATTGACTTCATCATACGTCCGTCTTTTTTGTCCGTGCACTCTTTGGATGTGGATGGGAATATGTCGCTTGGTGTGAATGTTGGCTGTGACAGATGTGTTTGTTTGGCAAAGTTAGTCTCAATGTTCTTCATGAGAAGGTAGAGCACCTGGTGGTGACAGTCACTAAATGTGTACGACTTCATCTGGCACTTACGACACACAGTTATCCCAGTAAGTCCAAGTCCACTGCCTAACTCCATTACACGTCTACAATGAAACAAAACAAAGCTCATCAAACACTTCACACAAAACAATAAAAGATACACAAACAACAATGCTTTGAAAACTGTGGAATTAACCAGGGGTTATTGACATTGGTTATGTTAATAAAATTTTGATATCATTCACAGTACTCTATATACCAGTAATTTAAGTTTATTAGACTAAAAGATATTTGCTTTCTCCAAGTATTACTATTAGTACTTGCATTTATTACAATGAAGATCTACCCTCTTGCATAATTTCCATTCTCGCACAGTCATTTTTTCCCCCATTTTCATTTCATGTGCCTTACAACTGAGACAAATCTAAAAGATTCCTTTCATTCAAAGTGACTTTTTCTCTTTTCTGAAACACACATAAGCTAACGGGGAGTCTACATACTTACTTGTTTTCCAAGAACTTGGTATTTTCAGAACACCATTCTGCTAAATGTAAGGCTGCCTGTTTAAAAATCAATAAACATGTAATTGATTATCTTTTTATAATGTTACTGATCACAAAATTCATTGAACAAAGTCTTGTTATGACATATTCTCATACTGATAAGTATTTCTTTCACATAATTTTTATAAAACCAATGACTACAGAAAAAATTTCCCTTTTTCACCATTTATTTTACAGGACATGTGCCCTGATCATTTTTGTGTATATCAGTTTTTACCTGCCAAGTACTAAGTCCTGTGGTCCCTTGGGAAATTAGATGAACAGACTCCTGGAGGCTGACAGTATTTCCACATGGCTGTAAAAATGTCACAAAATGAACAAATATTATGTTGTGAATGTTTTATTTGTTTGCTTGAAACAAAAAAAAAATGCCTCTGACATAGAAGCCAAGAAAGCGAATATCGCATTTTTGTTGATTTTTCAAAGGATTATGTTTAACGATTTTATTCCACCTTCAAACCAGAAAAAGATCCCCATAAAAAATATTTTGCTCTGTTATGACATCAGCTGTTTGGTGTCTCAGATAACAGGAAAATGCACCATAATAAAATCTTGATGGACTTGCAGCTATTACTACTGGCATCAAAGGCTTTGTCAAGGATCATCAGAAAATAAGAAATTCTGTCATTATATTGTAAACTAACAACTTTTTAAGGTTTACATTCCTTCAAAAATTATCTTTTACTTTGACACTGTATGTAAATTTATGAGATGGCAACATTGGTTAAGTTTATGGTAGACAACAGATTTGTTTTAAATAACATTTATGCTATTGAATCTGAAGTACAAATAAAAAAAATCCAAATTTAAAGATAACATTCAAACAGAAATTTGACAATGCCAACAGCGCTATTGGTAAAGATATACCTGCATCATGTCTCCCTGAAGGTACCTTTTACCTTAACACATCCACAAAGAAGTAAAACTACCATAGTCTACATACCATATTTATCTTGACATAAGTCCTGGGATTCATTGAAAAATAAAACCTTGAATTTGGAGTTAGGGAGACAAAGGACTGTCATTTCCTGAAGTTGGAGTATAAGTAAAAATTCTTCTAAGTTTACAGAAAAAAATATTGGCAGTGTTATTATCAGACATGGACGCATTGTCCAATACCTAATGTTATTGACACTTCTTACATACCAGTGTGTAGGTTTTGTAACACAGTGTATCATCTTCCTCCTCCTTTTGTTGTAAAAGATCAGAGTAAGTTTCATAGATTTCGTCACAGATATCTGCATCAATGTCCTCAAGCTGAATAGATCACAGACAAAATAAAACATTATCTAGTAAAGATCGCATTCAAGGAAACTGTATACAAACATTAATTAAGTTTTAAGATAGAAATATACAAGCAAAGGTAGCCATCCATTTTTACCTACATCTTTATTCCTTTTCTCTTCCCCATCAATTACTGGCTTTCTTAATGAATACTTATTGAAAACATTTGAGCCAATCTTTGTTCCACATGTCAACATTTAACAATTTCATCTTTTCCTAATTCAAACTGCGGTCCTATTAAATAACAGCAAAACATTTTTTGTCATTTTCTTTGTATGTTTGAACTTAGAAACTATTAAGCATTACTTATAATATGGGTAAATATATAATGAATACATAAGATTTGAAATAGTTTCTTTTTTTCCTTGAATGGCTCTTCCTCATTATATGTCTTCCTATTGAGCCTGTGGAACAAAGGTTCCCTGAACAGTCTCCTGGTTAATTCAGCTATTAAGCAATTTAACAAAGAATTTCAAATATGACAAACAATCTCTGAAATCATTTCCTTATTTGATCCCATCCATGTGGTCAAATATAAAATTGCTTCAAATCAAACAAGGACAATATCCTTATACTGAAGAAGGAATTTTTGAGGAAATGTAATTGGGCCCCAAGTCTCCCACCCCAGAGGGATGTGTTGCACCTTTTATACAGAACTGATTTCCCACCGACTAAGAATACTTGAGACCATATTTTGACAAAATCCAATCATTCCTACAAGAGGAGTAAGACTTTGAAGAATTTACTCTATTTTCCCTATTGGGCCCCGTCCCTCCCGCCCCAAGGGGCTGCAGCCTAACAATTGTACAAGACTGACTCCTCTTCATCCATGAATGCTTCAGACAAAATTTTGCTCCTACAAGAGGAACCAATATTATTAAAATTTGGCTCCCCCTTCTCTCGAGGATGCTTCTGACTAAATTTGGTCATCAGTGAAGTTGTTGATGACAAGTAACGATATTGAGTAACAAGGTAACGGATGTCTGATGACAGACAAACGATGGACACCACACCATGGCATAAGCTGATCAGCCTTTTGGACCAGGTGACCAAAAAATACCCCTCACCCCTCCTTTGGACAGTGTCACCAATCTATCATCCAATCATATCTGGTGATGGCCTTCAAAATCTAGGGTGACAGAGTATTTTAAAGAGCCATCAGGTAAAAAGACTTTCTAATCAATTCTTTTGTCTAATTATCACTTCTGTATGTAATTAGATGATGTTCCATGTTAGGTTTAAACATTATTTTTACTATATTAGGTCTAAAAATGGAATTTAAGTTTTTGAATACACAGGGAAAGAAATATCAGTTGATTCTAGCATTTCTCATGATTTGAGAAGATGATGTTATGGCAAATATCACGTTGAGCTGATGAAATCAGGTAACTTGGCAACAATGTTTTTTTCCAACTGTACCATTACTGTAAAATAAATATGTATTTACCTTATGCAAGATGCTTTTAACAAATGCACGTTGATAGCTGAGAGATGGTGGATACTGTTTACAAATGGCATGTTGAACAGTGGCTTTCAGCACTGCCCTCTGCATATCTGGTGAGATATCTTTATCATCTATTGATTGTTTAGTCTGCAATAAAAAAAAAATTAAAAATGGTTTAATTCAGTTATTCATAAATGTTTAGGACATCTCCATCTCCTTGAATGTTTTGTTTTACATCGGATGCACCTCTTTGCTATTTGTTGTTAAACAGGGGAGTTCACTCAATTCTATATATGACATTATCTGGAATGGATCAAGTCTCTTAATCCTCAGATCTACATATCCATGACTTCTATATATCTGTAAATGGACCGGGTTAGTGTGGCTTGTGCATATAGTGTTAGTCGCCCTGAAGACTGGTCGCGCTTCTATGGCTTATTTGGCAGTGCCATGGATTATCACGCAATAGATCGATGTTCGATTCCTGTCATCACCCTCGACAAGAAAGTTCCTGATTTGTTGCATATTTATCCAATGTCATATCAAATAAAAGTGATGTAAACAGTATATCAGTTGCAATGATTCTAAAAAATAGTCAACTCCATAGATGTCAATCGCAATTTTTCTTTTCAGTTGCCATGACGAATGCAGTCGTATGCTTTTCCATATTGTATGTCTACAACAGGTACGAACTTAAAATTTTAAATTGTATATATATATATATCTCAAACATTGGAGGGTAGGGAAAAACTTTTCTGCATATTCGAACAATTTAATAATATTATTGATAAAAAATACTTAACAAAAACAAGAAATATGGTGTTCATGCATTGTGAATCCCATGGACTATTATTCCTGTGGAGAAAACCTAGGACAATGAGAGTTCTCGTGCCGTGATATGTAAATAAATTGTGTGTGTGTTTCGCTTTGAAATAGAATATTTTCTATTAGTAGACAATTCATTACCTTCCATTTCATTCGTCTAATTGGTACCATTTCGAAAAATTGGGTTTTGATATCTCTTAGAATATTTTCTTCCAAAGACAGAGCTGTGTTCATGGAGGCAGCCATGTTTCTTGTTTCTTTTGTAAGCTTGATTTTCATTGGCTACCATAGGCTACAGTAACTTAAGGTCCAATCACAGCTGACTTAATATATTTCATGTCAAAGAGACGCTTTCGAAGAAGAATTTACAGAGAAAATGTAAGTTCAATCCAACTGAATCAGCTGTAATCATTACTTTGCAATACCATCAATAACTTTTAAATAATAATATAGTTTTATGAGAACGTGATTGATGCCGTATTTGTTTTGCATTGTTCTGAAAATCAGATAAACATCATTTTTACATCCGCTTATGTCCCTTGTAAAATCAATGTTTACATTTTACAAGACGCCGACGTACCACGTTACAATATCAAAATGGTGCTTTTATCCACACGGAGAACGTAGAAATGGATTGTTTGGTATATATGAATGCTATTAATAAAAGTTTGAAAAAGAGAATAATTGAATAGGGGCTGCTGGATTTGCAATGCAACATAACGTACGCACTTCGTTGGCAGTGACATGACAGTTACTTCCCCTTTGTCTATTAGTAAATGATCAACTACTTGTATAGTTTTGAATCAAATTAAGCTCCTAACTTGGTTTCTGATGTTGGCGCCATGCAGATTTTCAATGCTGTAGAGGACACCTGGTCAAAGTTCACTCACCAACTTTTGATATACACTTCCCCTCTGCAAAATGACTTGCAGACTTTTTCCTTCACAAAATATTTAAATGGAATAAGCTTACCACTTGGTCTTGTATAATCTTTCTGTATGTAAACCCTGGTGATAAATGTTAGCTTCAATATTGAATATGCTGCTTGGCTAGAAACTTTCTATTTAGATTGATCAGTAGAGCTTAGATTATTAAGCCACCAGTCCTGGGTTCAAATCCTCGCTGATTATAATATCTATATGTAACCTTGGTAATAAATACTGGCCATAATATACCGCTTGGCTAAAGAGACCTTCTCTTTAGAATGATTGATCAAGGTTGCTGGTTTAAATCCTAGGGAAGGTATTAGAATAAGTTTTGACACTGCTAGATGAGTGTTTTAAGATATTAACTTCACTTACTCTTGCTTGGCATGTACTTATCTTATGTTCAAAATGCCTTCTTTTGAGCACGATGTCCTCAATATACTTAGTGAAGTATATGTACTGTTCATAATTGGAATTGAAAAGTCTAAGGTGGTGTTTTTGCTTGATGACTATATGTTTATGATTGTGACCAAAATTGTGGCGATTTCTTGACCTGTAATGTTATTGGCCAGATTGCACATAGTGCAAATCCGAGTTATAGTATGGTGAATGTTGGGCTGGCAGGTAGGGAAAAGGGGTACCAGTTTTGTAGAATCAACCCCCCTAAGAGTTTTTTGACGTAGAAGCTTGAAACTTTTTAATATGTTTATATATATGTCGAAGATGTGCACCTCCTATTATGGATTCATTCTGGACATTTTTCTGGATTTTCCAGGCTTTGGAACTTAGTCATTTTCCGCACTTTGGCAGGGAAGGTCCCTAGATGTCCATTGTCTATTTTTTTTTAACATCGAATCAAAAATGGCTACAACTTCTTTCTTCAAATTCCCTTCTTCTGTGCCAGTTTATAAAATACAACCAAACTTTTTCTCTCGGCTAATTGTGGCTTTACCCCATTTTTTGTATGTTTTGAAGTATTAACTTAAACTTTCAAGCTATTCTTAACTTTCAAGCTATTACCGGGATTAATTTAAAAATCTGTAAATTTTCAAGGGTAAGAAGTCAAAGTAAAAGCCGGGAGCGAAAGAAAAGCGGACAGGAGAGGGGACGCGAGAAGCACAGAAAGAATTCTTCCTCAAGTAGTGACAGTGACTCAGACAGCAGCAGGTATGTATAACAAATGAAGGATCAGTTTATAATTTAAGTGTGATAATCATCCAAATATTGATTTGCTGGATTCAAAAGGATGAATCACACACCACCGATCATCACTTTGTGATTTTAAGTTGATTGCTTGATCATCTGAGTAACCACATCCCCAAATATCCATATGTAATGGTTGTTGGCCCTCTGACTAAACATGTCATGATAATTTCAGTAAAAAATAGATTTTAAAAGGGAAAGGAACTGACCTAATATGCAGTTTTCTTGGGCAGTTCCTTTAGCATTTATCGATATTGACCAACATGCTGAAGAAACTAATATTTGAATGATTATAATGAAAATAATCATTGGAAGCAAATCAAGAAAAAAATATTTTGATGTGCCAATGCAAGTGTAGTGGTGTGACTGTTCAATGAGTTGTTCAATCCTGAACAGTTATTCAAATAATAATTTAACCAAACAATCGTTAAGAACACATTTACAACCTTAGCATTGTGCCCATATTGTTGAAAGGTTAATTTCGTTTGTGATTGTCATTCTCAATGATAATATTGAATTCGAAACAAGAGTTAAGTGTGACCCTTTGACTTGGTATTTTGACAGTTCATCAGGCTCTAGGAGATCCCATTCATCATCTAGTGACAGCAGCTCCAGTAGTAGTGGCAGTTCGCGCAGCAGCTCTTCACGGTCCGGAAGTTCTAGTTCCAGTCGGTCATCCTCCAGCGACAGTAGTCCACGGAGGACCAGGGTCAAACGGAAAGCATCAGAGTAAGTCACAAAATCTTATGGCCAAGTATCATCACTAGTTAGGCTGAACATAAGGTCTAAAGGTTTCAGCCTATTGTCACTGTCATGGAAGTAGATGTTACTATCTATCTTCGCTTTCTGATTGGTTCAAATTCTATTCAGGGTTTTTTTACAACACTATTGTATCATGAATACCTTACCATCATATCTCCACAACTAGCAAGCAAAAACTACCTGTATGAAAGGATGTAGAGTTCCTGGTAAATAATTTAGTGTCCAAGCTATGTTTTTTTAGGAAAATATTGAAGCCTCAAGTTATTTAGTGTTGTTCTAGTAAAATATCTACCGAACCCACAGATGGTAATATCATAAAAAAATCTCTGCATGGTTGGGTGATATATTTAGTTTTATCATCATGACCTTCATTAAGTACTGATATATCAGTCATGTAATTAAGACAGATTGATCGGTTATGGTGATGGTTTTACCTAATTGTAGTTTTGTCTCTTGAGTTAGTGGTGTTTTATTTTTCCCATAATTTAGATCTCCTAAAAGGAAGAAGAGGAGTCCTTCTCCAGTCAAACCCACCAAAGTACATGTTGGTCGACTGACACGCAATGTCTCAAAAGACCACATCATGGAGATATTCAGTGTGTATGGACAGGTGAAACATATAGAAATGCCTATTGACAGAGTCCATGCAAGTTTCTCCAAGGGATTTGCTTATGTGGAGTATGATAACACTACAGAGGCAGAAAAGGCAATAAAGTATATGAATGGAGGTATGAATCATCAGGGATTTTACTGGGTATATACTGTAAACATACATATGTTAGAAATAGTCTTATTTTTACTTTAGTAATACTTTAGGATTTGAAAGTTGACATAGTCAAAATGCATTCTAAAGTCTTTAAAAGCAGTTTAATTGCAAATTCTGTTCTTAGTGTATATTTCATTGTAATGTTTATTTTACAATTTGAAGTAACACTGTTGTCAAAGAATTTATAGGAATTGTTGGTATAATCTTGGTGGAGCAGCAGGAGATATGTAAGTGAGTCAGTGAATATGTTGTCTTTGTGTTTGTAGGTCAGATAGACGGTCAGGAGATATCAGCTGCTGCAGTGTTGGCACCACGACCTGTGAGGCCTAGAAGATCACCCCCACGCAGACCACCTCCAAGATGGAACAGACAATCACCTCCTCGCTACCGGGATAGGAGAAGGTAGGTCACATTACAAAGTTCATCACTGCATGATTTTCAAGTTAAAGGTCAGATCACAGTAATTTTGTACCAGTTATTTAGCATTGGATTAAAATTTGCTTTCCTTATGTGGCAAACTTGTTATTTGTGAAAATTTTATGAGACATTCTGAATCCCCCCTGTCAAGTGTATGCTCTATCCTACTGCAAAACACTATAGAGTCATCAGATATTTCCCTCATTGACAAGTTAGGCAAAGATTAAGGGATCATAGAAATTAATCACTTAACATACTAAACACGTTCCAATCTAGCAAACCCTGTGTACTGTTCTATATAATATATTATTAAACTGTAGGTCGCCACCACAGCGCCGGAGGTCTCCTCCACGTCGAAGATCACGGTCACCAGTTCGCAGACGTCGTTACAGTAGATCAAGTTCAAGCTCATCACGATGATAACTATTTTGTGTATACACTTTGAATCTATGACTGAGAGACTAAGCAATGGAGAAATGATTGAAAATGTGATGGATGAGAAATCATCATTGAAGTAGCAAGCATTCAATCACATAGATTGAAACCTGTTTCAGTGTGTGAATAATTGAAAATGTGATGTGTATGGTTTCGGTATAAAGCATGACATGCATACACTGAAAGTTTCAAAGAGATGATGGTAGAGTAGTGAATATGTGATAAGTAGGTTGAGTAGTGAATATGTGATAAGTATGGATCACTGTTTATCATTTGGTGTTAAGACTTAATCACAAATACCGGTACACTTGGGTGAATAAGAAGATGTCGGGAAGTTGCCATTTTTATAGCTGTTGTTCTGACACTTGAGATCTGACAGGGTTTCAAAATCAGGAATTAATGAATTAAGGAATGAAATGGACTTGAACACCAATAGTTTTGTATTTTCTACAGCATGTCTCTTAAGACTCTTTACTGAAACTGCAATTTTACATGCAAGTACTAAGGGTGACTTGGAGCAAAATCTCTCAACAAATAAAAGGAGTTATTGCCCTTTGTTCCGTTTCTTGATGGCATGTCTTCTATATTGTTATCAAAACGAACAAATACAATGTATTTTATGTGAGATAGCAGTCTCTTGTACAGATGGTAGGTCTTGCACTAATACTAAAGAGATATATATTTATGGATGACGAAATACTTGTCTCATTGAATTATTCCAGGCATTCCATTTAGATGTCATTCAAATCATCAGCAAAATTCAGAAAACTTGCTCGTTGTCAACAAAATTATTAGAAATGATATCAACTGATTTCAACTTACATGCGCCATTCTTTTATCTTTTGTCATTTTTATCCTGTTTGTCTGGATTTGTGTGGATTTTGTTTTTATGTGAGGGAGGAGGCAATGTTATTGCATTGGTATGATCAGTCAATTTGGTGTGAAAGTACTTCTATTCATTATAATGTAATTGAATTAAATAAATGAATCACAAATTGTGTATTTTTTTGTTTTCTTTGGTAATATTAGGTGAATATGAATTCACAGTACATTGTGAAGTGTGTTAATAGGCAAAGGCCAATGGCTGCCATTCTTGAGTTAATTCTTACAGGGAAAGCTGCCTCCAATTGATTTTTGCAACCTAAAGTGTCTTTCACATACCTGTTCTGAAGCAAATGCAAATAAGATTTGGTGTTTATTCATGCATCCAGGCTTAATACCTTTTCGTTACAGCATACAATGAGCCATATATCACATTCCTTGGCATCTTCGCAGTTAGGATACTTCATGTAACAGCTCTTTCATTTTTGACTGTCAAAAGATTTAGATTATGTGTTGGTGTCCTTGTGACTGATAATATAGTGACCATCTTAGCTGACATATCTTTCTACCTTTTCTCTCTGCTATTTTCACTCTGACACTTTACACAAACACATGACCCCGAGTTGTTAGGTGCTGTATTGATACAACTTCCTGGTGTTTTCACTTGGGCTTCTGGGATTTGATTCTGGCATTCATTTGAACAAGCCTAACTCTTTGTCCTTTACACTGGCCTTTTGGATATCATTCAAGCACATTTGACCTCTGACCTCTATATCACTGAAAGTTAGTAAAGTGTGTTAATTTGAACAAGCATTCAAGAATTGTGACTGACTGACCCCCAGGGGCTTATGGATGGGGCTAAAAGACCATCAAATTTACTCAAATTTCAAAAATCTTCTCAACACCTAGATATGGTAGAATAAAACCTCTTCATGAACGGAAGCATCTTAAGATATCTTTAATTACCAAATTAAGTATCACATTTCTTCCTTGGGAGGATTTTTTTTAGGACTTTATTGTGATATTCATATAAATGTTGCATTTATGAGCAAAATGGAAATAACTAAGAATTATCAGTATAGGATGACGGTTTTGATGGTAAACATATATTGACACTGGCTTACTGTATTCAGAGTCACAATTTCTGTTTCAGGACACTTGATAAATATCTTTTAACCTTTATATTAAATATTGTTTATCTCAGGTGACCGTCAAGGCCCTAGGCCTCTTGTTCCTTTTGTCGGAGGATGCTTATGGCCAATATAACCATAGCATTTCTGGTTATTAAGAAGTTGTCAAAATATTAAACAAGTTTCAAACGATTATTTGAAGATAGTGTCAAATTTGTTTTTTCATAATTGACACTAAAAGGAAGATGTGCTACGGCAAAAGCTCACTTGTATTTGGGCACGTTCACATAACAATAATGCTCAATACTATAACCTTTCTGTGATAGAATGACCTTTGTAATTAGAAATTTAGACTTTTCAGCCCCAAAGATGCTTTAAAGTAATATATAACTTGATATTGCACCACTGCTGTTGAAAAGTATGAAAAATCTCTACAGCATGTTATCAAACCAACATGCTTGTGTATCATTGCAAAATTGCCGAGATCAGCTTTCCTGAAGTGAGTGTCAAAATAAACACAAAATGGCATTCTGACTTTTCTTTGCACATTTCCCTGACCTAACCAGTCTGTACCTTTTACATATACTGTATATGTTTGGACCATAGTTAAGAACCTGCACCCAAATCCCTGTAAGTAGGAACTTTCATGGTGTAAAATATTAAGGATTTTTGATTGGTTACACCACTAATCCTTCCACACCTTATCTCCTACATAAATTGGAAGAACAGAGTGAGTTGGTTGATAAGCGGGGTTCTGTGCATTGAGTGTGGATACCAAAAGGTATGAAGGACAATGAAATAAAATGTCAAAATTAATCCTATTAAGTTTCAATCACAATATCACCAAGCATCGATCATTCAGATATTCATTGGCCATTGTGATAGAAAATTTGGAATAAAGCCTCCACTGGACATATACATCCTGTACAAAGCCTTCACTGGACATATACATCCTGTCCAAAGCCTCCACTGGACATACACATCCGGTACAAAGCCTTCACTGGACATGCACATCCTGTATAAAGCCTTCACTGGACATGCACATCCTGTACAAAGCCTTCACTGGACATGCACATCCTGTACAAAGCCTTCACTGGATGTACACATCCTGTACAAAGCCTCCACTGGACATGCACATCCTGTGCAAAGCCTCCACTGGACATACACATCCTGTACAAAGCCTCCACTGGACATATACATGCAGTATAAAGAAAGAGTCCATCGGTCATATACATCAGGATGAGCTGACCCATAGGTTATGTGATAAGGAAATCAATGTTGAGGTCACTTACAGACACTACCATGTGTATTGAAATAAAGGAAGTGGTAAATCAGTATGGCATGGCATATGATCCTAAGTGATTGGTAATGATGATATATATGTCAAGATATTTAAACCAGCTCTCAATGCTAGTTAATGTTTTGAAAAAATCTTTTACACGTATTTAATAAATAACAAACGCACATAAATGTAATGTCAATATACTACGAATGATGTTATCTCCCCTTCTCTTATGTATGACGTCACAATGTCGTTAAGAAGTCTGAATATGGTCGTTAGGCCTTAAAACGTTGCCGGAATAATTTGCCGTGTTGATTTTATTCTTTTTAAATATATATATATCTGAAGGTTCAAGACTTATAGTCATGATAAGATCTTCATATGATCATTTTGGTGCGAGTTTGATTGGACACATGTGACCTTGAATATTAGTCAAGTTCATTTATTTTCGCAAACTTTGTCTTGCTTCATGCTAGTAACTTACCAGCCAAATATAAAAGAATTTTGGTCAATTGGTTATTGAGAAGATGTTTAAAGTCAAAATTTGATGCCGAATGATGGACATCCTTTGAGCGTGGTGAGCTTAACAAATCAGATAAGTTGTTCAAGTGTTTAAACACAATTAGGCCTTGTAATCATAACTGTTGGCAATATTAAAATTCCTATTAAAGTTTTCACAATCTAAAGTGAAAAGCATTTTAAGCATGTATTTGATAAATAATGTCAGAAATTTGATCTCAAAAGTCCACAGTGGTAGGCCTACAGAAAATGAAAATAAAATACAAACATCTGTTTTCTTCTGTGTGATGATCTATGCAATATCATATTTTTCCATAGCAAATTTCATTTAATTATGTTGTGGAATTCAGGGTTTATCTCAAAATATTGTGTAAAAAAAACTAAGGAAGTATCAACGAAGATAAATCAAACAGTTTATATGATAATTTTTTCTTCCAAACTGAGAAGCATAGTAATACCTGCATGAAATATTTCAAAGCTGTAGTTTGAAACACAACTTCTTATAACGTTTTTGCATCCTCTTTTTTTTAAATCTATTATTCTTATATGCATATACTTATATAATGACAGCATCAACAACTTCATGAACTAATTTCAAAACATAGTTCATATCCTTTCTGCTGAGGTATATGTATGTTGTTGGGTCTTTTTTTGTGGTGTTAACTTCTGCCCAGGCTATAAAAAGCCTAGCTTGCAGCTAATCGAGGTGATGACTATATATGCCAAGCATCCTTTTTAAACAGTGTCTAAAACTTAACTTGGCTGTATTAAGCTGATGTTTGATACCATACTTTCAACTTACTTACATACTTACAACAAAATTCTGTTAAGAGATGAAAGTAATGACATTACAACAAACAGGATTAAGCAAAGTTTTGTTAATTACACTATTGAAAACATATAATTTTGAATAAAGTTTGGGGATTAGGTGTGAATAGATGATGATGAGGCAAAACACTAATAATAATAAACAGCTCTGTTGTTGATCAGTGTATGATGTGATAATGAGGATGAAAGGTTGATGATGAAGTGGTGATGATGATATGATGATTACAATGCTGAATATGTGTTACTGCTGATGATGATATGATAGTGATGATGATGATGATGATGATGATGATGATGATGATGATGACGATATGGTGATGATCATGATAATGAAGTGATGATGATACGATGATCATGATGATAACTATGTGATGATGATGATGATGATGATGATGATGATGACAGCAGTCATTGAGTTTGTATTATTATTGGGGCGTGTGAATGAAACACAGTAGTACATTGCATGTCATGTCAGCAAAGAGGAAAGAGTAGGAAATAATGAGTGCATGTTTTGAGTGAGTGTACATGGGTGTAGTGTGATGTGTGCTAGGGTGTGTATGTGTATGTGAGTCTAGTATATATCGTGTGTTGCATACCTTTGTAAAATCTTGAAAAACAAAATAAAAAAAAAAAAAAGTTTTGTTAATTAGAATTTCATCTTTAATGATATTTGCTAAATTTTAAAAATTCTCAGTGAACTACTGCATAAGATCACTTTGTCATAATTTACCAATTTGTATGGAAATAACTACTTTCACCTTGAGTACATGGGACTACTAGGAATATCTTTGTTTGGATTATATTGTATCAAAATGGGAAATAGATGTTAGTTTTTTCCCACAGTTTCATTCGCTGTCTTTTCATTATGTTTTGAATGAATATAAACCTTGTTGGTCGCAGTTTTTAAAATCATCATAGACTTCATTGCTTTTCCAACAACTGCATTGTCAATCACCCTTGTTGTCCCCAGATTGAAGCACATGAGAGGTCTTACAGTGGAAGAGAAACCGGAGTATCTGGGGTAAGCCTGTAGTCGGGCAGGAGATCCCCATACATTTCCACATTCGCTCAAGGATTCAAACCCCTGACGTCAAGGTGACAGGCCAGTGCATTATAACTGCACCATCTAACAATAATAGTAAGTCCAAATTTACCACATTCAGATACCAGGTTTCTTTTGTAAAAATTGCATTTATTGTACATTCATGTCACAATATATATTAAAGATTTTATGATACACATGATTGATTTTAAGACGAATCTCCATCATTAGATTTCTATATGTACAAAAAAAAAAAACAAAAAAGGAAATTGTGCACATCAAACATTCTATTGAACTTGCTGTCATACTAGTGAAGAGTAGGTAGGTTGATTCCACTAGATAAAATGAAAATTCATAAAATGATATCAATGTTAAGAATGACTGTCTGATCACTGTAACCAGGTTGTTAGAACGTAGGCCCTGGACTAGCCACGGCTGGTGTCTTCTACTGTCACAATGAGTGTCAAATGGATACTGTCCCTGTATAAAATGCATTGTTCATCCTCATAAAATGCCAATGAGGAGACATGTCTGGCTGACATATCAAAATGTATAAATAACATGGAAAATAAACATAAAATCTTCTATAATGGGTGTCATAATCTCTTCAGCACTTTCTTTTTCTCTTTTTTCTTTTTGTCCATAAGTTTTTTGTCACCGGCATGTTTTTTCGCCATTGGTCCTTCTAAGTTACCTTTCAATGGTGAGGTTAAACCTGAATCTGTTGAAGCTCTGTAAATCAAAAACAATAGATTTCAAAATCTGTCAAGAATTTCAGTTTTCAACATTTAAACATTTAATATTAGACTTGATATGGTAGTAGTAATGACAAAGTAGTGCATGAAAACATCATATTTGACTCTTAAAGACAAACAAGATATTGTAATTGTTGATTTGAAAGACAAAGTTGAGCAAGCAAACATCATATTGTGCACTAAGGATGTTTGTATTATCGATCATATGCTTCAGTGTTTCTTCAAAAGGACACATACTTCTGAATTGACAGGATTTGCGATTTATTGGGATACCTACTTTGGAGGTTTTGCATGTATGTCTGTATATAATTTAGCTCTCATTGAATAATCTTCATATTGCTCCAGTAAAAGTTTTCCCGCTTCCTCATTCAAAGCAGATTCTGGGTTAGGGACTATCAAAAGGCATTTAACGGTCTGAAAAGGAAATAAAACATACATTACAAAATGTATGGTATAAACAATATGTTCCATATACATTTACATGTATCACCATAAATCAAATCCATAAATTGTCAATTTAGCTTGATTCGGTAATTAATTTATTCACTTTTAATAACTCGTTTACTGAAAATTTGCAAAATTTAAACCATTACTTTATACACCGTCAGGAAGTTGTAGCATTTTATGCAAATCGATCTGATACCATGTTCACTCTGACTGGACCAGCTAAAACATACCCAGGCAATTTGAAATAATTAACAAAAATAATTGAACCCACACTATCACTATGAGTATCTTAGGCAGTATTGTCTGAAAACGCATCACGATTAAACCATGGTGTTTGTATAGAACGTACGTATGGGCCAAGATGTCGTTCACTTCAGTAAAACTGTCATAACTATGTCATTTTTTATGTATGAAATTGAAAATAACTGTATTAATGTATCATAATCATAGGAATTAAATAGCTTTCCATGTCACTTATAAGTATCGAGTGTGATATACAGTGTACAGTGCCGCCAGCAATTGAGGAAAATTTATTTCCCCATTACTCAATCAATTTTTACACAATAAATTTTACTAATATCAATATCAGACTTAGTAAAAGGGTGTATTATGATCAGATCTATGATGTGGCTTACTATATTTATCATCTAAAAATGTTTGCTGTAGAGTCTCTTACTGCTGATGATTTTCATCTGTTGCAAACTTTTTGATACACTGTGTATAACAGATACCAATGATCCCATAATTCTGAACATTCCACCATTTTGTCCCGCCTCAGAAAATCCTCTACATACCTGACAATGCTAGTTTATGATTAATGCAAATCTCAATCTGAATATTTTTCAAAAACACCAAGACAGTTGATTTTGGTAAGATTTTAGTATAATACTTGATTGTCTCATAGCAACTGTATGTATGCATGACACATTTTTGTGAAAGATGGCAGCATTGTTTATAGTATACTACTGCTGCCAGGGGTCACTGATCAAATGTTGGAATATTTCCACCAATCAGAAAGCTAGGATTGGTAGTAACAGCTAGTTCCAAAGCTTTAGGCTGTGACAATTGGCTAAAACTGTTTTACATTTCGCCTCTTAAAACATGATTTTGAGAAAGAAGAAAAATATTAGAGTCCGAAAATGAAATAAGGAAACAAACATCCTGTCATTTTTTACTAGCCTTTGGTGTTGGAATAGTTGATAAATAATCTGTAAGTGAAAAGTGGCTAATTTCTTTCAAAAATAATTGATTTTCTGAGACATTGAATATATTTGTATAAACTGAGCAATCGTATAATAGCTCATGTAATTATATCTGAAATTTCCCCTGGAAATAAATGAAAAATCATGCCAAGCTGTAGTCCAAAATACAACAACAATCCAAGTAATTATGCATAAATCAATCCTGGACCTTAAATTAATTTCTGATCATTACAAAGACCTGGTAATATGATCATAGTGATGATAAATATAATTTTCAGTGTTATGAAGCAATTTAACTATTTTCTGTTTTGATGAGGCAAAAAGACAACATTTTTCTATAAAAAATGTTTTATATACAGCTTATTACATAAAATTATTAACGAAGTTCCACTATATATGCAGTCAAACTTTGCTAATTTGAACTTGAATACCCCGCTTAAATTGAAGTACTAAGTACATGTAATGAAACCTTAAAAACTCTGATAATTTGACGTTAACATTTATTTTACCTCTTAACCTGAAGTTCTCAATTTGAACTTCTGGAGAAGTGTTAAGACAGACTGTGTCTTAGTACATTCCTATCATAGGACATCTGATGCCTGGTGCTCATCCTTTGAGCTTACTTTTGCAACAAGTGCAACATCATAAAGCTTCATGTAAATTTTGAAGCGAAAATGTGTATCATTATTCTCACCTTTTGGCAATTAGAAATTTTCCATGTGTATCAGTAAATCAATGATCCAAACAGCCTCATTTTTGCTGGTTTCCAAAGGTTCTAATGACTATATTACACAACACCTTATAGACAACATTGAAACTTGTTTAAACTTGAATATCTGGATAAGTTTTTACACAAAGCAGATGACTTGGAGCTAACAAAGTTTAACTGTGTATATATATATATATATATGTAAGTGTAAGTTAATCTAAAACAATATGATATCAGTATAATTACATACTAAACGGAAATTATTTACATTTCATCTATAAATAACACGGCATAAAATTATGTGTTGGGAAATGAGAGAAATGTAATTAAACACAGTGTTAATCGTATATCAATACAAAACGCAAGACAAGTACAGATGTTATTGTCATGTGTGTCTCGTAGAAAGTGGATCAATTAAATTGATTAGTTGAATAAATGACTCCAGAATCTGTGAGTCTGCTTTGCTGCCAACTAGAATATATAAATGCGAATGTATCATCAGTTGGCTACAAATCAGGTAAATTTGAGTTCCACCTCCTTTCCTTCTTCCTGCTGTAGGCTTAGGTGCTTCATTGTTGACATGATGATATATTAAATGTGTTTTAGTTATATTTCCATGTGTAGGTCAATACTGATCGAGTGCATGTGCATGTATCTGTATTGATGAGTTGTAACTGGCACTGGGCATGCATTGCAGTGACTGACATGCTAAAACAATTAACCAGCAGGCATGTTTTTATCAGATTCCGTGATGGTAATTGTCATGTACTGCACATGATTGTAATTGTCATGTACTGCACATTAATGTCATAATCAATATTTCTTCTGTATTTTGACCAAATGTCTAAATTGGGGGAAAAAAGATACTATTTTGCATTGGGAATGGGGGCCGATATTCGGCCCCAAATCTGGCAGATCGAGAGCCCTGGTAAATAACAATACTGATGGTGTATAGGAAGTGATAAACTTGATGTCCACTGCTTAAAACTTTCAGTCAGTAAACTTACGCGGTGTCTTTTTTATGCCTTAATTAATCATATGACTGAATTTTAATTCTAGTTCCCATCTGAAATTTGACCAAATCAAGTTTTTGTTTTTGTTTAGGTCATATATACTTTTCTCACCTGTATTTCAAAATATGTCAAAGACTATATTTACAGAGTCTCCATGTGTTTCTAATGAGCTAATTGATACAACACAAGTCAAATACTATTTTCAATGATTAATTAGCTGGTCAATATTGATATTTTTTTTTATAAGCATCTGAAAAATAAACAAGCCTTTATCATAAGTGTAACCGGTTGCTGGTACAAGACATACTGTATCCTGTTAGCATGTATTACAGTACCTGTAGCCAGTACAGAACAACTAGTCAGTACTATAACCTCCAGGTGTGAACTTTCACACTGGTCGTATAATTACAATTCCCTACACTTGTCTCACCAGTGTTGGTGGTTGAAAAACCACGGTTGAAACATGGGCCATACCTAATCCCCTACACCCTGGTAACACCCTACACTCATTAAGGTGTTAGAGTACCACAACACTTGACACTGTACAAGGAGCATGTGTTTGTTGATGATTGTATGAAGGAGATATCACTTACAAGAAGTATATGTTTGATTCCAAGCTCTGGCTTCCAGTCTTTCTTTAAAGTGTTTACACAAATCTCTCCATTGCTGGCAACATTTGGATGAAATATCCGTGTAACAAAGAAACCTTTAGGTGGTTCATTTGGAAAGTTTTTTCCAAGCACAAGTTTCATTCTAAACAGTCCACCTGCATATGGAGTTCCAGCTAAAATGGAAAAGTATTAAATTATTAACTACTGGTATTAAACTGTAGCTATGTTGTCAGATTAGTGAGCTGTAAGTGTTGTCATGTATATAATATCTTCAAGCAGCAGGAAATAGCTTATAAATATATATGCTGTCATTATGCAATCCATTATCAGTTATAAGACCCCTATAATGTTTTTATCAATGAACAGAAATATTGCAGTTAATATAACTTCAATCTATGGACTTGAAACAATGATTATAAATTATAAACTATTATAAACTGTGGATATCAGTTGATGTGTAGTTTTATCAACCTCAGGAAAAATATCAACCTCTTGTCTTTATTTTTCTTATGTTGATGAAACCATGTATCCACCTCACCATAAGACTATATTTTTTCATGTAATACTGCTAAATATGTATACAGTTGTATGATAAAATCACATGATTTTTTTATCAAGTGATCACAAGTAATATTATATTATGTATACAATATCATGCACTCAAGATAAGGATGTGTTCATTAGTAAATATGTAAATCTACCTGGCCCCTCAATCTGTGCCCGGATGTCTGTAATATCTTCATCACTAGTAAATACTTTTATGCCTTCAGGTGGATCACTACAAAGTTCTCCAAGCTCTCTGGCTACCTGTCTGATGACTTGCGGTGATAAATTCTCCACGTTTGAACACTGGAAAAAAAACAGGTACATGAAAAGTTAGTGCATTTGTACATGAACAACCCAGCAGGATTGAGCTGGACAATCACCAGAAAGCTCTATTGGACATGTCTATCTCAGTTTAGAGGTCCAAGATTTCAATCTTGTTCTTTCACACATTTTGATTAAACGAAATCCCAGAGGAACCTTGGTGTCCACCGTTGTTTGATCTTTGCTCTCTTGAAGTTTTTCTTCTCTCCTCTGCTTTTACTCTTAATGATACAACAATTTGAACATTCCCTTTGCAAAAATAGCAATATATTTGACTGCTAAATCAGTCACCTCAGGCATTTTGTTTTTGTGATCAGCCCAAAAATACAACAGACACAACTAGGGACCAAGGGAAACCTACATATGAAATTACAACAAAGCCTGGGGATAAAAGTGGGAAAGCCTCGGATGAAGGTGCGAGATTTTGTAAAAGTAACTCTACTAAGATATGGAAATCAAATAAATGCAGAAAAAATTATTGTTGCTCATGATTAGCAGATATTAACACACATATTGGTATTAAAAAATTTGTGCTAGTCAGTTATCATGATTATCAGAGAGTATACCGTCATAATTGAACAAAAATGTACATCATTCATTTTGTTTTCTTTAAATAACATATATATGTTCTAAATTGCACTGGTGATCAGTATGCGTATGCATCATGGTGTGACTGGTAATGAAAGGAATGTGTTTATTGTGGTGTAAGTATATGTACCATTAACAATTGAAAGTCATTTAGTCAAGTTTTAACCCATAATATCTAAAGGAATTGACTACCAATATATTACCATTTCAAAATCTGTCTGTGTATTCAAAGTGGCAAGTCCTTGAAAACATGTTACAAGTTCTGAATTTCGTTTCTTTTTTGTTTTTTGGTTTTATTTTCTTCTTGTGAAGTTATATTGGAAGCTGTCCTTTCTGTTCACCATCTTCATTCGGCCTTCGGAACTGGTATTTTATATGCATGAAGCTGTCAAATTTTCTTTTGAAACTACCAACCGTTCCACTTTCGTCAGGTCTAGAAACTTATGAAGGTTTGATGTTTCATGAAAATACCTTCATACATCAATATCTCTCTAAATGATTCAGGAAAATATCACTCCTTAAGTTATAAATATAAATGAGAACAGTTTAGTTTCATAAAATGACGACGGAGTACATACAACTACGTAATCAAATGTTTTTATACTTCCCCATTACTGGGTCAATGGCCTGCATTAACACCATTTGGAATTTTGCACATCTGTTGCAAGACATCTGGTTGTTGTCTTACCAGAAAACACAAAACTGTAAAGGACATTATATAAACCTACAAGAATCGACATGACAGATTGTTTTTGTCATGTGTCGAAAATTATTCAAAACGATCATTGTTTTATGATTGGTATGAATGAAAATAGGAGACGAATTTCAAATAAATGCGATATTTACCATAATAAAACCAACTCATACTTACACTTGACATGTCTCTGCTTGATTTGGCTTAAAATACTAACAAATATCACAGTTAAATTTGAGTGTGAGCCAAAGCTCGGTTAGAAATTTTTTGACTGACCCCAATAATTTCGAATTTTACAAATATTGAGATCGCGGAGCACGAGACTTTGATGAATTTTCTATTCAAGTAGATTTTTGTATTAAAAACTATCTAATATCAAAACAAAGAAAAAATGTAATACAATGAAATAAAAAATCGAAAATTATATAGAAATTAATGTATTCTCGTATACTCGAGAACAATATAAGCTTCAGTGTTCGGTATGGTAAACATAAGAAAGAATCCGTTTGCTTATGATGTTCGTTCGGAATGTTTCAACTCTTTACATTATACCAATGTAAATTATTATAAACAAAATTTTCATCGATCTGTTAGCAGAATGGCGGAAATTAACAACCACTCCAATCAAGAAGAACAGGTTGATGCTGTCTTTTTTGAACATATATTACTATATTTGTGTTTTATATAAATTTACTTGTTTTGTTCAATCGAAAGCGCAGTCAATATCAATGCAATGTTAAAAACGCAAATATTCATGGGTGTGCTCTCTGAGTCACTGTCAGTTTTCTTCGTAGGCCTATATGGACTTTGAATGTTATTGATTTTTTCTGCAGATGCATTTATTCTAGCAAATGTGTTATTTGTTATATAACATTTAAAAGTCACTTAACTTATTTAATACATATATTTAGCACACCGAATACCTACATAATATTAATAATAAATTTATGATGTTCAAAAGTAATAGAACTTGATTGTGGTGATTGGTAGCGACCAGGTCCTTTTGTAGGTTTTATATCTGAATTCAGGCCTGTGTGAAATAGTTTGTTGAAAAGAGAGCAAATATCATGGAAGCAGACTGCCATCATTGATTTCAATAAAAAACAAAGTTGGCGAGGGGGACACATTTCGTATTACACTTGACTTTCACCCTCCGTTCACCTACTATTCCACATCATACAATTGCTCTGCTGACATTTTAAAATTACCTGGTCCAAAGGAACGATGAGCCTATACCATGGCATGGTGTCCGTCTATCAACTTTTTCTGAAAATCACAACTAGTCGGATTTTGACCAAAGAGGTTTGGCATGTATAAAATTTAACTGCCTGATTTGACTTAAATGTGACCAACAATAAAATGAAAAAATGAATTTTCTGATTTGATGAATTTGGATAGGTATTGTCAATGAGCTACTCCAAAATATCAGTTAACAGAAAAAATGTCCTGGATATAGAACATGGGGGTTTCTGAGATTTCAAATGCAATCCTGTCATCCTTAAATCCTGTCATCAAAAAATCCACAAGCGTGTGCTGATACTGAAAAATGGAAAATCAGATTGGACCAAAAGTTTGGTGCTAGTACTTTCAATATTGAATTTACGAATAACACTTCATGGATTTCTTCATCTGACTATAGCACAGATGGTAAGACGTTACACCCATGTTATTCAAATTTTTATGGGGTCACACATTTGACCTTTTCAATTAAGATCACAGCAGTTACTGACTAAAACGTCTTTGGTGATAATGGATGCAGTCGTTGATATGCATGACTTAAAGTCCTACTTGGTAGTGTTGGAGATCATCGTCTCAATGTTCAATGTATCTTCATGATCACGTATTAAGGAGTAATCTGGCCATTGAATTAATGTTTTGTTTTGCCTTTTCTTTCATGTTTCCCAGCTTTAATTGTTATATTGCCAGTGACATGCACAGTAAATGCACCACTTTCTGGATGTACATGTTATATATTTAGAGACAGTGACTCCGAATGCATGTTTACCTGTTATCATCAGCCTTGTCCATTACAGTAAAGCACCATACCTCTTTGACTAAGATCCGCCTCCTCCTGCAGGAATGGTTAGATTTTATCCAATTTTGTTCTGAAACAGTGGGTCTTGGCCCATTAGGGTGGAAGGGGTTGGGCCTCAATGGAGAAGATGGAGCAAATTCTTTAAAATCCTACTCCTCTTGTAGGAATGATTGGATTTTGCCCATAATTTGTCTGAAGCATGTTTGGGTAAAGGGGATCAATTTTGTATATATAATGGGTCTTTGTCCCCCAGGGGCTCTAGAGGGGAAGTGGGTTATTATATCTTTGAAACACTTGAGATCCCCACCCCATAACCATAAATAGCATTGCTAGGCATCAAGAGAGAAACTCCATCATATGGTAAAAATTGACCTTGTGGTGTGCCCCTATTCCTTGGCCTTAGTTTCCTTCTAATATATTGAAACAGTTGAAATCCCCAACCCATAACCATGTACAGAATTGCTTGGAGTTAAACACATTCATCATATAAGAATTGACACTTGGGTGGGGCACACCATTCGGGACTTAATCTCTGGGGCGTATTTTTGAAACAGTTGAGATCCTATCCTGATAACCATATAAAATCTTACTGGGCATCAAATGAAAAGGACAGTCATGATATTAGAATTTACACATTGATCTTGCCCTATCAAAGAGTTTAAGTGATGTAGCTGTAATTTGGAAATATTTGAAGTACCAAACTTATAGGCATTGATAGGCTTTAAAATCCCGATGAACGATACAGGCCCTATTGGCCTCTTGTTTACATTAATTTGGTGTCAATGAACATCAGAACTCTCTAATAAGGCCCTATAAAAAATTGAAGCAAATAAACAACCCATGGTGAGGTTAGCATGTATGAAAAAGTGAAACTCAATTTTAACTTTCGAAAAGTAATATGTTTGTAGGACATATAAGGCAAACTTTTGTATTACGAGTAGTCTTTTAAGGGGTTCAAAAGTGAGATCATGTTTTCCTGGAAAATTGAATGTAGTATATTTATAGGGCCAATACCCAGTAATAAGCCCACTCATCCTTATCAGATGTCCAGAAGAAACAGCAGTAAATACGATTTCTTGTTATATATATCAAGCCCACACCTGAGGTTGAGGTAAGGTGTTTGTTTCAAGGCCTGTTGTAGGATAAAGGTGCCTGCAAGTATGTTTTATAGACTAAGGTGGGTGGGGGATGGAGGGGAGTGCAGTGGTAACACACTTGCTTTTCCCCCTTAGGTGAGTTTCTATTCAGTTTCAGACAAAAAATGTTTTATGGGTTCACCAGCCCTCTCAGTAATAACCTTGGTTTTTCCCAGGTATCCTCGTCTTTTTCTTATAGCAAGATGCCTCATGCGTTTTCATCAGGTCAGCTGAAGCAATTAGTATAGGCTATTTACTTCTGTTTTTTTAATCTCGATTCTTCTTCAGTTATGTTTATAATTTTACGCTATGTAAGATTTGTAATGTTGAGTGTCTGTGATAACATTATTTATTGAAGGCATATCGGTGACAGATTTTGACCTTAATTTTTCAACTTTTGCAGCTGCACAACGAGCTGAATGAAGTCAAACGAAGTCTGGAAGGATGGAGAGAAGTGCTCCTTCCACTAAATGGCCTCCTGAATTGGGAAAAAACTTATCATCCTGCCATTATTATTGGATTAAACACATTCATATTCTTGTAAGTTTAAATTGCAATTGTCTTGTAGAAATTTATATACAAATTGTCATTACACTTCCGTACTTAAAATGTATGATTCCATAAGTAAAATGGTTTACTTCATGATTTTTATTTAGTATAAGGTCACTTGGCCCAAAGGGCCTCTTGTTCTTAAAATCATACTCTTTGCCTGATAGAATGAATTGTGTAGAATCAATAATAAGATCCAATATCTATATTGATATTGGACAATAATTACTCTTATAAAAACTGATTTATATCAATGAAACATCCCTACTGATAAATTTAAAAAAGAACTCCAGATGAATATTTATTTTAAGTCTGTGTTGGGTAATAAGCCCATACGTATAGGGGACGAGGGATTGTTACCTGTTGCTTCTAACAGATACTACTTTGATTGTCCGTTAAGAAAGCCGTCCCCTACCCTTGTGTGAGGGTTCACCATGATATTTTTACTTTCTGGGCTGATTTTATGGTAAATACAATATTTTACAGGTTGATATGGTACTTCGAGCCATCAGTCTTGACCACTTTTGCTCTGCTAGGATTGGCTGTGAGTCTTATTGATTTTCTTGTGCCTATGATAGGTCCAAATATCCTGGCATCAAAATGGTAAGCAATCACAATCCTGACTCCTTTTGTATCTAAAACTCTCTAAGGAATTTCACTATAAAGCAGCATTAATTACCTTAAGCAGTGTTTATTGTTAGATTTCCATGTCGCCTTTGAAATTTAGGGTTAATCTATTAGTTACGGTGTGAAATTGTTAAAAGATACAAAATATGAAATATATTTAAAGGGATATTGTGTAAAATTTAAGATTTTATGGAATGCTTGTGAAGAAAACTGTACAATATAAACTACTTATGTTCTTATGGGAATCTTTAAAAGAACTACCTAGATTGATTTATAAACATTTGCACGGCCATGGTTGCATCATAACTGGTTTGCATGCTTTAAGCCGAACAGAATGAAATATTTTTGTAAATTATAAAATCAACAAAAAATAACCCTAATGAAATAATAAAATTGTAATCCCAGCAGAAAGTTGAGTGAACAACATACACACTTGTGTATTTACCCAATACTCTGCATAACATCTATGATCCAGTGACCTTTCAGTTCCGAATTTTCAGATGCACTATATTCATACAGCTTGGCTGGGAGTATTCCCACAAATTTCACCTGGCTAAACTGACTCAAGAGAGATATTATGATGCTAACAATAGTTTTAAAAGTCATGAGAATGAGTTTGTAAAAAGGTACAGAACACCAAGAAATTTGGAAACTTGGGCAGAATGTCCCTTTAAAGAATGGATAACTATATAGGTGATATCTATCAGAAATCTATCTTGAATGTGTCATGTAAAATAGTATAATCAGCAAGAAGCAATATTTATATTGGTGTGCTACGGTCCCTTTGGTCGGTTGCTACTGTCCCTTTGGTCGGTCGCTACTGTCCCTTTGGTCGCTACGGTCCCTTTGGTCGGTTGCTACTGTCCCTTTGGTCGGTCGCTGCTGTCCAGTAAGACACCTGCAACTGTATATTGAATATTCAAATAACTATGGTCTTTTATGACATCAGGACTGGTCGACAGGAGAATCAGTATGAAGACATTTGCAGGAGAATCATGCATTTTAAGTATCACTTTAGAAATCTGACAGAATCTCTGGTTTCTTTGAAGACAGAAAGACCCAAAACGGTATGTGGTTGTATCTCCTTAAGCCAGCTAGGGGTTAAATAACAAATAAGAGAAGCAACTTTGATGTTTCACATCAGGATACCAGTATCAACTGGCTATTTTCTGTCCTATTCTGTGATACCAGTAACAAGCACATAAGAAATTTCTTCCAAAAAAAAACACAATTTGTATAATGTGAAAATGATTGGTTTTTCCTTGTATGATAATACTGCTATGACTTCAGTTTTATTTTGAGTAAAAACCTTTCAGTTTTGAAATTCAAGAAACATCCTTAGTTCTTTGTCAAATATCCTGCCCCAACCATGAACTTTTAATGCAGTGAGAAATATTAAATAAAATGTTTTATTATTTCAGTATTTCCTTATTGTGATGGGAGCATTAGTATCTATGGCTTGGATGGGAAGTAAAATGGACAACCTCCTCCTGACCTATTTCCTTGGTAATATAAATTTAGATATATAAAACTTTTGATTTATGGAGAGTTTAGTAGGATAATAATAGTTGTGTAACAGAGTCATAATTTATTTCAATGCCTGTGGTAGTATTTGAAACCGAGACCTGGTAAGAAAGGAAGGAAGGAAGAAAGAAAGAAGAAAGAAAGAGAAAGTTTTTATTAAAGGCTGGTTCTTGATTAACTGTTGAAGCAGTTCATCACTTTACTTTTTATGAGACAAACTAGAATTGAAGAATACTGTAAAATCAGAAACTTTGTTTGTCACTTGATTTCGTGGATAAAACTTGATTTCAAAATTTGTTTGTGCTATAATTTGTTTTAATTTTCATCTATTTAATTTTGTGGAGATATGAATTCTTAGATTTAAAGTACCCTAAAATTCAACGAAAAGAAATCCCCTACAAAAATTGTTCATTTTAAAGTACTTTATCTTCACTTACTGTTGAATTCACCCTAAAAGCATGATAACATATATTTCAGCTTTAACATAAATTCAACCATCATTTCATTTTCATCATGTTGAAAAAAAAGAGTGAAATGGGCCAAACTTTCTATGTATACATCTTCTATTTTGTTTGATCATGTTTGTTGATTCTATGAATGTTGTTCGGTTTCTCATATCAAATAAAAATCACAAAGATTAATAAAATTGATTGATTTCATGGAAAAAAATTATTTGATATATGATAACTACATTAGCAAATGTAAGTACAGTAAATTACCTTAAGTTTTGTTTGTTTTTCAGTCACCTTAGTAATGTTGGTACCAGGTATAAGACGCCATGGTATCCTGCAGAAGTACTTCTCTCAAGCCTTTGGTGTGATCACATCGCTCATCAGAGGAAAAACCAAAAAATTCAAGTCCAGTTAGACAGTGAGGGTGGTTATCAACACCTTTCACTTTGTCCCTTCTAACCCACTCAATACATTACCAGCTTAACAGGGGGACTTTCATCTGTGATTTTCCCCCAAGGGGCACTAACCTCTGTATATGCTGCATCTATATATTATAAGAGATTTGGCTTTTTTTTTTAATTTATTGAACTTTTTATTGTGTTTAAATTTACAAATTCAGTCGAACTTTGTTATTTCGAAGTAATCGGGACCATTTGAAACCTTCAAGTTATCTGAGTATTCGATATAAGTGAGATCAAGTGTTCGATGAAAAGTTTGGCAGAGACAGACAGAATACTTCAAATTAAAATGGGTCGTCCAGTTATACAAGTTTGGGATAATGGCATTGGGCTGTAATAGAAAAAGTGCTCTTAGGGTTTTAAGTAGAAACAAGAGGAAATGGCTTTTTTTTTTTTAAACAAAATGTGCCATGAATATTTTTTCCCAAAAAAATCCAACAAAGAGACTCTCTTTTAATGTTACTGTAACTTCAGTTAGGGCGGTTCCAGAATTAGCTATGTGTGAGAGATCAAGGGTACCTTTTAAAAAACTCCAAATACCAAGTGCCCTTATGTTTTTTGGTAGAGAACAAGAGAAAAATTGCTTTTTAAGCAAACTATCTAAGTTGAGTTTCGGCTATTGCAGAGTCACTACACAAGAGAGATTTGAAGGCTGCTTTCAATAGACCCAGCCCCCAATGGGATGATTTATGATAGGCATGTCTTGATGAATTATTAAATGAGGCATATTTTGATAATTTTACCTCTTAAAGAAAAGGGGGTGAATTGGTCACAGATAGGCATATCTTGTTAAATCAATATATAAAGAGGGTGAATTGATCACAGATAGGCATATCTTGTTAAATTTACCTCTTATATAAAGAGGGTGAATTGATTACAGCATATTCCAGGGTCGCCTATGCCTTCAAACTCTCCGTTACAATCAGTTTTGGAATAGTCATTGTTGGTGTGTATGATCATTACATTGAAATATTTTCAGCTTTATGTGAATGGAAAGTCTAATTTCTGCAAGAGCAACAAAGTATTATTGTTAAATTTTGTTGTATGAAGCTTGTGCAGATGTGAATCACAAGGATTTATTTGTTTGTATAATAATAATACTTTATAGCTGTTCAGTGTTCAGGTGATGTTTTCATTGCACAATTATTTACCGGGTATTTGAATAATACTTTGCATTAATGGAAAGTTAGTTTGAAATGAAAATATTCACATTTTGAGCTATTTCTGTCTGTTTCACAATTGATATCAATTTCTCACAATGGAATGATTCTAGACATAAGAAAATTGATCACTTGCAGTCTCCTGTGTTCTGGTTTATTTGACATTAGTAAAGTGACATTGAAAAAAAAAAATTGTTCTGTTGACTTGTTTCTGTACATCAGAAAGTTAACAATGCATGAAAAATTTAGTAAAATTTAGTAGTGGTTTTTTCTGTTTTTATCTTATTATTTAATGGTTTTTAAGTTATAATTATTAAAAGCCAAAAGTCCAACCCTCTACATATGGGATTTGTTTTAATTTTAGGGACCATGTCCAATGTAGTTTTGTTGCTTAATTTTTAGCCTCCATGTCTGTTATTGTTGAAATTTTTGTTTTTATTGTTAAATGTATCATGTTATATGTATTGCACAATATCCATTTTAGTTGAATGAATACCTTGTTTATAAGATAAGCATACAATGTTAACACAAATGTGTTCATGACTTTTTTTAAAACTATCAATGCTGAAAGAGACAGCCAAACAGGTCTAATTTGACAGTTTTTAGCATGTATTTGTCTTCCATATTGATAAGCCTTTTTTGGTCACATGACCAGGGTTCATGACCAGATGACTGTGGTTCATGGTGAGATGAACAGGGTCCAAGGCATGTTGACCAGATGATCATGTTTAAAGGTTTTTGCCACAACCGTGACCAGAATTAATGGCTTAATGTCCAAATATGAGACAGATAAGTGAGGTTCATGAACACATGAATATTATACGTTCATGAACGTTGAAGTTCATGACTAGATGACTGGGGTTCATGGCCAGTTATCTCCCTTTCTCTATACCTCTGTGTCTCTTTACATATATGGCTGTCGTGAATATAATATATACAGTATATTGGTGTTGTGTAATGTAGTAAGAAGTTTGGTGCTGTAGAAAGGTAATTTTAATAAAATTCATTGTGTATCGCTTGTAACAGGTACATACTTAATACAGTTTACATAGACTGAGTGATGAGAAATTGATTTTCTCGCTGCAGTAATTTTCGTAAGTGCCACTTGAAAAAAAAACTCTCCGATTCACCTCCCTGGACATTTTGTCCTTATCATGAAGATTTAAATGCATGTCATATTCATATTTGTAGTGTATTTTCTATTAAATTTTCTTGAAATATAAAATGTAATGTAGTTGGTAGAATTACAGTAAGATTTATGAAGTTTGAACTGTACTCAGTCTGTTCCTTTTATTGAATCCAGGGAAGGCTGGTTTTGTATTTTTATAGTCATGTCTGTATAACTGCAGACAAAAGCTTGATAACTATGACTGCATTTTTGTGTTGATATTTAAGTGTTAGGGTCATTTAGTCATACATCATCCTTCCCACCTATATAGCCCTGTTTCTATCAATACATGCAGAAGCAGTGACTCACCGACTCTAAAGTAAAACAGTTAGTGTTTTGTTCAGGTTTTGTGAAAAAGAAAAGGCATTATATCAAGGTTTTATTGCAGCAATATTGATAATATCCTTAAAAGTTTAAACTTGATTCACAGTGATACAACTTCATAAAGTGACAAACTAACAACCATTCTTGTTATTCATTATCTTAACATAACCTGTGCCAGAGTTGAATTGAATTAAAACCTATCAAGTTGGCATTCATATTGCCCACTTATGCCAGCTGAAATTAGTTAAGGCTCCTTAACTCAATGAAACAGTCCTGAAATAACAGTTAAAGCAAAAATGAATTTCAGAAGAGCATTTTCTTTAGCTTCCGTTATGCTTTCCTTTTAAAAGAATTTTTTAAAATTTCATGAAAGTCATGCTCTAAATAAAATATTCATTAATAAAACAAAATTGCTATGAAATGTTCCATATGGTATCGTGATGGTATAGTTTTATATGTAAATAGTTTAGATAAAATTTATCAAATTACTGTCTCAAGCATAAAAATCAATCATGTTTTTTACTTGTTTTAAGATGCCCACAAAAATAGGATTTGGAAAATGTTGATCAGAATCATGTTTACAGAGGAGCAACGAATGTCTATATCATATTAATTGGATGTAGATAAATAAATTTATACATTTACCAGGTTTTGGAGGCCATATTTAATGGCATAATGCCCAATATTTAAAAAAATGCCACTGTGGAGACAAAACATTATTCTGGCAGATTTGTCAGTTTTGGGGGAATTCAGGAGAAAGTTTTAGAGCAAAGTTAAATTTGATTATGTTTTTTTGTTTTTTTCTTCAGTTTTGAAAATTCATCTTGTCTTTTTAGAACATAACATATTCCTACCAATAAAGATATAATCTGGCACAGAGTTGTCTCCCCTACTATCTTGCAAAATTATGGTAATCCATTTTCAAATGACAACACATTTTTAATGATATGCTAGATATATACATGGCTGACCATTACTTGACAATCACTATTCATAATACTTCGATTTTTATTCGAATTAAGTTTAATTATAGTCAGTAAACCACCAAAGTCCTATCAGAGTGCACTTAAACATACTAAGTACGGTTGATGATTAACATTTATGATATAATGGATTATAAATAATATCCAACCAGATAATGTATACAACAATGCACTAATTATCTTATTTAAATCTTTTGATTTATAACATGAAACAGAATCTCATTTCAGGTGTTTATGGGAAGAATCTTCCATGTTTATCATAAAGATCATGAGGTTATGATAACATAGTCTTTTTTGTTTTGTCTGGTCCAAACGATTTTATCAGAGTTGTCCATTTCAGAAATGAGGACAGATCTAATGATCTTTTTTGGCTTTCTTGTGAGCTGTGATAAGAGCGTAGAAGCTTGTGTTTTTTTAGTTTGCTTGTAACTTTCTCATTGAGTGCCAGGGATAATATTAATGTGTTATATCCATTTGTTATGTTTTTGTGAAGCCCATGTGATCAGGTGTAAGTACATTTGTATGTAAATGATACATCCATCCAAGTTAAAAATTGTCAAAGAAACAAGAGAAAACATTTCAAAAGCCACCAGAGAGTAGACTGTTGATAAAAATTTAGATTTAAAAATGTTGAAACATGGATGGTTTACTGAACCCAAGGACAGATATCTGTAATATTATCAAGAGTTTACACAATATTCATGACTTAATAACTGTCCAATTAGCATCATAAATTATTGCAATTAATTTCGTTTTGGACAGCTCTTCGCTTAATACTTTCTTTACCCATCTTGGATTTTGACCTTGAAAAATTTGTTATTGTTTGTTTAGGTCCCGGTGATGGCAATTGATTTGTAATGTATTCTCATGTAACTTTGATTGACAGTTTTGAACCCATTTTTTCTCTCAAATTCTTTCATCATATCTCACTGTACATGATGCCATCTACAAGTATTACAAAGTATCCGTATGTGTTAGATTATAAAAGCTAAAACAGTGTGTGGATATAGATTGCATGTTTTTGAGATAATAAACAATGGTATAATCTGCTTGTGTTATCTTGTAGTTTTTAGCCTCCTATGATTAGATGGTGAGCTGTTTAACTCATCCTTTGTCTGAAGTCTGATGTTATTCCCTCCTTATGTAATTCTTGTTATCATTATTTCTTGAGAAATACTGGAGGTATCTCCCTTAAATTTGATATGTAGGTTCCCTTGTGCCTTTTTGATTTCAAGACTGAAGAAAAAAAAAAGAAAAACTGATAACAGCCATCTCGAATTTTGACATTGAAAATTAGTTATCATTTGCTCAGGATAAGTGCTGGATTGGTATTTTGCAAATTCCTATATACTTCCATAAAAGGGACAGATTAGGGAAAAAAATGGTTGACAGGTGGCCATCTTGGATTTTGACAATGAAAGTTTGTTATTACTATTTCTTGAGAAATACAGGATGAATCTTTCTCAAATCTTGGACTTTCGTCATGAAAGATTGTTATCCTGAACAAGAGGCCCAACAGCCTTAATGGTCATCTGATTTACAATGTCTGTTGTTTTTCTTGTAACAGGTCATAGAAAGAACCTTGCCAATAAAGTAAGACAACTTGAACTTTTCTGGCCCCGGCCATCAGCCCTTGGGGTCATCCAGGGTCAATATATGGATATCAACAAGCTGTCATCCTATAGTGACAATCTTACCAAAATTTGTTTATTTTCTACTGGAAATAGTTCAAACTTGATTAGAATTGTTTACTATAGTATTAGATTCATAATACACATAAATTGACCCCGGCTAACCCCCCAAGGGCTTATGAGCAGGGTCAAAAATGGGTCAAATTGACTGAAATTTCAAAGATATTCTCAATACACTGATAAAGTAGCAGCGAATACTCTTTCTGGATGAAAGTGTTTGAAGGTGCTTTATCAAAATCGTAAATTTCATGACCCCCAGGGGCTTGCATTCACCTGCTGAGAAGGGGGTAAAGTTTACCATAGAAAAATTTCAAAGATTTCAATACCCAAATACAAAGTTCATGGATGAGTTTATATAGAAAAAATTACAGTTTTTGGGGTGTAATGTATTTTAATTCAAACTTTGTTAGAAGACTTAATATGGGATGACAGTTAAATGCTATGCGCCATTTACATTACGAGTACAATGAAATTCAAATTATCTTACACTTTTTCTAATAAAATTACATCCATGATATGTTACAAGAAACCGCTAAGGCCCAGGAGTCTCTGGTTCAGCTACAGTAAAGTTTACCCCCTCCCAAGGAGGAAATGTGGGACCTTGGGGTCAGGAAACTTTGGTAAAGCACCTTAAGGCCTTTCCATCTATGAAGAGTATGTGGTTATACCTTACTTGGGTATTGAGAGGAGATTTCTAAAGTTTCAATCGATTTGACCCTAATTGGCACCCTCCGGCCCCCCAAAGAGTGGGGACCATACAATTTATAGTTTTGGTGGATCTTTGACCATGGAAAATTTCTGAAAAATTTCATTGAAATAAGTTCAGGGGTTTTCCAAAAGAAGGAAAAAATGTTGGAAGTTTACAATGTATGACGCAAGGTAAAAGAAGATCGCAATAGGTCACCATGAGACGATGAGGCGACCTTAAAATGGATGGATCTTTCTCAGATTATACATGTAGGTTCACTTTGTTCACACCATTTTGATTTTGGGACTGATCAGTAAAACAAAGCAGCCAAAGAAACCCTTTTGGTTTTGACAATTGAAAATATTGAAAAAATATGATAACTGAGGAAGATCTAGAAATATCATGTGAGGATATATTCCTTACCACAATTCAAGATTGCTGCATATTGGCTATTTTTGTCATGTAGGGCTAGAGAACTAATGGAACCTACTGTATCGTTTCAAATTGGAGGAAGATCAATCAATTGCTTCTCAGATATAAAAAACAGGAAATGTGAAAGGATAGATCATTTGAACAACTATCTCATGATTGTGGTCTTTCTAAATTAAAGCTTAAGCTTTACAATGAATAGAAGTTCACATCAGATACAAGTCAGAGCCTCACAGTAAGTGGTAGTAACTTCCGTCTGTAAATCAATGATGAGTAAGTATAACAAGTTTTGTCCAATGTATGTCAGTAAAATTGTGTTCTAGAAAACTTATTGATCACTCGGCAAACCAGCAGCAATATAGTCTACTATCGACGTCATTAAACTGATTTACAGAAACAACAAGAACACATGAAGAATACTTCCATATGTTTATTCAGAGAATAAACATATTATTTACAAGAAATTACCATATTAAACTACTCTTGATTTTTCACTATGTAAGACATTGTTGTCAAAACTCATACATAACAATTTATTTAACATACAATGAAAACCAAAGCACAAAAAATATGTCATTATGACCGTCAGCTGAAGACTGAAATATCAAAATGGGATGAAATAAATAATGCTTATTTAGAGTGTATGAAAGTATTTACAGTGATGCTATCAGTGCTGGAATCAACTCTCCAAGTCGCAGGCATAAATTCATTAATCATCTCGCCACAAGGCAGATTTTACTGGCCGCTAAACAAAGGGTTGAAACCTAGAGCCAAGATTATTTCTTACCAGATGGCGTGTTTCATTAACTTAACAATATATTGCTCATTGCTTGGACTGACTGTATGGTTATGATGGCAAAAAACCAATTGAAAATGTACAATATTTAGGAAAATGTACAATATTTTGGAAAATGTACAATATTTGTACTAAAGAACTTGCCTTAACCTGAAAGAAAATTTTAAAATTTGTTCCTACTTCAAACCTTTGCAGTATACAATATGCTGTAGTAAAGCTGTTTTACATAATTTGCATAATTTACCTATTAAATAATTCAATTAATCTCAACGACATATGTATGGACAAAAATTATTATTTAAATATTTGTCTTTATCCCTGATGAAAATTCAATGTAATTTTCAAAAAATGTTTGAATTCTGATAAAAAAAATCCAACTAACACATATATAAAACGTAATTTTCTGGATTGTCTGCGGGTTGAATAACAATGTTTTATGATATTTGACAATAACATGATTTTATTCGAAAGACGGAGAATTTTGTTTATATAATTTCTAAAAAGTTTTGCAAAACCATTTTCATGTATATGTATAACTTAAAATTTTTAAATATTAATTCAAAGTTCTAAAAACTTGTATATGTGAGATGTTGAAATGACCGGACATTTCACAAATAAGAGACCCAAGTTCATCAATGTGTTACTGCTGTCCTAAGATCTGTTTGATAAATATTCGTTGATACATGCAAAAGAGATCTTTACATATTTAAAAGATCTCAACTGAACTTGTGTCAAATTTCATTCAGCATCAGTTGACAGATGCCTTGTGTATCAGCAACATAAGGAAATATATATATATATCTATATACAAATCAGTTCACATTTTTTCTAAGTTGCAGCCATGAAATAAAAATCACAGCAGTTTAGTTTTAAGACATTGCTTTGTTCTCCTTCCTCAAAAGGTATGGTGGGTAAACTACAAGTATAACTGTTTATAGTTCATAAAATTTTCATTCTGATGATCAAATTTCCAAAATAATTTTGGAGTGAAATAATTTTGATATGTATGATCAATTTCCCTCCAAACTGAGTCTTATTGCAATTAATTCTATAAAAAAATATCAAATCTCACTGTAGAGTAGAACTCAACCTTTTACCATATATTTTTAAAGAGTGTTGTTGCTAGTAAAGAAAATGCAAATATATTGGAGGAAACAAAAACAAATTGCAGTTCTGTTCACTTGAGAATGAATCTTGATTCAATTAACAGGACTGCCATTCTAAGTCAATATAACCATACACCTATATACAGTTGCATTGTCCTTACATGTGTTGTATGACTTTCGTGATACATTAGCATATTTGAGGATAAAAATGACGAGTAATGATAGAAATCCTGAAATCTAAGACAGACATACCTATATAATACATACACAAGAATTAAAGATGTCATCAGCAATTTACCCTGGGCCAAAGACATCGTTAACATGGAAACTTCGACAGAGTATGAGAGTTTGTCTTATCTACATCAGCATCATAAAGATTCAAATAAAATAGCTATCATTTTACATATACATGAACAGTGTAAAGCCTAATGTTTATATAAACAGACTTTTCATTATGTTTAACTTATTCACATGGTTACATACATTTTTCAATATACTATGACAACTATGGCTATTAAATCCACATTTATCAGGCAGACTTTGATGAAACATCAAAATCTAATTCTGCCTAAAAATTTGAGTAAATATATTACATATACGAATAGTAGAACAGACCACGGTCATAGTTTATATAATTTCCTTGTAGAATAGTCACTATGACAACCCCAAGGTCATGGTTTAGCTGCCTCAATAGCCTATATGAATACAACATGTATGATTTACTAGGAATCTAGGGAGTACTTATATCTTAAAACCAAATAAGTTGAAGTCCTGACAGTAAAACCTGCACCTAATTTGAGCTTGCCTTTTGAAAGTGAAACTCCAATCCTAACATCCTAACATCCAAACATCCAAGCTCTCTGTGCTTAGCTTTATAAATGTTCAAGAGAATTCAAAATATCAAAAAAGTCTTTTGATGAACTACTGAAATTCAATGCTCAATACAGATCCATTTACATTCAATAACACCATTTTTAAGGAAAAATTCCTAAATTAATTGTAAATTTATATATATATATACTGAAAACAACTTTTTAAAGAAGAACTTCCTAAAAACTATTTTTGATTAATTATTGAAAAATTTTGAATCTAAGGTGATTTCATCCGTTTTTATCACTTTTTTCCCTACATCTCATACATAACAGTATCCTGATTCAGTTTGATAAAAAGTAAATTGCACAAAAACACAGAGGTATCAGACTCCAATTCCGACTTCTAAAGATGAAAACATAGTCTTCAAACAAAGACATATGTCTATAGAAAACTGAGCCACACAAATGCACCAACATTGAAATCTACACTGTAAGAGAAGCACAGATGTCTTACAACAGTGACAAGGTGGGAGTACAGCATTTTCTTTGTTGAGAATCAAAATTCATTTATTTGCCCTTGTATATGAATGCATCAACAAACTGCCATTGAAAAACCAATCAAGGAAGACTAAATGACAGCTATGAACAAAATTTTGGTTCAAGAAAAAGAAAGAAAATTGTTTCTAAAGCACTTTTCGTGTATTTTTCTCAAGCACAAACACATCTGATGTTAAATATATTTTACACGCATGCCATTTCCAAAAATGATAATAATAAATGATAAAACTGTACAACGATGTATGAAAATACATTTACAAATGTCTACCTATTTACAAGTGAATTATGTGCAAATGAAAAAATACAAGATGTCTGACCAAATTAATTTCTTATCAGATCAATTTCCACTGTACACACAAGTCTCTGCATCTGTTTTGATTCAAAATTAATTAGATGTTATGCTTCTTACGACACAATATTTAACCCACAGTAAAAACAAAAATTTACAGGAAACTATATAAAACTGAAGTATTTTCTTATTTAGGAAGAAAAACGTTGAAACATACTGACAAATCAAGTAAATCAGCATTCATTTTCAATGCAGCATTTTGAACATTCCAGTTGTTTGAATTAAAAATCATAAAATTAGGTATTTAGGGAAACGTCCTTCTTGAAAAATCCTAAAATTCACAAGTACACCCAAAACTTTTGATCATTCCTCTCCTCTTCCCTCCCCCCACCCCCCCCCCCCCCCCCCCCCCCCCCCCCCCCCCCCCCCCCCCCCCCCCCCCCCCCCCCCCCCCCCCCCCCCCCCCCCCCCCCCCCCCCCAACAAATCATAACAAATCCAAAAAAATCAATGTTAACAACCCAAGTTCAAGTTTACAGCTTACATTATATCCCCACTTCTGGTTCACAACACTGAATTATCTGAGTGACTTTGTCAAAGTGTAGTCAGCTGAACAATAATGAAAAATATTAGGTTAATAGAGTATTGCAAACCATTTCCAAAAAAGTTTTTTCCAAAATGATCACATGAAAATCTGTCAGAAAAACCAGATTTCGTAAGGGAATTTTGAAAATTTCACCTACAAACTGTCAAACTTATTATCATACTCGATACTGAGAATGCTAACAGTAATCAAGCTTAACATCAGAAAAAAACATCAACAACTGCTTAATTATTTTTACCTGAAATCAAGCTCTTACATGTGAATAATGAATATGAATAAATATTGAAAACATTCTCAAATCATTAACAGGATGTTTCATGCTTCATGGTACACAAACATTCTGACTTAGTAGTCACTAACAAGGTGATAAACATTGACAAAGGACCCAAAACATACAAGATATATAAATATATGCATCATATCCGCTCCTTCACAGATTTCAGTTTCTGCACAAAAAATGTTTCCAGCACTTCCGCACACTGGTAGAACGGCGTATCCGTTGGGTTGTATAGTCTGCAGTTATCAAATATCTTAGTCACATCTTTAACAAAGTCTTTTAACTTACTGTACTTCTTCTTCTGTAGCCGTCTCTCAACTGTCATCAAATCTACAAACAACAAGTTCCAAAGTCATAAAAGGTATTTGCTGAAAATAAGAAGACTTTGAAGTAGATATGCATACTGCCTTATTCATTAATTTGTCGCAATAAATTTTCAAATACAAAACAAAGATCTAAAACACACGATTTTTTTATTCATCTTAAGACTTTGTAACATTACAAAATAAAATTAAGGAATAAATTCATTATTTTGAAAGATTTATCAAATATAAGGAATTTGGATCAGGGCAAAATTTAATTTTCACAATATGATACGCCATTTAATAAACGGGTTAAAATCAACATAATATACAAATACATTAAATGTACGAGTACAATAATGCCCGTTTCCAATTAAAATCTATATGAAATGACATGCGACTCTCCCTCATCACGACAGGTACTCAAATACTCACACTCTGACAATATGACATACAAAACGATGGACAATATCTCTGTATCTTACTGGGGAAAGAGACACATTCAATGGACATCATTTCTTACCCATTGGATCCTTGATAACATGATAATAGTCTGGGACTTCATTACGATCAACTGCCTCCAGGAATGGCCAAGCCATCTTATGAGACTGCAAAGGAAAATACTTTGGAATGATCGATGGCAGCAAATTAGACACCCTTTACAATGCTTTCAAGAGGATAAAACATTATGTATTTAATTACTGAAATTAATGAAACGTATAAAATTCACATAGAAGTTACCATATCTATAAAATGAATGCTCAAAACATTTTTCAGAAAATTATCATTAAACAATGAAGATATTTACATATATACACTTACCAGATTCAAATATGCAATACTTTCAACTTACCTGAAGACTCTTAACAAGTCTGCGTAATGTGTCATAGTCCCGGTCAAGGAGTTCCTTCTGACTGATTGGATCAGCCTCCTCTTTGCGCATACAATTTGGACATATGTAAGTGTCAATATGGTCTGCCTCACCCTGCGACACGCCAACACACCGCCCATGGAACCAGTCCTGGCATCGGTCACATCCAATGTAGAACCTACGGTAAAGAGTGTGTTCTTCAAAAAGTGTCAAACATCGCACATATAGGCAGTAAGAACAAGCTTGTGAGATAAGGTAATGTAATTAGATATCCAACACCTTGCATGTTTGATGTACCTATTATATTGTAGATACTGTAATGGGTGATATTCAGGCTTAGAGAAGAAAATGAATTCATTATTCAGTTAATTTGTGTTACACAGCTGAGTTATGTGCTGCTTAATGCTCCTTACTTCAGGACCAGCTAGAAACAAATTTCTAGATTCATACCTGACAAAACGTAAAAAGCCTTATCAATTTGACTACTTCCAACATTTGTATCTCACAATAACTTAAAGGCCTTTCTTGATTGGCTTTTCAGACAATCACTTACTGTGCCTCATCGTACGGTGTCCTACACAGACAGTATAGCTCCTCAGTAGCTGTCTCCTTCTGTTTTTTGCACTCCCCACACACGTATGTATCTATAGTCTTGGCTCTTTCTTCTGATATACCCACACAGTCGCCATGGAACCAGTTAGAACACAGGTCACATCCAATATAAAATCTGAGAGAAAAGACTTAAATTTGAGCCACAACAAACTGATTTCAAGTAGATAGGGTCTATTTGAATAAATCAGACCTGAGTAAGGCTACACTTTAGAAATCAATGCATTGTGTCTTACTTATAAGTTTTTAAACACTTGCAGTACAAACAAATTTTGACATTGACCGATGTCCACATCACTGGTACCATAACTTCAGGAATAAAGTTTTACATAACCAATAAGCAGCTGAAAACTGATTGTTTATAGATGTAGACTGATATAAAGGAGAACATTCACCCTTTTACACACTCATATAACACTGTTAATTGTCATAAATGTACCCTATAAATGATGACATACACTTAGCTTTAACTTCAAACTTTAACCCATCTTTCATGTTCACTCTATAGGCAATGAAACATATTCAACTGCAGCAAAAGTTTCCATTGACTCACAGAATATTTAAAACATATGACTGTACTTACTTGGTGGCATCATAAGGTGTTTTACATACACAGTAGAGTTTTTCCTTGGGATTGAATGCTCTACTCCCAGTTGAAATGATTTTCTGTTTCTTGCGTTTAGGTTCGTCCTGTGCTATGGTTTGGTCTGGGTTGAGTATTGGTGCCTTTTGACTTGTCACTGTAACCAACGGACGTACAGGCGAATCTGGCTTTTTCTTCCTTTTCTTCAATTGTTCATTCACCTCAGCCTGAAGATAAAGGGACTGATGAATGCAAAAACAAGCGTGGGGGATGAGGAGGAAATTTTACGTGAACAAAGTCAAACATAAATTTCTACAATGGACTTGTGGAAGATTAAGAAATGGATTATCCATATTGACCCTTCAGTAAGCCAACGCACATATGCAATACATTATTTATCAATTGTATCTCACTGCCTTGCTATATTTAGTATTCTCCCAAAACTTTGTAAATAATTTGTATACTGGTTCGCCGAGATTACTGAAGGATTAATATGGTATAGTCAAAATTGACTTTTCTACAAGAAAAATTACTTAATGCAAGAAATCCTCATCATGAATCAGATTTGTTGAAACAAAGCTTGAATACGATATAGACTTATTGATATACAGAAAATATTAGAAACCTAAATGTTTGTAACAATTATAGCGGACATGATAAATTTCTAAATACATCCACTGGAAACATTACTTCAGCCTTTGCATTATTATGACTTTAACTTACATCGTTAGTGCATAGAGACTTGCGTCTCTTAAATAATAGGCAAAACTACTTTTTTTTTTCTAATTAAACAACATCAAAGAAACATAAAAAATTACAACAACATACAAATTGTAACAGGTTCTAAATGTACAAGGAGTTTATCCTGTAAACATTCTTTCAGCTGTTCAGTGACTTGGGCTAAATCTAATCAGAAGAGAAAAACAAGCTGGGCACCAGTTTCAACAGAAAAGATTAATATCATTTCTAGTCTATAAACACTCCATAACCCAGCATACCACTTGGCATTTACAGTCTGGTTCCATGAGCTACATCAGTGGAGCAAACTAGTTTAATCATAGTGGTTTAGAGGAAGGGAGAAACTGTTACAGACTTGTATGTGATGTTGTAAATCAGTACTACGGGATGAATGCCCCATTTGGACAGTATTTTTGACAGGGTACAGGATTAATGATACAATTAATGATGGGCACTGAGTGAATATCATCTTCTTTCAGTATTAGTAAATGAGTACATGAAGAATGTCATATCTTGTCAGTATCAATAAATGAAAGGGTACTGGATAATGCCATATCCAGTCACCACTAATTGACAGCTTAAAGAGTTAATGCCATATCTTGTCAGTATAAATGACAGGGTACAGGATGAATGCCAGAGCCAGTCATCACTTATGACAGTGAACAAGGTATATGCCATATCAGCACTGCTAATAAGTGCTATACTACTGAGAGACTGAATAGGGCAATACAAAGATAACATGACCATACACAGAGTGATTCATTATCCAGCTAAAAACATTTCACTAGGAAGCTAAACAAATAAATATAAACAACTTGATGCAAAAACTTCCAAGACACACGACCCGATTTCAGCATACACTACTCCATAACCCAAATGATACCCTAATACTAAAGGCAACTGTAACATATGCGATGCATGCCCCAAAAGTCGCTCATTAACTGCAAAGTCATATTATTTTCTGTTCACACTGATAGCCATCTGACAATTGAAGAATAAAGGACTCTACACCGCAATATTTGGTACCTTTTGAACACCTTATGTGAATATTTCAGGGACAGGTAAATCGTTCCCATGAAATTTCAAAAGCAAACCTTCAGTCACTAATTTGATCATGCAGATACTTGGTCTAAAATTCAAGTATTTTTTTGTTAAATGAAACACCAAAACAGAATATACAACAAATAAACAAACATCTATCTCAGGGTTCATGAGAAAGTGCACCATTGCAGTTTTATGGGACAAACTTTGGAATTTGAAAAAAAAAATGTATAAAGCAAATCTATCTGAAGTGTGACATTTGGTGACCCTCTGCACTGTCTGAATGACCCTGGATAGCTAAGCCTCTAAAAAAACATGCAACATTTCCCAAGCCTTTACAACAACTGCTTGGAGAACAACCTGTATCTCTTGCTGTAGGTTTTTCTCCATAATCGACCGCTTCTTAAGAATCTCCTTCTTAAGAGCTTCCTTGTGTTTGAATAAAGTGCCCTGAAGTTTGGCTACCATTAGTCTTTTATGTTTCTCCTCCTCCATCTCTTGCTTCTTCATCCGCCGGCTTTCGTCTCGCTCCTTCTTCTCGATTTTCTCAATAACGTTTCGAAGCACCTGACCACAAATTGTGAGTCTGAAATGACAGTATGGAGAATAGAGAATTAAAATTATGATACCAGTATCAGGAATTTGACAACAATGCACATTTCATAGTTAATTCAAAGTAATACCACAGAGTGCCAATATAAGAGATAAACAGGGAATTAAGTGGGCATGTTTTATTTATCCACATGGATTCCCCACTGCAGTATAAGAACACAAATTACTCCTATACATGGCCTTTAATGTATTTTCAAAACAAAACTCAGCAAAAGCAAATTAAGCAATCAGAATCGGGTTCATTTATAATCTGAGGTCGTTGTATGAGGTTGCATGGCCACCACAATGTCTAAAAGCTGAGTGGGGAGCAGCATGATAGTATATCACACAATACATGTCTACCAGTAGATTTCGCAATATAACCATACCTATTTTGTTCTTCCTTTTCAACTACTGTGGTTTTAAGCTGTCGTGGACGGTTCTGGTCGGGTGTAGCTGTTGGTACTTGTGCTTTACTTATTGCTGAGATTGGTACTTTGGCCCCCTCCACCCCAATTTCAGAGCCTGAAGTAGATATGGTAATTGAATCTGCCAGCTCTGCTAAGGAGCCAGCAGTTTTTGGCTGGGTCATCAGTCGTTGCATAGCCAATAATTTGGCCTGTATCTCTGGTGTCTGGTTCTGCATCAATGCTTGACGAACCACTGTAAAGAACATGAGATTGTTTTTTTTATTAAAAAAAATCAAAAATGTTGACAATCTAACTAAAAATTGAAGTCAAGTGGAGTTGAACAAACCAAAGATGAAGAGTTATGTTACGTTTTTAATACAGATCTACAAATTACCAGACTGGTTAGAAGATCTCTTCTACACACACTTCACACAAAACACACAAAAAATTCACTCATCCCATTTTGGATCTTTTATGCTTTGTTATGTGCAAATGCCTACAATTGACTTCTAAATATAACTTTAAAAGTTGAATTTATTCAATTAGGTAAAATATTTTGAAATGATAGTTACATGTATACCAAAAGCTGTTTCTCCTATCCAAATCTACTGATCAGTGCTTTAAAGAGCAAATGAAACAAAACATGCTGCTGCAATGTACTTACTACATATTTCAAGCATACTCAAATGACTTTCAAGGAAATCACAATGAATCATTATTTTTCTGCCTTCTTTCAGCAGGGCTCTTACACCCCATTTTGGGACTGGGGCCCAGGGCCCTTAGAATTGGGAAAAATAGCAGAGTTTTCCTTAGAATTGGGAAAAATTTGGGGTCTAAATTGGGAAAAAAAGATACTATTTTGCATTGGGAATGGGGCCGATACGGCCCCAAATCTGGCAGATCGAGAGCCCTGTTTCATAACAATAAAGATTGGAATCGTACACATCCTCCTTTTTATGTAAGTAATCTATTGAGACAACTCTTGTTTTTCTTATTCTAACACAGTATTGATTATATTACTTGAATTAAATCATTGATACAGTGTACAAAACTTTACCTTGCTGCACAACTTGTGGTGTGACTGCATACTTTGTTGCAGCAGCTGCTGACACTGTCGTGACTGGAGCAGTTGATACTGTAGTTGGTACCTGAGGTCGAGCCATCAGCAGAGGTTGACCCTGTGGCCTTGGTGTCTGAACAATGAGTTGACCAGGCAGGGCAGCTCTAGTAGCTGTCACAATCTTGGGGAGGCCACTCGATCCCACTTGTGGCATGGAGGTTACTGTGATGGGTGAAGTGATGGTAGAGGATGATACTGGCTTCTGAAGAGTGATGGTTTTGATGGCTGATGCTAATGCTCCAGCAGCTGATGAAGTTGTCATGGTGACTGCCTGAGTTCCAGACAATGTACTGGAACCGGTGACTAGTCCTGGAGCAAGAACTTTGGGTGTAGCCAGGGAAATGGAAGTGGGGCTATTGCCCTTGACTACTGTGGCAACAAGGCCACCTTCTTTGGCTGCAGAAACAAGGCTGATGCCAGGACTTGGTGAGCCTAATGCTGTTGGAAGGTTCTGAGATGGAATGATAATTCTGGCTGGTGTGGTAGCTGTCTGTGTACTCCCACTGGCATTACTTACAATGATGGAGGTCTGAGGACGAATGGCAAGCTGAGTACGTGGTGGTGTCAGGGCAGGGGCGGCCACAGTGGTGGCAGGGGTAACTGTTGGAGTTGGAGTGGCAGAAGCCACTTGTGGAGACTGCGGCATTGACAAAAGCTGAAGACGTCCATCAGGTAATCTGATGATCTGTTGACCTGCAATACAAAGGCAATGATTAAAACATTATTGAAAGAATATACCTGTTATGTATGAAGATATGAATTAATTTCAACATAAATTTCCTCATTTAAATTTCCAGCACAATCACAGATGATATTGGTATAATTGAGAAATTAATCAAAGCATTGCTAACTCTTATTGAATTAGATGTGGGCTGTTGCAAAGCCTGTGATGATTACCAAATTAAAAACTATAATAGATCTGAAAGCGACACATACCTGGCAGGAGTCCTCGCACCTGAAGCTGACCCTGGGGGCCCTGGATAATCTGTAGATTCTGCACCTGGCCTGGCACACCCTGAGCCACAACCTGGGGCCGAAATTGGACTGAAAATAGAAAATGAAAGGGTTAGCATTTTCAAACATGTTTTATGTCTTTGTTTTTTGGAATTTTCAGATATGGGGCATTTCAGATAGGAGTATAAAATCACTAAGGTGGACGCTCTAGATAATCCAATACCTTTTGGTGTCAGTGACTGTGGTGTGGAGGTTGGGGCTGGCACTACCACCCTTGCCGGGGAAGTAACTGCGCTTGTGGTGACCGCTGTTGTAACAAGTCCTGGTTTTGGGGCAAGTGTGATATTAGAGGAACTGGATGACTGCATTTGCTGGACAGCTGACCTTGGGATCTGGAATCGTACCAGTGAACGTCCAGGTGTTCCTTGGCTACCTAATATACAAATAAAATTGAAAACCAATCAAGAGTTATCGGAACTGTATGTGTCACCTGCATAAAGTGTCACAGTCACCCAGAAATTGAACTGGATGTCAAAACTAATGTGTACCCTTCCAACAAGCCATATACCAAATTTCATTTCTATAACTCAAAACATAACCAAAGAAAGTCCAGAAAACAATATTCCCAGAGAATTTTCTAAATTCAAAGGGGCATAACTCTGCCAAGAAGGGTTACAGACAGCCAGGAATCGAACTTCATCTGTACCCTTCCAACAAGAAGCCATATACCAAATTTCATTTCTATAACTCAAAGCATGACCAAAGAAAGTCCAGAAAACAATATTCCCAGAGAATTTTCTAAATTCAAAGGGGCATAACTCTGCCAAGAAGGGTTACAGACAGCCAGGAATTGAACTTCATCTGTACCTTTCCAACAAGAAGCCATATACCAAATTTCATTACAATAACTCTAAGGATAACCCAAAATTGTCCGAAAAACAATATTCCCATAGAATTTTCTAAGTTCAAAGGGGCATTACTTTGCCAGAAAGGGTCACAGACAGCCGGAAATTGAACTTAATCTGTACCCTTTCTTTTTTTTTTTAAAGAATACAAGTATAGGTGAAAGAAAATTGTCTTAGGCTTTTTGAATTCTTGGAAAATTATTGACCAGAAACTACTATATATAGTATTTGATAATACTGCTTAATTGTGATCTGTATTTCAATATCATCTGTAGATGCCACCACTTTATAAGGGACAAAAATTTATCCAAGATGAAAATTAATGTATTCATTCATATACAAAATTAAAACATAAGAAGCTGAACACGGACCTGCAATGACAGTTTTAGGCTGGACTTGTACAGTCTTGAGTATACTAGTACCACCAAGTATCGAGTTGGCGGTGGTGGCTGGCTTGATAATGGTACCGCCTGCAGTGCTCTGTACTGTGGAGATTAAAGAAGTGGCAGCTGCAGAAGAGATAGTGGTAGTAGATGTTGTGGTGGCTGCTGTTGAACCCTGAGACTCCATCATACGCTTCTGTTGTAGCGCAAGTCTCTGTTGTTTCAGCTGCATCTCTAGTTGTGCCTTCAACTGCTGGGCATTCACAGCAGTCTTCACTGAATCCTGACTTGTCTTCTCTTGAATTGCTGCTCTCTGTTTTGCTAACCTTAAAAATAATTTATTGAAACAAATATAGCTCCCCGATTGATTTATCTATACATTTTTTGAAAGGATCTTCATTGAAAATGTCAACCAGATATCTGAAGTGATTCAATCAGAACTGACAACAGATGAAATGTTACAAAAAAAAAATTCTGAATCAACTGATATTTTCAACCATATGAACTCTTCAATAAATTTATGAGGCAATAAATCACTGTTAAATTTATCAACAGCATTATAAGAATAGCAAAGCGACCAAAAACTTATTTACTTTTCTCCAAACTGTTTAATTTCCCAGAGTTCCAATTCCTCTTCTGGAGTCCATGTTTCTGTCACACTTGGTTCTGTCTGTTTGGGAGATTCTGCCCTCCTTCTTTCCCTTAAGCCACTCCTCTGAGGTGTGTATTTTTCTGTTGATTTCATATATATAAAACAATTTCAAGCATATCATAAAGTAACAACAAAAACAAAAAAGGCCCAAAGGGTCGGTATCGCTCATCTTGCATTCCGTTGACTGAAATTGCTTCATTAAAACTAAAGGAAAAAGAAAGAAAGTGTTCTAAATACCTCAGTACACATTTATTTTCCTATTAGACCCCAATCCTCTTGGGTCAACAAAACAATGCATAATTTAGATCAAATCATGCCAACAGGAGAAGTAGGATTTTGAAGAATTTGCAATATTGGGCCATGCCCCTTCCCCTTCCCACTCCCCCCCCCCTCACCCCCTCCCCCCTTCCCATCCTTTATATTTGGGCCCTGCCCTTCAAATTTGGCCCCATTCCTAAGGGGTAGGGGATTTTCATAATTTGCTCTATTTCCACCTTTTAAACAAAATGACGAACATGCAAAAGTCCCTTTCAACTAAGGATTCTTCAGACCAACTTTGATCAAAATTCACTCAGTCGCTTATGACAAAAAAAAAGCAACAATTTTTAGGTGAAATAAAAATCATATTACCAAAGAACACTGATATTGTGAATGTTACATGTCACTTGTCATTCGAAAATTGAAATAATAACGGAATTATGGAAAATTAATCTTTTGCAAAAAGTTACAAAATTTTCAACAATTTTGCAATCAAAATATTATAGCTTACTACAAATATTACTGTTAATTCTTTTTTCATAATTAGTCTAGTCCTATTACTAAATATTTTTCAGATATCAAATTAAGATGTATGCAATGCAAAATATTTTACCTTTAGGTTGACTAGGTAAACCTAGAGGCACCACAATCTTTCTGACCAGAAACTCGGACCTCAGTCCATCACGTCCAACATCTCGTCGCTTGAGAAGCTCTTTAGTGGTGATTTCAGTTTCTGTTGACACTGTGTTTGTGCCTCCAGCTGGTGGCTTGATTGACAGATCATCCCAGCGCAGACACGCCCACAGAATTCTCATTTGGAGACCCACTCCACCGAAGGATTTAACAGTTTGAGTACGATACCGCCATGATGTTCTGAACAGAGGCCGTGGGCAAGGATAGATCCAGTTGACATTATTCATTTTACAATTGTAATTGAATTGTTTGGTTTCAGTGAGCCCTTTTGTTCTTGCCATTTTCCTAAGATCGTGTTTCTCTAATACTAGTGCTGACCGTTTCCTACTTGGTGTTAAATACTTATGACAAGGGGGAAGCGAGGCCTTTTTCTTTGCTGCGGGTTTCTGTCCGAATTTTGCATACTTCACTAACTTTATTGGTTCTTTTGATGACCTGGCTGGTGGCATTTTGGATTTTAATTCTTCAACACTCATTTTTTCAATGGCTTGCTTCAACATGAGCTGTGCCTGTGTGAATGCCTTCAGGCCTGGACGGTTGGCCAAGAGTTGTGCAACAGCCGCTGCTCGACTTGACGGTGACTTCATAGCTGAAAGCGCAGAAGAAATGGCTGATGTTGTGCCTGGAGAAGTTGTGGTGGGAGTTTTACTTACCAAGGAAGAAGTGTTTGATGATGTTGATGAATCTGATGATGGTACTTTTGGAATTGAGCTGCTATTGCTATTTTTATTGGTCCCTTCTTCATCTTTTTCCACATCAATGAGTGAATCTTTCTCCTCAGCTTTTTCTTTCTTGTCTGTTTTCTCTTCTTTGTCTCCTTCTATATCTACATCTTCGTCTTCCATGCTCATGTCAGCAATGGATTTATCTTTCTCTGCCTCGATAGCATCCTCAGCTATATCCATATCCATCAACTCACTCTCATCCAAAACAGCTTTCCGACAAGTGGGTGAGTAACAGAACTCTTTGCCTTTCTCCCTACACAAGTAGGAATAACATGGCATTGACACATCATCTAGTTCACACGGATCTTCAGATTTATCTTCTTTACTTTCTGTATCTTTTTCTTCCGAGGAATCTTTTGACTCATCTTTTTTGTCGGGAGAATTTTGACTCTTCAACTTCCAGTTAATCTGCTGCTGGAGAGCCTGTCTTTGCTTGTTTTCAATCTCCTCTTGTTTCAGCCGTCGTTGCAACAGCAAGTCAAGTTTAGCATATGGTTTTGTCACTTTCGGATAGTGTGTTCTCTCATTCATAGCTTTACAAACATCAACCTGTGGAATATCCAATTTTGGAGGCAGAGTATGATTTAACAGATCCAGTTTCTTTTCACTGTTATCTACTTTAACTGGTGCAGATGTCTGAACAACAGACTTTTTGACAGGACTTACACTTTCAATGTCAACTTCCATTTGGTCATCTCCAACAGAAGTGCACTGATTCAAGTTTTTGTTTGTCCCACTCTTGTCATTTAACTCCCCATTATCAGCGCCCTCTAGAGAGCTATCATTGACCCCTGATATTTCAACACTTTTCCTTTCCTTATCATTTATGTCCATAGCATCAATAGAATTCACTGCATCTGAACTGAGTCTCTCAGCAGCATCACTACATTTGGTGGAATCCTTAGAAGAACCATCATCTTCATTTAATGACTCCTCATTACAATTTGCTGGAGAAGTTTCCGTCTTTTCCTCTTCCACCTTTGTATCCATAGCCACACTTTCTGCTCCCTCTGACTTGCTGGGGGAGGAAACAGACTTTGGATTACTGTCTGCTGCCTTCGGTATGACTTCCGCTGCCTTACGTTTACGGGCTTGAATTTTACGAGCTACATTCCTGAGTCCAACTGTATCCTGAGGTACAAATTGATATTTCCGTGTGGAGCTAATCCATCGCCATCCTTGACCACCTGTCACTCTGTATTCCTCTCCTCTCTGCTTCCACACCTGCACAAACACAGAAATGTCATATAAATGTCATCTAATACTATCATATTAATAAGTCCCCCTAAAAAATACCATGAAAGCTGATACATGAATAATGCCCTGGATTTGTGTCTGCAGTGATATGATAACAGTGTTTTACCTCGGGTCAGACGAACGATCCCATTCCAATAGGCACCAATCCAATTCTCAATGTGATATTGAACATTTCACACTAAAATCAACTGGAAATGACTCAAATTTCAACTTAAATGTTTCCAAATATTTGCCCTGATTAAATGAACCAAATACCTAGAGAAAACACTGTACCAAGACTCTGAAACATTAAAAACCAGTCATTTTTTCCTCCAATTCTGTTACTGGTGGCCTTTCCTCATTAATTAACTTACCTGGTGCTTCAACCCTAAAGTGTATTTTATCCACACCAATGGCCGACCTTCCTCCTCCTCTTCCTTCCTCTTTCTCAATTCCTTTTCTCGTTTCTTCATCTCTTCCCTGTCTAGGGATGTAATCTTCTGCAGGCGACAGTGTCCTGAAACAAAACATGAAAGAATAAATACAAAACTTTCAAAATTTACATAATTAGATGTACCGAACAATCTGCAGTAAGACAAGAGGTCAACATATAACCTTCTGGGGTTAGGCATTCTACAGGATTATGAAATAGCATAATCCGATTGGTCAATAATGCTACTGAACAGGAAAGGAAACTGTTAACATACAAACTTTGATGTAAATCAGTACTTAATAAATAAAAGCAGTACAACCTGGATATTAATTCTGAATACATCCTTGACCCTTTTCTGTAAAACATGTCACTATGTATATCCTAATGCTTCTGGTCTTCATCCTACTAAGTTTGATAATTATCTATTCTAGGACAATGACAGATCTTCTTCATGTGCTAGGCGATGTTTGGAGGATGGAGAAATTACAAAAAACAAAAGAAAACCTTCTTTTTATGCAGTAATGAATCAAGAAAAACAAATAACAAACAGACAGGTAAGGTGATTACTAGGATCCAGAAAAAGAAAAACAAATACACCTCAATAACTACCAATCCAGCAGTAGATATTATCAAGGGAACACAAACGATTCATATTAAAATATATGTCCACCAGAACAGTAATCTCATTTTAGTCTTTTCTATTTCGCATTTACAAATGCAACAATAGTAACATTTTTCTCAGCCTATTTTGCAGGAATGCTAACCTATCCTTTTATTATAATTCAATATCATTATCCTAAACTTTTATAATTCAATAATATACTAAAACATGACCAGGCTAAGATTGAGTACCAGCAATTCTAGAATTGTTTCTTTTTTCTTTCTTCAGAGATGCCTCAAGATAACATGGGCAAATTGACAATCAATGAACTACCTACCCAAAGCTTCAGACCATACTGGATTGAATATCACAGGCTTCATGCAAGCTTCAAGTATAGAAAGGGCAAGAGAGAAGTCGCTTGGTTTACGGCACATGTGTACAGCATTCGTCCAGCTCTGTCGATGAAGTGGCCAGTTAGGGTGGAGAAATGAGCTGGGGATACTTGACTCCAGCTGTATAATGGTCAACATCAATGTCTGAATCACTGTACTTTTTTTGCCATGGTTTGCCCCATTCCATTTGAACTCACTAGCCTGCGTAAGACTGAACTTATGAGACAGGTAGCGCCGTTTGTCGCGTTCCTCATTATGCTGGTATTTGTTCAGAGCCAGGTTGTTTGTAGCATATTGGTTCACGTAATTCTTAAAATTACATTCCATGCCTGTGAAATAACGATTAAGCCATATCAAAAACATAAACAAACACCTATATAATGAAATTTTCATTATCACCTCAGTAAATGATAACCACTCTTTACTGCACAAAATCACATCCTTACCAGGTATTTAGTTGAAAAAGCACAGATTATTTATGAAAATAAAAAAATTGTAAAATAAAACAATTTCTTCTTTTTCTTTTTCTGCTTATATGACCCAAAAACAAGTTGGGCCTTTTTCCCTTATAAAAAGCTGAGGAGGCTAAAAGAATTCACTCCCTTTTTCTTTCTATTTCATTCCTGAAATTATCTTGATTTCCAACCTTTTCTCTTCTCATGTTTTGACATTTTTATTATTATTTTTTTTTGCTGATAAACACTTTGACACAAATCACTGCATAATATGCAATATCTTGCCTGACTTACCTAGCTTAAAATGCTGTTGCTGTAAAGCGCTTACAGAGGCTGACTTACTCCTGGTGACCCTAGTGATGTCACCATCTTTATTAATGACTAGAAGATCATCAGATGAAGAGGAAGACAGTTTGGAAAGAGTTTTGACTGATGTGGTTCCCGTTATTGAATCTGTGAACTGCTTTGGAGTTAGTGAACCAGTTTTTGACCTTGTAACAATCTTTCTGGCTTCTGAAATTGAATGCGATCATGTATATCAGAAAAATGTCTCGAAATTGTGAGTTCTACTGGACAATGGATCCATGTGACCAGTGGAAATGAAAATCAATGCTAATCCTCCTGTCAACATTGTAACTCATCCAAAGGATTTCTTACTGCACCAAAAACAAAAAAGGCAACTTCCTTTGTAGCTAATGCTATCTTTCCTGCTATAATATATAATATATGATATTGTACCTGATAATACAAATTAGTGACAAGTTGATCGACCTTCATCAGATCCAGCATACCGTTAAGATTAGAAATGACAGACTTCAAATTTGAATATGTCTGTATTGTGATAAAATGACTTCAAACTTAGCATACTTCACTTCTGATTCTACAGTCATGCTACTAACAGTAAACATATAAATTGATCTGATTTATAACAAGTGAGAATTTTTAGCTTAGATACAGCATGTCATTTCTAAAAATCCTCACCATCCTGACGTATAAGACCGTAAGATCTTACATCAGGGCAGTCGAATGGTGAAATCAAGTAATCAACATTAAATCACAAGCTTCAAGACAGTAATATAGAATTTTAAACAGCATACCAATAAAAGAGTTTTCAAATTACCTTAAATTAAGGAACACTTGAAATCTTTCATGTTCTTTGCTAACTCAACTGTTCAATACACTACTTTACCTGCTAGGGCTGATGCTGTGGTTGTCGTACTAGTTTGCTGGATGGTAGTTGTCTCAGCCTTCGTGCCATCGAGTGGCTGTTTACTGACAGCCAATGTCACCTTATTGCCATCTCTATTTACAATTAAAACAGTTCTAGTCTGTTTCTGTGGACTACTTTCATCATTCATTTTCAAAACAGTCTGTTTCACATTTGGACAAACTGACTGAACATTCATTATTGTGGACTTGGGTTTGTCGTTAACTTGAGTAAGGTTTTTTAAGTCAATTTTTCTAATGTCGAGTGGTTGCTTTACTTGGTTTTGAAGATCCTTCAGTTGTTCTGATTTCACTTCTTGGTTAATTTCACTGGTTTCTACATTATTTTCCATAATTTCCTCCTTCAGTTCAGATTTTATATCTACTTCCATTTCTTCCTTTATGTCCTCCATCTTCGGAGTGACTGTTGAAGATTCAGAGATTGTAGTGACAGACTTCACCAAAGTTGAGGTGGTTGTTGTTGTGGTCAGAACTTCTGTCTGTTCTACAGTTGCACTGCCGTTGCCTGACACAGTGGCAGTCATGGTCATATTACTTGTGACTGAAGTGGTGGTTTCAGTTTTGATCAATTCTGTCATCTCCATATCATTTTTTTCCTGTAAAATAAAAACAGACATGTTGACCAGGTAATACAAATTCATCCTGGAAATAACATGTTACACCCTGCATCATTATTTTGATGTTTATTGAAATTAACAAAATTTTCTACATCCATAATTTGAAACGATGTTCTTTGCATGATAGGTTTATTGCTTAAGGGTTAAATTTGAGTTAAATTTTTATCTAGTTGCTGGTGGCTGCCTCACTGAACAACATAAGGGAGGTCCACTTTATTCTTACAAGAACAATTTGGGTAAAGTACAATGCTAAAGGACAAAATTGCAACAGTATTTGACAGTCAGTAATGTCAGATTCACGAGAAGCATAAACCTGGGATCTTCACCTGCTAGTCTGATACTCAACCAACTGACCAATTAATAAACTCAATGAAATGCAGGCTTACATTTTCCAGAAAGAACAAAATAGAACGAATTATCTTTAATTTCATGCTTTCAAAAATGACAATTATGAAATTCAGAGGTTATAATGCAGAAAAAATGCCCTAATTTATCATTACACTATCAGGTTTATCATTACCATATTGGCTTGGATAGTGTCCTCTTTAATTTCGTCTTTTGCCCAGGTGGCTCCATTTTCCTTTGGACCATCAAGTTCCATTGATTCTTTATTTTCTTCAAGATTTCTTTTTTCTTCAGATTCTTCTTCCTCTTTCCTCCTTTTCTCCTCTTCCTCTTCTTTAATTTTCCTTTCTGCCTCTTCTTGCGCTTTTCGTAATGACCTTTCTGCTTGTGTCTTGGCAACTTCATCTAAAAATTATCCAATTCATAGCAGTTCTATCTTTTAAATTTGTTCTATTAGCAAGTAAAAACAGCAAATGATCAATACTTGAAGCAGGCAATAAAATATAAGCATATCTTTAAAATGTTATACTTAAAAACTAATTTTTAAATGTGTAAATTTCCATTGCTTTATTTTCAAACTAATCTAACAAAGTAATTTGTGAATCACCAGTTTTGAAAATGACCAAGATTTTTGATGCACATTTCATTCCTTTCATGACTAAAATATATAACATTACTGGAGGATGGCTTACTTATTTCCAACTCCAAAGCAGATTTCTTGCTGCCCTTGTGTAACATTGTGAGTTCGTGAGTGACAGCCATCTGTTTGAGAATATCTTCTTTGAATTCATAGATGGCGTTGACCAGATCTTTCTCCCAGCCTTCAGAGTCCAGTACCTCCAGCAACTCGTCAATCTGACCCTTTGTACTGTAGTACCAAACTTCATTTTCACCCTCCCTGGAAATTAAAGCAAGTTCTTTTTCTCAATTCCAGCTTATGATTGAACATACTTTTTATTCATATTTTATATTGCTCCTGTAAAATTTCACATATAATATACATCTATAGTTGGAGAATATATACATAATACACAAAATACACAAAAATCTATTTACATAACTTTATATTCTTTCCAACTTCGGAAAATGTTTCAGAATTTTTGTAGAACTGTGTATCTATTTCTTCTTTCATTTTTTTTTCTTTGCATGCTTTTTTTTTTTTTTAACAATCAGAACAATTTTTATATTTACAATTATCAAATAACTAGAAAATGAAATCATAAGTTAACCAATACCTACTTAGGCAAATCATGTGGTCATAACCACACACAAATTTTAATGCCTTATTATTTACAATGAAATGAAATGTAATTCTACATCATTCTAGTTTATTCTTTTTAACAAGTGAAGACTTACACAATGATTCTCCGCACTAAAAACCAATACTTTCTTCCATGTCTGTCAAACCCAATAGGTTCCTGTCTGCATAAAAGACCACTTTTTTCTGCCTCAGATACACAATCTGTAACACCTTTAATCTACAAAAAAAAAAAAAAATTAACTCATATTTAAAAGTCACGATAAATTTAATTTGCAAAGATCTACTATAAAATCATAGAATTTTGTAAGAGATTTATTATCATTGATTTAAAATTGATATGTCACCAATCTATTCAAATAAGTAACAAAAAGTATAGGATTTTACAGTCTATTGATTCCTATGCAGGTTTCAGACCTGAACAGTCCTGAGCTGTTTTCCAATGTAAGCTTAATGTGATTAGATCATTCTAACAGATGAGTGTCTGATATCAAGACTGGGCACTCACTTCTTCTTGACTGAAACCATGACTTTTTCTTACAACTTTTGGTGTCACTTTTCAAATTGACAATGTATAACAGGGATGAAATGAGTAGTTTTGGATGCATAAATATATATACCTCATTGGTCAATGAATTTAAGCTAGTTGATTTTTCATAGTTCATCACGAACTCAAAAGTTATTTACACCAAATTATGTCAGAATTCTATGTTTTCGTCAGAGGTGTGCTCTAGCTCCAGCCAGCACACCAGACCTCTGTTCTTTAAAATGACTGATATCGGACCCAGACATGTGCAGGACTAGTAATTCCACCAGCAGTAAACTTGATGCCCAATAATTTCAGATTTCATGTAATCACGAAACAATGAAACTATTAAATTTTCATTGATTTCCCACTGGATTAGAATATTTATAAAAAAATTTGCTTGTCAGCATCTACTTTAATTAAATTAAAAACATCTGACTTTGTCCTCAAAATCAAGAAAAATGTTGCAATTGATTTTGAAAGTGATGATCTCCATTGACGCACCTTGTGAGCTCGGCAAACTCCACAGACCCAATCTTCCTCCGGTACCTCTTCCATGGGAGGTTCCACACATGTTAGGTGATACACAGCAGAGCAGGTTTCACAACACAGCAAATCTCCGAGTCTGCTTAAGAAATGAATGCTCAGTTAAAAAATCAAGATATCAATGCTACCCCAAAACAAAAGTTGATAAAATTCCTTAAAATACCTTATGTACTGTTAAATGAACATTGATAAAAATATAAACTGTTATTCTATGGTAAGCAAATATTTCCACTTTTCCATATATCTAACCTTTACTTTAAATCTGTTATATGCATAAAAGTTTTCAGAAAGAAACTTACTTATGGCAGTTTCTGCAGTGATCATCATATTGGATATTTCCTTCATTCATAATTTCTTCTCTCACATTGTTTGTAACCAAAAACAGGTCAGTAAGAGTCTTCAAAACTTTAAGTCTTTCTTCAACAGGCACAAAGGGGAAGTCTGGATGTTCTAATGATTCTATTGCCACCTTATACTCTGGATATCTGTCAGACTCTGTGTCAAGTAGTGCTCGGATGGATTCTGGCCAAGTAAAAGCATCAACGAAGAACAATGATATATTGATGCTGTCCTTCATATCCGAGGGACCAAATGCTGTATTATTACCATCTTCTTCACGCCATAACGCTTTATATAATGTTATATGAATTTCTGTCAGCAGCGAGGAAATTTCATCACTCATTATTGCTGCACAAAAGTCCTCAAAGCTAAATGGGGATAATCTGAGAATGGTACGGAAATGTCGCAGCACTTCATAGATGCTTAAACTTTGCATAAGGTTTTCAATGGGTATCAACAAATCTGTTGAACTAGGAGGCATAGTTAATGGTGTAATATCTTTGTCGTCCGGTAGCTCTGGTGTTTTAGGTCTTCTTCCAAAAAACAATTTTCTCCTGCCAGCAGAGCTACCTATAGTACTGAAGCTATCATCACTATAATCAGAGTCAGATTCTTCATAGCTAGCATCTGAAACCGGATCGTTTTCATCCAGATCATCTATAACGTCACTTGCTTTATCCTCTGGATCAAGACTAGATCGCGATTGATCATCGTCTTCAAATATCATGTTTTGAATGAAATGTCTACCTCTTTGTGCAGCCTCACGGGACCTGCCCCTCCCCTGTCCCCGTATCGGGGTTCCAGGCGTACTGACTGGGGTACTCGACCGAGAACTTGGATCACTTGATGGAGTTCCATGGTTTTGATAGGCTTTGGGCTTTCTCAAAAAATTACTCCTGGGCCTTACGGATGACAAAGGCGTCTTTGGCGGTCGCCCTCTTCCGCGTCTTCCTCTAGTGGACATAATGCACACTTTAAAATACTTCCAGGTGCTCTAATGTTCCCTGCTACTTGAAAAAGGCGGCCCTTGTGCACATCGGCAGCCCTCTATATCGGATTTAGTGTCCATGTTTCAACTTTCGGAAGCCGCCATTTTTCTCCAAATTTGATCACGTGATCAACGCAATCGTAATATACAATGGAAGTCCTACCGTTAAGTGCGGCTACCTCGGATTTTCGTACATCAGATTTACGATATTTACCTTCACTTTGATAATTTTGATCGCGTTAAGTTTTTCATGTGGTGAAAAAGGATCTTAAGGAGATTCAAATCGAATAATGTTATTGTTTCTTTCTGATCCGTCTTTCTCGCACCCGATATAAGAGAGAAACTCGCATTGGATGGTTCATTTTAGACAGTATTGAATTATACTATTAAATTCTGCCCTCTGGCGTCGTGATTATGTACTTTTCAGTTTTATTTGTATATTTTGAAGATACTTAAACAGTCAAAGTGATAGTAGACCCATGTGACACAGTTTTAGGAAGAAATGAAAGTTGTTGTTGCAACTTTTATTAGCCAATCATATTTGACTTTACATACGTATTGCGTTATTGTCTCATTTGAAACACCTCGAGACTTATCGATTTCATTTATGTTCAAAAGTTAGACACAAGGAGTTCGGTAAAACTAGATATTCACGAACGTCAGAAGCCGGTCCACATGTGGCAAAATGTCGCAAGTAATGTATAAGGTTCAGCCGTATTACGACTCGAATGTAACCTTAGATTTACCAGATAATATGTACAAATTGCCAAATATGCAGACAGATACAGACAACTGCGAAAAGGTATGTATTTAATGGTGAAATTAGTTCAATCATGACCTACTAGTAACAATTCAGTATACGATACGACAATTTACGATTTCCAGGCAGGCAACGGGTCTAATTACTTGGTGGTTTTTAAATCCGCATACATAAGTACACGCGATTGTTAATATCAAATACTCCAATCAGATGTGATTTATTATCTTTATGTTTTGTATACTGTGTGGTTTTCTATGAAGCGTGAAGTAATGGAAATGACACCACTTTCGTTTTCTCTGCTTAAAGTGTGCCGAATGTTTTGCCATATTTAGCTCTAAAATACTTATTATAAAATAAAAGGCCAAGGAAGTGCAAACATCGTGCTTAATTTCGTTTCCTAGTGATTTTGATTTATGTGAAATGCACACATTTGACATAGCGGCGACCACCTCAATATATGGATTGTCTACATCTGACGTCACAAGTTCAACGCTGTCAAAACAGCACTATAGAAATATACCAGGTAGCTGCCATTGTGCGTTTGATATGCGAGCTGTTTAGATAGTAATGTGGTATATTTTGTTGCTACTTCTGTAAATTATGTTTAGAGTGCTACAAACTTTTTACAATTTTAATCATGAGTAGGCAAACACTGTACTGTATCAAGTGTCTAAACACACATGAAGATGCTATTTAAATCAATTAGACTGAATTGATAAATCATAATTAGATTAGGTAGACTAAAGCAATGGACAGAGATTATTTCATTAAAAAACTAAGATGCATAATCATAACTTGTAAATTGCATGTATATGGAGAGAAAACAGAACCTCATGATTCACTTATGTTCACAAAAAAAACTATTATTACAGAACTATTTTATCAAAGTTTATGATATAAATTAGCATCTCATACATAAGTATTGTAAATAAGATCAAATATTTTAATTATCGACCTAACATAAGGAGTGCACAATGATGTCAATTTGTCCTTATAATATGTATTTAATATGTAGTCTTAGTATGAATCAGCAGACGTCAATATTGAAGTTATTTTGTAAATATTTTTCTCTGATACATTTCTCTATTTTTGAACCTTAGCGCTACCACAGTATATAACTTTGAAATACAGAAATTCTGCCATGAAATAGAGCATATTCCTTATCAGTGCTCAAAAACTATACAATGCTACCAGGCTGTATTTCCACTCAAACCCACTAGTATATAAAGCTTTGTGTACTTGTGCTTATCCTTTTGAAAATGTCTTTCACTTCTCTTTATGGTGTCATCTTGATACCAATTAAAGGAATATATTGATCTAAAATTTTACTACTTTGAATGTTTTGTTCAATTTGGATAATATTTTGTTCGAAAATTCTCTTTTAGTTTCAAATATCTTCAGACATGTGCAGGCTTTCATTAAGTTTGGTAAAATTTTGATTTTAATAGTAATAATTATTGTAGATATATGCATGTTTCCATGACAGTAATTGTTTTCCATGTGTAAACATATTGGGAGAAGGCATAAAGTTTAATAACTTGTACCTCAGTGCTCCAGATAACTTTTTGACATGTGGGGTTTTCACTCCTACCTTTATAAATTGAGGGGTTTTTTCACCCCTGCCTTCAACAAGTGTATGGGTTTTTCCATATTAGGGTAACACTGAATTTGTAAACATTTTTGACAGCGCCATATTTGCTATGCGACTGGTTTATAATCACGATCAAGAAAGCGCTTGTTACGAGTTTCGTTTACTTGATAAGTGTCTGTTTGACTTAGATTATTGAGTTTTCTAACTACGTAATATTGGAGCCGGACATTGACGCAGAGTCCGGATTTCGCACGGGTTAATGACGCAAATCTTATTTTTTTCCTAGCGTGAAATTAGAAATATTGTGCGTGAAAACGCATTCACGCAGGCTATCTGGAGCACTGTGTACCTCATCTTAAATTTGTCTATACTTTGTTTCAAAATACTTTTTCTTCTGCAATGCTTGAATGAATTTTAACCAAAGTTGGTCTTATACATCATTGTGAATGGGGAATCATTGTTTAAATTCAGAATTTTAATTCATCCCTTAGGGATCTGGGGTCAGGGCCCCAAATGTGGAAGTAAGACAATGTTTTGTTTCAACTCCAACTTAATTCCTCGGTCATTTTCAACCAAATTTGGCCTGAAACATTTTTAGGAAGTGGCAGTGATATCAAATGTGCATGGAGTGATTCTGAGGTTGTCCTGACCAAATCTTATTTTTAACTCTTTGGTCCAAAATCCAACATAACTCATCTTAAACAAATAGTCTGAACTTCTTTGCAAGTGTCATTCACACCATCGACAAAAATGTTTGGAGTTTGATTTGTTCAGAAAAAGACAGAGTTGATATGCTGTTATTTTTCAGACTGATTATTTTTCAATAGTAGCAATCTTGTAACATGATTATGCAACTGTTTTTCATTTATTATTATGTTATTTATGAGTTTCTGATACTTTCAAGTGATGTTGAAAATTTGAATTTATCAGATTTGTCAGACCACCATCAGCAAAACTCTGTGGTTTGTCCGTCCTTTGTCAAATGTCAGATGTCCATTAAGGGCCATGGCCCTCTGGTTTAATATCCTAATCCTGTAGGAATAGATTTTCCCCAAATTTGATCAGAAGCATTCTTGGTTGAAGGGGAATCAATTACGTATAAATGGCGGGTCTCTGCTCCTTTGGTGAGAGGGGCAGGGCCCAGAAGGGGTAAAATTTTCAAATTCCTACTCCTTTTGTAGGAACGAATAGATGTTGCCCAAATTTGGTCTGATGCATCAGTGAGTGAAGAAACCAATCTTGTCTAAGCATCAGGTCTCAGCCCCCTGGGGCAAGAGAGTCAGGCCTGAGAGGAGACAAAGAGAAAATTGTTTAAAATCCTTCCCTTCCTGTAGGAAGAAATGGATGTTGCTCAAATTTGGTCTGAAGCATTCTTGTGTGAAGAGGAATCAATTTTGTATAAACGGTGGATCTCAGCCCATTGGGGCCAGAGAGATGGGGCCCAAAAGTGGTAATAGAGCAAATCAAAAATTTGGTCAAAGAATTCTTAAGTGAAAGGGAATTATTTTCTTATAAATGGTTGGTCTTGGTAGAGCCCAATAGGGAAGATAGTGTAATTTTTTTAAAAAATTATGATTGGATTTTGTCAAAATTTGATGCAAAGGGGTGAAGGGGAATCAATGTTGTATAAACGGTGAGTCTCGGCCACCCATTATATGGAAATAATTCTTAAAAATCCTTCTTGGTTAGTAAGAATGGCATGATTCTGTCACTATTTGATCTGAAGTATGTCTGGCTTTGCTGACCTAGTTAGCATCAGAGGAGTGAACTCAATGGAAATATAGATATACTGAACAAAATAAGTTAAGGATCATAAACTTGAAACAGTGCAGTTTTACATACAAATAATAATATGATTATATTTTAAATTTTAATGACAGAACATTCATTTTAGTCTTTAATTACACAAAACAAATTCATTTGTGGTAATTGCTACCAAGAGCAGATAACCCTGAGTAACAGCACCCTTGAAATCAAAGTGTAAGAGGAAGTAGAGCAAGTTAATCATGTAGACAAGGAAAACTCATCAAACTGCAATTGGCAGTTTAATAGGCAGTATGACCTCCGTTGACATCAATAACTGCCCTGCAACGTCTGCACATGCTCCTTATTAGTCGTCGGTGGCTGATCTGTGGGATGCGCTGCCATTCCTCTTGCAGAGCAATCATAAGCTGTTGGCGGTTCTGTGGCGGATTAGGTCGAGCTGAAACCCGGCGTTGCAAGGTGTCCCAAGCATGCTCGATAGGGTTCAGATCAGGAGAACGACTTGGCCAGTCCATGCGAACGATTGCTTCACGTTGAAGATAGTCGTTGACCACACGAGCACGGTGAGGACGAGCATTATCATCCATCAGAATAAAATCATGGCCAACAACTCCTGCAATGGGCCTTACTATAGGGTGTAGAATCTCGTCCCTGTATCGAACAGCTGTTAAAGATCCATTGTCTATGATGTAGAGGTCTGTATGGAAGTCAACACTGATCCCTGCCCAAACCATCACTGACCCACCACCAAAGCGATCATGCTGGACAACACAGCAGTCTGCATAGCGCTCTCCTTGGGTTCTCCATACCCTCCTCCTACCGTCATGGAAGTCAACACAAAACCTAGACTCATCTGTGAACATAACACTTCTCCAATGACGTAATTGCCAATTCAAATGATGAGTGGCCCATTGATGTCTGGATTGTCGATGACCTCTGGATAAAATTGGTCGGACTGCTGGTCTTCTAGCTCGTAAATTAGAGGCATGGAGTCTGTTTCTGATTGTCTGGGATGAAATCCTTAGATTTGTAGCACGCTGAAACTGAAGATTCAAGACAGGAGCACTCAAAAACCGCTGACGTCGTGCCGTGATGCAAATGAATCTGTCCTGTCGGGCTGTCGTACAGCGTGGTCGTCCAGATCTGGGGCGTTGACGGACGTTATTTGTCTGTTGATAGCGATTCCATAGCCTACTAATCACGCTCTGAGAAACATGAAGCTTTGCCGCCACATTTCGTTGAGTTTGACCAGCTTGAAGGAGCCCTATAGCTCGCGCGGCTTCCATATCATTTAAGTGTCTTCGCATGATTAGTTTTTCAAGTTTTCGTTACAAATTCATTAAATGTTTCCAAATTCAACTTTTTTTAGCTTAGAAGTAACAGAATCAAAACCTGCAAGATTCCTCTGTAGTAATAGACCAGTCTGTTTTTCACACCACCATAGTTAACTAGAGCGGAACGGCAAGACCTTCAGATGCACGTGCTTTCACCTTTGACATGACTTTAGGTACATATTGGAGAAACTACGAGTGCAATTACCGGCAATACATGATTTGAATTTTTAAAGATATTATGGTCACAATTTATGATCCTTAACTTATTTTGTCCAGTATATGTTGTGTGTCTTGTGCTTGTATATTTTAAAGTCCTTTTCCTTTACTTTAGATGAAGTGATTTCAGCCAAGCAAAGCCGGTTGATCAATACATGCCCTATGGGCCATTAGTTTATATATTGCTGAAATGAAAAGTATATTTTTGTGCTGAAAAAAAAAAAACAATAATTATTCTCTCACATTTTGAAGGAGCGCTTGTCATTTATTGTTTCTATAAACAAAATTTACAGTCTCAGAATAGACTTTTGCCTGATTCCTTGTATACTTCAGTTGCTAGGTAATTAAAGTATGTTTGGTAAGGCTTTTTCTACTCTCAGTTTCAATATAATTCAAAGAAATTATTTCAGGGGAAAGGGAGTTAATAGGTGTTGCTGGATGAGAAGAAGTAGTAAGTCAGCCAAGATGGGAACTTTAAGTTTTCTTTTTGTCCAAGTCATACTAAAGTGCTATATTAATTGGTTATACCAGCATTAATGATACACATTGAATTTTCTTGAGAAACTGCTTGCAAATGCTGAATTTGTACTTAATTACATTAAGATTTGCTATTCTGATGATTTAGGATCAAATAGTCGACAATCAATCAAAGTTACGCTGATTACAAGGATTGTGGACAGAAATTGTTTGTTAAATCACATGTGAGGGTTTTTAAACACTCCATGGCAGCTCCATGCAAAACTTAATACTCACAGTTTTTGAGTTTGTCGATTTGATAAATACTTGAACCTTCGTAATTGCCACTTCCAACAAATGAATACTTTGCAAGAACTTTTATATTCCATATATTTGCAGAATTGGATTATCTGATTGAACAATTATAGATGAGTTATGTAAATATAAAAGGTCATCAGAAGGTCAACTTACACAACATAGTCCAGAAAATGAAATGAGAGAACTGATTTTGATTACCAGTAGATTGCATATTTCTTAGGACAAGAATTTGGCTCAAGTTATGGAGCACACTTCCTAAAATTTAACCCTGGTATCTGATTCATCGTCTCCTTCTGGTTAATCACATTTTTTGAATACATGAGCACCTTGAAGTGATTGTCCATTAGGGCTGCAACGATACATTGACCTGACGATACAATACGTATTGCGATACTTGCCTCACGATATCATACATATTCGATACATAAATGATACGTATAGGATAAAGGAATAGACTGAACTATATATATGTATATATATATAAGTAGGCCCAGATTGGTGACCGGTACGATGCCGGTGGTGGTATTAATCAGGAGCTTCTGTAGTCGCCGACTTGGCCATGCTTGAAGCTGCACTTTCCGCCATATCAGTTTAATATGTTTACAAGCATTCAGATTACCTCGCCTCAATTACAGTACCTTCCATCTTAGATGACATGGAGTCGGCCGCGGTGTTCCGAATGGTTTACAAGGGAGAATCTAAAAACGGACGGGGGCAACATCAGGAATGTATCGTAGGCGTATCGTGATATTGTAAAAGTGTATCGTGTATCATATCAAAGACAAAATATCATGATATATCGTAATTTGATATATTGTTGCATGCTTATTGTCCATCCATCTGTGCATGTGTAGCACAAAGAAGTGTACAAGCTACCTCAAAACCAGTTTCTTAACTTTAGGTCACATATTAACACCACAGTATCACAACTTCAATTTCTGCGTCATATTAGTCTCTGGTAGTCATTAGTCAAGGTTAAAGGGTCAAAGGTTACACTTGACCATGCATATTTGAAATAAATTAAGATAGAATTAAAAAGCATTTGTATGAGATTTCACATGTACCTTTCAACAGATTTGGTTTCTATTCTCACCATATTACTTCCACCTCATGACATTTTGGTAAACATTGGTCAGAATTTAAGAGTCAGGGGTCACTTTGGATTTATAATGATCTGGGTGGTGTGGTGGAGGGGGATCCATATCTATGCAGCATAATGTGACTTTGATTTTAATTCAATTCCATGATATTAATCCTACAAAAAAGGTTTAATTAAAGAACCTAATGGGTAAATATACTGTTTTTGTTGTGTAGAAGAAGTGTTAACTGATAAAACATAATCATATTTAGGCTGTGTAAACTTTGAAATCTACCAGTATCTTTCTTGTCACCTACTGTCACCCATCTGCTGCTGATGTTATAGGGTCCGTGGAAGACACACACTTGACAATGTGTGGTATCAGAGTTGTAGATGAGAAAATATTTCAGATCTAACAGCCTTAGCCAACTTTGCTGATTACAACTGTGTGAATGAATGGATACATGCTATTTGTAATAAAGTATCAGAAATGAAAATTTTTCCCAGACAGAATCAGTCAAGGTTATTCTAACTACAATCATAACAGACTTACTGGATTAGTAGGCATTACACATGCATGTGTTTGAAATGAAGTGTAGGGTTGTTAACTCAAGTACAAACATCTATCTTTGTGGTTGTGTAGAGGTGGACTTGTGCAGTAGGTAAGAAGCAACCTGATCTCTTACTCTCCTCACACCCCTCCCCTTGTATAGCGTTCCTTATTACATATAAACACAGCTGACAAGCTGAGGCCTCAGTGTTGCAGCACAACCATCTCGTATGCACGTGTGTCATAGCTACTTCCAGAACTCTCCTAGAGAGTACCCAGTATCAGGATATCAATTAATTACAACTCTCAGCTGTATGTTTTACACAGAGAGTGGGTACCAAATTTTGTGTCAGATATGGGGAAGGCTATTAGTTCATGTAAGGAGAAAATTACATCATTTCACAGCAGCAAGAAGGCACAGCAGAGTGATATTTTAGAAAAGGAAAAACAAGAAAAGGCCAAGCAAAGTGATAACTTAGAGGAGAAACAACAAAAGGCCAAGCAAAGTGATATTTTAGTGAAGGATAGACAAGAAAATGCTGAGAAAAGTGATAATTCAGTGGAGAAACAAAATGTTTGGCAAAGTGATATTTCACAGAGTGAAAAACAAGAAAAGGCAAAACAAAGTGGTATTTCAAAGGAGGAGAAACAGGGAAAGGCCAAGCAAAGTGATATTTTAGTGAAGGACAGACAAGAAATAGCTAAGAAAAGCAGTATATCAGTGGAGAAACAAGAAAAGGTTTGTCAAAGTGATATTTTAGAAAAGGAGAAAAAAGACAACGCCAGGCAAAGTCATGGCTTAGAGAAGGAGAAGCAATATGAGGCCAAGCAAAGTGATAATTCAATAAAAGAGACTACTGAAATAGTACAGCAATATGATGTTCTTTGTAAAAATCTCAAAGAAAAGAGGGAACTATGTGATATTCCACAGCATAAGACACTTGAAACTGCCAAGCAAAATGTTCATCTAGTATATACACCACAGGAAAAGAAAAAGGAAGATGATAATGTTGATAAGTCTTCACAAGAAAAGGTTGAGGAAAGTGAGGTACAGGATGAATTAAAGCAAACTAAACTGGACAATAAACAAGATACAACCAGACAGAAAGAATTAGAGCAACACAAGTTACTACCAGCTAAGGAAGAAAATTGGTTAATTAAGGCAGAACAAACTGAAAATTTAGTTGATCATCATGATAAAGGTGTAAATGATGAATTCACAAAAAAAACTGACATAGCTTTAAAAACAGGTGATGATATTCAAACGTATGATATGGAGGGAGGCAGTTTTGATGATGATGCTGGCAGTTTTATAGAGAAAAAGGATTTGACAAAAAAAAGGCAGGAAATGGAAGGTCATAGGAAGGTTCATAATGGAGATGCTGTTCTATCAGAGGATGTTGTAGAAGATGAAAAGTCAAAGGTACCAGAGGCCTGATGAATGATTGAAAGGTCAAGATGAAGGGTTTAAAGGTGCAGAGGTTAAAAGGTCAAACTGAGCAGAGGTCATAGGAACAGAGAACAGAATTATTGTTTAACCCACCCTATTACCAGTGGATTCAAATGGTTGGGCTACATGTGTTTTCACTTTGTAGGTAATGTTGGTCCTCCATGCTTACATTCAAAATGATTCTTCAGGGTAGATCTCCTGTAAACTAAAACCATTTACATGAACTATAATATATCTTGGATTAACGTAAAAATGCATGACAGAAGTAGGTTACTGTGACCTATTTTCTTGCCTATGTCAATAGTTTCTTTGTTGTATGTGGTGGGATTGCAGAGTGTCATACCAAATGTCTAAGTCTTCAATATTGACCACCAAACCCTATATCATTAAGAAAAAGTGTTGGGGGATATCAGTGTAATGGATATCAGTGTAATCCAATCAGTATACCATATTACATCCTTGTAAATCAGTATACCATATTACATACTTATAAATCAGTATATTACATCCTTATAAATCAGTATATTACATCCTTATAAATCAGTATACCATATTACATCCTTATAAATCAGTATATTACATCCTTATAAATCAGTATATTACATCCTTATAAATCAGTATATTACATCCTTGTAAATCAGTATACCATATTACATCCTTATAAATCAGTATACCATATTACATCCTTATAAATCAGTATATTACATCCTTATAAATCAGTATATTACATCCTTATAAATCAGTATATTACATCCGTATAAATCAGTATATTACATCCTTGTAAATCAGTATATTACATCCTTGTAAATCAGTATATTACATCCTTGTAAATCAGTATACCATATTACATCCTTATAAATCAGTATATTACATCCTTGTAAATCAATATACCATATTACATCCATATAAATCAGTATATTACATCCTTATAAATCAGTATACCATATTACATCCTTATAAATCAGTATATTACATCCTTATAAATCAGTATATTACATCCTTGTAAATCAGTATACCATATTACATCCATATAAATCAGTATATTACATCCTTATAAATCAGTATATTACATCCTTATAAATCAGTATATTACATCCTTATAAATCAGTATATTACATCCTTGTAAATCAGTATACCATATTACATCCTTATAAATCAGTATATTACATCCTTATAAATCAGTATATTAAATCCTTATAAATCAGTATATTACATCCTTATAAATCAGTATACCATATTACATCCTTATAAATCAATATACCATATTACATCCTTATAAATCAGTATATTATATCCTTATAAATCAATATACCATATTACATCCTTATAAATCAGTACATTACATCCTTATAAATCAGTATAGCATATTACATCCTTATAAATCAGTATACCATATTCAACATAAGTGCTCTTTATACTTACTAAAACAAGAAAGGGTGGTGTGAATAAAAGTATTTGTATGAGAAATGAAATTTTAGTAATAGAAAACACAAGCAAATTTACTGAATGGATGAAAGGCCGAGAATTATCTATTTGAATAATGTAGGAGCACATGCTGTTGTGAAAAGAGGTGAACTTATTAGTTTGAATACTGTACGAAGTTACTTTATGAGAACACTATCCCGAGAGATTAATATTGTTTGGTACATTAAGACAGTAAGGGAAATAGATGAATCATATATTTTGTCAGTTGTTAACACAAGCTCTGATATAGATGATGAATGCCTGATTTTCAAAAATAACTTGGGTTATGCATGGATGAATTTAGTATTTAACATGAAATTTTCTGTTCGCTGTTTCACATTCTGATACACATGGGCAAGTTTTATATTGTTATAATATTTCAGAGGAGTACCTTTGTAATCTAAGAAATACCTGACTTGGTTTTTGTATAGTTCTATACACACTTGGATATATATACTTTATGACTAAATGTCACACACAGTAATATTGTAATGCTAAATAGCAGTCCTTTACCTGGTTTATACCAAGGCATTGTGGTAAAAAGTTAATTTCTCTTCATACACGCTTTGTGGAACTACTTAGAGGTTTTGTACAATATTTATGTCAAAAAAATATAAACTCGCTTTGATATTCAGGAATCTTTATGTAAAATCTTTATTAAAAAAAACAGAGGAATGAAACAAGGATGATATGCCTTTTTAAACCAATGTGGTCAACATACTTGTATCAAAGGTCAGGGGGTGAGCTTATTACAGGACAATAAAAGATTTTGGTATTCTAATGGACAATAATAGATACTGTAAAGTGTTCTAGTCCCTCCATTGCTGGAGTAGTTATTAGGGGAGTGGAACCTCTTTTTTCATTTGTAATAAAACCCTTATTTTACTTTGATTTCAGCAAAGACTATTTAAAATATCAGTGAATTTGACTAGCATAGCTTACAATAAGACTTCTGATTGGGATGAAGATAATTACATTTTCATGTGTATTAGCCAATTTGCATATATTTATATTAAAAGTTTGCTCATGCTGGGTATACTCCAGGTTATGTCCCCTGTTTGAGACAACCACATGTGTTGCTGTCATTTCTAGCTCACCTGGTCCCAAAGACCAGTGAACTTAGTCTATACCCCAGGGGCCAGAGGGGCTGGGTCCAATAGGGGGAAATATGGCAAACAGTTTAAAATCCTACCCCTGGAGGAATCTTTGGGTTTTGCCAAAATTTTGTCTGAAGCATTCTTGGGTAAACAGGAATCTTGTTTGTATAAGGGGTTTGTCTTGAACCCCTGGGGCCAGAGGGGCATGTCCCAATAGATAAAATTGCGTAAATTCTTTAAAATCCTACTTCTGCGGTAGCAAAATCCTTAGATTTTGCTCAAATTTAGTCAGAAGCTTTTTGTATAAATTGTGGGTCTCCAGCACTCTAATGTCAGATGGGGCAGGGCCCAAATAGGGAAAATAGAGCAAATTCTATGAAATCCTACTCCTCCTGAAGAAATGATTGAAATTTTGTACAATCTGTTAAGAAGCATTCTGGAGTGAATGGAAATAAATTTTGTGTAGACAGAGGTTCTCAGTCTAGTGTGGCCAGAGGGGCAGGGTTCAATAGGAGAAATAGAACAATTTTTTTTTTCAATCCTTCTTCTCTTGGAATGATTCAGGTTTGACCTAATTTGATTTGAAGCATCCTTTGATAAGAGAACTAAGTTTTGTATGAACAGTGCATGTAAGCCCCTATTGGCAGAGGGGACACTTCTAATGAGGGAATTAGATACAAGTGTTTTAAATTATTTTCCATTATAATATATTGATCAATTGTAGCAAACTAAATCAGGTGGGTGATACATGACCTATGGGCCTGTTGTTCCATTGATACATTTTTTCTTTGTTCTTGGCTGTTAGAAGGACCTAAACAAATTATACAATAGTTAGAATCAGAATAATTCATAACCTGTATTTATGTGCATATCATCATACAAGATCAGATTGAAATTCAGGAATCAAAATCATCTGTTTGTTTCAGATGGAAACAGCATCAACGGGTGTGGATAATTCGGTAGCTGCCCTAGAAAGTAAACAGACAGCCATACTACAGAGATTAGGAGAGCTGAAGGGTGTGCTGGAACAGCTGAACAAGAAGTATGGTAGTGCCACCACTGTGTCATCATCCACCACATCTTCTACCATGATCCTACCAGTGAGCAGCATTTCCTTTTAGTTTTGCTTGAGAAATAGAACCTTGTATTCTTGGTGTATTTATATGATTTTACTGCTGTGAGATTCCTTACATTGCCCTTGGGTTGAGTTGGGGGGATTCCCTTTTCTTAGTTAAGATAACATCTCATCAACAATGCCAAGCATTTAGTTATAAAACATTTATCTCTTGTTTTTTCCAGTCATGTTATGATGTAACTTAGTAAGGAAACCTTTGACTGGTAAAATGAAAGACTACATTAAATATTTTTTGTTTGGGATTTTTTTTGTTCAATTCATGAGTACTCTAAATTCATTCATGTCCTGAACATGAACTGATTAACAAAAGATGTTGACATAGATTATAGTACAAGTGGATTTTGTAGACTGATTTATCCTAAAAATCAAGTGCCAACAAAAATGTAAACATTTGCAAAACCATTAAATGTTAGTCTCATGAAAATATATGATTTTACATCATTCTGTTTGATAAGAGAGTCATTACTAGTGTAATTGGGAAAGATATCTTTTTAATGAAGCCAAGTTGGGAGTTTAAGACTCATTAAAAGTCTACAAGAGAATTTCAAAAGTTTTAAAACTGGGTTATCTAGGGAATATCTGTTGCAATAAGACAAAGTCATGTCAGGAAATTAAGTCACTTTTTATAATGAGTGTGATTTTTAGACATTTTTATAATGAGGCCATGTTTGGAATTTAAGACCCATCATAATGAGGTGTTTATTTCGTGGTAATTACCATTAAATTAATTTTCTTTGTTTTCATTCCAGGGTGGAGTTGTCCATGACATTGTCATCAACGCTGATCCAGAGAACCCACCGGTCATTGTGTTTGTACTGTTCACACTCCTTAAAGAGAGGTGTAGGGTATATGGGTCAAGTTTAGTCCATTCTAGTGTGGTCAGTGTGCCTGACCAGCTACGCAATGTCTTCAGTGACCAGGATAACAACTGTCCTCGTGGCAGCCACCAAGTGGCAATCACTCTCATATGGAAAAAAGGTGAATATTGAATTTCGGTGAAAACAGATTTAATGAACTCATTAGTAATTGGAAATGTCTAGAACAGAATTGTTTGTGGTTTAATGTCATTTATATACTGATAATTGCAACACAGGTTTTGATTGGAAATGATTTAGTGTCATTTCATGTAGTTTAGAACAGACCTAATGCAGACGTGTTTCCAATTGTTTGCCATTTGCATGAAGTTATCATATCATTATTCCTTGCTTGTAGTCGAGAATGGTCCAAACCTGATAGTGTCACCACACAACCAGACAACAATCCAAGGGGAAGTAAATATTGCCAGATACATTATGCGTCTTATCAACCAAAATTACGATAACTCAGACCCTGTTGCCTCAACTCAAATTGACGAATGGTTAGATTCCGCCCAGCAACAACTCCACCATGGTAACGTGAAGCAAAAGGCTGCTGCTGTGAAGTCTCTTAATGCCAGGCTTGGAAGAAATGATTGGCTTGTAGGATCTGAGATGTCATTGGCCGATATGGTGATGTGGGCTGCACTGTTTCAAACCAATCAAATGTCAAATGCCCCGAACAATGTGAAAAAGTGGCTTGCATCATGCGATAAGAATTCAGTTTATCAATTTGCAAAGACAGTTTTAAATGGAAGGTAATTTCAGGAGAACCTTGCCATACATTAATTTGTTACTTAATAATTATTTTGTATCTGATAACAAATTGATGTTTGTAAAAAGGACAATTGCTAGTATCTACATCCATGATCTGGTTATAGAATACATTTTTTTTTTGAATGAAAATAAAAGATTTTTGTGTTTTAATTTCTTGCAAAATCATTTCACAAATGATCCATCAATAACTGAAACCAGGTAGTGATACACTGCATTTAAAAATTCTTGGAATGGCTGTCCTGATCACTGATTGGCCTATGGGGTGTTGTTATCAACAGTTTCTTTAGATCAGGAGAGTAAATACATTAAATATAAAACCAGGACTCGGTATGATTGGCTGTTCAAGGAATTGAAAGATCTGGTCCCATCCCTGGGGACTGAAGTTTCTGGGCGATATACTGTTGAAACAGTTGAAATCTCCACCCCTAAACCATATTTAGCAATGCTGGAGACAAATACATTCATGATGTAGGAATTGTCCTTGGGGTGTGGCCCCCACACCTCAGGACATTGTTTCTGGTTTATATCTGTGAAACAGTTGAGTTCCCCAGCCATAATCATATGTGGCAATGATGGGCATCAAGAGATGAACTCAATCATGATGTCAAAATTGGTCATGGCACATTACTAGGGACTTTAGGCATTTCTAGGTCTGTAGGATGAATATTATGAAGCATGGTAATTTCACATGTTCATGCATTATTCTAATGTAGATGCTATAGCTACGAAAATAAAAAGAAAATATGCTTTCACATATCAGATGTAAGTTTGTTTAATTTCAAACTCCATAAATAATGTGAGGGATATTAAAACCAGCGGAGAACTATTGGTAATGTTGTCACTTCAGGGTTTCATCCATTCAAGATCATGTCAGACACTATGCAACATGCTTGAAATGTGTAAAACAGTGAATGAGATGAAATAATGAAATTATGATCCTGAATTAAGTGAGTTTTATTGGGGTAATTACAGGAATCTAACATTCTTTATCAATAAAAATATAAGATATCACTATTATACTAAAATTTAACACATTTATCAAGACTTGAAGTTGACAGGGCCAAAATAAATTCTGAAAATAGAAACTGATCACAAAACCAATGCCAGATAAGGCTTTTGTAGGTAGAGATTGAAATCAAAACCGATGCCAGAAATGGCTTCTTGAGATAGAATCTGGTCACAAAATGAAGCTAGATATACCTTCTGAAGGTAGAAACTTATAGACTAATGCCAGATATGGCTTCTGATGATGAAACTGATCACAAAGTCAACACAGAATATGGCTTCTGGAGATGAAACTGATCACAAAACCAACGTCAGATATGGCTTCTGATGAGTAAACTGATCACAAAGTCAACACAGAATATGGCTTCTGGAGATGAAACTGATCACAAGCCAACGTCAGATATGGCTTCTGATGATGAACTGATCACAAAGTCAAAAAAGAATATGGCTTCTGGAGACGAAACTGATCACAAAGCCAACGTCAGATATGGCTTCTGATGATGAAACTGATTACAAAGTCAACACAGAATATGGCTTCTGGAGACAAAACTGATCACAAAGCCAACGTCAGATATGGCTTCTGGAGACAGAAACCGATCACAAAACTGATGCCAGATATGGCTTCTGATAACAAAACTGAAACCAGTTAACTATGCAGCTATTAGAAAACGCATATAAAAGGATTCCATTGATGAAATTACAAAAGATAGTTGGGGAAACATGTGGGCCAGTTCCTGTATCATGTACCTGTATTTACCCAACAAAAAGCCCCAGGGGGTCAACACATTGCCTCTTACTCATAATCAGGGAGTGGGCTTATTACACAATCAGGGGAAGACAACACATTACCTCTGAATCAAAGTAAGTTAGTGGGCTTATTACAGGACTTCAGGAAGTCATCAAATTACCTCTGACTCGTAGTCAGGTGGTGGGCTTATTATTACAGGACCACAGGAAGTCATCAAATTACCTGACTCGTAGTCAGGTGGTGGGCTTATTACAGGACCACAGGTAGTCATCAAATTACCTCGGACTCATAGTCAGGTGGTGGGCTTATTACATGATCAGGGGTAGCCAACACTACCTCTGATTCATAGTCAGGTGGTGGGCTTATAATATGACCTCAGGAAGTCACCAAATTACTTCATGCTCAGTCAGGTGGTGGGCTTATTACATGATCGGGGGTAGCCAACACTTGACCTCATGCTCAGTCAGGTGGTGGACTTTATTACAGGACAATGATAAAGCTGAAAAATTACTGGCAGTTATACTAAACAGATATAAATATTGGATTTGGTCAGTTTATTATGGGTTATTGTCATATAATTATGACAGTTTGCACATTAATGTTCAAATATTGATACAAAGAAAAACAAGAGAAAAAATGTTTCTGAACTTAACTGATCTTTTCTTTTATTCCATAATTAAAATTGAATGTTTTCAATAAAATGACTAAAGATCCAGCGACTGTCATTATTAGTGTTCCTACTACCACTAGCAATGTGTGGCTTGTTTGACCTACTGGCACTGTTACTTCAATCGCATCAACATCCTGGAAGTAAATGTATCGTAAACTTCATTTGTCTTTATCATCCAATAAGCAAATATACATATGTACAGGAATCGATATACAGATGACTACAACATCCCCAAAATCCTGAAGTTATTACACTGATGGTTTCAACATCTCCCAACATAAAATGTTACATTGAGGACTTCAAAATTGTCTAGCATACACAACAACCCCAGTGGGCCTCTGACATTCAAATTCTTTTATTACTTTGAGAACTTCATAGAGAAAAATATATATAAAAAAAAAAATAAATAAATAAACTGCATCAATGATATCTAAATAATTGCATTTTGTACCCTCAAACCCCTTGCAAACTTTAAATGACTGACAAAACTAAAACTTGGACCTTTATTCGAGATACTTACTGACAGGTATTTGACCACTGTCCATTTACATTTGATCAATGTGGCACTTGTACAAGGGAGCTCCTCTTCACCAATCACTGCCCCAATGTAATCTGGTACAATCAACAGTAAGTTGAATACATAGAAGGATAACTCACTTCTTGAAAAGAAAGAGCTATTTTGTAACCGACATCATCATTTCCGAACATTTCCTTCAGTTTGGTTATGGCAATAGATTTCAATAAATTTCTTTCAAACCATATGATGAAATGATGTCTTTACTGTCATTGTGATTTTTACAATTTTGAAAGCGTTATTGACCTTTGGTTTTTCGATGCAACAAATCTTAAGTATAATTCTTTGGCATAAGATAGGTGTTTATTGTCCTACTCCACAGTATTCCTGTTAAAAAATCATGAAATGATAAAAAGGAAAATAAATATATTTACATTATCACTTTTGCAAGTCAGAAGTATTTGTATTCTTTGATTAACAAAGAGCGGAATGTGAAAGGTGTATTTCACCTTTTTGTGTACAGGATAGAAGAAGCAATGGGTTTTGTATGATAACAGATGTGTACTCGTCACTCGATGATGGTCTGTGATACCGGAGGTGTATTGGTATGGTGACGCTGGTCATCAGAAAATCCTGTTTGTCAGTTGCATCACTCAGAGGAGATGTATACAAGGAAATGTTCAAGGATGGAGCAAGATATTCTGGCTGTTCTACATCAACTGGATCACTGAGGAACTACCAAAACAACATAACACATGAAAATAAATAACATTCAACTTTCTTTTCATCCTTAATTTTTAATTGAAAATGATGCACTTTCTCTGCTCTTAAATGTTTTCAATACATAATTTTGGAAATTTGTGGTAGAGTGTTTACAGTAGATATTCAAAATAATGCAAGCCTCATTTATGGAGATTCTGGTAAATGAAAAGAAGTCCATTTTTTTTTCCTCTTTTGTAATTTTTTGCAAAGATAAACATGTAATATTTTTCATGAAATTGTTTCTATATGCAATAAGGGCCAACATTCTGATTCATTTTGTTTTCTAACGAGCTTTCACTCAGCCTTTTGAGAACTGTATCAATATTTGCAAGTTTGTCCCAATTTATGCCCGAAACAGCACTTAAAGTGCCGATGAATCAGTTTATCTGTATACACAAACAAGTCCCTTATCTAAGAAACAGTACCTATTTTATGTAAAGCTACAACATGGTCTGTGACAAATATGGGCAATATATTCTTCATGTCGAGATATCAATTATATAAAGTGTTAAAGTACATTCTTTCAATTCAACATTACCTTAGGCCCACCAAACTCCCGAAGTGATCGTAACTGGAATGGATCAATATAAGCACCAGGGGGAAGTAACTCTAATAGCATCACATCACAGTTGGACACATTTTTAAATAGAGATTTTTCAAAGGTTATCTCTGTTGCTAGCTCTCTGTTGATAAAATGATAAAAATCAATCAGAAATGCAGTTTCAAAACAAAAGAAGCATATCAATATTTAAATCAACATATGACTTTTTCCATGATATACTGTATTTATTTAGCAATATGTCCATGTCTGGTATAAGCCATCCCACATTTACAGTCATTTGACACAACATTATATGGTGTGTACTAATGTGACATCCCAACAATTGTGATGTTCTCCACAGGTTTCCTCAAAATTACAGCTGATAAATGGTTTGTAAACATGTAGGTTATGTTTATTTGACTTATGACATTTGTGGTGCTGTGACCAGGATTTTTTAGCCAAATTCTTGGAAGTCATTTCTTTTTCTCCATTATCACATCCAAGACAAGGGTTATCTTCACTGTCATCTTCTTTTCTTATGTCCTCAAAACTGAATGGCCTGCGAGGGTTACCTTAACATGTTTTTAAATGTCACTTGGGTCACAGCACCAAAAACCCATGAATAAAACAATTATATTGGTATGAATGTACAATGCATTTGTCCTGTGATGTCAAGCAATTAATTTGAGAGAAAGTCATAACATTTCTACCTTGGTACATTATAACCCAGGGCACTGAAGAAATAAATTTTAGAATAAGGAATAATATGATCTCAACCATGTTCATGCTTTATCTAGATACTTAAGATGTATCTTCAGTCCAATTTTCAAAGCAAAATCTACCAGTTTCATCCTTTTTTGTCCCACTTCAGTCCCAAGAGATCAATCCCTGTACCCTGTTTCATTTGCAAATCCCAAAGATGCAACGCTGGAAGAAAAGCAGGACAACAAATAGCTTCCAAAGCATATAAATCATACAAATCAACTCAAATTTTCACTCACCTATGGAAACCATTTTTCGTCAAGGATCTCTCTACTTTGGGTAATTTCAAAGATTCAGATTCATGGATTACTATGTAGACTAGTATGCTTGTAAGGAAATTCACAGGAAAATTCATTGTCACTGTACCTGGAGCAACTAGTTCTCAAATTCATGGAAGAATCCTGAAATTCCTATGGCAGTGCCTACAACAGACATTTCAACATTATATTAAACCTATATGAAATCAGAATTGTTAATTTGCAGTTTATGGTATAGTTGATATGTTTTTCTTTAGTATTAAAAGCTGCAGGGAAAATAAAGTTTTCAGAAGAACATTTCCTACACATGACAAGCCTTTAGTTTCAATATTATTTATATGTGAAAAAGAGAACAGGCCTGCATCACTGGACATCTGCCAGACATATGACAGATGCCACGCCAAGGAATAAGCTAACCCGTCTTGTGGACCAAGTAAGCTAAAAAAAAATTATTATAAGAAGTGTGCATACAACATAGTTACTGCCCATCATTCTACACAGAATGCTAAGGGTACTACAGGGTACATGTTTACAGCCTATCATTCTGTACAGAATCCTAAGTGTACTACAGGGTACATATTTACAGTTCATCATCCTGTACAGAATCCTAAGTGTACTACAGGGTACATATTTACAGCCTATCATTCTGTACTGAATACTAAGTGTACTACAGGGTACATATTTACAGTTCATCATCCTGTACAGAATCCTAAGTGTACTACAGGGTACATATTTACAGCTCACCATCCTGTACAGAATTCTAAGTGTACTACAGGGTACATATTTACAGCTCATCATCCTGTACAGAATCCTAAGTGTACTACAGGGTACATATTTACAGCCCATCATTCTGTACAGAATCCTAAGTGTACTACAGGGTACATATTTACAGCCTATCATTCTGTACTGAATACTAAGTGTACTACAGGGTACATACTTACAGCTCATCATCCTGTACAGAATCCTAAGTGTACTACAGGGTACATATTTACAGCCAATTGTTTTGTTCAGATCCTACATGTATGGAATACCAGTGCTTACGATGATATTTAATACATACCAGACAATGGAATTTGGATATCACAAATTTGGAAGTCCCTGTGTCTCTCAGCGGTAAGAACTTCCCAACATATCACATATTCAAGTGGTACTTCCACACAAGGGGAGATAATTATATCGCCAACTTATCAAAACATCCTGCCACCGCTGGGGTTCGAACTAGCGACCCTTCTGTCTCTATAGCCAGACACTCTACAGCCTGATTAAAGGCAAATTCCAATTACCTGAGACTAATAAGGTCACCTGTACACTCAGCTTTTACATGTGAAGCTAATTTTCAAGCATGTGATACATTTCAATAAATATACAACTATTAATATGACAATAGTTAGCCTACAAAAATTAAATACAATAGATTAATATTCATATATCATTTATGTGATGCTTTACAAATAATGAAAAACAAACTTACAAAAGTTAAAACCACGTCCCTGTGCTTACAACTAAACGCATGCCTTTTGTTGACCCAGACAATTTATTTGAGGGATGTTTTTGTGTGTTCACATTTTCAGACAACTTGTTAAGTTAATGCATTTTAAATAATATCCATAGCTGAATCGTAGATGGTTAAGTCTACTTCAATTTGGATATAAGCGATATATACATAGTTCAATTTACTATAGTTTTTGCATAAAGTATTTTCGCTTTGATGGGGTTAAATTTTCCAGTGCATAAAACCTGGTGAACATATGATTAACTTCCGGTTTATCGACAGTTGATTTGTCACCAAAACAATATGTAATTTCACCGATTACCAAGAAAAAACATTAAAGATTTAATAGACCGTAAGTATATAAAAAGTGATAAATATTTTAGTATGATTTATGTAGGGCTTTTACAACGTCAAAATTCAAGTAGGACCTAATCCTGTGTTGGCCGGCTCAAAAACTATCCACTACTTTTGTTGCACGATTCGGATGTTTTAATGTATCGAACTGTGAAATAACAACAATCAAAAGCAGCATAAATCCTCCAAAGATAGCATTGCGTAGATCAAAGTGGTTTATTTATCAGTTGTATCAATACTATTATAGTAGGCCTAGCATAATATTGCCAGAAATCTGTGCTGCTTTTCTTTCTCTGTCGCAACTAACAACATGCAATAAGTGCGCCAAGTTTATTTTGCAAATGACCAGGTGGCTAACAAATGACCTCTCATTCAGACTTGTTGTTGGACAATGATTAGCGTTTCCTGGTAATTCTGATTAATAGACGTAAGGACTTATTACCAGGCATGGGCTTATTGTCGGATAAATAACCTACAAATGTAACAGAAATGGTATAGGAAATTTGTTGATTACCAGGTAGCTGTATTGGTAGGGCATCCGTCTGGAATTATTTTTTGTTCCCAGTTTCAAGCCCCTGAAGTCTGGTTGTGCTTAGCTCACCTGGTTCAAAGGTCTGGTGAGCTTATGCAAATGTCGCAACATCCATTGACCATCCAGCATCCATTATCTGTCCACAATTTACTGAGAATTGCTACAAGTCATAAACGTCTGAACAGATTCAACCAAATTGTATCAGAAGCATCATTGGAGGAAGGGGAAATAAGTTTGTTAAATACTAGTTCTTGGCCCTCAGAGGTCTGAGGGGTGGGGCCAAAAAGGGAAAATTTTACAATTTTTTTGAAATCCTACTCCTTCAGTAAGAATGAATGGATATTGCCCAAATTTGGTCTGAAACATTCATGGATGAAGGAGAATTAAGCCTGTAAAGACGTTAGGTCTCGGCTCCCTGGGACAGAACCCAATAAGGAAAATCATGTTAATTCTTTAAAATCCTACTCCTGTAGGAATGAATGAATATTGCCCAAATTTGGTCTGAGGGTTAAGAGGAATCAATTTTGTATAAATATGCAGTCTTAGACCCCTTAGGAGGGAGGGACAGGCAGGGCTGAATAGGGGAAATAGAGCAAATTCTTTAAAATTTTACACATCTTGTAGGTATGACTGGATTTTGGCCAAATTTGGTCTGAAGTATTCTTCAGTGAAAAGGAATCGGTTCAGCATAAATGATGGATCCCAGCCCCCCTGAGATGGAAGGGGTGGGGAAATGTAAGTTCTTGAAATCTTTGTTACATACAAGGATATTGCCCAAGTTTGGCCTGAAGCAATTTTTATGAATAGCGAATCTGACACCTGTTTGACCACAAGGCCAGAACCCAAAAGGGAAATTATTTGAGAAATTATCTGTCATATGTTAAATATCTGAATTAGTCAGATGATCGGCAATGCATGCCCATAGGGTCTCTTTTTTATGTGATATTGTTATTTCATTTTTTTTCTTTCCTTTTTAGTAAAGTGTTTGCAGTTAAATTAAATTCTGTTGCAGGTTCTTGAAGAATAGGTATGAGACAATCCTTGTGAAAACTATCAACTGATCAGAATAAAAATATGGGGAGATCATCTTCAAAGCCGAAGAAAGAGCCTTCACGAGTCACTGAACAGGACAAAGCTGTGTTGGTAAGTCCAAAAAATTTGTTTTTTTCCTGCTGATTTCTTATGATACCAGCCAGAGGAGGAAGCTAAGGGAAGCCATTTTCTCACAATGATCTTTTTACTTCTTTTTTGACAGCATTGCAGCAATTAAGATATCTCAACATACATTGTATAGTCAAACCTCATTATCTCAAACTCAGTAGGGCCATAAGAAAACTTTGAGATAAATGAGTATTTGATTAAAGTGAGGTCAAATGTTTTGTGTAAAGTTAGGCAGAGACAGTGAAATGCTTCAAATTATACAGAGTCTTCAAGTTATACCAGTTTGAGATAACCAGGTTCAACTGCAGATAGATATTTATCGTGATGTTCTGTGAAGTACCTCATCATGAAAAAAAAGGGGGTGGGCTTATTCCAAAGCACGGACCTATACCCTATGTTATATAATAAACATCTGACAACCCACACTGAGAGGGCAATCAGGTGCACTTTCACTTATGATGTAACTGTGAAGAAATGTAAAGAGATTACCTTAGGGATACAGACATGAACTTCTAAACAACAATTGGCCAATAATAATGAGTAACACCTAGTTGAAATATGTGTTTCATTTTTTTTGTCTATTTTTATGAATGGTGTCACAAATTAATCACAAAAAAGGAAGTCTCTATTAATATTTTTTAAAACTCTTACAGCAACTTAAACAACAACGAGATAAATTAAAGCAGTACCAAAAGAAAATATTTGTACAGATTGAGAAGGATCGACAAGTGGCCAAGCAGTTACTACATGAAGGCAAAAAGAGGTATGAAAATGAAATACTGTTTATGTCATAATGAAACAGAATCCAGCTCTTCTATGATAAAATGTTGTTGTTTTTTTTCTTTTGTAAGATTTTTGTCGAAATGATTCCTGAAATCTTTCCCATAGTTATTGTATTGCCTGCAACAAAAAGCCACAAAAAACAAGATGCTATCTTGCTACATTTCCATGGTGATGGCGTCCTGATCAAAATTTAATTTTTGCATTTAATTAACAAAGCAGGAATAGGGAAGACATGTAATTATGCTTGATTCATGTTTTGAAAAGGTATTTAAGTCTGTATACATGAAATCCCATTATCAATGAATCGTAGAGAAGAGTGCAGAAATTGCAAACAGTGTTAGCAGAATTTTTCCTTGGGGTATAAGACATCTTGTGTGCTGTTTTTTTGTCCTTTTGATAATACATAACATCAGTAGTCCTGTCTGATTATGACTACTATTTTAATTCTGATTCTATATACATGTGGTTATAGCTAGTGTCAGCCAGTTCTTTGTTTCCTTATCAAGTATTCTCATATTTTAACTGTAATATGAAATTTGTTGCATTTCTTTACAGTAAAGCTAAGCTGATGCTGAGAAAGAAAAGATTCCAGGAATCCCTTTTAGAAAAAACAGATGGACAACTGGAGAATATTGAACAAATGGTAAATGCATTTTCTTGTCATTGTCATCCATGACATACAATATTTTTTTTTTTGCAAATTTTGGGAGGTGAACTCTAAGGATGAACAGTTTTGACCTAAACTTCACTTGCTCTGATATAATACAATGTGCACACACTGGATTATAGCTATACTATGGAGTTTAACTTAATATTTGATATTGGATTATACAAAGTTAACTAAAAATAGTTTCTAGGCTAAACATAATACAATTACGGTTTAAGCCTATTGTCACAGCCTTTGGAACAAGTTGTTACTACCAATTCTAGCTTTCTGATTGGTGGAAATATTCCAACGATTTATCAGTGACCCCTGGCAGCAGTCATATGCTATAAACAATGCTGCCATCATTCAAAACACTGTGTCATGTGTAGATACAGTCACTATGAGACAATCAAGTATCATACTAAAATCTGAAAAAAAATTGACATACAGGTTCATAAAAATATTCAGATTGACATTTGCATCAATCACAAACTAGCATTGCATTTCACAGAATAATTGGATCATTGACATCTGTTCTTGGCAGTCTGTCTAAAAGTCGGCAATTAATGATTATCAGCGATAGTAACATTCCTTAAGACTCGTCAGAAAATGTATCGGCCGAGACTTTGGTGTTGAAAATGTTAATCGTCATTAATTATATGACTAATGGGATTTATTTTGTCATCAACAGTTGTATTTTTTTAATTACCATTTGGTTTTATTTCAGGTGCATGACCTTGAATTTGCTCAAATTGAAGCAAAGGTTTTCGAGGGATTGAAAGTTGGAAATGAATCACTGAAAAAATTACATCAGGTATTTAATCCGAAAATATTTTAGTTTTTTCAGAAAATGAAAATTATGAACAATGCATCTTCGCATTCAGCATGCATAGTAGTCAAAGTAGAAATTTAAGTGAACAACATTTTCCAATCAACAACATAATATCTTGGAGAATTGTTTCTTTATTGATGTCTATAGTTGTAGAACCAGTCCCCTTTGGGTATACATCCACATTCTTCATTCCAACCGATCGCATTAATATCAGTAGTTACAGTGTCCATGTTTCCCAATAATATACTTCCTGGCCTGAAATGTACAAAAAAACAAATATTTCTATTTCAAAAGCCAAAAAATATCAGTCTTCACATTGAAATATGACATCTTTTTTGTTGTTGTTAAAATGTTGTTTAATTGTTGTTTTGATCAGTAGAGAAATATCTGCCTCAAAACCATAACCTACAACTTTCCAAAATGTTGCCCTTCACTCATTTGTGTAGTATGTAGAGAATCTTTTATTGTTGTATTGACAATGTCATTATCAGTGATAATAAAAATCCTTGAGAATAATAGATAGAAAATCTCCAATCATTACATTGGGGATAACTGTGTTATCTGATCACACCTTAATTCCAACACAAATCTTGCCATTCTAGAAAATCATTCATTGTTATAGACATATCTTAATAGATTTTTAATATATTGTATTTATTTAAGAGGTTTCAAAATATTTGACCCAGTGAAGTATATCAGAATATGCATGATGTGTCTCTAAATAATTTTATTTATCTTTTTTGTGTACAGATTATGTCAATTGAAGATGTGGAGAAATTGATGGACGAAACACAGGAATCTATAGAATATCAAAGGGTAAGAAGAGAATAGATAACATGTTATTATCCCCTACTCAAACCCCTAGAGTCTTAGCAGTAAAGTATCAAGACATTTTTCGGGTGTAATACATCCATATAAAACACGATCTACTACAGTTTCCTATAACTGAGAAAATTGAAGATATAGATCAGGCAGTTATGGAAGATGTGATGAACCTTTTACTATTTCACCAACCCACATCCCATGCAAGCAAATTTCCTCAGATGCTAATAATCAAAATATGAAATGAAACACCTGTGGGAATGGCACTTGAGAAAAAGAATATCTTTGAAAATTATGATTTTTATGTCCCAACCATATTATAGGTGGTGCATAGTGTTAACCCATTTCCATTTGTCAGATCACACCGGTTCTGAATCATTATCATATCTTGAGAATAATGGCAGAAATTTGATTCATTTTCACCCCATATCTTCTATATTTTATCATCCTAGAAGGTCATTGGTCAAGATTGAAGGGTCAGAGGTTGCATTTGACAACTGAATCAAATTTATCAATCAGTGGTACTTATATGCATTGGAGCGTTCATGTAATGCAGATTTTTGCTAGTTAAAACTTTGCGATAATTTTGTTTTCTACCTCTACTAGGAGATAGACAATCTATTAGCTGGAGGTTTGACAGAGGATGATGAAGAAGATGTCCTGGCTGAGCTGGATGAACTAACTAAGGTATCAAATCCAATCCAATAATGATAAACTATTGATAACTTCATTAGTTAATTACTTGTAATCATGCACTCAACTATTTCTCTGCCATTGTGTGTGGAAATTTTGAGATGGACATGTAGGTCGCTTTCACGTAAGCAGATGAACTGGTTGGAGTGGTTGAACTTGCAAGAAAAAAAGTTAGGTTCAGGAGAGACTGAGGCTGGTCTGCGGAATATTTAGCATGTACAGACTGAGGGGTCCAGCCATACCTTACCGAAGCAGACTTGCTGAAGATTATTAGTTTTCAGAATTTCAGCATAAAGTTGGGTCAGTGCACTCACGTAATTCCTGAAACAATGTGCTATTAAGTAAGAGTGAAACGGATCGTATCTTAATTTTACTGGGTGGTTTTATGCTTAACAAGAAACTGTAATTTGAGCTTAACACGTATCAGGTCCAACATCCAGTACAAGTATGTTAATGTATATTGGAATAGTTCCAGACTACCTCAACCAATTCAACTGGGTTATGCAAAAGCAGCCATAGTTATTATAAAAAGAAAACTTTGAATCACTAAACTTTGTTTTATGGAAGTTTGACTGTACGTCGTCTTTTTCTAATTAGATATACTTGTAATAGAAAATTTGAATTTGCACTATTGAAAAGATGGTGATTCTAATCTGGTAGATCTACTCAAATTCTTTTATTGTCAAGAGATAGAATAAAACACACATAATAATTGATGATTGGATAAACATTACCTAGTTTATTAACAGTTTGTGAATTTTACATTTCAACAGCAAGACATTGCCTTGCCGGATGTGCCTACAGACGAACTACCAGAAATACAAAGAGAAAAGGAAAAAAGTAATTATATGATAAAAATTTCTCAGTTACTGGTCTTCAGTTCAGGGACTCTTACATTTACGTATTACATTGAAAGGAGAAGCCATTTTTAATTTTAAAGGATGATATTTAATTTTGTCAGTAATGAGAGGCATTTTTTTTTTATTCTAATGGTTGAATCATAAAAAAAAAGCTTTATGATGTTCCATTTTCAAAAGAAGGTTTGCGCAAAAATTCTCTTAGAAAATTGATTTTAGCACCTTTTAAAATAAGAACCTTTCAGAATTCAATGATCTTATTTTATTCTTGCAATCACATATTATCTATCACCTATTCTTGACTGATACAGGGTTTCTCTCTCAATTAACATATTTAATTCCACTTTTGATAAGAAAAAGAAAACTTTCTTTTGATTAAATACATTGAAAGCATACGATTTCATGATAAGGATACAACATGCCATCAAACCTTGTTATCTTGAACTTGAACTGGAAGACCATGATTAATTTGAAGCATTTCAACTGTCTTGCAAAGCATTCAAACTCACTTAACTCAAATACAAGGTTATCATGAAGTTTCCACATGGTCAAGCAGAGTTTTAGACAAAGAGGTTCGGCTGTAGTAAGCTAATGTATATTAATTTGCATTGGAGTGATGATCAAAAAAACTATATCCTATCAGTATCAGCATGAATTGTTCATAAGGGGTATCAATTTTATAAAATATTTTGTGCCATAATTTTAAGATTTTTAAAAATGACAACTTAATTGATAAAATTCTATGGAAATGAAAAAAAGAAAGTAAGCTATAATTACTTATAAATATCTGTTTATATCAGAAACTGAGATGTTTATCTTGAGAATTAGAAGCTTTGACAAACAAAGCAACATTTAAGTTAGAATGATAGAATTATTATCTGTTAATAATTTTGTTTTTACTTTCAGGAAGAGCTCAGAAAGAGGAGAGAGAAGCAATACCAGCCTCTTGACACTTCTTCTTTCAACTATTTTATCAAAACAACTCTGTCATTCTACATCAAACTGTGTATAACAATGTATATCATGTGTATATCATTTATACAACCTTCAGGATTGAAGACAAGAACTCTGATAATTTTACACCGTGTGAATAATTTTGATTTTTAAAAAAATCGATTTTGAGAATGAAATATTACATACCGCTCAGACTAGGGGTACACATTTACTTAAAGGGGTATACATTCCAACAGAAAGGTCTCTCAAATGGATAATGAACCAAACTATGATTGGAAAATTATTAAAAGAGAATATTCATTGATATTATAAACAATCCAAGAAACTCTTAACACATTTATTCACGCGATTTAAAAATCTGCCGATGAACTGTCAATCAAAACCGATTGCAAGATTTGGCACGAGGGACATGCACAGTTACAACAGTTGCAGCGCCACCTGCAGCAGAAAATGACTGAATGCGGCAGTTTTCTTCATTTTCTTCAGCACGTGCGCCATATGTGCATGCCAGAGATTTGGTTGCTTCTTCGCTGCCCACAACTTTACAGAATATATCGCTTCCTGGCATTTATTCTTAAATCAAACTAAACAACTTGATAGCATAACTTGTAAATTTTTCTAATTTCGGAAAGTTCATGAATCCCAGGATACAGGAAAAGTTAAATATTGCGCAAAGTTGTTTTAAAACGTAAATTAGAAACAAAAGCTTGTATGTATACCCCTTTAAATTTTACTTTTAGAACTATAAATAGTTGTTTAAATAAGCAATTCTACATGTAATGAACAACTTGTTTCTTAAGATCATGAAATCGCTGTCGTATTCGTTGAAGTTTGGAACTGTTTTTCTGCACGGAGCAATTATTTTGGGATACACCATCAAGCAAAATTCAGCATAACATCAATGTTAGATAAACAAATTGAATAACAAAACTGATTTGATAAACTGATTTTCAATCATTTTTGCAGGATAAATTGAATACATGGTCAGTGTATTAAGATATAGATGCACTTTGGCTTTGGACAAAAACACAAAAGTTGCTCGCCACTTTTGTATTTTCGTCATCTCCCTGCCAAAATACAGCTGATATTTTAAGATACTGACCAAGTATTCTCTATGTATTCACATAAGAAATGGAACAGTCTGATAACGTAACTGCATCAGTCCGCTAATGAAACAGCCTGACAGTTCTATATAAACATCAAAACCTTTGACACCAAACTAGTTAGGAACAGATATGTTTTTAACATTAATTTGTATGTTTTTAACATAAATTTGCTTAATTCCCAATTTTGTGAGAAGTATGGTTTGACAATGTAGCTGTGGTATTGAAACACCATTCTTCCAGTGTCTTTGTGTACCACTAGTCTTTTTCAAAATGAAAGTAGACTTGTTAAAGGGTTGGAGTACATGTCAGTGCCAGACCGTGGATTGGCTTGCATGTATATACTAGAATCTTGTTCATTAGAGCATTGCTCTTGTCAAGCAGTGAGATCATAAACAAGGATTTTGCAGACATTTTATGTGACCACTACAATTACCTGATACATCCAATGTACAACAGCAAAATTAGAAAGACAGTACTGATGTTACAAATTACAAATCCAAGTTTTTAGTTTTTCATGAGCTTATGCGATGGTCTGGGATCCGTCTGTCCGTATTCAAGGTCACAGTGGTCAAATTTTTCTAAACCGGTGTCAGTGGTGTGCATGTTAATGTATTTGTGATGAACACTGACAAACATTTAATACCAGGTGAGTGATGCAGGTCCTTTGGGCCTCGTGTTTTAACAACTATTGCTGCTGTTTCCAATTTTAAGTTGGTATTCTGACACATCAGTCAAGTGATATTTGGGTCTGAAGACATTTTTGTAGCTTCGTAGCTAGTCAGTGTGAGATATGCCAATAACGCTTGCAGAATAAAATGTTTGTACTTATCCATGGATTAATAGTGAAAAAAAATCGGTTACAATTGTTAGGATGAGACAAGTTTAAGGAACATCTGCAGGAACAGAACACCAAACTTATATATGAACATATAATGTGATACATATACATAACAATCAAAATATTTTTGAGTTTCTGAAATTGAAATATATTCATATGCATTCTAGATGAAAATTTGTATTTCAGGTAATGATATGATTTCATTTCAATTTTAGAGGAAAGAATAAATTGAAGCTTCATATATGATTTTTTTTTTTTTTCGTTAATTTTCTCAGAATTATAGATAAATCAAAGTCTATGATTGTCTAGCTTACAAAAACCATACAAGAATTACAGAGCAATGCTCCTGTCGATCCTTAATCATCAATCACATGACATTTCTTGAGACCTAAATAACATTGATTAATAATGTTGAAATATGAATGTTTTCCATGCTCAATCATATGACATTAATACTCATAGTTCTTGATTAAGAGTTGTGAATCAATGAATTACTGCTAATATTTTGTTATTATTGTTAAAGCCTTTATAATCTTGTCTAATCTGGTACTTGAGCATATTGCCTACCAAACCTACAACTGTAATACTGGAACTGAAGGCGTTTCTTAAGGGTCTCGTTATCAAGTTTTAGATGCGGGGCATCTGCTTTAGTGATTGCCTATCGTAAATGAAATTAATTCTTTTTCATTCAAGTATGAAGAGAGACTCGCTGTATTATTAATATATAAGCTCTATATTGATGACCATGTATCTTATAAATATTCAAGAATATAAAGCAATATATCTTTGGTATGCGATCATATTGATTATTATTAGATGTGTATGTATTTATATTTCATGTCCTGTAAAAGTTGCATACTTGTCACGTTTGTAAACATCATGCTTATTTTTATGATGCTAAATAAATCCGTCATTTGTTTACCTGACAGAATTGTTTTAAATAAACAATAGATTGCAGAAGGATCTTAGTGTCCACCATGATATATTTATACCTTCCACTTAGTTAAGGGGTATCGTCTCCATGACTGTGTTTTTAGCTCACCTGGTCCAAAGGACTGGTGAGCTTTTGCCATATCGTAGGCATTTGTTGTCCATCTACAAAGGAATGACTGAGTGGATTTTTATCAAATTTGGTCCCCAGCATCCTTGGAGGAAGAAGAGCAGATTTTGTATAAATGGTTTGTCGTTGCTCCTTGGGGCCAAAGAGGCAGGGCCTTATAAGGGAAATGGAGCAATTTCTTGAAAATTCTGCTCCTCCTGAAGAAAAATTTTGATTTTACCCAAATTTGGTCAAAAGCATCCAGAAATGAAAGGGACTCAATTTTATATAAATGGCCGGTCGTGGCCACCTGAGGCAGGAGGGATGGGGGTCCAAAACTGGAAATAGAGGAAATTCTTTAAAATCCTGCTTCTGTTGGAATGATTCAAGTTTGTCCAAATTAAATCTAAAGCATCCCTGTTTGAATGTAACATAGTTTTGTATGAACAGTGCATCTGTTCTCCTTAGTGCAGAGCCTCATGGGGAAATTAGATTCAAGTGTTTTAAATCATTTTCTATTATTTTAGATCAATTTTTAAATCAGGTGAGAGATACATGCCCTTTGGACCTCTTGTTCTCTTCACTCCTAATATGGACCATAGACAAAAAGGGGACTATGGGAAATCTACCTAAGAAATTTGAGAACCATTCACATCAATGCAATACTACTCAAGATATATGGGATAAAAATAAATGAAATTTGTTGAAATCCAAGATGGCCACATGTGGACCATTTTGTTTCACAACCAATTTCAAACCATAATGGGCACAACATTGGATCAAAGGAGGACCTAAGTATGAAAATTTTGTTGCATATATCTGGTACATCTTGAAAAATGGTGTTCAAATCCAAACTGACTGCCTATAATTTTGGCTATTTTTCACCAGTCAGTTTCAAATCAATATTATACAACTAGATACTAAATCAGTGGAAAACAATGTATGGAAATATTTAATGATCCATCCAGTAAATCAGAAATAAAAATAATGACTTAAAATTCTAATATAGTTGCAAATATCAACCATTTTGCTTTTCCTAATTAGAATTGGAAAAAATTATCCATCACAGTTCATTTTCGGGAAATTATAAGAATTGTTTAATGACATATAGAAAGATTGATTTGAACAGCCTACCATCAAGATGGTAATTTATGTCACACTGTCATATGGTTAAATCTCAAACTAACTGCAACAAAATTTATTCTTAATTATTAATTTTGGTTATGTTGTTGTTTTTCTCAAACAACCGTTAAGAGAATGATAAATAAATTTATTTGAATTAGTTAAGAGGTTGGACTTTTGTTTTTTACTATACATCTATCTCTCCTCATAATGCAATCTGCTAGTGTATGACATCATGTAATTATCTACATATTGAGATCACAATATGTCATATTATTGGCTTATTCACTGAATGACAGGACATTCTTGTGATAAATGTAAGTTATATATAATGTATTTAAATTAAAGTAACAGCAATCATTATACATCCCTGGTAAGACAGATAGAAGAATGTTATTTTCCGGGTTTATGGTGGGTACTTGTCCTGTATATTATATTATAAAAGATCAGGATCACACGACTTCTTGTTTTGCTCCTGGATATAATCAAAGCACTAAATATACATTGACAACTCCAGCGAAAATGTCGACCGACGATACGGAACTGAAGGAAACAAATATTTCTGAGCAAGGTGACGAAGCTGCAATAGATAAAAAACTGACAGAACACGATGAAGTACCCGAAAACAAAGAACAGCATCCACAGGCCGGACCATCTAGCCCTGTATCTGAAACGAAATCCAAAAGTAAGTTGAAATTGCTCGTCTCTGACATTGTCTGATTTCAGTCCTAAAACAGGTTGAGCACAACCCCATGCATATGGATAAGAGACCTGCATTTGAGCGAATGTTACTGCTTTGAATAATCAGCCAGTTACTTAAACGCATGGTCATTTGAAATAGAAAACCAAGTTCTTACTATTTTGCTAGGAAATTTTCCAGGGGTGCAGAGAGCAAAATTGATCATATGACATAACCCTGGAGGATTCGAGGATGCTTTTTTGATCCGGTAGGGGTAAACCATGAAAAGGACCGAGAATGATTAGTAATGAAGAAAAGGTGTACTTTTAGGGTGTTTTATTAGCACACACAGATCACATAACGTTTTCACTGAATATATTTCTTATCGCAGTTGATGTATTGTTAAAGCCAGCTGGTGATGCCCCGATCATGAAAAAAAAGAGATGGGCTGTAGAAAGAAACAAGAAAGTGAACTGGATCAGTGAATTCATCAAGAAATATCTTAAACTGGACCCAAAGGAATCTATGGTGAGGCTGTTTGCGTTGTCCTTTGTCGTTGTCAAATGATAATAATAGAACACTGGTAAAGTTCAAGAAGCATTTAAAATGTAGATACAGGCAAGCTGCTAAACACTACATTTTATGTATTCATCTTTGTTCAATTATCCTGCACTGAAGTTGTTATCTAGATGAAAAGGCAAATTATTTGGTATGTGTCTTGATAAGACACTCCAAAATAAGCATGACTGGCAAGGTTTTGATTTGTTGGAACTTAAAAGAGACCACACAATATCTATAACAGTAGATATTTGACCAAGTGATCTTTTTGTCTGTATTTTGATTAATTACTACCTTAAATATTTTGTTCACATGTTAAAAATCCAATAACAATTTATTGGACTTTCAGAATGGTAGCTTGGTGTTGCATTGTCCATCAGTCATGTCAGTTGTTTTTATTAAACTGGATCTTGTTTGCCGTTTCCTTCCCCAGATTGCATTAAAATTTTTGTGACGATTTTTGAACTAGTTTTTAATCTTGTCTGGAGATTTTCCTTCTTCAATTCCAAATTTTTTTCATAATTGATTCATAGATATTAAAATCATGAAATGTACACATAGTTATGCTTTCCTGAGTGACATTTCAAATTGATAATATACTGAAAGACTTTTATCAACATATTAATCTTGTTCAAATGTCTCCTATTTCATTTTCCAAAATATCTCTTTGAAACTTCATAGAATTTCTAATAGTGACATGTTACTATGAAGATCAACGCAAATGACATATAGTGTTACATTTTCATATTTTAAAGTATTTTAACGAGGGCAATCAATATCAGCTGATATCTTGTTGCACGATTGTTGTAAAATTAATAAAGTTTATATGTATATGAGGTTCCACTATATGTACTTTTGTTTTAGATGAAGTACTAAGATTTGTTTCAAAAGAACAGTCATGACTCCAGTCCCTTTCCCAAATAAACTGAAACAATTGTTGAACATTGTTTGGATTCAGGATTTGTTTTTGTTTGTTTGTTTGTTTGTTTTAAACAACTGCCTCCATATATTCCATGTTGTCAAGATAATACATTCAAGCTGACCTTTATTAGCAATCTTGCTTTCTTTTCAGTTTCTGTATGTTCATCAGTCATTTGCTCCTTCACCTGACACTGAGATAGGCACAGTATTTGATGTAAGTATTCTAGAGTTTGTAAGGAAAGCATTAATAATTGCTCACCTTCTACACATGAAAATTACTTAATAAAATAAAATTATTTTCAAACCTGGATAGGAAAGGGAGGATAGGAGTAAATCCTATTTTATTTATATTTTATTATTTTTTGCCTGGATAGTTAATTTCATGATTTATAATATATTATATTTTATATTTCATAACATATTGTCAATTATTAGGTAGACCATAATTTGTCATATATAATTCATTATTTATTGTATTACAGAAAAAGTCCTTATATTATGACATTAGAAATAAATTGCAATTGATTATGAAAGCAAACAGCATATTCTTGTATTGATCTTTTTCAGTGTTTTGGTAGTGATGGGAAACTAGTGGTACACTATTGTAGGACCCAAGCATGGGGATGATATGTCTGAAAGGCAAGAGTTCAGCTGATATTCCAGTTGATGTCACAGAAAATTTATTTGAAAAAAAAAACATGACAGACTGTGAAATAGGTATTAAGCATGTGAGCCAAGTGCGACAAATTTTCTGCATGTTTTTCATATATTCTATTTCTGTTGTTATCACCATTGCAAAAATAACTGGAATTAATTTTGTTTAGTTTTACTAATAATTATGGAGAAATCTTGAAAGCAGAACAAGGCATCACAAAGAATGAAAATCTTCCCTATAGACTTATGTGGAATAAAGAAGATGGCCAAGGGTGTTAAGTTTCATCAAATTCCTTCAAGGAATGAAACCACAAAAGTGCTAACAAGGATTTTAAAAAAAAACAATAATAATGACCATAGCCTTACAATCCAGAAACTTGAATTTGTCTGTGATATTATGGTCATTCATATATGAATGAGAAGTTTCATCTAAATCCCTTCAGGAGTAAAGGCCACTGGAGTGCTGACAAAGATAAGTGTTATGTAACATACAGAACTGCCATATATCCTCTCCCCCCATTCTTCATCAGGGGATAAAATTCAGTTTTAAGGAATTGCTTTCCAATGTCATTTAATTGATTGTTTGTGATCAACATTATACAAAATGTATTTTACTGCCTCCACTGATATCAATTATAATTTGTTTTATTTTCTCAGAGTTAATGACAGAAAAATCAGAATAAATAAGTGAAAATAACTTTTAAAAGATGAATGTTTCTATCTGCAATTTCAAAAAATATATCAACTAAGATAGAACATGCTAATGGAAAGATTTTCAAAGGAGCAAAAAAAGCTTAATATATCTACTTAATTATCAGGAATTTTCTATAAACATCTCTGTAGACAGAAAGCAAACACTAATTGTGAGTAGATTTACAGAAGGTATTGATAAACAATTGAAAAATAGAATGGAGTTTGATAAGAATGTATGCTGAACTTGTAAATTATTGTTTCTTTTCATTTTTGAGAGGAATTAAAAGATTGTCTGTTCTTAAGTGAAGGATGGATATGCTTGAAATACTGTGATATTATATATATATGAGAGAGATAGGATTGTTAGAGGTGAAAGTGTATGGATGTGTTTTTCTTTTAGAGTCTGGCTTTAGTGTTGAGCCAGTGTGTTTAAAAGACTTCTTGTGTCAGAGACAGGCCTGTGATTTAATGAATAAGAAAACGATGGAAATTTTTTTTTCAAAAGACACCAATTCATCCATTGAATTCAGGAATGACTCAAAATGTCTTTACTCATGACAATGGCAGTCCATTTATTCTCTAACATCTACCCTACAAACATATATTATTTTGCCATCTGTATACTGGGTGGATACAATTCAGTCAATTTTATCATTGATAAATCATTCAAAATTTTTTTTGCCTTTGTTCCGGACCACTGCATCTGATTCAGTAGTAAAGGATCATGTGATTTATTTAAGTTTTGTGTGTGTAAATTATGAAATGTATGATTTGGTTTCACTGCAGAAAGTTTTGTTGTACACCATAAATGTTTCCCATAAATTTCATTTGTTTGTGACACAGGTGTGAGAAAGTAATATTCCGCCCTTTAGCAATACAGAGTTTTCAGCTGTTGTGAGCAGGTAGTTGTTTCTTTATGAGAGTAATATCATAATTTTTTTTTTTAATTGACACAATTATCTCTTAAATTAATAAGAACAGTCAATATCTGCTCACAAGAGCAGATATCTCTGCATCACAAAAAGACAGATTATTGTTGTTGAGAGAAAATGTACAAATCTTAAACAATAAAAACAAATTTATGTCCAAAATTAATTTCTCTGGTTTGTGTGATTTTTGTGACCATCAAAATAAAACCAGTAAAATATTCCTTAAATTTTGAATAATGAATTTACTCACTGTTTTCAATTTCAATGATTGAAGTCCTGTTTAACTTCTTTATATAGAAGTTGAAATCCATTGTCCATTTCAAAATTCTTGAAATTATATAATACGATACATTGATCTGTTTTTAAAACACAAAAATACAGAAAAAAAACAGGATCTTGCATGAATTTATTATTTCATAAGATTTATGAAAAAAAATGGGAGAACTTTTTTATGTTGATATAAAATTGGATTATGAAAAAGATTATGTTCATCATTGTAAACTCTGATGGTTTCCATTGGTCTCCAGTTTTACATTATCTGTTAGACTGCTTGGAAAAAACAGTATGGTTGACAAACTGACTCCCATTTTTTTTTTATAGTTTTGGGTTGGTTTTTTTAGCTCAGCTGATCCAAAGGACCAGTAAGCTTGTGCCATGTTGTGGAGTAAGATTTTAAAGAATTTGCTCTATTTCCCCTTTAGGGTCCTGGCAGTCCTGTTTAATGGGGCTGTGATTTATTTCCCTTCACCCAAGAATGCTTCTGACCAAATTTAGACAATGTCTATTCATACCTATAGGTGGCGTAGGATTTTAAAGAACTTGCAAAATTTCTTTTGAACCCCACCCCTCAGGCCAAGAGCCAATATTTATGCATACTTGGTTACACTTCTTTGAGGATGCTTCTTACAAAATTTGTCAAAATATGTTTTGTTGTTCATGACAAGTAGCGATTTTCAGTTAAATGGTGACAGGTCACAATATCAAAATTTTCTTTAAAGCTCACTTTATCAAAAGGACCACCAAGTTAAATTCGATAAGTCAGGCGACATTTAAATTTTGAACAATGTACCGTAAAATGATAAATGAATAAACAATTAAATAAATAATTCCAGACAGTTATGTTACCATCTTTAATTTACATTTGGCAAAATATACATGACATTGTGTGTAAAACATAAATACATTGTATCACAAAATAACAGTTGATCACCTTTATCAGTAACTGAAAGGTCAGCATCATAAATGAAAAAGGTATCTATTAGATTCTACAGGGAATGGTGAAAAAAAAATATTAGTTTCTCAAAAACTGATAAGTTGTAATCACAGAATTCTGCCATTTTTGGTTTTGTTTTGTCATTTAAAATACACCCCTACATTTTCCATACAAGTTTGCTGCCATTCTATCTAACCGGGAATAAAAAATATTCCTGTGTGAAATATCTCCCAAGAAACATGCAAACTTTGATGTCAACATTGTCATTTGACAACATGACAGCGACAAACACTTCTGATGGCGCAAATGTAAATATTTAAGTTATACACATGTTTTTACTTGAATTGGGGAGAGAAACTAATTTTTCATTTTCTTGCACTTCATAAATTGATGTCAGCATATTTTCCAAATCCTTTTGTATTGCTCTACATAAATAATGACAAATTTCCAATGCAATTCATTTCTGATTATTGAAATGAAAGCATAAAAATAACAATATACAATATTCAGTCTTAAGATAAGAAAAAATATGACCTATATTTATATATTTTTCAACATCAGCATATTCTATAGAGTCATCATCTAGTTATTCAACTCCAAGAACATGTCTTTTAGGAGAAAGTTTAATAAAGATATGTACAAATATTAAATTCATTCGAAAAGGTCAAACGTCAAGTGAAAGCTTTTAAAAGTCCATTTACTTGGTACATAAAATGTAGTTTATGTATTTTCCCTTTTTTTTCCCCCTAAGTAAGTGTGGATATTGCTGAGCTATGTGCAAATCCAATAAATGTAAAGACTCGCAATTTGTCAAAGTCTTCACTCACAAATTAAGTATTGAATTGGCTAGGCAGTAAATGTGTGTGCCATGTGCAATTCCATGACTTATTCATTTCTAATTTGTGAGTTTTAATATCTTCTCCCTTTCGATGTCAATGTTCTCAGAAATGATTAATTTCCATCTGCATCTTCATCCTTTTTTTGGTAGGATTTCTTTTTTTTCCTAATTTGGTAGTTTATGACAAGAACTCTCTATGTTGTTGATTACTGACAAGATGTTGTGGGAACTTCCAGACCAGGATGGCACCATCTTCACTGACACTGACGATATGGGTGTTTTTAGGTGAAATCTTGATTCTCTGGATATTTCCACTGTGTCCAAGTCCTACTGATATCACTTTTCCTTTTTTGTAATCCCACAGCTGAGTAAATGAAAATGAAATTCAATTAATTATCAACATTTTTATAAATACAAAACTTTCAAATTTTAAATATGAACCATGACATCTTCTCCATGTGCATACATTTATAAGCTAAATATGAAGAATTTAGAATTAGTGTATTTTGTAAACGACACTGAGAATTGAACTCAAAAGGTTTAATGATATGATAACTTTACTGCAAAGCCTTTTCAAAGTATTTTAGAAGTGTCTATAAAATTACACTGCAGAAGCCACCCTGGTAACACTAGAGTAGAACTTGCAGGCAGATAAATTTTCATACATTCTTTTTCTGTCATACCACATTTGGTATTCCCTAGCAAACACTGACTTTCATCACTGGCAAATCAGATTATGAACTTAATTACCATTTTATAACCTGAAAAAAAATCCAAAATAGAAATTAAATGTAAACGTACCTTCAAGATTTTGTCATCACCACCAGTAGCAATGAGGCTGCCATCTTCTGAGATGTCCATAGCATTGATTGAGCCACTTTCTGATCCGTCATTTTCACGAATCTTTGCACCATCGATGACGTCCCAGTAGACTAGCTTTTTGTCCGTACCGCCTGTCACAATTTGGTTTCCCTCTCTGTTATACACTACACACTTGAACAAAGTGGTTGCAAATACAATCTGGGAACGTTTATGCGTCCTGAAACATAAAGAACATCAAATTTGAAAATTCATTTCATATTTACATCATTTCATACCTCAAATGATTTCTGGGAAATTTTTTTTTCAAACCTGTCAGCTTTCCAAATGACTGACTTTTACAAAATTCTAAAAGTCAAAGAAACTCACACAAAAATAGGGAGGTGGACAGTTTTGTTTATGCCCATTCCATTCTAAAATAGTACCTTTACTACAACAAGTAAATGTTAATGAACTTCCTTACTTTGCAAAAACTTGAAGAAGAAATTATAAGGTATCACTTTTGTGATTATGTGAACGTATATAAAGCCTTTATCAATTTTTAGCTTATGTTAAAGGGAGTTAATCTTAAATTCTCTGGCCATGGTGTGATTGGACAATAAAGAATGATAACCACTCACCATCAACTTCATAATTTATATATGTTATGAAGCTGTACCAACTCCAGAAGCAAAGACAATAACGTAAAAGAAAGAATGGGTTCTAGGTAAATGGAAACGCCCCTTTATAAAATGTAAAAAAAAAAAAAACAAACATACAAAAAAAGAAGAAAAACACTAACAGTGTGATATCCCAGATTCCCTGGAAATCTTCAAGCGTAAATATCATTGTTATGCCTCCTGTGTTGGTTTATAGCTAGATATATGAGGGTAGTTTATTTTGATAGCAATAAGCCCATACCTGGTAATAAGCGCACATACTTCTAGTGAATCTTCATTGACCTGTAATAAGCCCACCTCCACACTTTAAGGAGGACTTAATGTGTAGATGTCCCTTAGCTTATTTCAAGATAAATGCATAGCATGCCAGATATTTGTCAACAATGAAACTCACTTCATGTCCCAGATGATGGTTGTTCCATCATGGCTGGATGACACACAGGTCTTTTCATCCTGGCTGATCTTGATGTCCGAGACAGACCCTCTGTGCTCCTTCATATTTTCCTTCAAGGAGTATGTTTTGTTGTCTTCTGAGACGCTCCATACACGGACTTGACCTTCTCCGCCCCCACTAATGATACGATGCTTACGTTCAGAAGTATAGGCCAGGGCAGTCACTCCATTACTGTGGGCATCCTCTATTGTAAACTTGAGGCAAAAGCCATTTTTGTTATGACCATAACCCCTGATTTTTCCATCATCCCATGCTAGAAAACAAAATTTGGAAAGTCAAATCATTGTGAAACAAGTTTGAATATACATGCATATGTCCTATACCAAGCAGGTACAATTCAGGATGATAGAAAATGGGCACATTTAACAAGAATTGTTAACTCTTGGCCATTAAACCTAATACCCCTGAAACTTCAAAATCATTTTGTAAAGATATGAAAAATGGAACATTGTGTAAACTCCACTGAAAATTAGGGACCTTGTAAAATATATCATGATTACACATCTATATTCAGATTACCGGTTACATTCACAAGGCTTCATACAAACTAGTTGATACTGCAATTAAAATAACTGGTTTTCCTTTTTAAGCAAAGCTGGAAAAAAAAAACGTCTGCTTACTGATGGACTGAAGACACAATGGGGTAACGCTTTAACTCTTTAGCCAAAATTACAAACATGAAATTTGTAGTCCTAGTTATTTTTGTTGATTCTCTATAAATCTAAATTTCACAAGAGGTCACACTGTGTATGTGCTGCTATTCAACAATGTGATTTCAAATGATGTACACTATCTCCAGCATATCTTGAAGCTTAGCAGGAATTATCATTAATGATATTTCATTGTATATGTAATAAGTCTGCTTTGCCTCATGAAAACTCATAGCACTATAAACAGTGAACTTCTACTTACCAGTAAACAGCTCTTGGCCATTTGGTGTTAAAATGACTGTGGTACAGGTGATGTTGGCTTCTGTGTGCCTCCAAAGCTCTCGGCCATTCTTCAGCAGCCAGAATCGGATCTGTCCTAACTGGGATGTCATGAAGGCGTCATTCATTAAGCTGGATGCAAATGAAAAAAGAATTATATATGGTACATACAAAAATTTTGTTTGTTTTTTTTTCTTTGTAAAATGCTGACGGGTACCTTCACAAAATATTCCCACAACCATCATTGAACTGTCGTGGTATTGCATTTATGGGCACCAAATTATGAAGAGTTGCAGAAAAAACATACCACAAGGTGGTATATCTTAACATGCAAAACTCTTGTCATTTATATTAACTGCAAATGCCATAAGAATACAGTTCAATGCATACACTTACAGTCCCTTCAGACATGTTACTGTCTTACACCAGTGATACCTTGATTTAAACAAAAACAAAGAATTTGTCCTTGACAGAATAATCTGTCAAAAGAAACAGCCATCATTTTGACAATTGTTAAATCAATACATTTGTAGTACGGCCATGGCTGTTTCTCATCCTTGACACTCCAGAGGTTATGCTCACTTTTTGCTTTTGAGCCCCCCCTCATAGCCCATGGAGTATCAAAAATCAAAAATGCCCACAGTAATGACATTGACATAGGTTGTGCATTGGATGTCACATTTAATGCTGTAAAGCCTTTCTGGTTTGTTTTTATTGTGATATTGCCATGAAAACGTAAATATAAATAAAACTGCTGAGAAACTTACGGTGAGAAACTAATATCTGTGACTGATTTGTTGTGGGCTGTTTTTATAAGCTCACATGAGAAGTCTGCAAAATTGAACCTGTAGATCTGGGAGTTTGTCATTCCAACAAAAAACTGAAAGGATGAAAAAGAGTTAAGATTATGGATACATACAGGTACCTTATAACATAATACATACATTAGGGGTTATCAAAATATATTTTCAAAGCTATTACCATAGATTGCATTCTGTCAGAAAATGGAGAATCTGTCACATGGATAATGAAACGAGCCATTCACATGCGTATATTGTCAACTTTATTGTAAATGTACATTCTTTAATGCGGTTCAAAAATTGTTTACCAAACACCACCACCCTTGGTTAACTGCCAAACAAGCTGAATTGATCATATGACAAAGTCATGCTGTACTTCCATGTATTGCAAGGCATGTGTGACATGTGAGGTAAACATAAATGAATATGTATTACTTTACCGACTGTCTTATTTATTTTGTGAGTAGGAGATGAGATTGTTGTCCATCAATTTTTTTATTCCAACCTGGTTTTTATTATAAATATCTTTCATTCTGTTTGTGTTTTCACATACCTGCTGACCTTGTCCTCTCAAGGCGATGGCTGCCACAGAAACGTTTTCTTTCTTATAATTTTCATCAAACCAAGACCTGTTTTAATACACAAGTAGGCAATTAGTTAATACATGAGATAATAACATTATATCTTTTAATTCTAGATTGTAACATATTTAAGACGGTGTTTAGTACACAATATACTGCAACACAATATCCAGTATTCATAAACAGTCTATGTATAGTAACAAGCTCATCCAAATCTATAGTTCAATAAAAATATGAACAAAACACTAAATGTTACGTAATAAGCCCACCCTTTGGATTTGTTTAGGATATGTTAGAAATTATATCAATACACAATCAAAAAGAAAAAGTACTGACCTCTTCTTTTCAAACACCCATTCATTTTTCTTGTTACGGTTGTACGCCACTAATGCGACTTCTCCCTCTCCAGATCCTATCAACATCATTTGCTTGTCGTGGAGGTGAGCAAGGGCAGTAACTCCGCAACCAAAGTTTTTCTGTTTTTTACAGTTTGTCCCCCCCGGACCATGAAATTGGAAGAGTTTTGTTTCTACATTTACACCGAGAATGTCACCTGTGGTGGTACCACACAGCAAATAGTTACCTTTCATCTGAAAAGTAGCAAATACAGTTCAATCAATAAACAAATATTTTTCAGTGATTCAAAAAAATGTTGTATATTTTGTTGTCAGCTAAATTTGACTCATTTTGGTTTTGGTAAATTTACTTTGGTTTGGTTTGTCTAAATTTCAATTCCAACATCCATGTGTCAAATTTTGACCCTCAAATCCGTTCGCAAAATTCTTTTTAAACTTTAGTTAATAATTTCAAAGCTATGATAAATGTCTGGCCAAACCTACAAAGACCCAAAAATCTAATATGTCAAAACCTGGGACATACCTAACTGTACTTTTGTATACTTTGGTCAAACCATTGTTTTTTCAGTCTGCAAGTTAACTATCTGTATAACTGGGACATATCTATATATGGGGACATACCTGCTTATATTTGTTAATCTAGGACACACCTGTATCATTTGAACACCTGGGACATTACCTATATATACATTTACCTGTGAAATGCCTGTATATTTGTATACATATATTTGTATTTATATCTGTACACTTAAGACATTACATACCTCTATACATTTACAGATCCTGACGTATTGACCCATGGCGACATCTGTCGGCTTTATTTTCCTGTTTTCCACATCCAGTTCCCAAACTCTCAGTGTACAACTGAAAAATACAATTTTTGAAATATAATCATATTGTTGATCTGAAGAAAATTTAACATAAACATTTAACATCAGTAAAGGTTTTATAAAAAACCTTGATCCTTGGAAGAATTTTCTCTTTTCACATCACCTGCAATGAAGAGTCACAGAAGAGAGACTAAGGTATCATCCACATTTCACTTTAAAGTTCTGCATTTAGATCTATTGCTCAAAGAGTTTAAGTCCAACTTATACCAACCTAGGTATACATATAGCTAAACCAAATAGTAGATAACACAACACATTCATCATTTACAAATTTACAAAATATCTCCCAGATTTTATGGATCCAGCAAAACTCTGAAAATAGGGATGTTTAGAAACTGGACATGAAAAGCTTTGTGTTTTTTATTTTCTTTATATTTTTTTTTTTTTTTTTTTTTTGCTAAAAAGTTTAGTATCATATTAAGACAAGTCCTGTAAAATATCAGACAGGTTTTCCTCTTGTTTCTTGGCAAGAGTGATAATTTTGGGTTAAGAATGCCTTGTTTGAGTGAATTTTGAGCATTACAGAATTAACAAAAAATTACTCTAATGTTTTAACCTCAGTTTTTAGACATGAAAATAATATCTATGGTATTTAAATATCATTAACTGAAATCAATTTAAGTATTTAGGGAATGGAGGGGTAAGGCAGAGACAATAATGTATTTTGCATTTTGCTAAAAAACAAAAAGGAACAGGGGAGACAATTTATTTTTGTTTCTGCTTGCATTCATAAAAAAACATCATGTAACAGAAAAGGTCTGAAGATTTTAATAAGATCATAAAAAAGGTGTGCATATTATGAAATTTCAGTTTCTGCATGAAATCCTTAACTATATTACGTCATATGATGCTTGGTAATAATCTTGTTTACATCTCATGCAAATATTCAGTAGAGATAAGCCCAAGGGACCAATATGCCCATTCTAACACAAACACAGTGTGGGCTTATTCTGGGAGAATATATATTTTTCAGCTCTTTCTAAACAGTAATAGATAAACAAGATTGTGATTTTGTGCACATTGGGCAATGAATTCGTTATTTACCTACCCTACCAGGCATGAACATATTATCAGCAGATATATCCTTGGTAGTAATACTTACTCTCCACCGGTGAAGAATTTGTATTCGTCTGTTTCATGATATGCAACACACATAGTGTTTCCTGCACTTTCAAGTTGAGCTGGTGAACCACAGATTGAAGTTTTGGTTTTAACGTCCCATACCACCACTCTGTCAAAGAAATATAAACAATATATAAAGATGAAAGATTTACAACTCTTAGCAACTTTCTAAGCATGATGTGGAGCTATAGTACAAAAGCAACCTTTACAAAAGTATTTACAAAGAAAGCCTTACAGGTGAAAAAGTTTGAAAAAGATGTTGAAACTTTGGACACAAGAACTTAACTTGAATTTGATATAAAAGTAGTAAATTTTCATTTATTTTACTAAGTGGATGGACAAGAGTTGAAAGGAATATTACTGTATTTGGAAACCCTTTAACAAAATGAGGAAAAAAGTGGGATGGTGGTATGTACACTTATTCAGTCATATACAGAATACAAATTTAGTAGGTAAGATAGTGATTACATGGATTATTCTGCATATTAAAAAAATTAACTTAAATATAATACTTCAGATTATTTCTTGTGTACAATCTTAATTAACACAGACATTCCTACAAATAGTTGGGCCCAAAGGACAGGACCAGGCACCAGTTTCACAAAAGTTCTATAAATTAAGAAAATTTCTCAAAATCCGGAAAAGCATTATTGAAATCGAAACCAGGTCCCAGTTATTCAAAGAATAATAAGAGATAACCAGTGGTTAAAGCTAATGGGAAGCATTCTTTATCATTTCAAAGCTGTAGGTTTGTTGAGACTTGTCAGATTAATACATTTGGAGTGTTGATTTTGCATGTAATACTCTAGTTTGTTCGGTGGTGGCAATTGGAATTTTTCACAAGCCACTGGTTACTCTTAACTTATTTTTTATGAGGGCCAGATTGTACAACTAATCTTAGAACCTTGATCACTCTGTATGCATGTCTCTTCAAGCCCAACAAAAACAGTCATAAGCAATAACCTCAAATATTTTCAAATGCGTTTTATCCTACACACTCAATAACGGTGGTTTTTCACATTCAACGAAAACTTACGATCCATCATCTTGTCCTCCTAAGGAAAGGAGGAAGGTGTCTTTTGGTGAAAATACCAAAGCTTCAATTTTCACTTTGTGGAGTTGTAATCGTTTATAAAGCTCCCTTTTTTCATAATTCCATATGATTATATCAGCCTGCAAATCAAAAGACAATGTTAATGTATTTCCTAATACATTTTATGTTCCTTATGAATTTAATGTTTTATATATTCTCTGGGCTGTTGAACTGCAGCAATAATTTAAAGCAAAAATATATTGTTTTGAACTGATTTATATGCTAAATACACATCATGATCAGAAGAAAATTTCAATAATTAGGAATCAAGAAAAGTTTATGCTTTCTCTAAATATTCTCAAGAATATCAATGCCTTTTCAGGCAAACTCTGATCTAAAACATGGTAGATGGTTTTAGATTGAAATATAAAAACAACCCATTGATTTTGAAAAAAACAAAATACTAACTTTGAACCCCATATGAGTGACTTGGCCGGAAGCAATGTATTTGCCAGTGTTGGAAACAGTAATGCAGGATACATCTAATGAATGTCCCATTAAAGTCTGCTGTTTTTTTGTTTCAATGTTTTCGATGATGACGGTGTTCCCAAGTGAGTAGATGAGATGTTGTCTGTCAGGATGAACTTTGAGGCCATTTGGAATGCCATCTAAAAGAACAAAGTGATTATTAAAATTCTGCACTCACTTGAAATAAATATTCTTCCATTTTTCAGTCAAGAAGTACTTTAATGTCTAAAGAAACAACAGAATCTGATATCAATAGATCATAGTGCACCACTTGATAATGTGTGAACAAACATTGTATTTAAACACAGAAATCTGACTTTTATAAATGATTTCATAATCAATTTTATAAATTATAGTCGTCATACTACATATCTCCTCTATGAAAAGCTAATGGTAAATTTCTAATACTGAAGCAGAATAACTACTACATAAAACATCCGACTCCTAATTGTGATTTTCGGGAAGTAAAGTTAGAATAAATTTATTTCAAATGAAAAAAAACCGTGAAATTAATCAACGGTTGAACATTGTGTAATATTTATCCATACCTACAGAGTATCAAATTATTGACTGACAGTTAAGGTTTAGACCCTAACATAACACCCCAACCCCAAAAAGAAACGCACACACACACACACACACACACACCTCTATTTCTTTTTCACTTCAACTCATATCTCAGCCTCCATTTTGGAGTGTATTGGAGATTAATGTGATTTATTCGAATCGATAACGTTTATTCACTTTTTTCAGTTTCTAGACGAATAATGAGTAATGGTACAAAGACCGGCAACATAGCTAGTAACAATATCAACATAGATATAAGATGTCGTTACCAACATGCCAAGATAGGTGCGTAATGCATACTATGCAATTATCTTAACGAACAATTACAAATCAAATATCATATATTCATTACTTACTATATCCTACGATATATTCCAGCTCCAAACGGGGTCCATCATAAGAATTGGCCATATTTGCAGTTGTGTTCGCTGTGAGATGAACAGCTTCAACAAATGCAATGCTTTGAAATTTACTCGTCGCTAAGGGATACAGACATGGTGACAATTCGAACGCCACCTATGCCTAACAATCAATACAAGAGAAGACAAATCGTGCTAGTCCAGACATGTGCAAAGCAACTGAAAACTCGGAACAATAATGTCTAATCCAAATTTTGAAGAGGAAATTGATTGTATTGTATTTTTTCATACAATTATTTATATCAATGCAAGACAACATAACGCAACTGTTCAATTTCACAACTGTTGTACGATATATACGCGATACGATTTATTACGGGAAATATTTAGGCCTGTAATTCTCAAAATAATTGCCCGGTGTTTATGAAACAGATTTGTAGAAGAAGCTCTCAAAAGTTTATAAATCAAACAAAGCGTTTCAATACTGCCTGATTCTGAACAGTTTGTAGTCGGCACTAAATTGATGTAAAATATATATTATCTCTTTTTCTCTTCTATTTTTTCAATTCTATCTTCTTATCTTTTCCTCCTTTTGACAAAATTATTTAAACTTACAATTGTACGTCTACCAATGACATATTTTCATGTTTATAGTATAAATATATGTAACGTGTAGTATATTAATTATTTGTAATTTCATAAATGGAGAAGATTCATAAGTTGCTAGAAATTGTCTCTGATCCATTTATCAGCTACTGATAATGAAAAATGTTTAAATCAACAGAAGCGCCATTTTTTGACACCTCATCGTTTTAGGTGCTTCTTTTTCAAATTTGTTTTCCCTGATCAGGCTGTAAGTACAACAGGCAAACCGGTCGTCCCCGGGAAAAATGAAATCATGTGACAAGGTGATGGTCAAGCCGTTTTTCTTTTCTTTTTGTTGTCCGTAACCATATAAACGCAGTGAGTGATCCGATTCTAGACGACGTGTTCCAAGATTAAAGCCTTTTAAAAGTAAGTTCTTTTTAGGCTGGTCTTGTCCATTAAATGTCCAAGTCCAAATACCACAATCGAAATCTGACGGTAGCTGAAGTGATCCCGTCTTTAGAATATCAGAACAGAACCATTCCTAAGTGCGAAACCCTGGGATTTCTAACGTGGACCAAAATCAGTTTCAACAGTAAAACAGTAGTTTGATAAGGTTTAGAACATCAGTTAGAATTTATTGATCACTTGCCTGACATTTCTTTCTAGTTTAACTTCAGCGGAGTGTTTCTACTGTACTATTAATTAAAACCACGGTGTAGCCGATATTACACGCAAGAGATTTCCTAGTAACCCCGAAAAGTCTTCAATTTTGGGGTCTGTGAACTAGAGTGTATAGCTGTATTCATCTATAGAAATGCATTTTTCGTCGATATTATGAATGCAGTCTGGGAGACAATTAAATAAATAACATCTGTTAGAACAATTAAATAAATAACATCTGTTAGAAGAAAGGACGTCATGACTATTTTGACAATATCATTGAACTTGCCAACCGCTGAATAATTTATTTACATTTAAAATGTTATTGTCACGATGCTGTGTATTAATGTTATCTTGTAGCGCCATTATGTAAAAGAGTTATTCTGTGTATACATACCATCTTTTGTTGTCGTGTCCGTAGTCCAGTGGGGACATTAAGATGGCGGCGAAAAAACGCATTGTACTGGATATCGATATACTGTCTCCCATCCTTGTAATTTTTCTCTGTTTAAATGTGCATGCAAAATGAGTTACGAATTATAAGTAGGCCTCGTCTTTGCCCAAAGTTACATCATGTTGACCGTAATTGAGAATCAAAAGCCGAGGGGGATGTAAGAAATTTCTGTTTGGGGGGGGGGGGGGGGTAATATTTAAAAAAGAAATCTGAAATATTTGGAGTGTCCCCTTCGTTACGTTTTTATGTCAGAATAATATAATTTGTGGATAATAATTTGAATGAAGACTTGCGGCAACGGTATTCAATATGCAAAATGACTACACGGCAACCTTAAATGTGATGCCTTCACACGTATATTCATTTTTGGGAAAATTATCGCTTCATAATGAATGCCTAAAAACTCGATTTCAAATGGACAATATTATAGTACATTTTACGGAGATTCAGAGATGTACAGACATCAATCAAAGCTTATATAGGCGTTGGTTTTCCTGGATCCCCTCCGGACTCCTACTCAAAACAGCTATATACTCTCCCCACATTTATAACAGCATAAACAAAACTGATCACTTATCAAATTTGAACGAACACGTCTGCATATTCTTTATCATGTTCAAAATTTACTGAATCGACAAAGAATTTAGATGTATAATTATAATTGAATATCTAAGGCAGTTAAAATTTTTCCATGTAAAAAATTAAGGTTTACGACCAGTCAAAGAGCATTCTAACCTCTGACGCTTGGGATTGTCCATTGTGACGTCACTATAATTCATGACGTATTATTTATGTGACATCACAAGAACGGACATTCGCCACATGTTGACGTTATAGCATAAGCTGTAGCGATGTCAATCATATTAGCAGGATCCGTTGAAGATATCGAACCATTGACAAAGCATCTACGACAATCAACTACACAGCAAACATTGTCAACTCCAAGTAAAAATGTTATCCCGCCAGGTGGCCGATATTCAATCACATTTTTACAAACCGTCCCATTTTGTCTGTGTCACTGTCGGTGAGATATTACTTTTATGGGGCGATCTTACTCTGGCTCATAAATTTCTGATGACCTAGAAACACACTTATTTAGTGTGTATCTGGGATATAAACGCCTAAATTCGTCCTTGTTGATATACAGCATTCCAAATATACTTTATAAGGGATGGAAAATGGTTCACACACGAATTCCGTAATATAGCACCAATTTAAACTCTAACTAAACAGTTATTTCATCCGTCCTTCAAATGAAATAATATGAATATCAATTATATTTCAGCTACATTAAATTAATTTGCCATAATCATCTACGGGTTTTTATTCACTTTAAAAATGATATGTGTTCTAGAATCAGACTTTCTACAAGTGCTTGCTTGTTTGGCAGTGCACTTCTACCTCATTCTCACTAGACCATAAAATAATTTTATCGCAGTGCACTGTGGGAAAATTTGTGATGTAAACACCCAGGGACGAGGTACGTTGTTTTTCCTCTGCGATCTGCCATTTTGGAGCGTTGGACGCCTCGTGATGTCTGCTGTTCAACAGCCTTCGGACAATGACGCTTGGGCATTGTTAGCCCTTAAGTCTGCACCTGCCAGTCCTGCAAGAGTAGGATGGACCCCAGAACCCAAGGAACCTGCAATTGCTCGATTGGAAGGAAGAGACTTTGAATATTTGATGCGGCAAGCTCGCGTCACGATAGGTCGGAATAGCAGTAAGGGAGAAGTAGACGTAAACATGGGACATTCGAGCTTCATTTCTAGAGTTCATTTGGAAATTTGTTATGATCACCCTAATTTTTTCATGAGATGCGGAGGTAAAAATGGTATATTTATTGACGGAATATTTCAAAGGAAAGGAGCACCCCCTCTGCAACTACCAAGGACGTAAGTAGCGTGGTGGATTGTTATCAAAACAATGTCACTCCCCTTCTGATGGCCCCTCGGCTTATGTCTAGTGTCTACCACATTTTTTACCCGAACTATAACATAAACAACTTATTTGTTTGGGCGTCGAATACTAATTATCACTAAAGATTCGAAATAACATACATTTCTAATTGACATTTTGTGCAATTTCATTATTACAAGCATTTTTATGTTACCATGTGCTCGAATAAACATGGCGGCTATGTAAACAAAATGGCTGCTTTATTTTGTTTATGTTTTCTACGTAATCTGTGTTTTGCAAAAAAAAAATATGGCAGTTTCTGAAGCTTCTTTCACGTTTCTGAGGGATAAGAAGGGCGAATTTCTCTTAAGAATTTCAAATTTACCTGCTTGCCGCTAAAGACATTTCCTTTCTGTTTGAAAATAGAAATTATAATGCATGAATTAGTAGAGAAAAGACGACTCGCCCCACTTTCATGCACTGGGTACATGCACTTAATAACGGAAGTGCAACAAGCCTACTATGGAGTTAAACGTCTAAAGTAACACATGGCGATTGCTTATTTTTGCAATCAAAATAAAGTGTCAATATGATTTAAAGTATACATATTTTGTTAAGAGTGGAATGTTACTAAAATATATTGTGAATCAAAATGGATTGTCAATAATTTTACCAATTATCCCTTTTTGCTTCTTGATCCCTCATTAATATTTGGTAATTTATGTATTTTCTGTTTACTTTCAATATAATGTACCTCAATATAACTGTGTTATTCAACTTATTTCATGCTGTCAAATCACTCTAAATGCTGAAAGGATGGGAATGAACAGAATGACCAAAATTAATTTGCAGTTCATGTTCTAATTTCTGTAAATTAAAAAGTAGGTAATGGGAACTGAATGCCCAGAGCCAATTTAATTTCACCAAACCATAAATATATCCTTAGTTGTGTGCACTGTGTATGTAAAATTTTTACCTTACCTTTATTATACTTTGCATCGCCTATGAATATGAAAGGAAGAAATGGATTTTTATGACCCATCGATGGAAAAGAACAATACATTAAGCGTTAAACATTTTATTTATCCTTATATTTATCAACATCCATTGCATATTGGTAATCTGTACATGAATTACTACCAGATTAAAAAGATGATATTGCTTTGCATAGGCAGTGGCAGTGTACCATATCTTGAAGTTGAATTATTGGTAGATGGAGAAGATAATTTCTTGACAGTTTCTATTGAACATTTTTTGATAATGGCTCTTTCCATTTATAATGTATTAGTTTTGATTTGTCTCTCAATCCTTACAGATGTGTGCTGAGGTTTCCAAGTACAAATATCAGGATAGCATTTCAGGCACTTGTTGAAGACAATGCCCCTGCCCAACCACCACCACCACCACAACCAGAATCTCCACCTAAGAAAAAGAATTTGCCTCCACTGAAAATCAACATTCCTGAATCAGTGGAGCACGCTTTCAGTCCCTGTCCATCACCTACTGGAACTATTAGGTACCTCTTATGACTTTGTGTGTGGTATCCATTTCAGAAATTTGTATTTGAATGACTAATAAATTAGAGAAGACTCCAACTGAGACTATGTCAATTTCTATAGTTTCATGTCTACCAAAAAAGACTTCTAACAGTATTTTTTTGATTAAGTATGATATTGACTGATGATTGATCTTTTTCTGTCTGTTCAGCTTTTCCTTGAAAAATGTTTTTGGTGAAAGCACAACTCTTACAGTAGTGATGCTGCTGCTTGCATAGGTCACTTTTCATATCAAGTGTTCTCAGATCAGAGTGCTGAAGTGAATGATTTATCTGAAATTCACAATGATTTACCTAGAACTTGTATGTATTCTTGTTTGCTGGCAATATAGTAATACTACTGATTTATATAAGGATTACTTGAAAATATGTGCTAATATTTTCTGTTAGAAGAGGAACTTGGCATGATGCAAATAGCTTTTGTATTTATTCCTTTGGTCAGTCCTACTTTGGCAATGAATTGTTTGTGTTCTGACATGACTGAATAGCAGGTTTGTGTAATTCTGTTGTATGCCTTTAATATTCCAGTGCTGCAAATTCTTGTCCCACAAGTCCTAGAGGAGGGGCCAGACCAAGCTTTGTTGCAGATATTCAGATGGCAGCACTGAGTGCACAAGCAAATCCAAGGGAAGAACGAGATAGCATCCCTACTCCCACAGATAGTGCCAGTAGCAGCCCAAGGGATGACTCTAAACCGCCTTACTCTTACGCCCAGTTAATTGTGCAGGCTATCACGTCAGCTCAAGACAAACAGTTAACACTTAGTGGCATATATGCATATATAACTAAAAATTATCCTTATTACCGAACAGCAGATAAAGGATGGCAGGTGAGCATTATTTGAGAGAATATTTTTCATGGCTCTCAGTTGACGTTTGATATTTTGCAACTTGCCAACATTCTATTATCTCTGAATTTGGAAAATAAAAATAGATGTAGGAAAGGTGCATACCTTTAAAGCCTGAGAATCAGAATAATTTGTGAAGTGTCAGAAACATACTCTTCAATTTCTAGAAAGTGTATTTGGAATTTTTGTGAACTGAGTCTTTTGTGATTAGCTTGGACTATCACCAATATATGTACTGCATGTTCTTCAGTAGTATTTCTTTGCATTCTTAATAGAAATTCATTTTGAATGACATAAGCTGATGCACATCATAATTTGTGCTATGTTATTGGTTTTATACTTTACATGTCTTGGAAGATCTCAGCTAGAACTGCAGAATGTAGTCTGACCAAATTTTGTATGAACCTTGTAATGTTGATGGGACTTTTTATAAAATGGTTTGGCATAAATGGTAGAGGGAAGTGATCAGATATATCTTTAGTCATCTGACCCAAAAGGTCAAGATGACCTATTGCTTTCACATTTGTCCATGGCTGTACTGTGTGCCATACACAGTCTTTAAACTTTTTCTTTAAAACACAACTCGCTTAATGCCTCATTGGATTTCAACTAACTTTAATCAGAAACATCATTAGGAGCGGGGAATCATTATCTGAATTCAGAAAGTTGATTTGATCCTTGGGATCTGGGGAAGGGGCCCCAAAAATTGGAAAATCTTTTTCTTCAAAACGCTTCTCTTTCTTAGTGCTTGAATGGATTTCATTTAAAGTCCTTTGGTCCAAAACATCATTTCTTAAGTTCAGATAGTTGATTTGACCACGAGGGACTTGGGGACAAGACCCCAAAAGGGGAAGTTAGGCTAAAGTTTGCTTCAAAACGATTAATTCCTGGGTAGATTTCAACCTAATTTGGTCTGAAACATCATTAGGGTGTGGCAATGGCATCAAACATGTGAAGTGTTCCTGAGATTGTCCTGAACAAATCATATTTTTTGATTTGGTCCAAAATCCAACATAACTATTCTTGAACAAATAGTCTGAAGTCTGATCTGCTCAAGTTTCATTCAAACCAATGAAAAAAGTATTTTGGAGTTAAATTTGTCAAGGAAAAGAGGCAGATGATCTGTTATTTTTAAGTCTAGTCAAAATTTCAAGATGGTAACTGCAGTAACTATTTTGTAATATGATTGTGCCACTGTTTTTCGTGAACAGAGTCTACCACGTACAAGATTCTAATACTTTCGAGGAATGTTCAGAATTTGAATTCATCAGATTTGTTAGCCCACCATCAGCAAATTCTATGGTCTGTTCATTCGTCAATTGTCAGATGACTGTTAAGGACATTTGCTCTCTTGTTCAGAGTTCCTTTTTATGGGAAGTTTTCACATTAATGTTAATTTCAGGGGTAGCAGGACAGTCCAGGGTAATCATAGTTGATAGTAGGGCTTGATATGTCCCAGGGGTATAAAGAGCGAAAGTGATTGTAACCCCTTGAGTATCATAACTATGCATAAAAGACTCATGCACAATTGTACGAGGCCTTCACCATTCATCATTGAATAAGTGGTAATGTGATGAAACAATAAAATTATGCTCACTGAGCCAGTATCTAGAGTTACCCAGTTCCTTCCCATTATATATCAGTTTAAAGTACATGTTCCCGTAAAACAGTTAAATTGAAGACTTAGTCTTGATATGTTTTAAGTTTTGTTTCTTCTATTTCAGAATTCAATAAGGCACAATTTATCACTTAATAGATATTTTGTAAAAGTTCCTCGTTCACAAGAAGAGCCAGGGAAAGGATCCTTTTGGAGGATTGATCCAGCTTCAGAAGCTAAACTTACAGCACAAGCATTTAGGAGACGGCGGCAGAGAGGTGTGCCTTGTTTTAGAACACCATTCGGTGGATTGTCAACAAGGTAAAATTCCATTGTTTCAGTTGTAGACTGTTCATTATATGACATTTGTATTTACTACATATTTTTAAGACTAATTTAAGAAGAAGCATACAAGACCACACCTTTGCAGAATATCAAAAAATGACATTGATTTTGATATCTTGAGCAAAGCAAATTTTACTCTTTTTTTCCCTTGATTTTTCCATTATGTTTTTTGTATTAAAAAATCTAGAGATAAAGATACTAGTCAGCTGGTACCATTTACGTTATCAGTTATTGATGAAATGGAAGATGTCTGGAGGAATCAGCATCTAATTATTTAAAGTGTATATACTAGTTTAATATTAGCTTTATTTAGAAAGATTTATAGTTCAGAACCCTCTAAAACTTTGTAAAATTTAAAATTCTTTGAGTAAGGACTCAAAGGTCAAATGTAGATCTATCGCTCTGTAGGTGAGAGTTAAATATGCTGTTGGACGCTTTGTTAAGAGTATTGTGTTTAGGTGCCATTCATATGAATAAATACGTCATTGATATATCATCAAAAGCTTGTAGGAAATCAATTCATTTTGCCTTATTTTGACTTGCAGGTCAGCACCAGCTTCACCAAGTCATATGGGGGGAAACTTTACACCAGACAGTATGTCAAGGGAGGGAAGCCCTATCCCTGAAGGTCCCAGTGAAGGAGATGTCCATCCTGCCAGTACCATAGTCACACACCCTCAGATCCTGGCAGCCCAGACAGCTGCAGACCTCTGTAGGATTAGTCAGTCAGCACCAAGCTCACCAGGAGGTAAGTTACCTACACAACTATTCAGTTATTTGATCTGAATCTGCTAGTTAGTCAAAAGGGCTTTGGATTGTGATTAAGTTTACATGTTAACTTGTTTGCTAAATCCCTAAAGAATTGGGTGTGATTTAATGAAAAATCAGTAGCTTTATTTTGCAAAATGAATGAATCCACAGTTATTCATGCACTTATCCACCTTTAAGTGTATGCACATTAAGATATCATGCAGTCTGGAGTATCAAGTATTAAATGAATTTGACTTGTTTAATGATGAAAGTGGCCAAATGGATTTTCTATCCAGACAAAATAAAATGTATGATTTTTGTTTGACAAAACATTTGACTTTATTTTCTTTCTCTCACAACAGTTAACATAACTACAACGCTAAGTTCATCAGGTACTTCAGCAGTTCATCAGTTACCAACCATGATTACAAAGCCAAAAGTGATAGTAACAAATACCGCGCAACTCGTCCTCAATGGTCCTCCTGCAGGCCATACAAACAGCGGGCTCACTAATGGGACTCACATGGAAATCAAGAAGGAACATGGAACGCTAGGTATGACTTTTTGTTTGGATTTTTCTTTTTTTTTAACGTAGGAAAACTCTTTCAGTGCTATGCGGTGACTTAGGTGTATGATACTTGATATTTGGAATGTGCAAGGAGACATAGAACAGTTTCTCTACAAATTAAATGGGCAATGTCTTGCAGATTTGAGTACACAATATTGCCTGTCATTGCAATATGAGATGTAGCATATGAAAACTTAAATATTATTCAATTTAGGAAATAATCTGTATTGTAGCCAATCAAAAGACAGGAAACAGCATTAGAAAATGATTCTGCTAGAAGTTGCCTCTGAAACGAAATTGCAGTTTCTTCAGACATTTTAAACTTAAAGTTTTCCTAGCTCATTTGTGTATTTTACATGTGTACAGAGTCTGTATACCATTGACACGGAGTCCCGGTATGTACATAATATTGTAGTAGGAATCGGACATATCGGTAATGGGACGTGCTGTTTTTAACTTAGGTTTTCCCACTGAAAATACGATTTATTAATTTGAAGACATTGTTATTAGGTCTCTATTAGAAGCTAGCAATTCAATTCTTTGAATGAATCATATTCACTACTTGTGTCTTATGTAGCATACAATGATAATGTGAGAACAAGAACATTGTCATTTAAAGTACCTGGGATTGAGCTTTTGGGCCATCCTACATCATATTGTTACTAAATAAGCCTTTTGATAATCTTTTTTAAAGATTCATTTTTGTCTAGTAGCCAATACATTGTATCACTGCCAGTTGTAATCTCCTCTTTTGGAACTTAAAATTGTTTCAGTGAATCATACACTTTTAACTTATTTCTTCTATGTAAGGGTTTAATTGTTTTGCATGTTAAAGTGACAAATATATTTATCATCAATATGTGTAGCCTTCCAGTTATTTCAGTACTTTGATTTGACATTTTTTCTTCCCACAGAAAAAATTCAAGCTGTTGTGACGGCTGGGGGCCAGGCAACAATAAAACCTGTCGCATTAGTGCGCAATACGACTGCTTCCATACAGGGCCTAACCAGTCAGCAGCAGCAGCAACTGTCATCCCTGGCAACACACCAGGGCAATGGCCTGCCATCTACGGCTATCTTGTCACAGCCCAGCATCAGCACCTTCTCAACAGTGCAGCGCCCTGGCATTGCCATCATCCCTCAAGCAGGTATGCAGCTGGTGACGACGTCAGCCTCTCAACAGGCAGCAATGTCACAGCCGCAGCTACTGGTGAGTATGTTTTATATTGTTATTGTTTAAAGCAACATTCACCCACCAAGAAAACATCTTGGTTGATCTCCTTTTCTTGAGAAATAATTAAGTGCAAAGAATTTTCAAGCTTCATGTTTTGAAGATCATCTCTGTGTAACTTATTATTACTTCCCTCTTTCCACTTACCTTGTGCACACGTCAATAATTGAACCATATTATGCATTTAACTAGCTTATATTGGGAGATTTTTTCCCTCTACATTTTGAACTTTAGATGTCTGTAAAATGCTAGACTTTCTTATTACCAGGATTCAGAATAAAAAAAAACTGAAAGTTGTTCATTGGCTCTCAATATCAGTTTTTAGTTTTAAGATGCTGCTAGGAAATCCTAAATCATTGTTGAAGATTTCAATATTCAAAATTGTCATGTTACTGTTTCAATAGGTTACCACTCTGTCCAATGTGCCAGTTTCAATGGCATCAAAGAGACCACTAGAAGACTATAGAGATGACGAAGGGGTGGAAAAGGACGCGAAAACAGTTAAACTGGAAATAAAAGAGGAGAAAGAGTGAGGGTGGGAGTCATGAATGAAAACACAACCTGGTGAAATTTTTCTGTAAAGTAAACCATATTGGGAGTGACTTGCAATGAACTCTTCATTGTTTTGGACTTTGAAAATCCGAAAATTGAAATTTTCTTATGGTTATTTCTTCAGAATGTATCCATTTCTGTTCTAATAGTTCTGACAGTATTGTTTTCTGGATGCTTAACTTCAGGAATTGATCATCCAAGAATCTTGTTTTTCTGTTTCAGAAAGTTTTTCTGATACAATGATTCTGTAGTACGAGGTCCACAATATCAGATATAAAAAATCAGAAGTCATCTTGTATCCAGCTTATTTTAAAAAATCTGCTTCATTTTCAATTTTAATTGGTTCAAAGTTCCAAGTGGATCTGATTTCAATGTACACTTGTGCACAATAGTCGTTACATTTCTGAGGCCAGTTGATGTATCAATTTAATGTAATAGAACCGCTGCAAAATAAGTGGTTTGTGAGTACTGAATATAAATTTCATCAGAAATTAATTGACACTTGTTCAAATTGTTGTTAATTAGGAGCTAGTAGATGAATTCTACAAATGCATTTGACTTTCTCTTGTGAATTTTGATAATAAGTGACGTTAGTGGTTTGGCTTCTGTAAGGAAAAAAAAGCTATGCTACTGCTGATTAAAAGATGATTTGATTCCAAATGCTGTTTTTGAATATAATGGCATAATAAAACAAGGGCACTTTCAGTTCTGTAATCTGTTGATAGTTTTGTATCATTGTTATTATCATCAAATGGAACGTTCACTGCTTTTGTATAAAAAACAAATTCCCAAAATTATTGATGTCAAGCTTTGGGACATGGCTGTGAAATGTTCTGATGCTGTTCAGTAACGGGGAGCAGAAGTCATTTAATGTAATCACTCATGATCATTTTACATACTGTCTGGTCACTTTATTTGTTTTAGTAAATGATACTGAAATCATGTGTATGCATAAGTTTTCTGTGTTCCTTTAATAATGACTTCAATAGCAGATTGTCTTGAAACCTTCATTTGAAAATAGCATATTCCAATTTTATTATCCTGTTTGAAGATTGATTAAATTTTCCCTAGTAAATTGCCTGTCAGTGATTCCCTTGTTTTCTATGACAAAAAATATAACAATGCAATTTATTAATTCAAGTTTAAGTATTCTAGATTTGATTAGGGTATTTAATAAGTTTCCAAATCAGAAAATTCCATGAAACTATACGGGTCAAGGCAAGTATGTGTTACATATTTTGTTACCAAAACTGTAGAGTTTATATTATTCAATGTTTCCTAGTAGATGAAAATCTCCAAAACTGACATTATTCACTGTCAATGTGTTGAAATGAAATTTGTTCTTGACATTACCGGCAGAATTTTCAAATCACAATACAGAAAATATTTTTTGAATTTTCAGGTTAAAAAACTTATATCTGCACTTTTCTTGTGTGACATGAAAAGTTTTAACAGATATATTTCTGGAAATGGTTTCATCATGTTCTAAACAGGATACAATACCCTTTACATATAGTGTTATAATTTTATGAAAAAATGTGATGGGTAATATTTGAAAGGTTATCTTGAGTGAATTAAATCAGGATTGAGCCATATTGAAATAAATCATGATTAAATTTGTTAAGAAAGCACAGTTAAGATTTGTAATGGACCAGTGATATAGATTGGTGTGATGGCATTGCTTCACGTAACTTAATTATGAACTTTTTTTTCTGCATTAGTATTGAACCGTCAGACGGTAGCAGAAATCAGGTTTCTATTGTAAATCGATTACGTCTCCCCCACTAAGTGTTAATTGTGTAATAGATGCTCCAGTGTTTTTAATTTCTTCACTAAATACATCAGGCAAATATGTAAATAAACAGTGTTATCTTGCTGATGGAATACATTGAAGAGAATATACTATACATGTTGTTCCGAAGAATTAAAAAAAATTGTATTTATACTTTGTGTATAGCTTTTGCATTATCGTGATGTACAAATTTGTGTTTAATACAGGACTGTTGTTGGAACACAACCACAAAAAATTGTTTTCAAAGGATTTTCACCAAAACATATTTCATCAGAATTTTTAAAAGATTCCAAATTACATCAGGAATCATTAGATTGCTGAGCTAGGTTAATGATTCTTTTATAAATTTTGGGGATAATAACGAAACTACAAAATGAAATACTGTTGAAAACATATTTTTTAAAGATGTTAAGTTGATGATATGTTATTGAATATTAAAGTATATATATTTATATATATATTGGATATGCATATCTTGATTTATTGTTGCAGTCAATAAACTCAGATGTACTCCAAGAGAAAGGACCTTATGAAGTATATATATTTATATATATATATAAATATTGTCAAAATAGTGCTTCTTGTTAATTATCTGTTTGGATACCAACATTTCTTTGTGTGTATTTAGATATGAATGAGAATTTTGGTGGAGTGTGGGTGAGCTTGTTTTGTTCTTTTTTTTTTCCTCTCTCTCTTTTATGGGATACAAAAATTGTTCTCAAATTCTTTTTATTTCATTTGTAGTCTTCTTCTTTCTTCAGCCTTTTAATTATGACTTATCTTATTAATTGAAAATAATGGAGTTAAGTTTTGCAGGCAGCTCAAAATGAATGCAAACCCAATATGAAATGAAAAAGCATTAGTCTGTATGTGTGGTATTTTAGTTATAGTCAAAGGACAAATAGATATCTTTTTTCAACTTTTCAGAATATAAATATGAATGATCCATACTTGTTTTGTTAACCTCCATTTTAAAATTGAATTTTTAATGAATACTGCCTCTGCTAAAGAAAGAAAATTAGAAAATTGAATTTGAAATGTTCATTCACTTGTCTTCTGACAATCTTAAATTGTGTCAGCTTCTACGATTTAATTGTAAGTTAATGTACAAAGTGAAAACGGCATGTCTTGTATGAATATGTAATTACATGTTTTTCTTGACAAATGTATAAGTTGAGATAATGTTTCAGATGTTTAAAAGAGTCGATTTTAAAACTGATATTGAGCGGTTTGCCTGGCCCTTTATTCCAGTCATATAAAACCCCTCTATTTGTAATAGAATTCCTCATAATATTGGTAATACCTACAGATATGCATAAATTTCAAAATAACCCATCATAGTATATCTTGTCAGGGGCTAGCTAGAGGTGGCAAAACTTCTAAAGGTTTAAATAAGATCTTTACACATTGTAATTTTAAGCATTTACATCAACATGGCAGCTAGGGTTTGTTAGCATTACAAAGCAAGATACTGCATAGGCATTGTCTAGAAAAGATTTCTCACATATCAGGCTATGGTAAATAACGGTAGGTAGTGTTCACAGGTTTTTCCCACCAAAACTGTTGCATCCAAAGTTAAATGTTTAATGTTTTATTATGTTTAAGTAAATGTGAGTGTAACAGACATGTATGAAAGGCGGGAGAGGAGACATTTTAGATGCATGGAATATTATATTTAAGTTGTCTCTGCTCTGTTAAATATGTTGATTTTGTTTTGGTTTTTTTTTTTTTTTTTTTCTTTCTGAAATACCATGATGTTAAAAAGGGAATTTCTGGTGTATTTAGAAGAAATAGGAAATTCCATATAAAAGATGTTTTAGTATAAACATTTGCTATGAATATTTTTAACTCAGTGATTGCCTACTTTTAGGTAATGTGTGTGTACCAGGTATGTTTAAAATAATAATGAGAAAAAAAACATTGTATCAGGCAGTCCTGAAAAAAAAGATAACTTCTGTTGTAACCGATACCATCAAAATATAAAACTTTTACTTGTACATTTTCATGTGTATTTGTAAAATTTAAAAACTGTGATATTTTGTGACATCATTGCATGCTCACGATAAATGTCCAGGTCTGTTTTGATACAATATTGGGCTATCAAGCACAGACAAGTCGCCACTGACTGGTAATAACACCATCGGAAAAGCTGTAAATAAGAAGCTCACCCGTCCTGGTTCAGTATTTGTTGTCACCGTGTGCTAGTACAAGAATATGGTTTAATGGTTCCTTACGTATCTGGTGTATTTTGTAGGGAAATACCTCTTAAAGAAACAATTGTACATTTTGCTTACTTTTGGTCGCTCCTCACTCATGATTTCATGTGTACATTGTACATGGATAGAATTGTCCGTGATTTGTTTACGTGTAGCATGTTTTCTATACAGATGACATTGTCTGTTACTTCTGCCAGGGCTTTCTTGGCATGTGTAATAAACATGTTGTTTTAATCCACTCATGTCTTGTTTCGTCTTATTTTAAAGTGTTTCTGTTTAACTGGTTTACATGGTTAAGGTTAATGACACATGAAACCTTAACTCTCACATCAAAATTAAACTACAAAAAAATCAATAAAGCCAACAACAAAAATATCACTCGGGGGTTTGAGGTTAATTCAAACTATACAGAATAAAGGGTTGCTAAACCTGTATCATTTTGTATTATTCATTTTATTTTCATGCCTTTCATTGTTGGAATGGTCAATTACTGTATTTCCCCTATACGGCCGAGACCCACCATCTTTATACAAAATCAGTTCTCTTTCATGTAAGAATGCTTCAGATGAAATTTGGCCGATATCCAAACATCTTTAGCAGCCCATCATCATCTGATTGTGGGGTATTCTAATCGCCCTACATACGTGATCCATAGTCCGTACGTCTATAAACAACTTTTGTTTACATTATTTCTCGAGACGAACTGGATGGATCTTCTCGAATTTCATATGTAGGTTCCAATTGGTCCCTAGTTGTGCCTGTTTGATTCTGGGACTGATCAGAAAAAAGATAATGGCAGACAGGCGGCCATCTTGACTTTTTCAAGAATACTTGATAAGTACTAGATGGATCTTTCATATTTCCTTTGGTCGCTTGGCGTGCCCGTTTCATTTTGGGACCGATTCAAAAATAAAATGGCCGACAGGCAGCCATCTTGGATTTTACCAAGTAAAGTTTGTTTCATATTTCTTAAAAAGTACTGAATGGAATACTTCAAATTTAATAATTAGGTTTTCCTCTGTCCCTAGCTGTATTAATTTGATTTTTGGTCTGGTCAGACGGGCGGCCATCTTTGATGCCAAGAAAAAATTGTTATTGATCGTTCTTGAGAAATATGTCATGGATCTCTCTTAGATTCCATATTGGAAGTTTCCCTTTGCCTCTAGTTGTGCCCATTTGATTTTGGGACTGATCAGAAGAAACAAAATGGCTACCAGGCGACCACTTTGGATTTGGCAGATAAAGATTACCGAAAGAATGTTCAAATTCTCTGGGATCGCTTGTTCGTCAATAAACTGACAGGGGATTAGATTGTTTCGTCTTATAAACCACAAGCACTGATCCAGCATTCTGAGTTAGAGGGGCCACGAGATTTCTTAACTGGAACATGCACGCACACACAAAAACACGCCACCACCCCCTCTAATTAGATTTTGATTTTGTTTATGTATTTCTTAGTGCAACAAAGTGAAGCCCATGTATGGTGGAGAGTGACATATTTTGCCAGACCGTTGAAAATGGATGTCGTTGTCCACCTATGATATCCATCAACATTTCTTCATACTATTTCTTGCGCTGCGTCATCAATAAGATAAAAATCCTTCTTTGATTTTGACGTAAAAGGCTAAGAAATGGTGTGATTCAAATAGCATATTTCTTACGTGTATGTTGTTTTGTTGTTTTTTCCTTGATCTTATTCAGTTTGTGGTATAATCAATCCATAAAACAATGCCTATATCTTGTCTTTTGACAAATTACCTATTTCATATTTATGTATTCCTTGTGAAACTGATTGGTGGTGGATATTTCAAACTAAAAAAACAACAGCTAAATAAATAAATAAATAAATAAGACAAAGGGACCGTACCGCATATAATGATGCCATACCCTTCCCTTTAGGTCCGTCCTTACATACTTGTCAATGAACTTGTACAATTCTCATACTGACATAAGCTTCCTACAAAAGGTCGTTTTGCCCGTTCTAGTAGGGGCGGCGGGAGGAGCAAGTGGGGTGCGCCCCTCACCTCTCTGGGTCCATCAGTGGCCCACTCTCGACACACAAATTAATATAAAAAATATAACCAACCATTGTATTAAGAATTAAACAGACACATTTTTAGAGAATCTATCATTTGCTGGAATTGATGAGATGATCCATATGTCTGAAAATGCTAGAATTAATATCATCGATGCACTACCATATTTGAATACTAATTTGAAAACATCCTCATCCGAGTTTTGTTGCTGATCAAATAATATCACTCTGTATTTCACATTCAAAGAAAAAAAAATATCAAACAACTGCTTGTACTACATGTATGTTAATACTGTTAGTAATATTACTTTTATTTGTTTATCTTTGTATTGTTTTGCCTATGTCAACGTTATTAATGGGCATGGCACAGTTAGAAATTAAAGACATGTTAGTGGAGACCAGCTCTAACAGTTAAACAATATCTATTGAATTTCAATATGCTTAAACCTGTGTTGTCAAATCGTCCGTTTTCTCTTTCTTGGTTGTTTATAAAAGACTTGGATATAAGGACATCCAAGTCCGTGATTAAATAGGCTATTAAGTTTTTTCCCTGTCAAATCTCAAATCGGAAATGGGAAACTACTCACAAAGTTGTGGATAGACAGTCAGACTCTTCAGCCTATCACGTTTCTTACGAATTTTAATGCAAACTTATTGTCGCGTGAAGTTTTCAGTAAAGTCTATGTTTATACAAAGGAAATGTCCACATTCTGATGTAGATTAGGCAGATTTTTATTGATATGGTTTAATCAAAGACTTACACAATTAGCCTTGAACTACTGAGTACACGTACTGAAATGTAGGACTCACACTGGTTTTTTACCATATAATTGTCATAAGTTACGAATATTTATATGTTGCGCAATCATAATGTATAATCTTTACCGAAGTGTTTGTATTGATAATGTATTCACAAAATTCGATAAAAATCAGATCCTTTCTTTCTCTTTGACAGACCTTGTGCCAAGTTACCGAGGATCTCGTGTTAGTTGGTTTGCCAACTAAAAATGGGAGTTACCGTCCCTTGTTTCTATCACGTGACTTGCAACAGGAAACAGATCGCTCCATAGCAACAACCCACAACGGTTGTGTTAGCAAGTGTTTGGGTAGTGTTGATAACGTGTTCGTCTGGAAACCCAAACGAAGAGCAGGAGGGGTTGAAAGAAGAACCATACACACAATGGCTGCTGTAACAACTCTTCAGAGCAGGGAAATTCCACCTTCAAAGCCAGAATTGCAGCCACCGCCACCTAGAGCCGAGATGGAGATCACTTACACTGGCAACACAGGGAATGATATGGGGATATCAACGATGGGATTTAGAGCTTCGAAATATTCCCCAAACGAGTGGCATGAGACCAATTATGGAAAATATTATCATTCTTTCGCCGACCGTGATAATGCAGAGAGAATCCGACATGAATCTAAAAGGTGCGCCAACGAAACGGAGGCAACCACCAACAAAACACAGGCGGAGGTCACAAAAAAATTAGGAGAACGCATTCAGGACATTAATTTCTGGAAATTCGAATTAGAAAGGGAGATTCGAGATGTAATTTCAGAAACAGATGTGCTGTTAGATCAGAAAAAGCGTCTCGAGAATGCCCTTCGAGCAACTGAAATTCCTCTCCACATCTCGACAGATAATCTGAACTGTCGTCAGAGGCGTACAGGAGTGGACTTAGTCCAAGACAGTGTTGAATTGGGCCTTTTAAAGGTACATAACAAAACGTTCTATTCATACGAAAAGCTATTGATTGTGTGATGTCAGTTTAACCTACAATATGTAGATTAATTGTTACCAATTTTAAATATTAATCAGATTAGAATATTAGTCTTTAAACACATAAATTGATGCATGGGAGTTTAATATTGCCAATTCTACAAATTCATTTATATTTCAGGAGGTAGAAATGATTAACAATGTACAAGATTTGCTAAGGAAGACCACAGACCAAGCAGAAAAACAGATTAAGTAAGTACCTTTTATCTTTTTGTTAAAAATTTAAGGATCTGATACAAAAATAATATTTCTACACTATCAATTATTGATTCAAAGACTTTGAAGAAATTGTTTTTACAGCTAAGTATGCCTTCCATTAGTCAGTGTTATGTGTTGAAGAGCAAAATCAGACATTATATTTTTTGAACCACCTAATGTTAAGGTGACAAAATCATAGTCCTTTCATGATAGACGAGAACTTGAAATTATTCTGTAATCAGGAAAGGAAGTTTGTTTTTTTTCAAAAGACTCTGAAATGTAATTGAAATTACAACCCTGCTGCTAAAACTGAAATCAAATTATTTATCAAATAATTATTTGAATTTTGTAGAATTTAGTAAAACAATCTTGGCAATTAGATATATCTTTTCTCTGCAGATTGAACAGAGAAGCAAAACAGAATCTTGAGATGGACTGGAGTGATAAGAAAGATGCCCTAGAAATTGATACAGCCTCTGGTGCTTTGAGAAATGGACACACAAATAAGCAATTCTATTCTGGAGCTGCGAAATTTGAAGAAATGTAAGAACAAATTGAGTCTTAACATATTGTTAGTGTTACATATATCAATCGGCAAAGAAAAATGTACTGAAAATACTTCGACAAATTTATTACATAAAATAGCTGCTGGAACTGTGGTAACTGTGATACCCACTATCACACTATATCAGTAATCTTTGATACTGTCCTTTTAGATTTCATAGTTGCAATTGGTTATAAAACATCTGATAGTTTGATATGTATAATGTATCATCATAGTAATTGTTAAAAAATCTTAATAAGTCTGTTAAAAAATTCACAAACCCCAGGCATTATGCTAATAGAATTATTGTTAAAAAATCCATAAACCCCAGGCATTATGCTTATAGAACGTTTGTTAAAAAGTCCACAAACCCCAGGCATTATGCTAATAGAATTATTCACTGCAGAAATTGTAGTAATACCAGAATATTTGTGTAAATGTTAACATCCATTTAGAATCATCTTTGTAAATTATTTGCCATAAATTCAAAAGAAAAAAGTATTACTATAAATGATCTCAAAATTGCAAATTGTTTTCAATTCTTATACATAATCTACTTATGAATTTACCATTATTTTTTGTATTCTTTCTTTGAGATTTAAAAATCATTATTTATAATTCTTATGAATATATTTCTTCAAAACAGTCAGTCAACACCCGAGTCATGGGCACAGTACACACATGATAACATTGTGAAGGCGGAACACGAGAGGATGGCATCTATTCAATTGAGACAGATGATTGATAATATTCTGGAGGACACATCTCGTGACATGAGGGAACAGTGTGATACTGTCGACCTCAACTTCCAGAAGAGGATTGAAGAAATGGAAGATGCTAAGACAAAGATGGAGGAAAATCTCCAGAAGGTAAACAAACGATAACAACAAGTAACATTCAAGACATTTATATGAAGTTCTTGTAAGCAAAAGTGATCTAGTTGATAGGAATATCAAGATTTAAGCAAAGAAGACCACTAAACTGCAGGAAGTGGGTTGGCTTATCAGAGGAAAATGATAGAGGATTGCTTGGCTGTTCTACTGATATTGCATTAGTTGTGGATGGGCTTTTTACTAGACATGAACTTCAGAATAAAATCTTTTGATCAATTTTGTTTCAGATTTGTGATGAAATTGCTCAAATGGAAAAGAATATTGATATGCTTAGGAAAGCAATCCGCGATAAGGAGAATCCTATGAAGGTCTCCCAGACCAGATTGGACAACAGAACGTTCCGGCCTGGAGTCGAGCTCTGCCGAGATCCAGTGCAATACAAGTAAGTGTAAACAAAGGGAAAATTTTTAAATATAATTTTAGAGTAAGTATCTACTGTAAAAGTTCAGTCTTTAAATTTTTTGCTGAAAGTCATTCAGCTTGGATTGCCAAATTTTCTAAAAAAAAACAAAAACTCTTCTCTACTAGGCAAGATTTTTCATGACTTCAGGTAGACTCACTTCAAAAACTAGTAAGAGTAATGTTTGATTTTAAACATGTAATTTACATCAACATAGTCTCTCTTAAATTAAAAAATATTTACTCCCTTTACCAAAACTTCTGTTTAAAACCCTTTTGATTTTGTAGAAAATCTTTTTTAACCCACATTTTTAAAAAGAAAAAAAGAAATATCAGCATCCATTTTTAATTTTGATAGCATTCAAAGTTAAGATGTGCATTTCAAAGATTTTTCTGATAACAGTAACTATGATACATAATAATTATTTCAGCAATAAACATCATTAACATGTAAATAAACATGTAATAGATAAATGGATAAACAAACATTGTGATGAATAAATAGCTTTTGGGTTAACATAACAATTAAATGATTTTTTTTTTCTCAGAATCGTTTATAAAACTCCTAAAGGCCTTTTGTATTGAAAATCACTGGAAATAGACATAATTTATTGGTACTGACTGGAATCACATTTCTGTAAACTATTAGAGAAAAAAAAATAGGATAAGAAATCTTGTAGCTGTCGTCAGTTTCAAATATTTTTTTCCATTTAAATCATTTTAAAATTTTAATTAATTCTTTGAAATTACAATCATTTCAGGTTGGTCGGTGAAGTGAATGAGATCAGTCAGTCTATTGATGCCCTGACAGAGAGGTTGAACAACTCTGAGAATTCCAGAAAGGATCTCCAAGACAACAGGATGGCATTGGAAAAGGAAATTTCTACCAAGAAAAATAGCATTTTCATTGATAGAGACAAATGTGTGACGGTACGAACCAGGTACCCAACAACCCTAAAACTGCAGGGATACCAGTAAATTGAAAACTTGAGAACACTTTCAACTGTTGTCTGTTGACTTAATTCCTCATCAGTATTCAGGGTGCCCTGGGCTGAATTCTTGATAACTTATATCCAAATCACCCAATAAACACTGTCAATTTTCGTATCATTCCATGCTTCTTTGATCGACAGTTTGCACTGCACTTCGTTATCCTTAAATGGAAATCATCAATTTTTGCTCTGAATCATGTGTGTTCTTTTACATGTTACTCATAATCCTATTCCTGGGTTCAAATTAAGAGTTGTGTTTATTTCTCAATATATAAACAATAAAATTGAAAAAATTATTGTTTTTTTTTTTTTTATCATGTTTATCTTGTATTTTTTCATTTTGCTCTTTTAGAAAAAAAATTCATAAAAATGAGATGATTCTCTACAAATTTTTTGGATGAAAATACTGTGATAATTTAAACCATATAGATGCAAGTTAATATGTAATGTAAATATATGTACAAAAAAAAATCTTCATTAAGAGGTTTTGTTGCAATGGTGGACTGAATACACAATATATCTCATAGTTGTAATGTGAAAATAAAATATCATATTTTGAATGATTTGTTTTTATATTTTTTGTTACTGAATTGAGCAAACGGTAATCCCTGTTTTCCTTTGAATATCCTTGGGGGCATATTGTTTTTGAGTTGCATATTTGTTTGTTGTCAACTCAAACCTTGCCCATGACTGTTGCACCATAAGAGGTCAGCCTTTCATATTTAACATGAGTGTTCCTTGTGACGAGACGTTAGCAGTTTTGACAAGTTTTGACTTTGTGACCTTGACATACATTTGAAAAAAATTAACATTAGCCATAACTATTGAATTAAAAAGGGCAAATCATTACCATAATGAAGATAGAAATGTTTCACAAAGTGTGCATGCAATTAGTACATACCTTCCATAGGATAGTTTTAATGTCCCACTTCAGACTTCTGTTGCATTATATTTCATAAACATATCTTGTTTTTACCCTATTGTCAACCAAATTATCCTTTGTCAGCAAAATGTGTCAAAGGTTTATGTCAAGTCAGAAATAAAACGATTCAATTAAAACATAAAATCAAACGAGACAAATTTAATTAAACATAATGATTTATTTAAATATTCATAAAATATTATGGTAGATGTCAGGCCAATCATAAAAATCTTGAATGTGATTAATATGTACAATAACGATTTAACTAATGTAAATATTTCTATATAATTCTACGGATACTATAACGTAAGTAATTGCTACCAACTCTACATATCAATATACTACACCTATGGTATATCATCCAAATTTTTGCAATGTTCAACTGAAAAATTATCTCCCTTGAATCTTGTAGAAATATGAACTAGTAATAAATCGTAAGATCCCAGAAAGGTCTTTGGGTCCACCATTGTTTGATGTTTATTTGTTCTTTAACAATTTTACCTTTTCCCTTCTATTCCCTTTCCTTCTCTGTTTTTGTTCTTAATGATAAAAAATATGAAGATGTCTTATAAAGAATATATATATATAGAATATACCGGTATACCTTATATAGAAATAGTGATAATGATCTTTGCCAAATCCAAGATGCTTGCCTGGAAGCCATTTCGTTTTTCTGATCGGGCCCAAAATGAGACGGGCACAACATGGGATGAAAGAGGAACTTATATAGGAAATTTGAGAAAGATTTATCCAGTAGTTCTGAAGAAATTGAGATAACAAACCTTACTAGGCGACATCCAACGTGTTCGTCTTTCAGCTATTTTGTTTTTTTTACTCAGTCCCAAAATTAAATGGGAACAACTAGGAACCAAGGAGAACCTACATATGAAATGAGATCTATCATGAACTTCTTAAAAGGTAGCTATAACAATCTTTACTAGGCGAAATCCAAGATTGCCATTTTGCTATTCTGATATGTCCCAAAATCAAATAGGCAAAACTATGGACCAAAATGAACCTATTTTTGAAATTTTTCTAGAGAGATCTATTCAGCCCTTCTCAAGAAATAGCAATAATAATCTTCATTGTAAAAATCCATGATTGCCACCTGTTGGTCATTCTGTGTTGCGGATCAGACCCAACATCCAACAGGGTTATAAGGGAAAGTTTATTTCTGTATCAAGCCTTCATTATGGGGTAGTGTTGCCATTTTATGTACATATAATGTGAAGGATTTGTCTAAATATTTTCTTCTAATGCTAAGAATTCCAATCTTATCTCCATTCTGAAATGACCATAGCTATTTATAGGACGATAAGTAAAATAAAACGAGTCAAATCTTATCTCGCTGTGTATTTTAGTGATGTTTTGGGAAATGAAATAACTTTGGAAATACAATCCTACATTTTGTTATGTGAGTATTCCAAATATATATTCTATAATAAAATTCATTCCAATTAGATATTTTTTTCTGTCACAATATGTGGGTGTTATTCAACTCCAAATGCATCAACTAATTATTTCAGTTGTTGTATAAACATAAATGTTCTACCACATGTGATTGGCTGACAGGATGAACTTTGATTGAAGAGAACTTCAGGCAATCATAGAATATTTAGAAAGTGCAATAAGCTCATACCGGGTAGTTCACATTTGTTTATGTAATAATTTGACCTTTGTCCATATTTTTTCTTTATTTTTCTTAATTTTGCTTTGAAGATAACAGACAAATTCACTTTTATTTTAACTTGCAGTGAGTTACAATATCACCATTTATTTCTGAAATTGCCATTTTTGCATATTAATTAGTGGCATTTCAATATAAAAGTATTATCTTAATGGCCCCATTCTGGAAAAGGTTTTATATTGCGGTGAAAACAGGTCACACAAACTCTATACATGATATTTCATTCACTCTAGTAAGTATTTTTTCTAGTAAGTAAATTTATAAAATAACTAGCTTAAGCCTATGGTTTTTTGTAACATTTAAAAAATAACTAACTTATGGGAAAAAATATATATACCACAAGCGTGTGTTGTGTAATCTCCATTTCGATATCAGTTTCACTACTTTTTCCACATCGTCCAAAGCAATCTCTCAAAAACTGCTTACTATATCAACTAACCAAACAACTGCATCGATATAAGATCTAAGCTGACTTTCCCTCTTTGATGAAATCATACATGCATGTATAGCATCCTTATTCAGTAACGCCCCACCATCCATCCATCCCAATCAACAAGCACATAAACAAAGCCTAAATGGAGTAAGTGATCTAAAGAGAAGGTGTAAATATTCCAAAGAACAACTACAAAATTAACATTGAGTCTGATTATCATAAGATGAATCTGATTCATTGCAAAATGAAATTACCCATTACAAAACCTACAATGATATGATTAAACTGTTATATTCTAATATTTAGAAGTTGTTAACATAATTTTATCACATCATGGAAAAGTTTATGTATTTTCCTCAGACTCCTGCAGCTCTTGTATTGTATCTTTGACTATCACAGGGAAAGATTTGTTTGAGCTAAGTATTGAATACAGCGACCGGAACATCCTGACCGTCTCACTAAAACAAAAAAAGTTTTTTATTTCATTTTTCGTTAGGGCGTGTTTTTTTTTAAAAAAAAGTATGCATCTATAGATCATTAGTAACTGTATTACTATGTAACTAATTATATTTTGAAATAAGTTCCTGTTTGACATGTTCTTGAAGATTGCATAAAAAACACAAGTGAATAACACCTTTCAATAACTTAGTGTCAGATACAGTAGAGTCAAACAATAAATCAAACTACATCACATAACGTTTTTGTTCTTTTGGGATTTGTCATTGATGCTAGGGACCTAAATTTTGAAGATTAGAAAGCGGCAGAGATAAATCCAAAGTGATCAAAAGAAATGTCAAAATCCAGAAGGGGAGTTGCAGCAGCCCAATAGTTAAATCAATTTCATAATTTTCATTTATCAGATAATTTTAGAACACTATCAAGAGCATGTGTATATTCTGAAATAATCCATTATTTGAATGAATCAAAACATGGCATGCAGGTTAATAAGAAGGCACATTTATGCATTTGAATCACATAGCAGTACATAATGCCTAGTTCTCAAGATTTGTTTTATGTCTCCCCATACAATATTATTTTTTTAATGCTCAGACTAATATTTCTTAACTGTACAATGACTAACACCATTTTAAAAATGTGTACTGGTGAGAAAATTTTCAATTACAGCAAAATCATCTTTTCATCTGTGGATAGATATAACCCGGTTATTTTTTTCTTCAAATTCTTACATTTTGTGGGATTAAGAGGTATCCATGAATCAGTGAAAATAAACCCAAAACAAGAAATAATGTTTTTACAGCAAAAGAAATTCCCTCTTTATACATTTACACATTTTGTTGATATTTAACCTATCTTATTCTCACCTAGGTTGGTAGTGTCCACTTCTCAACATGGGTAACGCTTTTGTTGCTATGGTATCCAACAGTCTTAGCTGCAGATGCTCATACTGGATTTGGAAGACAAGATTCATGTATCGATCGAGATCTCGTGAACTCTTGTATTGCAGGCAGTTATTGGGTCTGGACAAAGTATTATAAACACAAGGATCTGAAAGGAAAAAAAAACTATTTCAATTTATTTATTTTTTCTAAAGAACATCGGTGCTTTATCCTTACTTTATCTCCCAATGCATAAAACTTCATTCAGATATGGATAAAAGAGGTTAGAAACTCACTGAAAAGCACACAAAATTACATAAATCTTCAAAACAGTTCTTGGCCTCAAAAAAATACTTTTGAAAATTACAAAAGATTAAAATATTAACTGAAAAGCACACAAAATCACACAAATTTTGAAAATAATTCTTGATCTTAAAAAGATACTTTTGAAAACTACACAAGATCAAAATATCAACAATTTTTGCTTACCTAATTTAATGGAAGCTGGTGACCAGAACTGTGATGTAAAAGGAACATGTGGAAGAGTAACTTGAACAGGAAGTTGTCTCCCATCACAGGCAATGCTTGATAATATATCTGAACAAGTTAAAAAAGAAAACAAGAAAAAAATGATGTTCATGAATAAGCAACCAGTTAAAAGTTTCAATATCATCTTAATTTTTTTCCAAAATGAATATTGACATCTTTTTTATCTTATCTGCATAAACAAGCCAGTTGGATTTTGACAGATATACTTTTTCTTATCAAACTTTTAATATCCCAACAATTGCATGTCAGTTCAACGCTCTTCAATATGTTGCTGATGAAAACTGTGTAATTTGCTTGATTTATTGCCCTGTGAACTACAAAGGTCAAATTGAAGCAGGGTCCCTTTACACTAGCTGGTGTTTGTTTTACTTTGCTTGCTCATGTTATGTAGAAAAATTGGGGTAAGGTGACACAACCACAGAATGGTCCGTGATCTCAATTTTCTATGAATTGTAGGAAGGGATTGCACCAAAAACTTGAACATTCATCTCAATTTTTATTAGACAAATACTCTACCAATTCAGTGATATTTAGGCCCCTTCAAATGAAAAATAAAATTTTTTAAAAAAAATTTATTATTATTGAACCTCCTTAGATGAAGAACACAGATGTTTTTATTATAAAGGACGTGACAGATGAAGAACAATGAATTATTATATTTTGTTAAATGTGAGCCAAGATGACAAACCTGGATTAAACTTAAGTCTTTCCTCCTCTGTTTTATAGAACACAGTCAATATAAACTCCACGAGACTTCTAGCTCGCAACACATCATAGCAGGACCAGGTGTCAGCTGTTGTGTTAGAAAATAAACATAATAATAATATGTACAAATTTTCTGTTGTTTCATTTCCATACATTTCCATCTATCACTAGTAATATGACAAAAGTGAAATAAAAACACTTATATTTCACAACACTTAACAGGGAGTCAGAATTATCTGTTCTCCTTTGCCATGGAAACTTACTTTAATCATCACCAATGAAAAAAAATTATACTTTACAGTGAAGAAATTTTTTTTTTTCTATGTTAACAAACAGAAAGGACAGACAGGAGGCTGACTGTTTAGAAAACACTGTATTTCTATTACGATGTCCAGTTATACAACAAGATGGAAGAAAATGATATGTTATATTCAAGGAACATACTTCAGTATAGGAACTAAAACACATCTTGTACTCAGGTGTTTCTGTCAAGCCAATCAGGTGAGAGGTGGGTAGAGCCTGTTATTATTGTACTTAAAATTTGTACATGACACTTTCCCTTCCCAACTCAGTGTTATTCATTAGATTTCCGTTTAAGCTAAACCTCCATCATAGCTTATGTTTTTTACAAATAATATTCTACCACACGTTGAACATGATATTCAACTCACAAGTCCCATTGATTAATCATTGCAACTGTTGTTTAACATCACCAATAAACCACACATGGTATAACACCTGGACGCTTCACAGAAATTCAAGTGCATAATAAAATACTTCTATATTGTTCCTGTTATCATCTTACTTTCATACATATTTCTATCGTATAATGGACTTGAAAATACTATATTTGTTCATTTCTTGTAATGAATTATAACTTTTCTAAAAAATTCTGGAATTGTCATTTTTTAATATTAGTTAGCAGCATTTAACTTCAAATCATATTATTGGATTGTAACCAAAGTCAATCAACAAAGTCAATCGTTTCCATGTGTAGAATCGTTCTTTTTCTTGTGGTAGAAACCAGTCACACAAACTTGCGGTTGAAGCTTGTGCTAATTGTAACTTTTGAAAAATAACTAACTGGAATGAAAAAAATACCATAAACAACAAGCACTTGTTTTGTAACCTATATTTCCCTAGATAAAGAAATATCTCCTGTTTGTGTAGTAGTGTAAAATGGTTAAAGTATTGGGTAGAGGGATATGGCAAGTTTCTTGTTTCCCTTGACCTGTTTCCGAGGACAAATACACATGTTGTGTATGACTTAAAGCTGACCTGTGTCTCTGAGATCAAGATCACTAAGAAGCTGCAGTAGATTGGTGTAGATATTGATGATGGCTGTTACTTTTCTCCCCACACTCTGAGCTTCACTCCACTCAAACTAAAATGTAAGGCACAAAGTTAAGTCGATTTATAGTTCAAGTGTCTCACAGAGCTGGCTATATAGATAGTCTAATCAGCCTCTGCTGTGTTAAGAAATATATTTAATTATTGCTTTGCTATAGAACAATCGACAATAACGACAAACTTATGCATGTTAGCTTATACAAGTCATATATTTTTATGTATAAAATCTGATTAAGCTATTGGACAAAGCATAAGAGGATATTTTGTAAATTATTATTAAAGTTGACCTTGACCTCAAAATTATGTATCTTTTACAGTATTTTCTCTCAAACTGATTATTTCTGAAAAAAATATCCTCACAAAAGGTATTTTTTCAGTTCCAGATATGCAATCCTTTATCTTTCAGGAAAAGCTCTATGGTTAAGCATTTCATTCTCCAGGTTCATGGAATTTATAGTTTTATGCAAATTTTAGAGCAAATTCCTGATTAAGCATCTTTCCCTCGATAATTACCATAGATTCAACTTTGGACAAAAACTCCTGACGACTTGTGCAGGCATCCACCTTTTGGGTCATTCTCTGTAGTTTCATCTTCTCTCTTAATCTTACATTACTGGCATATAGTCTGCGAAGTTTACCAGGTATTGACAGCTTTTTCCTTAATTAAACATCAATAAAAAAATTAATTTAAAAACTAGCTTCTCAAGAAAAAATCACAGTCACATTCAAAGTTCTGAACATGTAACAATACCTGTTTCTTTGCCAGAATTTATGTTATTGCCATTCTTAGAATAAAAAAAATCATTACATTTGTGATAATATTGACCATAATTGTATAACTATTAATACCAACCCATCAGTTAGCAGAGAAAATCTCTTATCCTTTTCGGTCTCTTGTGTATCTGGTTCATCATTCACTTTAAGGTTTCCAAGTTTTTCTACAACCAAATTCTGTTTGGCATTAACGAACATTTCCTCCTCTTGGTCTTTTGACTGGTAAGATTCAATACTGCTGTTGTGAGCAGATGTTGTTCTGTCATCACTAGACATATCATCAACAGTCTTTTCAACTTCCTCTGTGATTTCACTCTCTTTTTTAAATATAAGATTGTCTTCCCCAGCTTTTTTCTCAACAGCACCAATACTAGTTTTTTTCTCGACAGCACCAGAACTACGTTGTGCAGACATGGCTGATTTTTTAGATGGAAAAGAAGATTTCGTCTGAGAAGGAATAACAGTCTTACATTTAGCACCTGAGGATATACGTTTTTCAACCTGTCGTTTTGGAATGGAAAGACGTGGATTTGTCTGAAATGGAGCAGTTAAATGTGCTGCCACAACCTTCTTCCCTCCTCGTATAACAGCACTGGATGACACCCTCCCAGCAGACCTGCCACGTTGACTTCGACCTAGGTCTTGGCGTGTGGTTGAAGATTTTGGAGCAAAATGATCTCCTTGAGACTTGGAGTTTGTTCCTTTTCCAGAATTATCAGTCATTTTTTCATTCATAGTTTTCTTTGTGGGATTGTTGACAGATGGTTCAACAGTAGGACTATCACTTTGCACAGAGTCCGGTTTTGAACCCTTCAAGGAACCATTTGTCGAATTGTCTCCCTTTTTACCTTGTAAGTTAGGCTTTTTGGTTCGTCCTGATTCTTTAATCTTAAATTAGATAGATATTTTATTTATATATTCTTTTTCCCTATTGAAACAATGAAATGAAAGAAAAACTGTGTTACTTATAGATACTTGATAGACTAAACTTTTAACTTAAGTACAATACAGTTGAAACATTAACACTAATATTCTGCAGAAAATTAAAACTGCCATGGGTAAGAGATTCACAAATTAATAATAAATAAATCAATATGTGGCTAACCAGCCTGCCTGATAAAGAGCGAAAATATTATTCATTTATTTTTGTACAGGTTTTATATTAAGTAATCAAATGATATTTACAACAATACATCATGCAAGAACCATTGCAGTAAATAAGAACTAGAGTAATTTCCAACAGAAGCACCTACCCTCTGCTGGACCTCCCGAGCTGTTTGAGCTTTCGATAGCATCTTCTCCATCATGGCCAAGTCAGATATTTCAGTAGACGTAAGGGTATCTGTTTAAGTACAAGAAGCTGTATAATTTATCACAGTTCCTCCTTGCTGGCCTCACGTGATGTTATTACAATATCAAGTGAATGAAAAGTTTTCAATCTATAATAGGTACAGTGATTTTGTTAATATATGTGAGACAAAATGAATAGTAAAGTCAATATGAGATGATTCAATGCTACATGTCTTATGATTATGGGGTTAGCTTAATTTTAAGAGTCTAAAATTTATCAGGTTTATTTGATGTATCTGGAATATTAGGGGTTTTCTTAATTTTGAATGTCTAAAACTCAAGGGATTATTTAATTTCAAATATGTAGGACTTAAAGGGCTTCCTTAATTTTTTACATATCTATAACTAATGAGGTTTGCTACATTTTGAAAGTTTAAAACTTGTGGGGTTTTTCTGAATTTTCAATTTTTTTTTAAACTTTGGGGTTTCCCTTATTTTTTACATGTCTAAAATGTGTGGGGTTTTCTTAATTATATATATAGAACTTTGGGGTTTCCCTTATTTTTTATATATATGCATGTGGGATTTCTTTAATTTTACAAATATAGAACTTTGGTGGTTTCCGTAAACAGCTAGGGAAATATGTGGAATTACTTGACATGGACATGGACATCTAAAAGATCAAAAGCTTAAATTTCTTTCTTTTAAGTACAACTATAGCAGCAAGTTGAGTTTCTTAAACTTCAAAATATTGAAAATGTGAAAACGTGAGATTGTGGTTTCTTTGCAATAATTATGAAAACATATATGAAAGGAAAATTCTATAATTATTTTCTTAAACCTGTTTACTTAATATATGATTTCCTTGTAAAGTTTTGTCCTTCTTTAACAGCCAGGGTTCTAGTGTTCTTACTGGTCAGTTTACCTTTGCACTGGCCATTAGCCTGGACAACATCACTTTCTTTCTCCACTGTCTCTGTATCTCCATTCTTCTTTCGTGGCCTAGGCAAGTAATTAATAACAAGTGAACATTTTACTTCATTAAAAAGTTTTAATGATTTGGCAATATTTTTTTCATATTCATTATATAAAATGCCCATAAGGAGGCGATAGGGTGGTGGGGCTCTCTTCTGAATCAATGTAATCAAACATAAAATTTGTTGTTTGAAATCTGTCATGATATGTTTTACATAATCTTTCACCTTGTTGTTTATTCAATCCTCAAAAGAGAATTTATTTCTTGTTTAAACAATACAATATATACAGACAGTATACAGACATTACATGTAAAAGAGTGGAAAGGCAAATCTGAATCATGGAAACAAATACTTGTTTATAATCAGTTACAAAACATTTTCCATATTCATGCATCTTATTGTCTTATTAAATTTTAAAAAAATCAATTTTTCATATTTTGGGATTAAACAACTTAAAAGAGAAAGCATTTGTAAATGAAAGGGAGATAATGTCCACACAAGGCAAATATATTTTCATTGATCAATTAAATGCTGTTTAACATCTGAAATGAATAAGAATAATATATCAATATTTTACCAAGGTTTGAATAGTTTTTTTCTTGCACAGCAAAGCTTCTGTAGGTGAACATTTCTTCTTTCTATGTCTTCAAGAGTTTTCAATAAAATCTCTATACTGAAACATGCCCAACAAAAATGTTTTAACAATTTCACTGGAATCCATGACACTATGTATAAGCATACAAATATTTGATCAAAGAATCAGTAAAAATAATATACAAAGATGTAATACAATGTAATTATATTGGTTATTATAATACTTATTAATGTTAGGCTCTCTGATTTTTTCAACTATTGAAGAATTTTAAAGTTTGTTGGCAAGTGCTTTAGTTAGATCTATGTGAAATCGTAAAATTTGTTTACATGTGGGTTCAAAATTTTTAATGATATATTGTGCTAAATTTAGTAATTTTTGTAAGATTTTTTCAGGCAATCCAGAACACTAGTTCAAAAATTTTCAAAGTCCCAATACTAAGAGATATATTAGGTTCATAAAATTTTGGAGAGTCCTACAAGAAAACACAAGTCCAGAACTGAAATATTTGAGTCCTAAAAATTACTGATCTTACAAATGACGACTTTGTCAAGCCTTGGATTAGATTAAATATAGTGTAGTGACATCTCATCTATGATTTACGTGCCAATTATTCTTAGCACAAACAATTATATTGATCTTTTCTTAGCTCTCGCCTTTTTTGTTGCTAATAATTTGTGTGTCTCTTATTTAAAATGATCCTTCATATGAGTAAATAATTGATTACTCCAACCAGTAACTATCCCTCAAGTGCAGGACTATTACCTATGTGTGGTATTGCACCATACCCGATACAAAGACAGTTTGTTCTATAGAGCTTTATATACTGATGGTTGAATATGTGGTTCATACTGAAAACTGAGAGTATTTTCAAAGATCAGCAGTGATGGGTTTGAAGTAACTCGACTCATAGCTCGTTGTATTAAATTCCAACCAAAATAGTGACTTTAAACATGAGATGGTGCTTAACTGCCAAACTGATTCTTTTTTCACTAAACAACATCTAATGGTGAGACCATTTTTTTACCTTTCAGTAATGATTAATGAGCCATCGCTGCTCTTGGCAGCCATTACTGTAAACTAACCGCGTGAATGATAAGCTTTCCACTGATACTGTGAAATGCTCATCACGACAAACGTTAACATGATCCCTACAGAAATTGATAATTCTACATCCGGGCACTATCTACATCCACAATGGCGTCTCAAGACGGAGGTGCGAAAAAACTGAAAGAGTTGCGCGTTGTTGATTTAAGAAGAGAATTAGAGAACCGAGGACTCGACAAGACAGGAGTTAAAGCAGTTTTGACAGAAAGGTTACAAAAGGTAAAGTATCAATCTGCCCAACATTATGGGTATGGTAGTGTGTAGGCTATTGCCGACTGGACGTTCCACCACGTTTTCGTTGGCGACTTCCTGTTTACTGGTCAATTTCACCAATCTGTCCAACATCACTGGTATTACAGTAGGTGTAGTGTCAACTGGACGTTCGACCTATATTTGCGACACACTGACTTGTACACAAGTCAGGGAACTCACCTACTAGATCTATGGAATTGGAGTATGGATTTGTTACTACAAGTCAAAATCGCTTATACAGAAACATTTGCAATATATTATTTTAAGTTAACTTTATATCTGACTAGGTAACTTACTTTTTACTGAAAGTAATGGCTACTGAGACTACATTCGCGTAACAAAGTTGAAACGATTCAGGTGATCAAGAATTCCACGATACACGAACTCATGCACCAGATGTTGGAACTGATGTATGTTAAGCTCAAAATACAGTTTCGGAATTTATATTCAAGCATAAAACAATGAACTAAAAATAATTACTATGCATTTTAACTGGTTCTTAATAGCATAATGCTTCTGGAAGTATGTGGATGAACCAACCCTACTATGTGCTGAAATTCTAAAAACTAATGATATTTAGCAAGTTATTTTCAGGAAGGTATGACTGGACCCCTAAATCAACACATGCCAAATATGCAGCAGTCCAGTCTTTGTCCAAATCTGTGTTTGGCATTTTTCTTGCAGGTTCAACTAGTTGAACCATTTCAACTGCTTTTGCAAATACGACTATAGAAACATGATGTAACTGTCGCTGCAAGTAGTAACTGTACTAATGTAACCTACTACAGACACACCTGACCAGTGTTCGAATGCAAATCATAGTTTAAGGCTGTTTTAATCTGATTACTCGTCAGTGGGTTAAATTCTTACTTTGTTATATTAGGAAAGACATGTCATCAACACTTCCAGCTTTATTAAAATCATATGCAGTTGTTTCCTTTTCGGTGGTAGGTTAAACGCCACCAGTGTAATGACAGTTGTTGAAGTCTGCACCTATGCTCAAAGATCCCAATAAAATATTAAATATTTACAGTGTTGGGATATTGTTCTAGGTAATGATATTCTATACAAAATCCAAAACAGACTAATTTCTAGGTTAATATTGTATAAATACTCAAGGAAAAGGAATTTTGTTTTTTATATTGATAGATCTGGGGAAATGTGGACCAATATTTTAGTTTGTACAGTATTGGGGAAATGTGGACCAATATTTTAGTTTGTACGGTATTTTGTAAAATATGTCAAACCACTTTTGATATAATGCTTTTAAATAAAATGTACTATGATTATTTTAGAATTAGATAAAAATGAAGTATGCAAACAAAATTATGTTTCAGATATCAATGAATATATGTATTTAATTGACTTTACTTATCGGAAAATGTATTTTTTTCAAAGATATTGGGAAGGTCTTCTTGCTATTTAGGGGGAAAGAAACAGACATTTTAGGAAGGGAGATAGTCTTGCTTGTGAGTGTAAAATAATGCCGAAACTTCCTTTTCCTGTGCAACTGCACCCAAAATGACATAAGTATATTGTAATTGTAATATGTGCAGACAAAGTGGTTTATGAACGTACTAATTGTAAGCCCTATCTTCAGTTAAAAATCTGGATGGACTTGTACATTATTAATACAGGGCCCGAAATTCTTTGTCAGGGCTTGTTAAACAGGTTGGGAACATCCTTGGCTTCACTTGGATGTTTAACACATCCACTCATTACAGAGGATAAAAATCCTCTGAATTTAGACACATTGATGTACAGGAAAAGTTACTTTACAAAATTGCATTTTGTCATTCACAGGCTGAGATATTTGTCAGAAAAGCAGGCGTGTGCATTCTAAAAGATATTCACTTACCTGTGCATGACTTTACTGTTGCTTTCCATAAATTACACTGATATGCACTATGCAGAGTATAGTTTATTGAATTGCAAACATATTAGATGACATGTATTTTAATTAATAATATGTTAATTTAATTAATAACATAAATTTTATGGTTTAGCGTGTCATTTTATGTGACAGGTTATTTTCAAAATGTATTTTATGACATGCATGTCCACCAATATGCCTGATTTAATTGTAATTATGTAATTAATGTGTTTGGAGTTAAAGTGCATCCTCTTAAATCTATTTATGTTTCTATCCTGTTAGAGTGCAAATTACACCAATAAGTCTGTCCTTTCTCACAAAACTTGGTTTAACTGGCACTGACTGGTCAATTAACAACCAATTAACAAAGGCTGTCCTTATCAACCGGGAAAAAATGAGGAGTAGTTCTTAATCTTTTCATTTGCCCATGTCATTGATATTCATTAATTACTTTGAACCCTGCTCCAAATGTCAACTGCAGATAAAGACTCTATGGCCAGCACTGTGTTGTAATATGCAACACCTGAATCACATAATACTTCAGACCAAATTATTGTCCAAAGGCCACTGTGGATCAATAATGATTCAAAGAAAAACTAGCTCACATATTCTTAACACTATTTTACTAAAATGTACATGCTTGATTTATGCAGGCTTTAGAAGATGAAGGAGAGGACCCGAATGAATTTATATTTGAACCAGGAACTGATTCACCTAAAAGATCAACTCCTGCAGCTCTTACTAAGAAGACAGCACCAAGTAAGTTTGATGTTGCAGATAGGACTTCAAAGAAAATAATGTAAAAATATGTTTTATTTCACTTTTTTTTCTTTAGCTAAATGATAAGTTTAAGAGCCAAATATGATTGGGGCAAAAACTATGTTTAAAAAATAAAGCTAATTGTTTCATTATGATTAAATATTTATACAAACAGTAATAAGGAAATCAGCTTCAGTTTCAGTACTCTTGTTTCAATATGGTCTTAAACATATTTGGTAGCTTAAGAAAAAAAATATACTTGGTAGTATTGTCATGTACATATAATTCATATTTTGTGGAAAAAAATATACTGAATTAGAAAAATTTTAACAAAGGATATTGAGTCCTGACCCCAAAATTCATTTTAACCGGAATGCAAGATTAGCAGTGTGGAAAGGAAAAAGTCAGGGCTCTCACACATGATTTTGGGACTGGGACCCGGGGCCCTTAGAATTGGGAAAAATAACGGTGTTTTCCTTAGAATTGGGAAAACTTTGGGTCTAAATTGGGAAAAAAAGATCCTATTTTGCATTCGACCCCAAATCTGGCAGATCGAGAGCCTTGCAAGTTAATCACAAAAATATACCTGTATCTTTTTAAAATAAATATTCTAAAACTAAGGTATAAACTGCCAAAGTGATTTAAGCACTTTTCAAAAAAGTTGTTAATAGCACAGACTTGGATATGTTTAGTGTTCGTGGTATTGTATGATTTTTACATATATGTATGTAAAAATAATATGAGATAGTTAGATATTTTCTGTATGAAATGTAAGATTGGAGTTATTAATTTTCCATGTCATAATTTTATCTAAATTGTGTAGAACAAGTTTTGTTTATTTCAACTGAAAAAGGTCATTCCTGAATTTTGGTCCAGATCTATTTTTTTACTTGCCACATTTAGTAGCTCCCTGTAAATCAACCATTACAATTTTGGTGAAGATAAAAGAAAATATCTATTAAATGACTGTAAATTCAGGTTTTCTAGTAAGTGTTATTATACTTCTTACTTAAATCACAGTTGTATTTATGAATTAATGAAAAAATAAGACTTAGGTTTGAACTTTATCAAAACCTATAGTGTTTGATAAATGTATTAATTAGCATAATTATGCTTTTGATAACTCATTTTAATTAATTGGGACTTAGGACAGCAATATTACATGTATTACATAATTAAATGGACTGAGGGCTCACTTTCAATAAGACTTTACAAAATAATATCTTTCTTTTTTATTTTGTTGCCAAAAATATTGCCAAACTCAATGTTTTATCACCAATTAATTCATTCATTGTGAAATGTAACATTTGTAACTGCGGGTATGAACCCTAAACAATTTAATGTGTCAGAATTGACAGAATATTTCTAGGCATCTTATTATTATAATTATAGACGTGCTTTTTCATTATTATATCATTATTATAGATTATGAATAATGCTACTTTTAAGTTTGGTTGTATTTATTTTGACTTATTTTCTCAATTGTTTTGAAGGGTCAGGTGTCAAAGGAAAAGCAAAAGAGGTGAGTTTTTGAGTTATCATTGACTTACAAGACAATACTATATCTTTCAGATGCATTTGAAAACACACATGAACATGATAATAAGGCAATATATCCCCCCTTTTTTTAACCAATTTCAAAGAATTTTTTGCAGAAACTTTCTATGATCAGAGGTGCACCAAAATTGTAAATGTTATGGTCCACAGTACCTGTCTGAGGGACGGGGCCTAAAGGATCGGTCATCTGTCTGTCAGGCATCAGCTGTTCCCTTTAAATGACTTCTCCTTAATAGTTAATAAGCCAAATGTTATGATAGATCTCTGGGATGAATCCCTAAAAGGTTGGGAAAAAAATAAAAGAAACAGTTGATTAGCTATTTGCGCTTTCTTTCAAGTAATAAGAAAGAGTAACAACTCCTGAAACCAGGTATTTGTCACTTTGTTGTTTTCCTAAATTCTTCGTTAACAAGATATCATCTGTTTGAATTGCTATTGAATTTTCTCATCAGAAGTTGGATACTGGCAAAGTAGCCTGTTCTTCATTAGCTCTGAGCCAGTGGGTTCATGATCAGAAAATGTATATAATGATACTACTTTAAGATGTTTTTTACTTTGCTTCTTTTAAGACCAACCACAAGTTTTTAAATTGCAATGAGAACACTATCATATATAGAAACTTTCCTGCTTATATTGGATACATGTGAGGAAATTATTACAATGTTGAACAACACCAAGTGGTATACATTGATTTTGCCATGCTACATTTCCTACAGAGGCATGTCTAAAATCACCTCCATTTCCAAAGAGTTCTTCATAATGATAACTAATATTATGATGAATTAATATCAAATTTTAATATTAAGATATAAAGATCCCTCTTTCATTTACATCCAGGCCAACATGAGTGATTAGTGTAAGTTGATATAACTTGCTTCTCAGTTGTTGTGAAATAAATAAAGTTTTAAGTTTATTGTTTATCAAACACAAAGAATTCATAACATTTCAAATTCAACATTTTTAACAATGATTGGTTAAGGAACTTATAACTTCATGTATGTTTGAACCTATGAATCCATAATGAACTGAACTATACTATTTCAAATGAACTCCTGTATGAAATGATTGTAATATCCTTTGCGATTATTAACATTATCCATAAAACACTGAATAACTTGTGAAAATGTGTAAAACTGAAATGCATGTCTCCAGAATCCAACAGAAACTTTTTTTCATAGAATGGGGATAATTTTGTAGCAGGGATACTGGAATATGCCGGGGACCAACACATAACTTTGTTGTAGGATCACAATCTGAATGAAATGAATTCCTCAACAGTTGTGAGATCATTTTGTTGAGTGAAAGGGATTCCCCAACAGTTGTAAAATCACTCTATTGAATTAAAGGATTCCCCAACAGTTACAGTAGCACAATCTGAATGAAAGGAATTCCCCCAGCAGTTGTAAGATCACTCTATTGAATGAAAGGGATTTCCTGACAGTTGTAAGATCATTATCAGTTTGAAAACCATTCCCCTTGTTTCCCTAGTGTCATATCTATCTAAATGAAAATTTCCCCCCACAGTTGTAGGACAACAATCTGAATGATTCCCCAACAGTAGTACCTCAACAGCATGACAACTAAAGTATCATTTTTGTAACCAAAGTCAGGTTACTTAAGGTGCAGAGTGGTTTTACCTCCGCTAATCAAGTTGCCTCATTAATGATGTGCATTGTTACCTCAGGTACAGTATTAGGTTACCTCAGGTAGTGTTAAGTTGCCTCAGAGATAATCAGGTTACCTCATAAATGATGTCTGGTTACCTTAGGTACAGTCAGGTTACCTCATAAAGGATGTCTGTTTACCTTAGGTACAATCAGGTTACCTCATTAATGATGTCTGGTTACCTTAGGTACAGTCAGGTTACCTCATAAAGGATGTCTGATTACCTTAGGTACAATCAGGTTACCTCATAAATGATGTCTGGTTACCTTAGGTACAGTCAGGTTACCTCATAAAGGATGTCTGGTTACCTTAGGTACAATCAGGTTACCTCATAAATGATGTCTGGTTACCTTAGGTACAGTCAGGTTACCTCATATATGATGTTGGGTTACCTCAGGTACAGTGTAGAAATACCTTGGATAAATTCAGGTTATTTCATGTACAGATTGGGGTTACCTCAAGTTCATTACAGGTTTTGTCAGATACATGTACAATGCCAGGTCAGCTCAGGTAAACAGTAATTTCTTTGCTAGTGATAGTTGGAACCGAACATAATATAAACTACCTTACTATTGATAAGGTTATAAAAATGTTGTGGGTAGCTGACTGTAAATGACTGCTGTAAGTCACTGTATAACAAGCGATCAGTATATCCCGACCACGAAATGACGACATTTGTGGAAGAGCAATGGTGTTTCACTACATTATTTTGATATGATAATTACACCAAGACCATATCTATATCAAATAAATAATTGTAGGACTTGTATATGCTTTGTAACTACCAATGAAATGACATATTAATCCAGAGACGTAAGTCTCAAATCCATGTTCTGCTTACTGATTTGGAACTCATCTCGAATTCGCTTGTGTCAAAATAATTTCCAAGTCCTGATTTTTTTCATTCTATATCTTTGTAATTTGAGTTTGGATGACTCATTTGGTAGATGTGATTTTTCAGTCCCTTCAATTGTAAAGCAAAAGTCATTCGTTGTCTTGAAAGTCATCTGTGTGTAGCTCTTGGATAATTATGGTGTATCGGTTCATTATACACACAACACCTGGTCTGGCTATTAATTACCAGTTTAATCGTCCAATAAAAAGTTTGTATCATCATCCTGTAGCAATGACTTACCTGTACGTTAAACAAGCAGTGCATTTACACAAGACATGAAAACATTAACTTGGTTCCATGCATCTTCAGGAAGAATCAAAACGAAACCATCAAACCAGTACAGACTTTAATGAAATCTGATCGCCACAATTCCACGAGACACTAATTTTTTTAGCTTGTTTTCAAAAGGACTGTGATAGGCCGCTTTGCTAGACATAGTGCTTGGACAATGAAGTGCTGAAAGTATTTTTCATTGATAGAGTCTATATCTGTGCATAATTTGTCTTGTATAATGTTTTCTATAACAGGTAAAAACTTTGAACTGCTGAATTTTTCGTAACATTATTCGTAACAAAGTCATATCAATGTAATCTGTAACTGAGTACATCATTTCTTGTAGTATATCAAAAACAAATTTTATTTTCATTTTATTGTCATTTCGTAAAATATGATCTATAGATCTATATGTGCGTAGTCAGTAAGGGTAGTGTATAAATGTTTTGGACTGGACAAATAGTCCAAATGTAGTTGATTGGTGTTGTTATTACATTTCTCGTTGTTTGGATTAATAAACAATAAAGGGAGAATGTGGAAATTTATTTGGTTCTGTAAATTAACTGCTATTTCAAATAACAGATTAAATTACAGTGTTTGTACCACGTTGTACCATGCTATCTTACCTTTACTTTAATTTGTTCAACTGTAATCAATGTCAGGAAGCTAATATCATCAATCTTATTTGGACACTTCGTTTTGGGTTGAAATTCAGACAAGTAGAAACATTTTCCACAGTCCTTTGAATTTTGAGATAATGAGTTTCCACTGTATATGAATGCTAACTTTGCCAATACAAAAGCAGCCATGTACTTTAACATGGTCTCCTTTCTACAATATCTAATGTCATAAAGAACAAAATGAAGTCTGTGGTTTCTTAACAGTCAGTTAACATGTAGAGTGTTTCTAAAGATCATCATGTTATAATCGGTGTAATTTTTTTTTCAAAACTGTCTATTAGTAATCAGTAGCAATACTTTGTTGTGATTTTAGGTAATGTCGATTCTAATATTTCAAACTAATTTATTCTCACAAGCATTATTTTGTATGTATACAGATTCAGCAACATTTATCAAATATTGTTCAGGCTTATGGAGGGTTTACTGTACCTCATGTGCAGTATCTGGTTACCTAGTCATGTTTGTATCTTATTAGTCCAAAACAGATGAAACCAGAGGGGACTATATTGTTTGTCATCAAATGTCTGTCTGTCCGAATGGTAACTTGAGTAAGGGATGACCGATTATGTTGAAACTTGATACAATGTAATTTATGTTAGGTTATGATCAGATCTAGAGATTGTGTTTGGGTTGCTGTCATCAAAATCATTGATAATACCTGAAAATAGACATTTATCACACTCATTCGTTTCCATGATGACATCTTCGGCAAAGAAGAATGTATTTCTACCATTAATCTATTTCAGATCAATACCATTTGATACAAATTAATCATAACTGAAGAAATTTACGTGTGCATGATATTGGGTTACATACTACTTACTGTAAATTTGCAGGTATAGTGCACACTTGGGTATAATACGCAGGTACTTTTTTGGGGTCAGATTAAAAAAAAAAGATTTTCTACAGAACGATTGATTGATTACTGGTAACTGCGATGAGACAGTTGATGTGGTTTGGTCCATTGATAATTAGGAATCCACAATGAGCATGACCCTAACAAATTTAATTACCTTGTGTAAACAAATTCACGCAGGTGTCTGACTTACCAAGCATGAAAGGCTTGGCTAAATGGATAATTAACAGTTCTGAACAGGTAACCCATTGAGTATGAGGAGATTGATGACACCCAGCTTGGGCTGAATGCTTGCTATTGGTCAGAAAACGATGTTGTTGTAAATGTCTGAAAATTTTCAATCCTACCTTGTCCCCTTATCTGTATCTACCACGATACCCAAAGGTACTTAATTATACATTGTTTACAACGACTTTGACATGGGGAAACAGCGAACATCGTTTACAGCAAAAGAAAAACTGGACGCCATTGACTACGCCGAGAGACTTGGGTTCCGTGCAGCCAGATGCCACAGAGTCAAATATCAGGGCATGGAAGAAAAAAAAAGAACGTCTAAAGTCCCAACCACTGACCAAAAGGGCTGTCAGAGGTGCGACAGTGAAACTCCCAGAGATGGAGAGAGAGCTGTTCAACTTTGTATGCGATCGCCGAGATGCCAGCATCGCTGTCAGTACAACAGAACTGCGCATGCGGGCCATGCAGATCAAGTGAGGTCAGAGGGTCACCAACTTAAGGCATCGGTGGGATGGGCTCTCTGATTTATGAACAGAATGACAATCACCCAAAAACTTCTGGATGACTACGAAGACAGACTCATTGAATTCCAGAGATACATCATCAAAATGAGGCATAAATACGAAATTGACCCGTCAATGATTAGGAATGCCGACCAAACACCTCTTACTTTCAATCTACCTTCAGACACTACTATAGCCCCGACCAATAGAAAGACAATGACTATTCAAACGATGGGAAAAGAAGAAAAAAATAGATTCACAGTAATGCTAGCGAGTATGGCCAATGATTAAAACATTCGAAATTTATTTTATGTTTTTTTTGTTGTTTTCATCTTCAAACTATCATATATGACTGACGACTCTTACATATAACTATGTGAAGAGAGGTAATCCAATATGACGGACTCAGAACTCGGAAATGATAATCCCAAGAATGGCATGTCCTTGCGTATAATGTGCACCCCCTTTTTGACACAACATTTTTAGCTTGAAAAAGTGCACACTATACATGGAAATTTACGGTAGTTAAAATTTGCATGTCATGTTCCAATCAGGGTATTTTAAAAGTTGCTTCAAAAATGCTATTAAGGCATGGCAGGGGACGTGTGTCGCTTACAACACTAACTGTAAGCCTGTTCACATGATCATGAATAGATGAATTTTAAAGAAACACCACAGATATAAAAAACAATTTTGGAAAATTTCATGCAGTGAAAAAATACTGTAAATTTGTGTTTAGATTTCAGTGAGAAACCTGTCAGACAAGTTGTGTATGCCATTGGTTAAAGTTATCTAATTACTAACATTTTACAACCAACTTAAATAGGTCATGTATGGTCTACTTCAAATTTCAGTTTAAACAGTGAAATGCAGATAGTTCTTGCAAAGTTGAAAGAAATCATTTTGGTATAGAAAATATTTAACAATCAGAATCTAATCCAGAACTACGTCATAAATTCTCAACCATACACTGTAGTTAGGAATCTTACTCTTAAAAGTTTTTGTATGACAAGTATTTAACTTCTGGCAGAGTTTATTTATATCAAGAATGGCTATTCCCTTTCTCGTGAACATTATCACTCATGCATTTTGCATTTGATTACACCTATTAAGATGAAATATATTCATGACTCATCGGAAATTACAACGATTTGAACGACGTTGAGCTATATGGATAAGGTACTTAAAAGCAGTATGCAAAATTATTCATTTTTGCTCACAATTATAAAATTTATGTTGTTTATTCTGTTTTTAAAAAAGTGATGTACACATTTAAAAAATTTCTTTTAGATGTGCGATAAGGAATGTGTACTTTTGTGTTATACATTTTATGGAAGAGAAAAATACTGGGAGTGAAAATTTATACAGATAATCCTTATACTAGTACATGTGTTACATGTGTTATGATACATATATACGGTATGAAATACTTTCAAAAACAACTCTTGCTTTGCTTACTGTCCCTTTCATGAAGACACATTTTAATTTGACATCCATGGTTGATAACCCTCAACATGTTTATTATCCAGAACTTTTCTCATCAAAAGGATAAAAACTATATATTACATACAAAATTCCAGTTCATTGAAGCATGTCCATGTTTATTACTTTGGTTATAGTTAAATGTAAAAGAAATGGATGTTTAGATTACTAACAAATTTAAATTTGTGATATGTTTATTGTTTTGAAGAAATGAAATACCTGTATCACCAAAAATAAAACATGAATATTTTATGGTGCAGTTTTCTGTTGAGATCCAATCTGCATAGAGAAGACATGTTTTGCTGCTGGGTGGGGATAAATAGACTTGCTCATTTAAGCTCGTCAGAGGTCAAGTGAGGGTATTCAGTCTATACACATATGATAGTGGCAATGGAGAGTGAACTGCTGCAGTATCTGTTCAGTGGAAGTGAATACGAATGGATTATTTTGGTAATTTAACTGTTTAAAAGCTTTGACAGTTTCCTTTTGAAATCTTTGTGCACATGTGAGTTTGGTGGATTTATTAGGCAACTGGACAAAATGTTATTGTCAAACTTTTCGGAGGTAAATCCATGAGATCATAGTGGCCAATGGGTTGTCATATGTATCCTACAGAAAAAGTAGGAGTTCAGAACTTGGACATTTGTCAGGAAAAATGACTGTATTCTTGCTAAACTGCATAAATTGGAAAAATTATTCAGGAAATAATCTCTTGTAGTTCAGTATAGTAACAAATTCATTTGAAATCAAATGTAAACTTTATTTTTAATCATATCACTTAATATTTGTGATGGAACTTTATGTTAACAGGTTGTAGAGGTTTTATTTTAGAAAAAACTTAATTAGCAAGGCTTTGAATAGCATTGCCTTAGATACAGTATTTACACATGCAATGTAAAAATCATCAATGTTTCTGCATTTTGGGTTTTTGACTATTATATCTTAAGACCATATCTGATTTTCAACTTCATCCCAGTTCTGTTTTATCAGAATAAAGTTGCAGTTGTGAGATTTGTTTTGTAAATCTATTGATAGGATGGAGATGAGGAAGAAATGGTAGACGATTCCCTGCTAGAGGAAGACTTGGACCTTGAAGATGAGATTGGGAACATAGATGATGCAGATATGGAACTGCTGGAATCAGAAATGCAGGTCATAGACCAGGTATGTTTTAGATTATATCAAATGGTCGAGTAAAGCCTGGAAAAGATTTTCACAGAAAATAGAAGCAGTTCATGATCATTGTTAACTGTCAGTCCTCTTATGTTTTAACTTTGGGAGATGATAAAGATGCATTAAATGGAATCATGATCTTTAAGTTCCAATATTAAAAACCTATTGAATCTTTTCATAATGAAGTACTTTGATAATCTGGCGGTAAATGAGATATTTTGTACATTTGTTTGTATATTGTGTATATATGTTTGAAAATTGTGACTGTATATGTATTCTGAGTCACTGTTGAAATTTGTTAATATCACACTTGATACATGTTCACATTTATTGAGTGAAAGTTAATGATGCATTTACTTTTTTTACAGGAAATGGGAACACCAGAGACTGGTACCGTTGATGAAGAGATGGTTGAGGATCAAAAGACTACAGGGAAGAAGGTAAAATATTACTTTTAAATAGCTACAGATCAAAAATTAAAAAAATTCGATTTTTGTCAAAATTTGTCATCATTGCTATTTCTTGATGTACTGGATGGATCTCACTCAAATTTCACTTGTACGTTTCCCTTGGTCTTAGTTGTGACAGATCAGAAAGACGAAATTGCTGACAAATAGGCCATCTTGAATTTTGAATTAGAATTAGTTTTGATATAGCTATTTCTCAAACTACTGTTTCACAAATTTTATACCTGTGTTCCATTTGTTCCCCAATTGTGCAAATTTGATTTTGGGACTGATTAAATGAACCAAGATAGCCGACAGGTGGCCATCTTCAATTTCGACTTTGCAAGTTAAGCATCACTAATTCTTGAGAACTACTGCATAGATACGTATCAAATTTCATACATACGTTTCCCTTGGTCCCTAGTTGTGCCCAGTTGATTTTAGGACTGAAAAAATGGCTTCCAGGTTACAATCTTGGACTTGGCAGTTAAAGATTATTATCACTATTTCTTCAAAAGCGAGTTCAACTTTGTTATAATTGAGTGCAAAAACCGAGAAGAAAAGAGAAAAGAAGGTAAACGATAAAACTTTTAAAGAGGAAATAAATATCAAACAGTGGTGGGCACAAAGATTCCTATGGTTTCCATAATTTTAATCAATTTGTGAGGATTTCTGTAATTTAGAAATGAACTATAGATATTAACACTGTAGTAAATACTAGTTCTCTGTCTATAGGAGGAAGAGAAACCTTCAGTGGAGCCAGCAGCAGCAGATAAAGGTAAAGTATTCTCATTTGGTTGTGTTAGATTTTATCTGAAAAATAGAAAAGTCAGAACATATGGTGAGATTGTGTAGGCAATGCAAGTTGGCAGGTTATCTCCCCTTTGCAGTGTAAAAGCTATGAAAAAAAAGTGGAGTTCGGATGCACAAGTTAATTTGCGGTGTTTTTTGTTTGTTATGGTTCAAAAGTGACTGCCTTGTAAAAAGACTAGTTTGTTTTGTTAGAATTTGAGTATCAAAAGCTCAGGGCCAACATGCTCATCGCCATCATACAACTGATTGGAATGAGGAGAAATATCTATTTCATGCATGTATTAACAACAGCAGCAGTTGCAGTAATGGTGATGGAAATGGCACAGGCAATCTCTGAAGATTTTTTAAGTGCAATGAAAGACATCTGTGGGCACTAGGCACAGCATCGAAGTTGTCAAGAGTAATCTCTTAATGAAAGAATGGAATATTGCAGGGAACAGTATCCATATACCATATAGTATAGATGGATTATAATGGCAGATGAATGTCAAGAGTAAAACCCAGGTGGTTCAGCTCTGAATATAAAAGCAGCTGTGAGAAGATTTCTGTAAATAAACGGAAATGTTATGCATATGAAAGGCATAATAAACCCAGGAAAATCTTAAAGAATGGACCCAGTTAAGGCCAAGTGCTGAAGATTTCCAGAAAAAATTACCAGAAATTTAATTGGAGATGTGGACACCTTCGACAAGAAAAATTAATGGAAACCAGCAGTTCTGCATGTTGTTGTTGAATACACAAATGCATTTCTCGTCACCTTAAGAGAAATTTTACAGAACTCTTGAATGCTAAATTTTTTCTCTGGACAGCGGAAATAGTCCAGTTTTCAGTCAACCATCCTTGAAAAAGTTTGAAAGTTGTCAAGTTTTAATTTTCTAGCAGGAATAGAAATTATGCCAAATGAAAAAGAAGATCAGTCATTGAGATGCAAAAAAAGCATTTTCTTACTGCAGATGCTGACATTGAAATCTGTTTCAATCATGTGTATAAACTGAAAAGAATGATTTGTAGACACCAACACTGGAGTAGATGTAATTCAGCTTGAGGATTTCTGTGCTTGGCAATTTCAAAACACACAAGCTTTTTGATAGGTGAACCAAAGTCTTGTTGGGATGGGACTCACCGCTGGAGAAAAGACATGGATGAATAAGGAAGAAACAACAAAGTCCTTCCTTTAAAGTTGATACTTTTGTTTGAAGTTGATTTTGCAATGAATCCCATCATATGCTTCATAGGAACCTCATTTTTAGTTTAACGACTACATGATACAGGATTCGCATGGTTTTGTATGCAAGAAGATTGAATAAGCATTGGAGTAAACAAATCTGGATTGATGAACAAATTCTCAACAAAACATGATAAAACTACTCTGTCTACAGGATTTCTTCATTTTGTTTCCTGGAAGGAAAGGACGCAGAGGAAATCATTGGTAATTTCTATTTGATTGACTGTGATGGGAAAATATGTGACATTTGTTTTTTACAATAACTTACCAAATTACCAAATAACATTTGAAAAAATGAAATCTACAGAAAAGTTTTGGAGGAAATATCTGGTTGGATGGATCATCGTAAATGACCAAGAAATATTTGAAACTGTTTGGTAATTACCAATTGAAAGGCTATCTTAGAATTCTGTGGGAATAAGCTATATGTTCAAAAAACTGTGCCCATGCTTCAAGGTCATTTTCCGAACTGGACATCATCAATAGATTTCATCAATAATTTGCAGAAGAACATAGCCAGCATTCAAAACTGTTGAGTGATGAAGTCGTCGGTGACTTACAGGGAAATAAGATGAATGACTTGTGCTCAAGCGTCAAATTTGGCCTCAAAACAGAATTTCTCTGGGAATATGCTGAGGAAAGCTGAGTAGACCAGTTGTGAAGGCCCTGAGCTAATTTATTGTTTTAAAGTAACCAACAGCAAACTATGTCACTTCAAAAATAGGTTGATTTTTGGATTAGAGGACTTAATGCCTGTAATATAATTCTCAAACATTATGAAACATGAGACAACTTGAAAATTTATTAAACAAATTGAAACCTGTGAAAACATCAAAAGTTCTTGTATTTAATCAAAGAATTCACAGTGAATTGTGTAACGTTTAAATTTTGAGTATAGTTATTAGTTTTATAATGTTCAGTGTTCCAGGCAAAGTCAGCTTATTTTTGAAAGGACAAAGTCGGCTTCAAATCATCAAGGCAGTCATCTCCTTATTTCAATAAAACTTCAAGGTCATCAAGTTTTTTTTTCTTTTTACGTTTCTTAATTAATTGCAACAGAAACAAGACAATCTTCATCATTGACCAAATATGGCATTTGAAAGCAAGATAGGCCTTTTGTTTAGAGTTCACTTATGTAAGTTCTGACTTGAATTTCTTTAGCACCTGAAAAATCTGCTCCTGCTAAGACAGAGGAAGAAATGCCAATGGAAACCAACGAGGAAGCTGCCGTTTCCGTACCAACAGTGAAGGCTGAGCAGGTTACTCCAACCAAGGAGGTTAAGCAAGCTCCTCCAGCCAAGGAGGTTAAACCAGTACCCCTAGTCAAGGAAGTCAAGCTCAAGGAGGAACCTGTTACATCGCCTGCTCCTGTCAATGAGAAAGCTCCAGCTGCCAACACTGTGGTGAAAAAGGAAGACACTGGTATTCCGCCAGACCCAGCCACTGTTGTCCCCTTGGTCCCCCTTACAGTGGAGGACAAGATACGAATGGATACTTCTCAAGGGATACAGACAGAGGAGAACGAATCCTTGGATGTTCATGTGGATGACACACAAAATGACCTGGATGCTGACCTTCTTGGTTCAGAGAAATCCAGCCAGGAAAAGAAAGATCCTGCATCGACAGATGCCAAAGCTGAAGAAAAGAAAGAAGGTGAGGAGCAAGCTGTGGTCAAGGATGGGGAGACGAAAGTGGAGCCTACAACCCCTGACACTGAGGCAAAGGAAGTTTCATCTGTATCACCAGGAAAAGATGCAAAAGGAGAGAAAAAAACAGCTGATAAGAAGGATGAAAATGACACCAGCAAACCAGCTTCTTCCTCCAGCACTGCTAAGAGGTCGGTGTGGTTTGTATGTCCCATTTACAGTACATATATATTATTTATAAGCATCTTCTCTTCTTTTTTCCATGTGTTTTCTTTCTCTGCTTTGTATTTCAAGCAAAGGTTCGACCAAAGGTAGCAAGCGCTTGTCTTTACATTCTGTTATGGTGCTGAGAGACTAGCCTGCCATGCTATCCAATCAGACATTTTTGGAGAATTTGAGAGAAAAGAAAAGTCCTTTGTTTTTTGTTTATGTACATTTTGGACCTACTTAGCACTTTTCCATTTACACTTTCCCCTGGCGTCACCATAGAAACTAGACAGTATCAGACAGCAAGCCTGGAGGTATATTGATTGGAAGATGTTTCACACAAAACTCTTGACAGACTGATCAATGTGACATCACAAATTTCTGTAAAATGAAATGTCCTACAGCAATCATGGAAGCATATTTCTTACCCTCGAATACACGCTTATAGCTGGAGACTTCAGTAGCGTTTAAAAACACTTGTGCATGCACATTATTTGTAAATATGATAGACAAAGACAATATTAAATGGAATCCATTTTTGATGCATACTATCAAAGGTTGTTTTTTTGTACAACAATTTACTAGACAGTTGGAAATAATATTGAAAAAAAGGTATTTCAGTTGCAGTATTTTTGTAAAGAAAAAGTCTTCTATTATATGTTTCCTTGCATTTAGCATCAAATAAATTTCGAATCATACTGATATATATGTAGGAAATTATCAGTTTGAGTCACTTAAGCTACATATATAGCTTCAAAGCTTGATTTTATAAAGCATGAAGTTCACCTGCAAAAGGTAAGTTTTTATTTGAAAGTGATTCATTAATTGTTGAGATGTATAATTGTTCAGGATGATGTCCCTATTTGTTGTGCCTCATCATTTTCTTCCCACTGCTTTTCAGCAGTACAGCAACAAAAGATCAGAAAAAGGATGAGAAGGGTGAGTTGTCAACTAGATTAAAATTTTTAAACAATATATCTGAATGTTGTGTGATCAAAATTTACCAGATCAGAATCGTAAACTTCAGAAATGATGAATGACTCCACACTGATATACACTATTGTAAAATCATTTCTTTTCGTGTTAGATTTATTCATATGTCTACGAACTGTTAAAATTTGATTTTTGATTTGATCAGAAAAACAAAATGGCCAACAGCCATCTTAGATTTTGCACAGTAAAGTTTGTTATTGTTATTTCTTAAGAAGTACTGGATGGATCTCTCTCAAGATTTACATGCAGGTAGATATTGGTGCATGGTTGTGCCCTTTTGATTTTGGGAATGATCGAAAACCAAAGTGACCAAAAGACATCTTGGAATTCACAAAGTAAAGTTTGTTATCGCTATTTCTTGAGAATAACTTTATGGATCTCTTCCATATTAGGGTCCCCTAGGTGCCTAGTTGTGACTGTTCGATTTTGGTGCTGATCAGGAAAATCAAAATGTTTGATGAACATACATGGGGAACTTAGCAGTTAAAGATTGTTATTGCTGTTTCTGCAAAGAAATATTCAAATTTTTTATCATAAAGAGCAAGAACAGAAAATAGAAGAGAAAAGAAGGAAAATGATCCAACTTTTGAAGATGAAACAATGATGGATTTCCAGTATCTGCATTGTCTTTAATTGCTCTTGGATGGTCCCTAAAGCTAATTGTTACAATTATAGTAAATTTGATTAAATGTACCAGGGGTAAATATTATTCTGGAAAAAAGGAAGGTGTCGAGGCGAAAACTTGTTTTCCCAAAATACATCCACAAATTGGAAAATGCTGATTTATTGTTGTAGCTCATGAAATGATAAATTTTGAGTACCTTAATTGCTGTGAGCAGTTCAAAATGCACTTACAAAAATACACAAGGGATGTGTTTAAAAATTCAAGGGGAAAAATTACTGTGAATTATGTTTCAGATATGAAACTTTGGTGCCAGAAAATGAAATTTTCAGCAACATTGAAGATGGTAATTTTTGGGTATATAGAAGCCCAGAGGCTAAGGTTTAAAAAGATTTAGAAGGCTGAATATGTATATTGTATTGGCAAATCTGTGAAGAAAGAGACCCTTAAGAAAAAGTGGCTGTATACTTGTAGTAGCATAGAAAGTATGTAGGGTTAATATATTATGTTTTGCTTGTATTTGCACAATATACAAAATTGTTTAACAGGAAGTAGTGGGGCAGGGCGTAACCTGTGGGTGAGCGGACTTTCCTCTTCCACTCGGGCGACAGACCTCAAGGCATTGTTCAGCAAACATGGCAAGGTAGATGTCATTTCCAGATATTAGCTGATAACATAACTACTTTGTAAGATCTTTGCTAAACTGATAAGTTGTTATAAAGTTCCTATCATGAAAGGAATTTCCTATTTTAAGTTTGAGATATTTTGAGCATTATTTTGTTATTGTTTTCTTTTGTATATCTGTAAATCTTCATTTTATTTATAGATTTTGGTTTGTTATTAATTGAAAACCTTTTTTGTTATTATTCACATTTTATTTTTAGATGTATAATTATGTATGGTTTAAATGTGTTTGGTTTTATTTTAAAAATCAGAAAATTGTAAGATGTTAGTGGTAGCAAAGGGAGTTAATCCTTAAAGACTGTATTAATTATTAGGTATATAGTAATTATTTAATATCTGACATCATCGATTTGTATTTGTAGGTGGTAGGTGCTAAGGTGGTGACAAATGCAAGGAGCCCAGGCTCCAAATGCTATGGATTTGTTACCATGTCAACAGCTGATGAGGCTACAAAATGCATACAGCATCTTCATCGTACTGAACTCCATGGCAAAATGATTTCTGTTGAAAGGGTATATATTAGAAATTTGGAGTAATATGTAATCTGTGCATCTTAAATCTTTTCTGTTATGTTTTGCTAAATTCATGTAGCAATTCATTATAATCTGATCTTCATAAGTGAGTTTACCTGAAAATCTTCTGGCTTGAAGTGAAAATGTTGTCATAACAAATAAAATACTGATGTACAGCCATGTATTGAAGATCACATGTGTTTAGTAACTTTAATAGATTGTTGTATACTATTGTTATCAGTTTGTAAAATATAAATATACTATTCTGTGTATGAAACCAAAAGTCTGATTTCGTGATATAGTGGAATGCCTTGATTAGTATTGAATGGCTTGATACAAATTTAATGCTTGAATTTTTTATCTATTTGAGGTCAAGCATTGATTTGATAAAACTTATTGCTTTGTTTTAAATTGTTTCCAGGCCAAATGCCTCTCATCAGTTTGTGTTATGTTTTTAATTGTATGATTTTTACAATTAATAAATTTACATGATAGAGTCAAAAACATTTTTGGTACCATTTTATTACTATTTAGTAATTCCAAATGTTATTTTGTGTCATCAGGCAAAGAACGAGCCTGGTGCACAGGTGAAGGGTGCAACAGCCGCAGGATCGACCACTAGGAAGCCAGATGCTAGGTCTCCTGCTGACAAGAAGAGTACCACACCTCGCAAAGACGATCGAGGTAAAATTCAGAGCCTGTCAGATCACTTTAGTGATTACAAACAAGTTGATTTCTTGATGGAGTTCTTCGTTCTTTTCATATACAACTTCTTTGATATCATTCATGCAAGTTTAAAAGTTTCATAATGGTAAAGATCAAAAGGTTTTACATCAAATGGATTTCATTTTTTTCTTAAGAATGGGAGAATTCTGCTGGCTTGATATTTGAATTATTTCTGAAATTGCTTTATGTTTCTCAGATAATGCAAGAGACAGTGAGAAGAAGTCGGACGATAAGAAGGATGACAAAAAAGATACTAAAAGAGACTCCAGGAGAGACCATAAATCCTCAAGTTCTCGAAGTGATGACAAACATTCAAGTAGCACCAGACGAGACACACATAGACGTTCAACTGGATCTGGATCAGGTATTGTGTTTGGTACTTAATCATAGGGGAAAGTGACAGTTTGTCAGTAAATGTCTTCGGATGATCCCTGTAGGTAGCATATAACCTCTAGCGCAAAATAGGGGATTGGGCAAAGAATTAGCATGCAGAAATCTGATGGATATATTTGAGTAAAATCAAACAATGTCCATTAAGTGATAAAAACCTGGAAAGTTCTCTTAGAATATATACCTGTGAAGACAAGTTGTTGTGTGTTCTTTTTGATAATAATACTATCAAACTTGTGTCAGCTAAGAGAAAACAAGAAAAATCTGCTGTAATGTAATGTTATTATATTTTCTCACAATGATGTTGTATTTATGCTAAATGTGAAAGAAGTACATAAAATTTAAGATCTTTTTAACATTAGACCTGATTGTTTGACAGTAATGTAAGTAAGAGAAAGTTGACATAGATCATTAAAAAGAAAAGGATTGTTTTATTGTAGACCGATCAAGGACTGTTGTGATGGACAAATCTAAGGGTGAACCTGTCGTAAGGGTCAGCAGTCGTGACAGGTCATCTAGTCGTGTGTCCAAGTCACCCTCAAAAGCGAAGTCGACTACATCCACAGACCAGAAATCCCCAGCAGCTGCTAAATCTGGTTCAGGTTCTGGTTCCAAGGAAGGAGAGTCTGCCAAAAAAGAGGACACTAAGGATGCTCTTTCCTTTGATAAAATACAGGTATGTTTTATACAACTTAAGCAGTGATCAGATTTAAGGCAACTCAGCAAAGTCTCTCGTCATTGAGGACTAAAAAAAAAATGGATGAAAAATTTACATGGTACATGTTCAAGAAAAAGCAACTAAAACAGTGTTATTGATAAATAATAATTTTTCTCAGTTATTGTTTTGAGTCACGTTATGGGTTAGATTTGACATAACAAGTGAGCTGTTTGATTCATAGCTCAGTGATAGTCTGTTGACTACAATAGTTGTTGGTTCAGATCTCCAAAGTTGTGGTTGCATTCTAATTCCTAATGGATTTTCCTGTGGTTTGCGGTAGAATATAAATTGTCGGTGTGTTTAGGTATTACTATTTCTGTACTGTTGTACTCGAGTGACTTTGACTTACAAACAAGTTAGTGTACTCTAAGTGAGTGACAGAGAATTTGAAGTTGGTGTACTAAGTGGTATGTGTATATTATTATACTCTGAGTGGGGTAGATTATAAATGAGTCCAGATTGTATGCTAAGGATTCAGAATAATATTAACCAGTGCATTTCCTCACATGAGTAAATGATTGAAAACTAATTCCTTACGTTTTGATGTTTAGGAGGAGAGGGAACGCGAACGTCTGCGCCAGAGAGAAAGGAAGCTTAGGGAGGAAGAGAGGATAAAGAAACAGGAGATCGAATTTGAGAAACGTCGCCAGCGTGATGTTCACATGAAACAGCGTGCAGAGGCCATCCGACTTGCCAGGGAAAGGGAACGTCTTAGGTATACGATAAACAGGCACTCATGAAACTTTAGTGCTAGTGTTCAGGATATTTGAATTCTGGATAGTTTTCTGTATCTATTAATACACCAGTACATGTCCTTTCTCATTCGATATCTTTACAAGGCAGTAAATTCTCACTTAGTTATTGATATTCTATTATAGGAAAGAAAGGGAGCTTCTCGAGAGGGAACGCATGGAGACTCAGCGACTAGAGCGACTTCGTGCAGAGCAGATGGAACGGGAGCGCCTTGAGAGAGAACGAGAAGAAAAGAGACGACTTGAACAACTGAGGTAATTCATTTAGAAAGAAACAACAGTTGCATTTTTATTTTTGGGGACCTCTAATATAACTTTCTTTCATATACTTTGATTGCATTTGTTGTCAAGCTTCATTTATGTTTGTGTTTGTTTTGTAATCATTCCTAGAGTGTGATTAATGCAGTTTTTGTTTTTTCTTTCAGACAAGCAGAGGCAGAGCAGCGACGAGCAGCCCTTAAGCGCACCTATGAATCACGAGGTTCCCGAGACAATGACTGGTCACAGCCAAAGCGTGCGTAAGTGTCAAAAAAAATGCAGGGTCATCATTCAAATTCTGATCAGAGCTACGTCTCCAGGAAATATATTAATATATTTTAAGAAAAAGAGAAATTTACTGGTTGTTTTCATTGTTGCTCATTATGCATATCAAAGCCTGTAAAGTTTTGTGACCAATCGTTTGATCTGTAATTTACTAGGTCATTTTCATTACATATAAACTTTATTTATTTTACAACAATTGCGAAATAAGTTATGTTAACTTATACTAATCGCTCTTGTTGGCCTGAATGTAAGCGCGCGAGGTGTCTTATTGTAGGAGGAAACCGTAGTACCCGGGGAAAACCCACGTGGTCGGGCAGGTGACCCCTTACCTTTTCACGTCCATTCCGGGAATCAAACCCCGGTCGGCTAGGTAAAAGGCGAGTGCGTTACCATTGCGCCACCCGGCCACCCCATGTACATTACATGTAGAAATATCAAAAACTTTATCGTAGACTGTTTTTTGGTAAGATCCTCTATATGTTGTTTCTTTGTATTTTACAGCAACAGATTCAATGAAAATGAAACAAGGGATAAGAGTGGTAGAGACAATAGACAGAACCGTGACAATACTAACCGCTTTAATGACCGTGGGTCTGGCGGTGGGACTTCTGGTGGTGGGAACTTTGAGCGTAAGGTGGAGAGGTATGATCGTAGAGAAGTGAATCGTGTACAGGACAACCGTAACAATGACAACAGGGGAAGGCAGTTTGAAGACAACCGGAGAAGTGGTGGCCGAGGCGAAGATAACTTTCGTGAAGAACAAAGAGATGACCGTCGTAATGATGATAGATTTGGGAGGTGGGTTTCCCTATCAGTGCTCATTTTACTTTTCTTAAAATTATCAATATGATTTCTGTTTTGGTGCTATAGTATATAAAGTTAGAATTTTGCAAATATTGTTATCTTGATTTTAGGCTCACCTAATTGACAAATATTTATTCCCGACTGTCAAATAGAGGATGGGTAATTGAAATTTGCACAACATCCATTTGTATGTCTCCTAAATAAGAAACATATGCATTCCTGTCATGTCAGTGTCAGAACCTTCATTAAGATTTTTAAAAAAAAAATGCTTCTAGATCATACAACGACAGGAGTGTGAACCATGCTCAGACACATGATGCAGCAAACAGGTCACATGACAGAAACAATATTCGTGATGATCGAAGGGACACAGGTTTCAACCGCAACCAGTCTCGGGATCATGTAAGGGAGGACCGACGAGGTGTAGATATGGCTCAGGATGACCGGCGTGGTGGAAACATTAGGGACAATCAGAGAGATAACCGAAATATGGGGGCTGTTGGAGGTGGACACAACATGAGGGTGACATCTCCACGACACACAGACAACAGAGGTGAATGGAAGTCAGAACGAGGTGAGGCAATCCTTACAGCAATAGAAAGTGAAGTGTATGACAGTTTTCGTATGGTGCTTTCATGATTTATGGAGGAAATGTTATTTTAAAATTTAAACTTGAATTTTCAAAATTTAAAGGAAACTCTGAATCCTGTTATATGTCCAGTTCAACACTTAGCTGCTTCAGTATGCAGGATATCTTGATCAAATCCCTTTGTATTTGTTGACATGACTTTAAGTTCAGAGATCAGATTTTAATGCCCATGGTATTTTATGAACAGGCAGATTTTGTCTTGTCCTAAATCAGTGTCATCACTCCAGCAACTTCATTCATAAGGGATTTTAATTTAAATTTATGGTGTTAGTGTTTCTAGGCCAATGGTCAATAACTTTGAGACACTGACACACTCGTCAGTGTCTCAAAGTTATTTTCTATTTTCAAATCTTACCTGAATTCTTTGCACTAAACAGTGACTTTTTGGCCTTTCTTTATTGAAAGCTTTCTCTATACATATATATTCTAAGTTGAAGCAAAAGGATTATTGATATTAATTGTGAAGATTGAAGAAGAGAAATGGAGATAACATATGTATATACTTTTAATTTCATTAGAGTACGTGAAAGGAAATTGTTTGTTAGTTAACATAAAGACTGAATATTAATAGGGGCATTTATGAAAAACATACATATGCTCATTCATAAATTTCTCAGTACAAATAGGATTGAAATCTTATATCCCATTATGTATACATTTGTTGATAAGTATATTTATGAATAATAGTCTCTAGTTTGTATGCTTGTACCTCACCATATAATCGTATGCTTGGTTTGTTGCAGATACACGCCAACAGGGTGACTCTCGGGTAGTTGTTAGAGGTCAGAACAACATGGCTGGAGGAGGACGGGACAGCTGGCAAGGTGGTCATGGTGGGGGACATAGTGGTGGTCATGGGAGCTACTCTAATGTAGTCCAGGATGACCGTAACCGTGGTAGCAACAAGGGTTTCAGTGGCCACAATAGTGGTGCAGGCCTCTTAGGTAAGTTTTTTGGAACCTGCTACGTTGCATGAATTTGTTCCTCACTGAGAAACAGAACTGAATAGAAGTTTCCAATGTGTCCATGTCATCTTGTCTTTGCTTTATTTCCTACACTACTTGTTGCTGGAAGTTTACGCTTGGACAAAGGTTAACCTAGACAAGAGATTGTATTATGTACCTAAAGTAGGTCACTTTGACCTACATTTAGACATCCGAATTATATCAAAGTTTGTTCAGTCTCCATCTCCGATACTGCTTATCACTGAGAAGTCATACCTTGGTAAAGTGATATGTCATGTACCAAAACCACTTTGAGCTAGAATTTGACCCTCAACCTAAACTATCAATGGGTGATAACATTAATTCAAATCAGTTACATTGTCTCTTTGAATTGGTGATATTGCTTATTTGTTTGAATTCCTGATATGATCAACACAAGTAAATAATGACATGGTGTGAAATTCATGGTGTCACCAAATTAGTAATTTAGCAGATTTGTCCTTGTTGAATATAGTTACTGTTTGTCCAACATTCAGAAACCAGAATTACTTGCCTTAGCATACAATTGCCAAATTGTCTTGTTAAGATCATAGAGATGTGTCCCCTTCAGATGCACAAATATCGGATCACCCAGCCTCCGCTGTTGAGTGCCAAATTTCAACACATCACATGATCACATACATGCAAAATTGATATCAAGTTTTATAGATACTTGGATTTTAAGTTGTTAAACCACAAATGAGTTAGCAATATTCATCTCATCAACTTACCTGAAAATCTTTCATTTGAGTGAAATTATAGCAAGCATTTATTTCGTTTACTCCAGGAAATGCTCCACAGAGTCAGAATCGTCAGTGGGGATCAGGCACAGACAATCGTAGCAAGATGGACGGCAACTGGTCAACACACAACAATATGGATCAACGTGTCACTCCACAGCAGCAGGACCGCTGGTCAGGGGGAGTGACAATACAACAGGAGGCAAGACCCACAAGCTTCACACAGCCTGTTGCCACTGGCCTTATCAGTGTCCCTCCCAATGTGTACATGACATCTGTTCCTCAACAGTCCGGGATGATCATAGGCAATATCACAACGGGGCGTCAACCTGAGCCACGGTTTGACGCTTACAAAATGCAGACAGGAACAATGAGACGGACATACTGAGAACTGTTAATCTGTAAAAAGCAAACAATGAGAACTAGCAATTATTTTGGTATAAAGTTTGTGATTTTATTTTCAGCATATGATGCTTGTGAATTAAAGAACATTATTTGTTGCATTTTTAGGGCAGAATTTGTTAAAGCAAGGCTTTCTCAAGTTTTCAAGGTAGTCATCATGATCATAAACTTTGTAAAAATATTGATCGCTACAGTTCCAAAGACCCAAGATTTGATCATTGTTCACAATTTCAAGAGCATTATCATTGAAATAAATCATGAATGAAAGGGGAAAAAAACATTGATTCACTTTTAATGCAATCTGTGAGGGTATTTGATAGGTTGAAAAAAGAATTCCATTCTGTTTTTGTCTATAGGTGTAAATGTGTTTTGTGTGCCATTAAGAATTTGGTGGGATTTGTTTTCTGTTTTATGTTTGTACTTGTGAATGGAAATCAAAATAATTGTATGACATTTTTAATTCATCCTCGTCAATCATGTTTATGTAAATATATTTGCATTTTATTATCTGGGGTTCCATATCATATGGAGAACAGTGTTATGTTTTCAGGTGCCAATTGAATTTTATCAATCCAGAGACTTAGTATTTGAAGCAATTTTAAAGATCAGCTGACATTTTCCATACCATATTGTATAATCACTTGTCAGTGAATTCTACAAGTTACCCATTACTTTGTCATAGTTGGAGGCCATTAGAAAGATACTTAAATCCAGGGACAGACATCCAAGAATCATTTCCAATATTTATAGATGAATTCCATTGAATACCACATTCATAAACACGACCAATTATCATCCTGCTGTTATCAAATATGTGTGAAGATTTTCTTTGTATCAGTTCAGCAGTCACTACATCATCATTCTCAACCATTTATCATCAGTATCAGGATGTCAGCTTTATGATGTTTGTCATTGGAAGTGAAAATAAACATGTCTAAAGAAATTTTGAAATTGTTTGTTGTTTTATTAGCAACTTTGAATTACTGGGTAAATATTGTTAAGCAAAGGGTATTCATTAGTGGCTGAATAAAGATTGGGCGCAAAAGTGGTATAAAGTAAGGGGAGACAATGCTTTGAGATAGGAAGGTTCACAGTGACCAATAAAGAGTGGGCACAAAAGTGGTATAAAGTAAGGGGAGACAATGCTTAGAGATAGGAAGGGTCACAGTGACCAATAAAGAGTGGGCACAAAAGTGGTATAAAGTAAGGGGAGACAATGCTTAGAGATAGGCAGGGTCACAGTGACCAATAAAGAGTGGGCACAAAAGTGGTATAACATAAGGGGAGACAATGCTTAGAGATAGGCAGGGTCACAGTGACCAATAAAGAGTGGGCACAAAAGTGGTATAAAGTAAGGGGAGACAATGCTTAGAGATAGGAAGGGTCACAGTGACCAATAAAGAGTGGTCACAAAAGTGGTATAAAGTAAGGGGAGACAATACTTAGAGATAGGAAGGGTCACAGTGACCAATAAAGAGTAGGCACAAAAGTGGTATAAAGTAAGGGGAGACAATGCTTAGAGATAGGCAGGGTCACAGTGACCAATAAAGAGTGGGCACAAAAGTGGTATAACATAAGGGGAGACAATGCTTAGAGATAGGCAGGGTCACAGTGACCAATAAAGAGTGGGCACAAAAGTGGTATAAAGTAAGGGGAGACAATGCTTAGAGATAGGCAGGGTCACAGTGACCAATAAAGAGTGGGCACAAAAGTGGTATAAAGTAAGGGGAGACAATGCTTGGAGATAGGAAGGTTCTCGTTGACCAATAAAGAGTGGGCGCAAAAGTGGTATAAAGTAAGGGGAGACACTGCTTAGAGATAGGCAGGGTCACAGTGACCAATAAAGAGTTGGCACAAAAGTGGTATTAAACATCCCAAAGTGAGTTTGTTCAGGAACAGAATCATAACCAAACAATTATAAGATAATTCTAAAGGATGGGTTGAGAAAATATCATATGCCCTTGGTGCCAGGTTTGCCAGTTTGATTTTGGGGCTGATCAGAAAAAAAAACAAAATGGCTGACAATTGGCCATCTTGGACTCACGAACGTGTACTATTAATGTGTGCTTGTTGGTGTTATTCAACTTTCAAGGCATCAGATAATCATTCCAACTGCTGTATAAACATATACACTATATGTTATAACAGGTGTGGTTTATCAATTCTGCATATTCTGACTGGTTGACAGGATGGACTCTGACCAATGTGGTGCTACTCGTACTCCAAAATTCAAGTGTGTAATAAAATACTTCTATATTGTTCTTGTTATCATCTTACTTTCATACATATTTCTACCGTATGATGGACTTGAAAATACTATATTTGTTACTTTCTTGTAGTACGTTGTAATAAATATTTCTAAAAAAATTTTGGAATTTTCATTTTTGAATATTAATTTGCTGCATTTTACTTCCAGATATATTATTGCGCTGCAACCAAAGTTTGTAAACAAAGTCAATAGTTTCTGTGTGTAGAATGTTTATTTCTCTCAGTAAAAGTCAGTGACACAAACTGATGGTTGTTGTTTATGAACAGCCACTCGTGTAACCTCTACCAGCCAATGGATTTTAAGACAGAAATTGATTCTGGAAGAAATATCCATTGATTTTCAAAATATGGTCTATACCTTAAGTTCCAGAAGTGTGTCAATATGATCCAACTTTCCATGTTCAAACTCTTGCAAATAGTGGCAGACATGCATTCTGTAAAAGTCCTTCATTTGGAAGAACTAGAGTTTGGTATAATATCATTATTCAACAAGTTCGTGCAGTAATGTGTTTATTTACAGTTTTTGAAAAATAAACAAAAAATGAAACTATAGTTAGTGCAGTCCTATTTGCTCAAGACAAAGTGAACTACTTACACACTAGCTGTTCTTAAGTCTTCCTGCCTGTTACTAGCAGTTCTCAAATATTCCTTAACAATTCAACAAAAATTATCTGCTTATTATTCAATGAACTGCTTGTGAATGGTTGTAAACTGTTAGCATGAGTGCTTATAATAGTTCAAAAACTGCCAAGAATTGACCTGAAGGTTTATTAGCAGTCCTTAGCCTTCAACTGATACAAATCTTACTGTACTGTAAATTTCAAAATATCAGATGTCACTGCCAGTTGGTTTAAAGTGTGTTGGAGTATGCACATGGTTCCAGGATTACAGTAATTTCAGGATAAATGTGACATTTAAGATGATAATATCTACAAGTGTGCCCATGAAACAAATGAGGTTATGTTCTTTGTTTTCGTATGTTTTTGAAAGGAAATTTCCTCAAAAGTTAATCAATATATAGATCATATATATGTTGACATGAGTTGCATGGTCTCCTTAGGGTATGGTGTTTTCAAATTGATCTGTCCATGGATTTTAAGTCAATAATTCTTTATGTGGCAATACACCATATATACATTCAAACACAGTCTGCTTATGAGGATACCTGAAAAAAACTAAAGTCTAGCTACTTAAGATTAGTTTCCAAAATTCAAAGACTCCAGCAGAATCAAGTTTAAATGAAACTAATTTGTTAACTCATTAACATGTGACATATGTGTTGGATACATAATTATATCTCGTAAATTGAAATTGAAAGCACTGAATATTCACTGTTCTAAGCAGTTAGTTGTTACTATATTTGGAATAACTAATTGGCATTTCTTAACTGTTTGTAGCATTCATAGGCTGTTCACTACTTCCATATTTGGGGAGGCCCAGTGATACTTTACATATAGGCTGCTTGTTAGCATTCACTGGCAGTTCCTCTACTGTCAAATTTGCATATAAGCAGTCTGTTAACCTTCCTTAACAGTCTGCTGCAAATTCGTTAAAATAATTCACCCCTTAAAACAGCTATTGAATGTTTAGAGGGGAAAAGAGCTAAGGACTGTTAATGAAAATTCCTACAATCTACTTTGGTTTCCTTATTTGCTTGAAGTTTGAAAGAAGTTGAATTTTAGATTTGATTGGAAATTGCCTGAATTTTGATACAAAAAAAATCCAGTTTTTATTGGATGGTTAAAAACAGTTTTATTCTTACCTCACAATTGATATTGTTTTCTTTGAAATGAGAAGGACTGAACTACACCACTGTTTTAAATATTTGTTATCTATTTTTCTATTTCTGTAAATGTGCACAGGTATTTTAAAATTATTATTTAGCTTTATATTACATGTAGCAGTTTTCCGGACTATAATGGATTTGCCGGTTCATCATTTAGAATATTTTACTCACATCCTGTTACCTGACAGTTCATAATCAACAGGTATTGTGCTGTTTTGTTGACTCGGTTTTGTGGACTTTGGCATGAGGTAACATAACTTTGTTTTTTATGGAAGTGATACAGTTGGGAATAGATCCGTCGCAGTTTACTAAATCTTTCCGATTTATTTCAATTTTGTTTACACTTTTGAAGTTCTTAGTCTCAGATGTTATCTGACCAATAGGAAGTTGTCTGCTCGTCAACAGTCCTCTTTCGCTGAAAGTCAAACTTGTTTTCATAATGACAGTGTTGTCCTCTGATGTGTTATGATGAAGAATGAAAAATAACTTACCTACAATTGAAATATTCAGATATGTATTATGCTAAAAGTATGTATTTACTTCGGTTTGTGTAGCTCAGCAGTACCCGACGAGACATTTTTTCTTCATTTTAACAAATTAGACATTGATTAAAATTAGAGATCTCTTCCTCGGTCCTGACAAAATTTCAGCATATGTGAGCACATTAGGTAACAGATGAGAAATGTACTAAAGTCTTATTTATCACTGTAGTTCATGTAACAGAGGTTATTATTTAATTCATTGCCTCTGCTAGAATTCGAACCTAGGATCATGGCATACTAATCTGACACACAACCGATCAAGCTTAAGAGATGGTCTCTCTAACTGAGCAGTCTATAACGACTATTTTTTTACCAGGGTTACAGTTAGTGGGATAACTACTATTACACTGTAACAATGTAAAGGTTTCTGCTTAAATGTAATGGTAATATAAAGATTCGTTTAACTGTAAATGAGTATAATCGCCCATGGCAGGATTTATTGTCTGATGTTATTGTGCAGACCAGAAAGGGCCTTCATTTAGTTTCTTGATGTGTAAACCTCTATGATTGTTTGAATTGGAGTACTACTATGATATTGATCTTACTCACTATATTCAAACCCCAGAAGCTTTTAATTTTTCTGTAAAAATTCTGTTCCAAACAAGTAAATGCGTTCTTTGCAAAACTCATAAAAAAACCTGATTTGAGTGTGTAAAAAAACTATAATTAAGGAAGTCTTATCACGAGTTAATTCTATACCTGAACCTATTGGATATCACCAGTAAAGTTAATTCTATACCTGAACATATTGGATATCACCAGTAAATTTAATTCTATACCTAAACATATTGGATAAATATATATTTTCTGAATTTGGTCACCTGATTAGAACTTTTTAATGTTGTTGATTACTTATGGTAATGTACAGAACCTGCTGTTTACGGTAGCCAGAAACCAAGTTATACCTGTACCTCTGAATGTACATGATGACACGCTATGCTGTATTATGGTGGGATGTGATGCTGTATGTTGGCCTGGCTGTTATGTCCTGGTATATGTACAAAATCCTCATCCGGCCCCTTCTGTCACCTCTCAGGAAGGTAAAATAACTTCAAGTCAGCAGCTTTTTACTATTAAGTCACAGACAGTTTTACATGCAACATTTACGGTGATGTAAAATTAATGCTTAGATGAGAATGAAGTATTTACACCGTATAATATGTATATTTTTTTTACCATTTTTTTAATGTTATTCAATAATTACAAATTGTTAAATCATGCAAAAATTCACACAGAGAAAGAAAATAATTTAGTACATTTCTGAAATAAATTTGGGCCTAGGTTAACTAGATAAGATGAATAAGCAAATGATAGTTTATGAATCTGTTTGTAAAGATATGTTTCATTCTCTGATTTATTTTAGGCTCAACATTCTACAATTAAAATGACAAATACTATAAAAACTGATTATTTGAAATCAAAAGATGAACTCGAGTTACTGTATTACTGAAATTCACTATATATATGAAATATCACTTAATTCAGACATATTCACATATACATGATTTCGCGAATGCTGAATTTGAAATTACTTAAAATTCGCAAATGATGTGTTATTAGAGACCAGGATTCTTCATGACTGGGATATTGGTAACAGAACAAATAATTCTGAGGGATTTGAATTCGTGACTGACTCATTTCTCGTATTAACGTGAAAATAGATTCCACCCAAAATATAAGCGAAGTACAGTATTTATTTATGGAAGTAGCTGAAGAAATGTTCATTTCTCGTACTCAGATACCTGGAACTCCCTATGTGCCTTTCTTTGGTAACATGCTGGAAGCTCGTCGATATGAGGCCATGACAAACTGTATCAGGTATAAATAACTCCTACTACAGACTGACCCATTTACTGTATTTATCTAACAATAAGTCTGTGCCTGATAATAAGCCCACACAGTATCAACAAAAGATAAGTTATATCTCTCTTTACCACAATCAACGTTAGATGTTCGATTACTGTAGGAATCCATCCCAGGAAGATTTTCCACCAAATTTTCTTTTTCTTCATACTGCAATTAGTCCACCTCCCTATACTGTATATAATATACTCATCAAAACCTTCCAAATCAATGTTTCATTATTCAAGGCACATTTCTCTTACATAACTATTTTTCCTTTCTGTATCTGTAGATGGATGAAAAAACTGGATTCTAAGATAATTCGGTTTTATTTCTTTGGGGGAGAGGAACGAGTTCTGGTAGCAGATCCTGACATTTTCCAGCACATTCTTATCACTAACAGCAAATACTATGACAGAGCTGGAGACTTGGCTCGTGGGTATGTTTGTTTTTGTCAAAGTAACAAAGTATTGACCTCTTATACAGACACCAATCAGGTTTTCGATTGAATATTGTTTATGTTTTAGAAGTGCAATAAACAAATAGATAAGAATTTTTTTTTTTGTATGTATTTATTTTTCAAAATTTTCCATGATACTTAAAAATAACAAGACATGAACACATACCAACATTCACACATGACTCATCATCATCATCATCATCATCATCATCATCATCATCATCATCATCATCATCATCATCATCATCATCATCATCATCATCATCAACATCATCATCATCATCATCATCATCATCAACATCATCATCATCATCATCAACATCATCCTCGTCATCATCATCAACATCATCCTCATCATCATTATATCACAGTTATTCACATACACACACCTCAGACATTCACACACATTGTAAAGTTGAGAAGAGATAAAAGGATGGGGAGAGAGAGGGAGGGAGATAGAAAGAGAACAAGAGAGAGATATGGGAAATTCAGAAGAACAAAGTGAATGAGTTCTAATCTTTAGAATATGAGGATTATTAGATATTTCGAATGTAAGTTTGGCACACTGTGAAGTTCTTGGGAAGTTTTTTTTTTTTTTTTGGTAAACAGCTGTGACTGAAGAAAACATCAAAAACAAACAAACAAACAAAAAAACAAAAAAAGCATTTATATATAAGAAAACAAAACAAAAATATTTAATTGCAATATAAAATTAAGGAACACCAAAAAGTATAGGCTAAAAGTCTATCAATGGCTTCTGCTTCCTCAGATTCATGTCAGAAATTGTGTTTTTCTTTTCACTATTTCTAAAGTTTGAAAACTTTTGAACATCATAATGATCCTCAATAACATGAGCAAGAGCTTTGTTGAAACATCTAGTTCGATAAATATAAAGATGAATTAGAATTAGGATTTCATTATTAACTGAATTGTGTTTGTATGATTTCAAATAGAAACGATTCTTTATTGAAACAGAATGCAGTAAACAGAATATCGAGAAGATTTTCAAATCCCTGTAATGTATTTTTAAAAGAAAGGTGTTTGTAACCAGGATATGGTGTATGATTCTGACCTGAAACCCTGCAGCTTTGAACTCTTTGAGACTTTAGAGGGAATTTCAAAAAATCTTTTTCCATTGAACTAAATCAAAGAAAATTGAGTTTCCTCATTTGTGCACACGTATTGACACTGATGCTTTAGTAATAAGACATTTGTAGAAGTCTTGTGAACATTTCTTTTTTCTGTAAAATATTTCCAAAAGCAGCAGTATAAATGGTTTGGTTGGTTTTTACCATCAGGAATTCAAATTTCTCCAAAAACGTTCTTACTGTCGATATCATGGTATTGAAGAAAGTTTGTGTTAACTCTATATAAATCAAGAAATTCTTGAAGTGTATAAAAAGTGAGATTTATAGGATCTTTAACCAAGTCATTCAATGTAAATATACCTGCATTGAACCAGTGTTGGTAAAAAATGAATTTCTTACCAACTTGTATATCAATTGTAATCAGTTTTGCAGCAAGTCCTTTAATGCAGAAAATAAAAATATATGAAGCAATTGGGTCGCCTTGACAACAGATCCACTTTGGATGTTGATAGGAACAGAGATATAAACCATCCTGATTTATTGATGAATAAACCTCTCCAAAATTGAAATAATTTAAAACCTTTTCAATAAACACCCATGAAACAGAATCAAACGCTTTTTCAAAATTTATTGTTACCAGGAATAATTTCTTCTTCAGAATAATGCATAACATCATAATGTTCGAATATTTCCCCCTATATATCTCACTGACATGAAACCTGTTTGGTCACTGTTTATTAATAAATTTAAAAATTTATAATGTCTTTGTGTGATAGAAAGTTGGCAAACTGAAGAACCAAAATTAACAGATCTAACAACAAGAAATTTAAGATATTTCTAGAAACATTTGGAAACCTCAGTAAAACCATCAGACCCGGAACTCTTATTGTTCTTCATATTTTTTTAGAACATTACTTGCCTCGCCTATTTAAAGGTCACCCTCAAGACTAGAAGATTCAATTAATTTAACTTTGGAACATTACAATTCTAAAGAAAATTATCAAAATTACAATCCTCTATCTCCAGAAATTTATATAATTTTTTATAAAATGATTGTATTTCATTTAGAATATCTTCTTGTTTGGTAATAGGTTCACCGTCTTTATGAAGCTTAAGGATTATTTTTAACTCAACTGGCCAAAAGGGCCAAGTGAGCTTATGCCACAGTGCGACGTCTGTCGTCCATCCGTCCATCCGTCCGTCCGTCGTCTCTCCGTCCTGCATCCATCAACTTTTCATTTAAACAGCTTCTTCTAAAATACCGAAAAGCGTAGAGTTATCATATTTGGCTTGAAAGTTCCTTTGATGAAGCCCAACAAAGTGTGTTAAACCTATAAATGACATTTTCTGATTATCCAAAACATCTAGGATAGTGATGTTTTTCTAAAATAGGTTCTCAATGATGCCTGGTAATATTTGAGAACAGTAATGACCTTGACCCATATTCAAGGTCACAATAGTCAAATGTGTTAAACTTTTGAACAACTTCAGATTAACCTAAACCCTAGGATCATAATATTTGGCCAAAAGGTTCCCTTAATGGTGCCCACATAGTGTGTGAAAAAATAGCTTGACTCATAAAAATATTTAAGGTCACTGGGGTTAAATCATTAACAACTTCTGATTGACCCAAGGCTATCATATGTGGCCAGTAAAAGTTTCACAAAGGCTTATATACAAATATGTAGAACCTTCCAATGACTTATTAAAGGAATATATTTGGCTGGGAATTATCTTGGCATAGTTTGGAATAAATTATTAGGACCTTTCACAGTGATGTCACACTGTTAAAAAAATAGATTAGGCCAAGCCCCCTGGAGGTCTGAGAGGCTTGAGCTAAGTAATGTGAAAAACTACATGTTAGCCAATTACATATGTTCTATTCACAGCATTAAAATACAGAAAACATGATCGGAAAGAGAATTGCAAGGTCTTCATTTTGATTTAAGATTCATCATAATTATAGCATAAATAAATAAGAAATTTTAAGTTGATCTCATTTGCTATGCAGTGTTTATAGGCCTACAGTAAACTGTTATCAGTATATCTCCAGTAACCAGGGCTTAACTGACCATGGTGACATCACTAATGATATACATGAACTGTTTTATTATTGGTTTTGAGTTAGGATTATGGTTTATAATTACATGTACCTTTTTTTCCTGGTCTTTATTAGGTCATCTGGTCGAGATGACCTATAGCCATCGTGCTTCATCCGTCGTCGTCTGCCATGCGCCATCCGCCGTGCGTCGTCCGTAAAAAAGCTTCTCAAATACTAGAAGGCCTAGGGGGCTAATACTGGGCCAATAGCATGCTGGCATGGAGGCCTACAAAGTTTGTTCAAATGAATGACCTTGACCCACTTTCAAGGTCACAGGGGTCAAATATGTTAAAATATACAAACGACTTCTTCTCAATAAGCAAAAGTCCAAGAGTGCTGATATTGGGCCTGTAGGATGCTTGGAGGAAAGGCTACCAAGTTTGTTCAAATGAATGACCTCGACCCACTTTCTAGGTCACAGGGGTCAAATATGTTAAAATATATAGACAACTTCTTCTCAATAAGCAGAAGTCCAAGAGTGCTGATAATGGACCTGTAGGATGCTGGGATGACATGCTACCAGATTTGTTCAAATGAATGACCTTGACCCACTTTCAAGGTCACAGGGGTTAAATATGTTAAAATATGCAAATTACATCTCAATAACCAAAATGATTAGAGTGCTGATATTGGGCCTGTAGGATGCTTTGAGGAAGTGTTACCAAATGTGTTCAAGTGAATGACCTTGACCCACTTTCAAGATCACAGGGTTCAAATATGCTAAAATCTGTAAACGACTTCTTCTCAGTAACCAAAAGACTCAGCGTGCTGATATTGGGCCTGTAGGATGCTGTAAGGAAGGGCTACCAAGTTTATTCAAATGAATAAAGCCCACTGTTTTAACAGCAGACTCACTGTTGTTAGAGTTTGGCTTGCTTTTTGTCAGATGACCGTTAAGGCCCATGGGCCTCTTGTATTTAATTGTTGCTATATATTGTTGACTTGTGCAAGTCTCAAATATGTTGTATCTGTGTTTGTAAACAATGATCTAAAGGGCAAGTAAGCTTCTGCTGTCCTGGGTCATCCGTCCAGCTATAACTAAGAGTTTTCTGCTATATTGTTTGACCATCTTCTTTCCTTGATTTAAAGAAAGCTATCGATTATATTTAACTTGAAACATCATAAGAAAGTCTCAATTCAACATTTCACAGATACTTCTCACTATTAAAGAAAATAGTGTGCAATAATATCTAAATTAATTTTTAAAAAAAATATCATTTTTCGTTGCAGACCATTGGGTTATTTACTTTCCAGACCATTGTTTGTATTAAGTGGAGAACATCATCATGTTGTGAGAAAAATTTGTAACCCAGGCTTTTCTCTCAAGCTCATACAAGGTATGTTTTATAGTACTTAATTACCATATTTATCGTTTGTTAGCACCAAAGGAGCCAGTCTTTGGTTGCGATATTTGGGGGTTTGGCATCGAGTGAGAACATCTGGTCCTTTTCAAAGACATTTTGATTAACAACTTTTTAAATCACCTTCCTGGAGTTAGCTCCCTTGTACTGTAGCTGGCACATTTGTATGGTTTTCAATCATGTATGTTTCTTATATATAACATATATTACTGTATAACTCAGTTTGATGTTCTTTTTGTCAATGTCATATTTGTGATTTTTAGGTCATCTGACCTGAAGAGTCTGATGACCTATTGCGATCGCCTTTTGCCCTGCGGCGTCCATATTGCATCATAAACAATTTACATTTTCAACTTCTTCTCAAGATCTACATGTCTCATTGAGCTGAAACTTACCTGAAATGATCGTGACATGGTTCTAATCAAAGTTTGTTAATTTCCGGTTGGTCCGAAATCCAAGATGGCCGTCATTTTGAAAATACATTGAAAACACATTTTCAACTTCTTCTCAAGTTCTACTTGTGACATTGAGCTGAAACTTACCTGAAATGATCGTGACATGGTCCTGACCAAAGTTTGTTAATTTCGGGTTGGTCCGAAGTCCAAGATGGCCGCCATCTTGAAAACACATTTTCGACTTCTCAAGTTCCACCAGTGCGATTGAGCCAAAACTTGCATGAAATGATCATGACATGGCACTGACCAAAGTTTGTTCATTTCGGGTCAGTCCAAAATCCAACATTGCCACCACGGCCGCCATTTTGAAAATATATTGAAAACACATTTTCAACTTCTTCTCAAGTTCTACCTGTGACATTGAGCTAAAAACTTACCTGAAATGATCTTGACATGGTCCCAACCAAAGTTTGTTAATTTCGGGTTGGTCTGAAATCCAAGATGGCCACCAATGATATTGGTGATGATTTACTATCTAATATGAAATTATTTGCTGATGACATATCTTTATATGGCCTAATTGAGGGTGACAGGCAAGATGCAGCTGATATACTAAATGATGATCTCCAAAAAATTTCTAGATGGGCCAATAGGTGGGGTATTATTTTTAATCCGGATAAGACTGAATCCCTACTTTTTTCTAGGCAAATAGATTCTGAAATGTTGCATCCAAATCTGTATTTTAATAACTCAGTTATTAGAAATGTTACCTGTCATAAGCACCTGGGTCTAATTTTTAACAGTCATGCTAATTGGTCCTACCACATAAGCTTTATGTATGAGAAAGCTTATAAACAAATAAATATTCTTAGAATGTTAAAGTATAAAATTGACAGAAAGTCACTTGAATTAATATATATTACATTTATTCGTCCTATTTTAGAATATGCTGATATTGTTTGGTCTAACTGCACAGAAAGGGAATGCAACATCTTAGAATCAGTTCAATTAGAGGCAATACACATTATTACTGGTCTGAGACGGGGCACCAGTCATGCTATCCTTTATAATGAGTCTAGATAAATACCATTAGCTAAACAAAGACACCTACATCAAAATATCCATTTTTTTAAATTTTTTAAATAATAGATGCCCTCCTCATGTAACTGATTCTATCCAGCCTTTTATCAACAATAATACTGCTCTTATCCTCTTCGACACAATAGGTTGTTTGATGTGCCCCTTGCAAGAACTCGTCAATATAGCACTAGTTTCTTTCCTAAACTCATGACTGAATGGAACGACCCATCCTGTCTGTTTCCCTCATTGACATCCATTTCTGAAATGAAAAAAAAAACATTTTTGTCAGAGACTGTTATCAATCCTCTTTTACAATGCACTGATACTTTTAAATATTACGATAACAGAAAGGCAAACATAATCTTGTGTCAACTAAGAAACTCTGCAAGTAATCTAAATTTTGACTTATTTAATTCCTACCTTAAAGACAACCCTGTCTGTACTTGTGGCCACCCAGTTGAAGATCCTACTCACTTCTATTTCCATTGTCCGTTCTTTACTATCCAAAGACAACTCCTCCTTAATTCTCTTTCTACTCTTAGTGATTCTATACCTCTTACCACTGATACATTTCTTAAAGGATCTCATACACTTGATGCAAATATAAATAAATATATTCTTGATTTGGTTCAGAGATTCATAACTGACACTGGTCGCCTGTTTTATACTTATATATACATTTTTTTTCTATTCTTAATTTGAATTTGTTATCTTAAGTTCGGTCCGTCTGTCAATTTTTACGGACTCGGCTCAGGATTGTGTGTATATGGACTGTTTGAACCTGCAGCCTGTGCCGTGATCAATCGACAAACTTTGACTCCATCTTGTTATATGTAATTATATTACCTCTCTAATCTTACTATTCTTTAACACTATAATTTAAATGATGGTAATGCTTGCCTAACATTTCTATTAAATAATTATTCAACTGAATCTATATTCTAAATTCTTTTCCTGGAATGCTATCATTAGTATTTAATATCTTAAATTTTGATTGATGTGTCTGTGTACTTGTTTAAGTTGTATGGAGAGGGCTTTCATAGGCTCTGCCTGTTGCCCAATTCCATTTGTCACCAACATCAAGACAATAAAATATTCTGAAATGAAATGGCCACCATGGCCTCTATCTTGAAAACACATTTTCAACTTCTGCTCAAGTTCTACCTGTGACATTTAGCTGAAACTTACCTGAAATGATCGTGACATGGTCCCAACCAAAGTTTGTTAATTTAGGGTCAGTCCAAAATCCAACATGGCTGCAATGGCCGCCATTTTGAAAATACATTGAAAACACATTTTCAACTTCTTCTCAAGTTCTACTTGTGACATTGAGCTTAAATTTATATGAAATAATCATGACATGATCCTGACCAAATTTTGGTAAAGTTGGCTCCTAAGACCTTCTAGGTATACACAGCTCTTCAAGGCTTATATAACCTATAAACAACAAACCGTATTGACCTAATTACCACACATGCTGCTATAACCGCACCCCATACTTTTGTATGGAAAAGAAGATGTGTGCGCTTATTTAAACCCTAAAAACATTCCTTGCCTCAAAGATCTGATGTCCAGAAGATTTGTCAGCCTTCTAACCAAATACTCTGTTCCGGAGAATCCTGTTTGTTGAAACAAATGACCTTTATCCCTTTTCAAGGTCACAAGGGTCAACTTTGTATAAAACCTTGAAGAAACATCCTCTGAATAACCAGAACACCCAGGGTGATGATATTTGGCCTGTAGCATGCTGGGATGAAGGTTTACAAAGTTTGTTGAAATGAATAACCTTAACCCACTTTCAAGGTAGTGGCTGAGTGCCCTTGATTCTTAAATCCAGGTGAAATAAGTTCAAAATCTGAAATCTTGTATGTTATGTCAGATGACTGTTAAGGCCCATGGGCCTCTTGTTGCAACATAACGTTGCTCTGCAAATAATTAAAGAGATATTCTGCATAAGTTGAAAATGTCTAGCTGTTAAGTACCTTTTTAGAATTCTTTCTATGGACTTTTAGAAACTATTTTCATTATCTAAATGTCTTCCCAAAGGCCAGTTTGGACAGGCAAAATCAGTGATACACCACTTGCCAATATGGAATTAAACTGTGTTAATATAGTGCCTTGGGAAATCTGGAACTGGGCCACTGACTGAAACATATATTTTATGCAATGTATTGGGTCATTACACAGGTGTGTGCACTGTTCACTTGTAATTGCTGCTTGGATTGGATTTACATTGCTTTGCTTGACGGATTTCTTGGTCAGTTTTAAAATATGCACTAATATTTTGTATTACTTGGCTAATAAAATGCAAACCTGTTATGGTGCAATCACAGTCATGCTAATGTTTGTAAATTGATTGAGGTAGATCTACATAAATTATAATTTCCAAAATTTGATATCCTGTTTGTTTATAATGTGAATTGCTGCAAACAATTTCTGTAAGTCCTGAAGCATATCCTTTTGTGATAATTTTTTTTCTTTAAAACACAAATCTTTATTTGTGCTGAAGATCCCTTTAACTAGCTAATTTCAATGTAGTTACATTACCATCTCAAAGGTGAAAATATGGCATGGGTGTATTCAAATATTCCCAATATGACACCAAATGACTAAATTTGCTTTAAGCAAAACAAATCAGTCATACAGTCATAATTATATTAAAATTTTATTTACAAAGGAGGCAGGGACAAGGCCAACAATTAATGTCTGAAGTAGACAGGCAGGTCTATCTTAATGACAACACATTTGTTGGTATTTCTACTGAACTGTAATAGATATTGGGCTAAATTTGGTTTACATGTACATCACAGTGTTAAATTAGCTGGTGACATACTTGTGGTGTTCTTCTGTAAAATACTGTTAAAGCATATGCCATGTTTTTCTGGATTTTAACTTACTCTGGTATTAAGGCTGCAGAACCAATTTTTAGTGATGGTAGGCTATTCAAATCACTCTGCATCTGTAGTTCATCCGTAAATAATTTTTTGTTATTTCCATTTTTTGAAAAGTACTGGATGGATCTTTCTCCAATTGCATATGTAGGTTCCCCTTGGTCCATAGTTGTACCCGTTTGATTTTGGGACTGATCAGAAAAACCAAATGGCCAACAGGCAGCCATTATGAACTTTTTCAATTAAGTCTATTATCACTATTTCTTGAAAAGTAGGAGATTGATCTCTTTTAAATTTCATATGTAGGTTCCCCCTTGGTTCCAAGTTGTGCCAATTTGATTTTGGGACTGATCAGAAAAACAAATTGGCCGACAAGTGGCCATTTTTTATTTTGCCTAGTAAAGTTGGTTATCGCTGTTTCTTAAGAAGTACTGAATGGATGTCTCTCAAATTTCATACATATGTTCCCTTTGATCTCTCCTTGTGTAAAAATTTGGGACTAATCAAAAGAAACAAAATGGCTTCCAGGCAGCCATTTTGGATTTGGCAGGTAAAGATTATCATTGTTATTTCTGCAGAGGAGTGTTCAAATGTCTTATCATTAAGAGCAAAAAAGAGAAGAGAAAAGAAGGGAAAAGATCCAGCTTTCAAAGAGCATATATAGATCAAACAATGGTGGGCGCCAAGATCCCTCTGGGATCTCGTTATTAGTTGGGTTTTTTGCCATTTGATCCGCTTGTTAGCTGCACCAGAATATTTGCTGCATCCTTTTTAACAATATAATAATGATAATTCTGACCAAATTTTGTTGATTAACAGACAACAGAGGATAATTATCAAGATAGTGGGTTAAACATTTAATAAAGTTTGCAAATGAGTTATGCACAAATAGTCCTGTATTTTAATTATGCATTTCCAAAATTATTCTGGTCATTTAAAATATATAAAATAGCAAATGTCTAACTTGTCTGGTTTAGGGCCTTCAAGGATTGTCTACGCACAGATTAAGGGCCTGAGGTTACCTACGGTTTACTAAACAATATCTCCATCAGTGTCTTCACCAGTAAATATTAATGAAGGCCCTTGCATGCTGACTTATAGTCCCATACTATTTCTTGTAAGTTACACAAAGCCATTAATATCGTAAATAAGTGTGATGGAATCTAGAAATAAATGTTCTGTATCGGTCACAAACATGTGGGGAGCAGGTATTGTCTTGCAACGGGATGCTACATTTTCATTTTTCATTTTGCTGAATTTTTTTGGTCAAAATATATGCCACACCTGTATATAAGCTGTACCCTTACCTATGAGGAAAAAAGCTGGGGCTTATGATCTGGAAAATATGGTATTTCCTCAATTTTCATGTTTTTTCAATAAATAACTACAAGTATCTCTTTAATTTTATTGATTTAATAGTAAAACATATCTGAACAAATCTACTTATTTCAAAAGTTTGTAGACATAAAAATTTATGGATTGAAATAACTTCAGTGAAAATAAATCTCCCACAGAAATGAATGATTGTGCAGTATCCAACAGTTCTCAGTGCCCCAATACTTGATTGTTGACTATTTAATTGGTAAGCTGTCAGATGATGTGTAATATTCTACTGTAATCAACACCCATGTCATAACCATTTAATTTAAATACCACTTTATTAATTCTACGAAGAACTCTCAAAGATTGGGGGGGGGGGGGGGTGGGGGGAACTCTTATTATACAACAATACAAATTAAATAACATCTCATCAAAGGGTAGTTAATCATTACACTGGTTTATAAAACTTACAAACCTGAACAAAATATTCCATATATCTCGTGCAAAAGAACATATACATATTTATAAAACTTACAAACCAGAACAAAATATTCCATATATCTCGTGAGGTTGTTGTAGGTAATTATATGTGCATGAGTTAAGTTCTCAATGAGCCAAGGCGATATGGACTGATAGACTTATCAATTGATGAACTGATAGACTGACAGATTGGTGGACTGATAGACTGACAGATTGGTGGACTGACAGAGTGATGTACTTATTAGATACACTGATGTATTCATAGACTCGTGAATAGATTGCTAACTTTTAATCATATCTAATAGTATTTATGGGGACATATGAACTAGTGCATAATTTAATAAAAAAAAACTTGATATTGAATCTGAAATAATAACCAATTGTTTTTTTTTTATTATTATTTCTGCAGGAATGGTACCTGTATTCCAGGAAAGAGCTGATGCTCTGATCCATCTTTGGGTCCAAGGCATGTCCCAAGACAACAAAACGTTTGGCGATGTAAATGTACAAACAGACCTAGCCAAGCTTGTAAGTAACCCAGACATGGATTGTTGCCTTCTGTTTGCTCAAAATGCCTGAAATATGTGATGATAAAGTCTCAGTTTGTGTGTCTGTTTGTTGATGATTCTTGTTAATGCTGTTTCTTAGAAAGTAAGAAACAAATATTACTTGGTTTTATAGTGTTAATTAACATGTAAAATGTCTTGTAATAAGCCCGCCCCCACACTTTGAGTTAGATGAACTGGGTTTATAAATAAGGTAAACACTATTGTCCCAAAGTGTAGGTTCAAAATGGTTCAGTAATAGTTTCTTGATGAACATCACGATGTTAAAAACTTTATAATGTCAAACACAAGACACTCCAGTGAACAGCAAGTTTTAATAATTTAGAGTTAGATAGAGTAAAGCCAAACAATGAATTAAACTGCATCATACAGCTGCTTCGTCCTTCTAGGACTCATCAATGATGCTAGAAGGGCTTTATTTTGAAGCTTACGAGGCAACTGAGGAAAAATCCAAAGCGATCAAGAAAAAAGGTCAAAATCTAGACGGGGAGATGCAGCAGCCCCAATAAATTTTGTAATTTTTATATACATGTATCAGATGCCACTATAGAATGAATTAAAATGTGACATTTTGATCAATAGTTATCCTTCATGATAGATTTACTGTTGCTATCATACAGCATATTAGCTATAGGAAAAGGGAAAAAGTAAAAGTGTTAATTCTGAACCATGCCACTATTAGAATGAATTAAAATGTGACATTTTGATCAATAGTTATCCTTCATGATAGATTTACTGTTGCTATCATACAGCATATTAGCTATAGGAAAAGGGAAAAATGAGGAAAAAAATCTCTAAGAGTTATAAAGGTGTGTGTGTGAGTTGATGTTATCAGTATCTCTTTGGATCTATTTAAGGTGTTCTGGAGAAAAAGTATTTCTAAGTTACAAGACGTCTGTTTATATATATACATGTGTGAGTCAATTTCATCAATATCTCTTTGGAATCTCATTAAGGTATTCTGGAGAAGTATTTTTAAGTTACAAAAGTTCTGTTTATATATATGTGCTAATGTTTCCATTATAGACAAGTGATGTAATTTGTAAGTGTGGATTTGGCTATGATATGCACACCATTGAGAATCCAGACTCACCACTTGTTCAGCCTCTAAGGAGACTAGGGCCTCTTGCCACTTCAAGGTAAGCTTTGTTATGAATAGTTAAAAAAACGTTATCAAGATTTTACTGTATACAGCTCTATGTTATGAGATGAGAAATGACTTTTCATTCTCTGAGATTTTTGATAATTTTGTATTGATTTTCAAACTTTTGTTTCAAGCACATTTGAAAAGGAAGCATGTTGGATATTTGGCTGTGGGGATGTGTTAAATTTCAATGTTTGGTTCAATATGTAATAAACATCTGTCAGTTCATAACAATGCAAAGTGCCTGGTTATCTTATTTCATGCATGAGTGATAAAATGGTTTGGACAGGGCAATGAGATCTCATAGAATTGAAAATGCTCAACCTAAGTTGTAACATCTTGTTTGTACACAACGTAGACGAAAAAACAAAACAAAGTATGTTAATATTGAAAGATTAGGCATGACACATAATTTATCTATATTAATGTTCCAAGCTTTAATGTAGGAATCTTGACTTGGCCTCTACCTTTGTGTCAAGGTCAAAAGAAAAAAAAATGTTAAGGTCAAATGTCGAAAAACATGTTGGGTATGCACACACTTTCAACTCCTTTGAGACTGTCGTCCTTCATCTCTAAGTAGATTTTGGCCAAACTATCTATAAATGATCTCTAAATGTGGGACTTCATTTTTTCATGATATCAAGGTCAAAGTCATCTTTGCTTTTCATAAAAAATCTTTTGATCATTCCACATGCTTTTATTTCACTGAACATTTTCATTAAACTTCATTTAGTGTTATTTATATGATGGTGCAAGAAAAATCAGATAAGCACTTTTTATAATTTAATATAAGCTTTCTGAATTATATTTTGATTTAGAATTTTTTTCTTAATGATAGAAACAGGCACTGTGGAATTCATCTGTAGTGTTAAATAATTAATGTTTTCCTCTTGTTTTTAAGTTTTTTAGACTATTTGCCATTTGGCAAATGGTTTCCCACAAAGAGAAATAGACAGATATGGGAGGATTCCAGAAGTATATCACAACTAGCAGAGAAGGTTCTACAGCAAAAGAAGCAGGCATTGGGTACTCAAGGTATACCAATTCTTCCATTGATTGACAAGTTTTATGAACATGAGACTTGGCAAGCAAAAAAAAAAAAAATTCGAATCTGTTCATGTCCTCTATTGTTATTGGACTCTGCATGCTGGCACAAATGATCATTACAACATCCCGCACAAATGTTGTTGAGTTTGGCACATGTTGGAAGTTCCAATGTGGTCACTGTCGCAACAGATTAGCTGAGATTTTTTAAATTCTTCTCAAGAACAGCTGGTGCCATTGACACGTAACTTGCTACAAATGATCATCATGAAGTTTGGCACATGCGTTGTTGATATTTGTGCGGATTGGAGAATCCAAAATGGCTGCCTTAGGCGTCCTGGATAAAGATTTCTCAATAAATCTACTCACACCTTTTTTAACAGTTTGTGAACTTATGAATTCATGGATTGAAAGTACCAACAAAATCAACGAAAAAAAAATTATCCTGTAATAAGCCCATTACCTTTATTTTTTTTTTGTCTGAATCCTTTTGTTGTCCTCCTTGACTTATTAAATATCAAATATTAAAAAGTTTTGTCCAACAAATAGTTTATTGGCCACTTTCCTTAATTGTTAAAATATATTAAATTTAAGTTAAAATTTCATTCTATAAAATCAATTTTTAATTAAATATTTACAAGAATGATCACTCAAAATTTTATAGTTTGATTTGGCATTGTGACAAGTTAGCCAGACTTAAGTTTCTCTTTCCATGGAGCTTGAGTCTTATTACATGACATTGTAATAGCATTTACTAAACAGCAGTGGGTGTGGATGGACTTATTACTCAGCATGGGCTTATTAATTGATGAAAAGGGAGGGAACTGTGGATATTAATGCACAACTACAGTCTCTGACAACAACACATAAAATGGCACAATACTTTTATAAATGAGCAGAAGAAACTATCAATTGCTTCAATCAAATGTTTAAGGAGCTAATATTTGGAAATTTGGCAAAACGAAGTGAAGTTTCAGATTTTTTTGTATAAAGATGAAGCAAAGTTTGGTTGTAATAAATGATAATAACTGATCAGTGTTGAAAAATTATGTTATCACCAAGATTTTCCGGTAATTTGATTGCATATTCAGGTTGTGGGAAAGACTTATTGACCTCGCTGTTGGTTGCACGGGATCAGGAAGGTGGAGCTATGTCAGACAAGGACCTATTTGGAGAAGTGATTGGTTTTCTCTTTGCTGGCTTTGAGGTAAAGATTTGCAATATTCTAAACATGATTTTTAATCCACCTTTAAGCCTTGTGTCTTTGGTTCTTTTGTACAGTACTGTTTTTACTTACAGAAAAGATTGTTCTTCCTGAGGTCTGAAAAATCAGCTTTATCTTTGAAGCATATGAAATCTTAATGACAGTGTCTTGTTTATCTTTGTTACTAAGACAACCAGTATTGCCATGACTTGGACACTCCTACAGCTGGCACAGTTCCCAGATATTCAGGTGAAGGTCAGGAAGGAGGTCAATCAAGTGTTAAAGGATTGTAATGGTGTTATCAACTATGAAACACTGGATCAGCTTAAATACCTCACCTGTGTGATCAAAGAAACTCTCAGGTAATTAGCACATAATATTTCACCTATATCATCAGTTTTAAAATTTTTGTTCATTATGGTTTCAGAAATTCATCCATTATTGTTCAATAAATTTTATTCAAAGTGACAATCACGAATTACAAACCAAATGTATTTTCAAGTAACTCTATAGATGATTGGATTCTGCATCTTAAAAACCTGTAGCAGTTTGCATGTTTCATCATCAGAAATATGTTATAACCCAGTAACTAGTTTTGATCAGTAACCTGTATATGTTTGGTTCAGCTTGTACCCCAGTAACTGGTTTTGATCAGTAACCTGTATATGTTTGGTTCAGGTTGTACCCCAGTAACTGGTTTTGATCAGTAACCTCTGTATATGTTTGGTTCAGGTTGTACCCCAGTAACTGGTTGATTGATACCCCAGTAACTGGTTTTGATCAGTCTGTATATGTTTGGTTCAGGTTGTACCCCAGTAACTGGTTTTGATCAGTAACCTCTGTATATGTTTGGTTCAGGTTGTACCCCAGTAACTGGTTTTGATCAGTAACCTCTGTATATGTTTGGTTCAGGTTGTACCCCAGTAACTGGTTTTGATCAGTAACCTCTGTATATGTTTGGTTCAGGTTGTACAGTAACTGGTTTTGATCAGTAAGTAACTGGTTTTGATCAGTAACCTCTGTATATGTTTGGTTCAGGTTGTACCCCAGTAACTGGTTTTGATCAGTAACCTGTATATGTTTGGTTCAGGTTGTACCCCAGTAACTGGTTTTGATCAGTAACCTCTGTATATGTTTGGTTCAGGTTGTACCCCAGTAACTGGTTTTGATCAGTAACCTCTGTATATGTTTGGTTCAGGTTGTACCCCAGTAACTGGTTTTGATCAGTAACTGTATATGTTTGGTTCAGGTTGTATCTGTATATGTTTGGTTCAGGTTGTACCCCAGTAACTGGTTTTGATCAGTATGTATATGTTTGGTTCAGGTTGTACCCCAGTAACTGGTTTTGATCAGTAACCAGTATATGTTTGGTTCAGGTTGTACCCCAGTAACTGGTTTTGATCAGTAACCTCTGTATATGTTTGGTTCAGGTTGTACCCCAGTAACTGGTTTTGATCAGTAACCTGTATATGTTTGGTTCAGGTTGTACCCCAGTAACTGGTTTTGATCAGTAACCTGTATATGTTTGGTTCAGGTTGTACCCCAGTAACTGGTTTTGATCAGTAACCTCTGTATATGTTTGGTTCAGGTTGTACCCCAGTAACTGGTTTTGATCAGTAACCTCTGTATATGTTTGGTTCAGGTTGTACCCCAGTAACTGGTTTTGATCAGTAACCTGTATATGTTTGGTTCAGGTTGTACCCCAGTAACTGGTTTTGATCAGTAACCTCTGTATATGTTTGGTTCAGGTTGTACCCCAGTAACTGGTTTTGATCAGTAACCTCTGTATATGTTTGGTTCAGGTTGTACCCCAGTAACTGGTTTTGATCAGTAACCTCTGTATATGTTTGGTTCAGGTTGTACCCCAGTAACTGGTTTTGATCAGTAACCTGTATATGTTTGGTTCAGGTTGTACCCCAGTAACTGGTTTTGATCAGTAACCTGTATATGTTTGGTTCAGGTTGTACCCCAGTAACTGGTTTTGATCAGTAACCTCTGTATATGTTTGGTTCAGGTTGTACCCCAGTAACTGGTTTTGATCAGTAACCTGTATATGTTTGGTTCAGGTTGTACCCCAGTAACTGGTTTTGATCAGTAACCTGTATATGTTTGGTTCAGGTTGTACCCCAGTAACTGGTTTTGATCAGTAACCTGTATATGTTTGGTTCAGGTTGTACCCCAGTAACTGGTTTTGATCAGTAACCTGTATACCCAAGTAACTGGTTTTGATCAGTAACCTGTATATGTTTGGTTCAGGTTGTACCCCAGTAACTGGTTTTGATCAGTAACCTGTATATGTTTGGTTCAGGTTGTACCCCAGTAACTGGTTTTGATCAGTAACCTCTGTATATGTTTGGTTCAGGTTGTACCCCAGTAACTGGTTTTGATCAGTAACCTGTATATGTTTGGTTCAGGTTGTACCCCAGTAACTGGTTTTGATCAGTAACCTGTATATGTTTGGTTCAGGTTGTACCCCAGTAACTGGTTTTGATCAGTAACCTGTATATGTTTGGTTCAGGTTGTACCCCAGTAACTGGTTTTGATCAGTAACCTCTGTATATGTTTGGTTCAGGTTGTACCCCAGTAACTGGTTTTGATCAGTAACCTCTGTATATGTTTGGTTCAGGTTGTACCCCAGTAACTGGTTTTGATCAGTAACCTGTATATGTTTGGTTCAGGTTGTACCCCAGTAACTGGTTTTGATCAGTAACCTGTATATGTTTGGTTCAGGTTGTACCCCAGTAACTGGTTTTGATCAGTAACCTGTATATGTTTGGTTCAGGTTGTACCCCAGTAACTGGTTTTGATCAGTAACCTGTATATGTTTGGTTCAGGTTGTACCCCAGTAACTGGTTTTGATCAGTAACCTGTATATGTTTGGTTCAGGTTGTACCCCAGTAACTGGTTTTGATCAGTAACCTGTATATGTTTGGTTCAGGTTGTACCCCAGTAACTGGTTTTGATCAGTATATGTTTGGTTCAGGTTGTACCCAGTATGTTTGGTTCAGGTTGTACCCCAGTAACTGGTTTTGATCAGTAACCTGTATATGTTTGGTTCAGGTTGTACCCCAGTAACTGGTTTTGATCAGTAACCTGTATATGTTTGGTTCAGGTTGTACCCCAGTAACTGGTTTTGATCAGTAACCTCTGTATATGTTTGGTTCAGGTTGTACCCCAGTAACTGGTTTTGATCAGTAACCTCTGTATATGTTTGGTTCAGGTTGTACCCCAGTAACTGGTTTTGATCAGTAACCTGTATATGTTTGGTTCAGGTTGTACCCCAGTAACTGGTTTTGATCAGTAACCGGTATATGTTTGGTTCAGGTTGTACCCCAGTAACTGGTTTTGATCAGTAACCTCTGTATATGTTTGGTTCAGGTTGTACCCCAGTAACTGGTTTTGATCAGTAACCTCTGTATATGTTTGGTTGGTTGTACCCCCCCAGTAACTGGTGATCAGTAACCTGTATATGTTTGATAACTGGTTTTGATCAGTAACCTCTGTATATGTTTGGTTCAGGTTGTACCCCAGTAACTGGTTTTGATCAGTAACCTGTATATGTTTGGTTCATGTTGTACCCCAGTAACTGGTTTTGATCAGTAACCTGTATATGTTTGGTTCAGGTTGTACCCCAGTAACTGGTTTTGATCAGTAACCTGTATATGTTTGGTTCAGGTTGTACCCCAGTAACTGGTTTTGATCAGTAACCTGTATATGTTTGGTTCAGGTTGTACCCCAGTAACTGGTTTTGATCTGTATAGTAACAGTAACTGGTTTTGATCCTGTATATGTTTGGTTCAGGTTGTACCCCAGTAACTAATTTTGATCAGTAACCTGTATATGTTTGGTTCAGGTTGTACCCCAGTAACTGGTTTTGATCAGTAACCTGTATATGTTTGGTTCAGGTTGTACCCCAGTAACTGGTTTTGATCAGTAACCTGTATATGTTTGGTTCAGGTTGTACCCCAGTAACTGGTTTTGATCAGTAACCTGTATATGTTTGGTTCAGGTTGTACCCCAGTAACTGGTTTTGATCAGTAACCTGTATATGTTTGGTTCAGGTTGTACCCCTACCCCAGTAACTGGTTTTGATCAGTAACCTGTATATGTTTGGTTCAGGTTGTACCCCAGTAACTGGTTTTGATCAGTAACCTGTATATGTTTGGTTCAGGTTGTACCCCAGTAACTGGTTTTGATCAGTAACCTGTATATGTTTGGTTCAGGTTGTACCCCAGTAACTGGTTTTGATCAGTAACCTCTGTATATGTTTGGTTCAGGTTGTACCCCAGTAACTGGTTTTGATCAGTAACCTGTATATGTTTGGTTCAGGTTGTACCCCAGTAACTGGTTTTGATCAGTAACCTGTATATGTTTGGTTCAGGTTGTACCCCAGTAACTGGTTTTGATCAGTAACCTGTATATGTTTGGTTCAGGTTGTACCCCAGTAACTGGTTTTGATCAGTAACCAGTATATGTTTGGTTCAGGTTGTACCCCAGTAACTGGTTTTGATCAGTAACCATGTACCACCCATTTCCAGCTGAGATGACACGAAAGATCGGACTTCATATTGGAGCATTGCATCGGTGAGTGAAACTGATGTTTCTTTTTCTCCAAAGCTGTTTGTTCCTGTTTTCTGTTTTTGTCTGGTATTTAGAATACATTTTCTTTTACACTTGTCATCTACTGATATTGTTATGTAGTTTGAACAAGATCAATTCATCTTAAAACAAGACAAAAAGGGATATCTTGACTTCCCCTGACAAAGTTATGGATGAAATGGGCGGATTAAGAGATTTGGCAAGAACCTGTTCCAAATTTTCAAATTGTCTTCTGTAGACAAGAGACTGGACATCATATATCCATAAGTTACTAGCCTCCATTTTGCCCTAGGCTGTAGACAAGAGACTGGCTTCATATGTTCACAAGCCATTAGCCTTCACTGGGACCCAGGCTATAAACAAGAGACTGGACATCACATGTCCACAAGTCTTCACTTGGCCAAGGCAGTAGACAAGAGACTGGCTTCATATGTCCACAAGTCGTTAACCTTCACTTAGCCCCAGGCTGTAGACAAGAGACTGGCTTCACATGTCCACAAGCTATTAGCCTTCACTGGGCCCAGGCTGTAAACAAGAGAACTCTACCATAAACAAATATGCAGTCGCTAACTGACATTGTCTAATGTTCATTGTTGCCAAGTTATTTGGTGACAAAATTCTGCACTAAAACAGAAAGGCTCACACGTGACTATTGTGGATTATATCACTTGAGGATTGTTATCACTATTTCTTTGGAGATATGGGATGGAACATTCCTATCTTTCATATAAAGGTTCCCCTTGGTCCCCAGTCAAAAGCTAGGCCATCTTTCCTACAGGTAGAAAAAAAAGCTTCACCATCCTATATTTCTTATCAGATTGTCACTATACTTCATTCACATAAGTGTTCCCTATACTGTAACTGAGACAAACTCAAGGAGCAGGCCAAAGCAATATACATTTATGGTTACTCGAAACATTTCGTACAACTTTGGGGTGCAAGATTTCACTTGTAGGTGTGCATAATCAGAAAAACAAAATGACCATCTTAGATTTGACCATCAATGATTATTATCACTATTTCTAAAGAGCGAAATCAAAGAAATGAAGAGTAACAGCTGAAATTAATTACACATTTAAAGACGAAATAAAGACCAAACCAAGGTGGGCAACAGGATCACTCTGGGATGGTTTTCAACCATGTACAAACACTACTGTAATACATTTGTGTGTCTGGCTATGCAAATCTAAATATCAGTTTTTCTCAGGATCTTTAACTGCCCTAATGTTTCTGACCAGAAATCATTAGTTGTTGAATTATTTCTGTAATTCTGACCCTTTTTCCTCACGATCAATGGTCAAACTTACAGTAGATGGACATCAACATACATGTCAACTGATTGATGTTAAATTTGGTTCTCTGGCGGTTTTCTACAATTTTAATTTAGCCAGATAGTAATAAGGAAAAGCGTATCCATGGTTACTGTGGCATGATATTAATTATTTCATGCTGGGGAGTGGCAGAGTGATCATATTTGCTTGACATACGTTGAGAGTTAATTATCATCTCTGCATCTGTCACTGTACCTCAGATATTTAGGCAGCTTCGTTAAGTAGCTTCAAGTCATAGACTCCATCAATAGATAGGGTTTTCTAGTAACTTTAAATTCAAACATATATGTTTCTTTGTCTTCCAAGGACAATATATATGTATATTTGTCAATAAATAGCCAAGCTCACAACATTTGCATTTCACCATCATGTAAGGTAAGGTCAGACTAATTTTTATATCAATGCACAATGTGGTTTTTTTTTTTTTTTTTGAAGGCAAAGTTAACAATTTGTTTGTCTCTTGTCTTCAAAGGGCTACGCTAACAGTGTATGATTTTCTTTGCCATCTGAAGGCAAGGCTAATGAAATGTTTGTTTCTCTTATCTACCATTGATGTGCATTTCTTCATAATCTGAAAGAAAAATTTCAATTTATCCTAGTATATCTTTTTGACATTAAAAAGTGTCGCTCACAATTTGTTCCTTTTTTGTAAGTGCCATTAGAAAGCCCTAGCTAAACTGTGTTTTCCTTCAAAATCTGAAATCGAAGCTTACAATACAGATTTATCCTTTATTACTTATTTTTCTCCTGAAAGTTACTCTCACAACGTACGTTCTCTTTTGCCATTGGGAGCAAATGACTTCAAGTGTGTTTCTCATTCTGTTTCCTTGTCATCTCAAGTCAAACTACTGTATATTTGGAATTATTCACCCTGACTTTTCCCCCTTGAATAAAACTGTCATTTCTTGCTCAGTGTCAATTTTACCATTGGATATTAATAAAAAAAAACACTATTATTTCAACTTTACGTTAAAACTCCAGCCAGCCTTTTCTTCCCTATACTGACAAAAGGATGAAATGGATAAACATCAATGAACAGACAAAACTTTCTGGAATGCGTTTATAATTGATATTGTCCTTTTTTGCATTTGAAGATTGTAATCAATTTATGTACCTTTTTGCAAAAGTCAAACAAAAAAGCAGACCAGGATCTATATACAAAACAAAGATTTCTTATAACAGATTAAAAATTACAGGTAGTTTCAGACTGAATATGATTAGTGGACCATGAGGTCTTAATGTTGTTAACCTAGTAGCAAAACTATGCTGTTATATATATAAAGATAGATGTGAAAATTGATCAATGGTTCAGTTGCTTTTTCAAGTTCATAAAAAATTTAAATTTATTTCATTTAATTTATGTAAATTTTAGGCTTTTCAGTAGCATATAAAATGAGTTAGATAAAATTTACCTGGAAAGGGGATGGGTTCATTACTCACCGTAAACATGTAAATTTTAGAGGTGATCTTATTTCAGCACTTTTTACACTGAAATATGAAAATGATAATTTTTGTTCATCTTTGTTGTTTACATAATTGTTGCAGATGATCACATTCATCTTTTCGCTATTCACAACAAGTGATAATGCACCAAAAATTTGTTACACCAGATATAGTACATTTACATTATGTCAAATTGATTTCATTTACATCATGTCAAATTTATTACATTTACATCATGTCAAATTTATTACATTTACATCATGTCATGTCCTATCTGCCACCAATTACAAATTTTAATTCCTCAAGGGCACAATTTTATTATGAAATAAAAAAATTCAGATATGGACGTCAGTCTTTTGAAACAAAATCACTGTCATACATTGGCTGATTAATTTTCATGAGTCCTGAAAGGAAGATTAAAAAAAAATTTAAAAAAAATAAAAAAGAAAATAAAACTCTTGTAAAATCCTATAACTAAATAATGTTTGCCACTCCTTACTTTGAACCTTTCTGACATCAAAAATTTTCATGTGTCCTGAAAGGAAGATTTTTTTAACCAAAAAAAAAAAAAAAACAATGATAAATTTCTTCTAAAATCCTACAGTTAAATAACGTGTGCCACCCCTTACTTTGAACCATTCTAACATCAAGAGCTGGCAAATATTTGACCATCTCATGTCTGAGTATGCAGCTGTAAGCCTTTAAGGCCGGATACCAAGATAATGGCCCTGTCAGTAAGATATCATTAAAGTGTCAGAGGCTTTGTGGTGCTTTCCTTCTTGTGTACATATATGGGTGCTGGGATTTTAGTCGTCTATCAAGGTAGAGCTGTAGCTCCAGTTTATTTGTAGTATGTGTGATACTTACATCACAGATGTAATACAAGCATTCACAAAGAACTGATGGTTGGCCTTCCTTAGCTCATATCTGGATGATGATGTCAGAAGTCAACTTAATAGATACACCTGTTCTTATGATTATGGAGAAAATGAGTGTTTAGTGTATCTCACAAGAACATTGACGTTGTTGTGAAGCTGCTGCTAGGAATAAATGTGTTATTTAATGTCTGGACTCTAGAAGTGATCAGCATTTTACAATTTTCCCTTGGCCTGAAAATTGAGAGCTTTATTGTCACTATATTTATATGTATAGGACAAAGACATTAAAAAAAAGTAGGGTCCATATTTAGACCCCCAACCCAACCCCCCCCCCCCCCCCCCCCCAAAAAAAAAGGGCCTTGATTTGTTATTAGACTTATGGTGTCTTCTGTCTGTTAATTTGTCTGTTTGTGTCTGTCCATCTGTCTGTGTTTGTGTCCCTCCATCTGTCTGTCAGTATTCAACCCCATTAGGAAACTCAATAATGATATTTGAATTCTTGACTCATATTGTTTTGCCTTGTTATTATCAAGACATATAGATTATCAAAGTTCCTACATGATGAAAGTCACTTTCTTAAATTAGACCAAGAAATTGTGTTGTGTGAGAAAAATATGCAGTCATTCATATTGTACAGCATGTTTTCACAGTCGTGCTTTAGGATCCTAGCTTTTTCTGATTTCCAGATTTTTCATGGCGCAATATTAATTAAGCTCAATGATTTTTTGTTTCACAAGTTTTTTAGGGGAACATATATTTGGAGCTTTGTCTGTCCATCTTTCCATCCATCCTTTTTATGCTGAGAGCATAATTTTACCCACAGTTAAGCAAGGATCATAAAACATTCTTTGTACATCTCTTCTGACGGATCCGAGGATGCAGGGGCTCTGGAATATAAATCTTCTAAAGTAACTTCAAAGAGAAGGAGCCAACGTCAGGTATGAGTAAGTGGGTATTAGGTGGGATCCGTCAGAAGAGCCCTCACACCAAACCGGGACCAGCTCACACCACATAGAATGTCGGAGCAAGATAACTCGGAATTCATATTTAAATTACCCACCGACACAAACTCGGACAACCCACAAAACAACCCGGAGAAAAAGAGACCCAGAACTGAGAACGACACGGAGAAAATTAGAATCCCGGCCATTGTTGTACCACACTTCAAAGTGTACCGTCGATTATCTATCCAGCTTGAACGATGTGGTCATCACATCGCTTTTTTAGAAAGGAGCATTAAAATCGGAAGTATCCCCAAGGGACTCAGAGTCAGAATAACCCCACAAATACCGGATCCGGACAGAAATAACAATAACGAACACTGTTAGAAATCTTTAAATTCATTTATTCAAAAGTTATACTTACTATTCTATATATGAACTGTGCTAAACTTACAGATATGCAAGATAACAGTTAATTGTCCATTACGTCACAGATAAGTTTTCCTCCCTGAAGGTACTTCAGGGATAAAATTTGTATAATATTTGTCCTGAAGAAGCCTCTGCGACAGAGGTGAAACTAGTCGACGAATAAAGTCAACACTCTCTTATTGGGAACGCGTGAGTATGTTGTGATTAATACCCTCTTCATACATACTTCTTAGTTTTTGTTTAATCGCCCTGCATACCCTCTGGTATCCATACTCACAGCGAAGTACCCACCTAATACCCACTTACTCATACCTGACGTTGGCTCCTTCTCATTGAAGTTACTTTTCAGTGTAATAGATTCAATGGACACGTGTGTGGTATAATTTTGTTTGCATCGAAATGAAAATGATAATGGAACTTGATATACATACATAGGTTATACTAAGGCAGTTTCCACAGAGGATTTCTGATTAGGAAGACCTATAGTCATCATGTCATCTTCGTCGTCATGTGCCATGCATAAACTTTTCACATTTTAAACTTCTTCTCAAGAACCACTTATGGGTTTCAGCTGAAACTTGCTCAACATGACCCAGAGATGGTCCTGACCAAGTTTCGCTATTCTTCTGGTCAGCCTGAAATCCAATATGGCCACCATGTCATCAATCTTGAAACACACATTTTAAACGTCTTCTCAGGATGCACTGGTGCTGTTAAGCTGAAATTTTAAGGGAATGTTGGGAAACATAAATGAAGAGTGTTTGTTATCTTTACTGCTGAAATATTCCAAACTTTTTTAATCATTTGATAAGTGTTCCTTCTATATACTTGTCTTTATAGTAAGATGACTGTTAATCCTCTTGTTTCCAGAGTTACTGCCCTTTGTTGAAATTTGTCAGGAGTGTACTGGTAACTGTATTTTGGATTGAACAGGTGTAAAGCCTTTCAGCTTTAATCTTTTTTCCCCCAGTTGAATTAATTCATCACCAGAAAAAATCACATTACTAAAATATTCATAGACTCACACAATGGTAACAACCTGTACTTATCGCTGACATACACATTAGATATCAGACTGAGTGTAATATACCTTCATAGGTAAAGCAGAAGTATGTATCCGACACAAATACATGCATGTAACAGGTAAAAACATTATTCTTTCTAAACTTTCCATATACAAAATACAAAGACAGACAAGCCTTCAATAAAATATTTTTTAGGACCAATCATTATTACCATCGATACTCTTGTTTGAAATATTTTTGATGATATGTGTTGGCTTATGATGTTTTTGCTTTCCTCCAATCCGCTCTGAGTGCTTATCTAAAATATAGAAAGAAAAGGCAAAAGGAAATGAATTATGAATTTACATATTCACATATCTTTAATAATCTATATCATATATCAAAGATTCTGTTTTACAGGGCGACTTTTACTTGGGAGAATTGGTGATTCTGGGGGTTATTTGACCTTATTCAGATTAATATTTTTGATTTTAATATTTTTTTTGTGCACTTAACTGGTGATTTTTATCAAATTACTTTTTATTGCAAATACACATACATTTAATATTTTTTTACAATATTTTTTAAAATTTTTAGTCAAACAATTCCTCATTCAGAATGTGGCAGATATGTACCGGTAGACTACTTTTCTTGGAGTGTGACATGCAAATGTTTTCGTTGGGATCACCTATATGCTTGATTTAGATTTATAACTTTGTATTTGTTTTATGTTCTATGTATTTGATACTTGTGTTTTGATAAAGGGACAGGTTGCCTCGAAAAAATTTGACAATTGACTTGTCTGTACTTGCAGAAAAAAAATAACACCTTATAATTGTTAAGCTGAATTTTTGTCACACTACTCTGGGCTCAAGCCAGATGTTGGGCAGATTAGCTATATGTGATGTTGTACACTAATATTTTCTCCTTGACTTCACAAAATTCGCAGGTATATCATATATAGGATAATAAAAAAACAATAAAATTGTCAGAAAATTGGTGTCTTGTTGAAACAGGTTGATTTTTATCCAACAATTTAGTTAAGTGTTAGTTAGCGCTATCTGGGCATCTGTAATGGATGATCGGGAAGAGTTTGTGTGTACCTGCAATACCACCTCAGTAGTACTGTAGTTAGATGGTCCTCATTATGTGTCGCTGGAGATGTAACTGCTCCTATACAGAAAGCATGACTATTACATTGGTCAGAGTAAATACACAAGTGTTCTAGTACACTTCTAAATTTATCTACGAAAACTGGTCTACACAGAGCTTGTCTATTGTTCATTCATAGGGGGTCGGTCGAGAGGCCATGTATTTACTGCAGATCTCACATAGACAAACTTTTTTGCATAAGGATACAAATTTTAAATTAAAACTGTGAATCATATTTGAAGACTTTCAAAATGTAAATATTGACTTATTTGTTAGTAAATACGGTAATGAAATCTATGGATGGAAAAGTAATGTGACTCTGGCACTCATTTAAAAATATTTTTAAAGAAAAGAAAAAAAATTCTGTAATGTCAATGCTTGTGAGTAAATATTTCTTAATAAGAAACACCATGTTGGGTTATCATGTGACTTTTACCTGCGATTGTGAATGATTTTAGAAATATCCTGTTTACATAATATTCCTACAGGGCCTGGACAAGGATATTGGTTGGTGAAAGAGACACATAGCAGAAAACCTGTAACTCAGCAACCAAACCACATATAGTGATAATGAGTCAGAGCTGGCAACACACATGCCGCCCCTAACTGAATGATGTATTTGTTTATAACAGAGGGAAAATGAATTATGGTGTAGAAACAGGAAGTAGTCTATTTAACTTGAGCATTATTTTGAAAAAAAAAAAAACATTTTCAATTTCTTTACAGACTTAGATGTTTAAAACAGATCACGAACATCTGATACACTGAAGCGGAATAAAATTTATTGCTTGGAATTCAGAAGGGAAAATGCAAGTTTATTATGACATGCATGAAAGCATATATCTATGGTGTTACTTCTATTCATTTGTTCATCCAGAATCAACTTTTTTCTTTTAAAAAAACCTATTTTAAATATCCAGCTCAGAGTTATGACAATATTTTTTTCCATTAGCATGTTTTGATGAATTAAGGGCTATCAGTGTGTTTAAGTCGATTTCCTTAACCAAAACGCAATGTTAAAGTCAAACGGGTCCGATGTATATTTGGCCCATCAGATGAACGGTTAATTAATAGCTTAATTATATGAACTTTTCCACTCATTTTTAAGGTCACTGGAATGATGTGTCCTGAATAACAATGTGGCCAGGTGCCGTGTGATAAAGGGCTGTCAACTAGTTTGATAATGTGTAACTTAAAAATCATTTAGGAGATGGTATGCTCGTTTTCGTTGAAACCAAAATTCAAGATCAGATCTCTGCATAAAAGCAAGCATTCTAAAATCATTTCAGTCTAGAAGTGATAATATTATTGCATTTTTAGTGATATTTAGAAAAAAAATTAAGAAATGCAAAATTTTGTTGAAAACAGTCCCTCTTATATTCTTAGCCAATGAAAATGCTCCTTTTAACCAATGATAATGTAGAAGCTCTGATTGCTTTCCAGTCAAGTTGTTGATAGATTTGAGGCAGGTTGTAGGTTGAGGTATTTGAAAAAAATCTGCTTGAATTATATGTTAAAATTGTTGTTTATATATATTGGTAGTGTGCATCCATAAAATTTGTCATGTTTGTCTCTGAATGGTAAAGGTAGTTATTCACTAAATTAGATTGATAAAACAATAGACGTTGTGAGATGAAATTGCGGTGGTCAGGTGGTGCAGTGGTAATGCACTCTCATGTCACCTTGCCGTCCGGGGTTCGATTCCCAGAAGGGATGTGAAAAGGCATGGGGTCACCTGCCCGACCATGTGGGTTTTCCCCGGGTACTCCGGTTTCCTCCCACAGTAAGACCCCTCTCGCACTTCCATCCGGGCCAACAGAGTGATTAACATATGCCGGAAAAATTTTCTTTGCAGTTGTTGTAAAATAAATAAAGTTTGTTATTATGATAGACATTATGGAGAGGTATCAACATGAAATTGTTGTGAAAAACTCGGATGAAGTTATCAGTATGTTTCTTACAAAGATTGGTATTTATGTATCATTCTGTATAGAATTTATAGGTTTATCCAGTAAAAGCAGGAGACAATGCAGTGTGATATTGTCAACTGAAGTTGATCCCTGGATTGAGAATATTACCTACTGTAACAAATGTGTGTAATTGTCGTTTAATATTTTTCCAGAATGATTATTTGAATTTTTTTGCATTTGTAGTGTTAAAATTTGGATTATATCCTGATTGTAGGATCTTTTCTTTTGTCATTTCAGTTTGAACTGGGAAGATCCCGACTCATTTAACCCTGAACGCTTTATGAACCGTGTCGAGAATGAATCCAGAATATTCTTGCCTTTTGCTATAGGACCATACATGTGCATCGGTTACAAGTTTTCCTTCATGGAAATGAAGACGGTGCTTTCCTGTCTCATTCAGGAATTTGACTTTAAATTGTCTCCTGGCTACACTTACAAACGACAGCAGGCATTAGTGTTACGACCTTCTCCACAGGCAAGACTTCGAGTGACAAAGATTTCAAACCAAGCTGCTGTGTGACAAAATCATTGGGACAGGTTTAGATTTACTGAGATTTGAAATTATTTTATATACTGTTTAACCAGAACCATGAATTCCAAAAAAAATGAAGTACGAACAGAAAATATTTAAAAATACTCAGGAAATCTGTTGATTCATATATATATATTTTTTTAATATTAAATTAATTTGTAAGTTTGTTTTATTTCTACAGCAGTGGTGAAAATCACATCAAAGAATACTTATTCACTCTTATTGACCTGGGTTGAAATGTGCTGGGAAATAAAACCAAGGTCACCCAGGTGATAATATTGTTTGGTGTATAATTATACCCTCTTGGTGAGTCATCAAGGGTATGAATAAAGGAAAGAGGAAGGGAGATCACTAAATGTCTCTGCCATGATGACTCATTGGACAGTAGGGAGGGCGGGATTTTTTTAATCTTCTGCTTTTGGGCTACAAAGATGGTTGCAGGTACTATATTTGCATACTAAACTTAAACTTAAGTTATGGTAATTATTACTGAAATGAAAAGAAATTTTCACAATCTACAGGCTGCATTTCTCAACTGAATGGTACAAAACTCCACACATCTTACAAACATCAGTTTTTGTATGAGTTTGATTTGCAATGTTGTGCAGTCAAATACGAGGTCACTGTTACTATAAATAGAAACTAACAAAATTTTCACGTCATAGCTCTAAAGGTTCCATTGTGCAAGTTTAAATTTTGACCTTCGATGTTTCAAAAACTAGGTCAGCTTTTCTATAAATAGAAAGTGGCTGAAATTGGATGTTCCTAAATTCTCCGACTTCATTTACTATGAAAATTTTTACAAAAGCAGTCACATGACTTGCCTTCTGGTCCCATTATCTTATTGGGAGACTTAAATTGTGACATTAATAAAACACCAAATTCTTTGTTATCTATAAAAAAAACCACTTACAAACAGTATATAAAGTCACTTTCTAATCATTTTGGTAGTTTATTAGACTATATATACACCAGAGACATTCACATTCTTATAGGGCATCATTTTCCTGTATTTCACAGACCTTACTGCCATTGATGCAGCATTTGAATAAAAGATAAACAATTTTATTATAGTAACCGTAACCTACATTAGCACTGCAGAAAGTACAAATGCAAATTCTTACAAGAGGTGATGTTTGTGTATATGTGTAGGTTTTCATTTACTTTAGTTCCCTTGTCATACCAGTTTGAGACATGAGGGTATTTTTATCGTGTGAAGTACTTTTGTAAAATATTGCTCAGTATATCATTTTCTCCCACCTCAGCCCATGTAGGATAGACATGTCCCATGTGGAACACCCATGGAGGATAAAGCTATCCCACATGACTGCACTCGGTGACCTCAGTCGGCTATCACAACATACTCAAACCGACGAGTGGATGCTTTGTTTGCAGGTTCCGTAATGCGCGACTGTAACATCACAGTTAACATTAACTATATCAATCCTTGTCCAGTGAACACAAATAAACGTCGGAGGATCATCTATGACTCTGATTCTGAATGAACACACGCGTGACACTCGCACCATTGCAATTTTTCGCGCGCACAAACAATTGACGTCATTATAAACTGGGAAATCCCCTTTTTGTCCACGACATCGCGGCAAGCCTACCCTACCTTAATAAATGATAGAGTTAAATGTTGTTCAATACAAGTATTTCCATGTATCTATCTCTAATTAAAATATTTAATTTCCACAAAATTAATATTTCTAATGTTTATTCATATTGCGTTTGTAGTATGTCATTTTTGCTCTCGCGGAAGAATGTAAAATTTTGGAAACGTGAATCGTGATATTCATGCTCCATTCAGACACTTGTACCGTGGGATTTTTTTTTACGTCGTGGCAGAAATAATGGGGTGGGAGAACAATAATCAACCCCTACCCTCAGAGGATGTGACAGAGAAATCTCCAACCCGAGGGGTGATTTTTGTTGTTGTCTAACCCGAGGCTCTGCCGAGGGTTAGACTTCTCTATCACAAAAAATCTATTAATAATATTACCCCTGTATATCATTACAATATTACTCAGTATATCATTATAACATTACTCTGTATATCATTATAATATTACTCAGTATATCATTATGATATTACTCTGTATATCATTATGATATAACTCAGTATATCATTATAATATTACTCAGTATATCATTATAATATTACTCAGTAATATTACAGTATATTATTATAATATTACTGTATATCATTATAATATTACAGTATATCATTATAATATTACTCAGTATATCATTATAATATTACTTGGTATATCATTATAATATTACTCAGTATATCATTATAATATTGCTCAGCATATTATGTTTGGTGAAAATATTGAACTTAAATTGTTGTGATTTGGGAATCACATAGGTTAGTAGCAACAAAAGACAATTTCTTGCTCAGCTTGTGCATATTTGGTAAACTGAGTAATATTCTCCAGGTAAATCCAACCACTTGTAATACTCATACAGTGACCAGCTAGTTATGTGATCACAAATATATTTAAAATCATTTCTAAGCTGGGATTTCAGAAAAAAAAATGGGATACATAAGCCTTGATGAATTTTATGCATACTGTGACCTTTGCCTTAGTAATATAATTACAGAAAGAGAAAAAACCACCTATTCTGCTATTTGAGATAAAGAGAAATTCACCATGAACCATTGCCATAGTAAAGCCACAAGACGATTTAAAATTGTGTGGAACAGAAGATCACAAAGACCCATAGGTTAGTTATTTGAAGCCTTATTCATAATTAAAGGGATTTTTTATGAGTTGAAGTCTTCCAGTAATTGGGTGTCTGTACTTGACAAGCAATTTCTTGGATAATATGACCATGCTGTGCTTTCTCAGGAAAATGATGCTGTTATGTGCATGTTGATTGATTGACTTTGATGCTTATATATTATTCAGTGTGTGTGGTCAGTGTATCAGTGTGTACCGTATGTGTGGTGATGATGATGTGTCTTTGTGTATGTGTGTGCGACTTCTGTGATTTGTGTGTGTGGTTACTAAGTTTTCCAATGTGTACCATGTGTGTGATGATGATGTGTCTTTGTGTATGTGTGGGTGAATTCTGTGATTCATTTGTTTGGTTGAGTCAGTGTATCAGTGTGTACCCTATGTGTGGTGATGGTGTGCTATTGTGAATGTATTTGGATGACTTCTGTCAGGATATGGGCTTATTCCAAGAAAATCACCAATGATAGCCTTTACTTGTAATAATAAAGAAAAGAGATGAGCGGGTTGGTTTAAAATGACAGCCTTTACTTGTAACAATACAGAACAGAGATGAGCAGGTTAGTTTAAAATGATAGCCTTTACTTATAATGATACAGAACAGAGATGAGCGGGTTGGTTTAAAATGACAGCCTTTACTTGTAACAATACAGAACAGAGATGAGCAGGTTAGTTTAAAATGATAGCCTTTACTTATAATGATACAGAACAGAGATGAGCGGGTTGGTTTAAAATGATAGCCTTTACTTGTAATTATACGAAAAAGAGATGAGCAGGTCGGTTTAAAATGACAGCCTTTACTTGTAACAATACAGAACAGAGATGAGCGGGTTGGTTTAAAATGATAGCCTTTATTTGTAATTAAACAAAAAAGAGATTAGCGGGTCGGTTTAATTAGGCATTGGCTTATTGCATGATAAATCTGTCAAATAAAATAAAATCATTTAAGAAAGATTTTGAATTGTATTACCAGTATATAAATATTTAACATTCAGTGTTATATCATTTTTGCCAGGTTTTGATCAATCTGACATTTGACCTTGATCTTGACATATGTATGATGTGTTGTAAAGACTGTTCTCTTCCAATTGAACTATTAAATGGATCATTTTGTTAAATTACGTTTTCTTAAATCACACATACATTTGTTTTTGTAATTCATTTTATTGATTAAGATAATGTATTTTTGCTGTTACATAATAAAAATTATTTTGTAACTTTGGACTTTCCAAATTGGTTTTTCATTTATTCTGGTAATGCCACTGTGCTGTACTGATAATTTTTTAACGTACCTGGCAGCCTTGTCAGGAGTGTTTGCATTTGTTTTGTCAGTCAAAGATAAAACTCTCTTTTTTGCCGGCCATTATCAGGAAATTACCTATTCAAATTTGTCAGTGATCCAAGTTCCCTGGTGCATTTTTCAACAATCCTTGTTATCAATATTTCATGGAAAATACTTGAGAGATATTTCTCAAGCTTATCTAGGTTCCCCTCTTTCCCCTGTGTTTATTTACTTTGTGTTTGCTCAAGAAAACAAAATGAAAAAGAAGAAAAATCAGTCTTGCTATCGAACCAATAGAGATCATTAAATGGTGATCTCTTGAAGACGAGGTGATTGTGTGCTGTGAAGATGAAGACAGATAATATCTGTGTCATGATGTTGGATTCTATTTGGCACATACACAAGCCCTAGACAAACATATTTGATTGAGAACTCAACTTAGAATATTTATGTTAATGGCAGGTGTTGCTTTCAAAAATTAGTTCCCATGTTAGAAATTGGTCATTTTTGTCATCATGTAACCCTGGTAAAATATTAGCCGCAATATACTTCTTGGCTAGAGAGAACTTCTCTTTAGCTCGATTGGTTGAGGGTTAGACTAGTAAGGCAGGGGTCCCGGGTTCGATCCCTAGCGGAGGCATTGAGATGAAAAATGACCTCTGTTACAATCATGGTGTTGAATTGTCATTGGTTGCAGATGGCTTCATAAATTGGAAAAAACTTACACAAAAATTCATCTTTCCAATTCTAGTTTCAATAAAGTATGTTTAAAAGTGGAAATAGCCTAGACATTATTATGTAAAACAAGGGCCATAACTCTTGAAGCAGACAATCAAATTACTGTTGTCTTTGAGAAGTCCTTACCATCTGAAATCTGACTAAAAGATTGAGTTCTTTCTAGTAAAATTGGTTAGGGATAAATAAACTTAACCATCTTCATGACATTGGGATATAAACATCAAACAAATCGTATTTCTGTGGAGGACTCTTGTGTCGTTAATGTGTAACGCTGTAATGATGTCGTATTAGGGATGACCTCCGCATACATTTGAATGTATACTGTTTTTATTTTGTAAATGAATATCATTGTTT